ACCACCTGAAATCCTTGTGAAAATCGGAGACTAATCAGCTCGCTGATAAATTCTTGTCGAGTCTTTGGTTCTTCGTCATCGTCTGCGTTTTGATCCACGTTATAAGGGTGCCTCTGATACTCGGTATCGAACTGGGCTCTGGTAGGAAAGTATTCAGTCGTCAACGGAACTGCAGCGGGGCAACATAAGGCTTTCCATTTCTGTATTTTCATCTCAGAGATGCGAGGAAAGATGTGCTGCCAGCGCGTATATAGATTGGCCGCGTCTATCTGATTCTTCTCTGGGTCAGATGGATTCAACAGCACCAGCCAAGGACTGATTGCTGACGATGGCGAAACTGTCACGGGAGGCTCTGGTGTCACGCCAACTCCTGCACGAAGTTTGCTCAGGACAACTTTGTGATCTTCCGTCCGAAACATGTTTTGATACATTTCGGTGTCATCTTCGGGACTGTCACCATGATTGCGGGATGTTGAAGTATGTGCGGGTGTTCCAGCCTTTAGGTTGTACAAATGCATATCGTGACGATTTGATCCGTTTTTCTTCAAGATGGGGATGCTTGGCGTTGATGACATTCTCACCATTTCAGGATCAGTCGTCTCCGGTTTGAGCCTGTTTACTGAGAATGGCGATTGGCTTCTGATTGTCTGCGGAGTAGACGGTCTCAAATCCGGACGTGATCGAGGAGTTGGTGGTGCGTTTGACTTTGTAACGGCGGCATTGACAGTCTCTGCTTTCACTTCGGCTGCTGCAATCTTTGGGGCTGCTATGCCAAATCCTCGGTGTCCAAGACTAATTTGTTTCATAAATTTGGGCTGTTTTGACGACGAAGATGAAGATGAAGACACTTTCGTAACGGCCGGTAGTGGTAGTTGCTGTGTAGAAGGCGATTCTTTCAGAGGTAGCGGATCTGGTAGTTTTCGCTTTGAGAACATGTTCGGCTTCTCAATCTCTGCTTGGTTCATGGAGAGCTTCCTAGCCGAAGGGACGTTATTAAATAATTTCTTTTCCGGAAGAGACGAGCCCAGAACATTCAAGTCCTCCATATGATGCCTTCGAGTTTCATCCGACCTGGCACCTGCTTCCGAACTATGGTGGTGGTGGCGCTTGTGGCGAGTTAGAATGGCTCTAGAATCATCAAATTCCTGTAGCTGTCTCCAAGAAGGTCTTTCCGCGGGCCGCGCGTGCCTTTCGGGCGAGAATCTCTGAATCCCCTGGATAGTATCGTATAGGTGATCCGGAAGACGAGTCGGGGGGTTGTACCAGATATCGCCAATCGCCTCTTGGCGTCTCTTCAAGAAGCTACTCTTCTCAAAGATATCGCTGGGATAATGGGAGTCCGAGTGCAGCGGGGTGATTTCGATCTCATTCGTATCAAGTGCGCTCCGCATCTGAAGGTCGTACATCCGGCATCTTATTTTGAAATCATCATCGTCGTCCTGATCCACCTTGTTGGACACAGACAGGGCCACGCCCGCGTATGAAAGTGCCTCGTTTGAGGTGCCCGTCCAGAATGAAACGTGCAGCCATTGTGGCAGTACATAACACCATTCATCACGCCTACTCTGGGAATCCAAGTGTTCAACACGGCGCATCATGTCTCTGCTTTTTGACGGTGAGAAGGAGCCAGAGGTGGACTGAAAGCTCCCGATAACGGGAGTTGGTTGGCCTGGTGTGCTATCACGACTGTGGAAAGACCTTGAGAGGGAATGGTGGCGATCTTGAGAGTCCCCCGCTATTGAGAATCGTGGATTCCGGTATCTGAAAAGAGGAACAGAATGCAGGGGCATTTGAGCCATGCAGATCAAATCAATCCCGATGCCATTTCCTACAAGAGCTTCTGTAGTTCTTCGCAGTGTCTCATAATCCACTTCAAAGATGCCAGCACCAGCGCTAATGACAGCGATGGAGATGCCGGTCCTAGTCAAGTCTCGATCAATATAATCGTGAGCGAACTGTGCGCAAGCGAGGTTAATGGCCTCCAGAATATTGCCGTGGATGGAAAAGGAAGACTCGGCTCTGATTCGACTGGCTGCCTCATTCCCAGATGCACCTTCTTTGAGGCCATCTAATGCCGTCTGGTGATGCAGAGTGATGTCTTTTCGAAAGTAGTTCAGTTGCCTTTTCAGCTGGTACAGGATCTTGGTCCACTCTCCACTAGCCATTTCACTCACTACGACTCGATAGAAGTCTTTGTATGGACGCCGGTTCCCATAGGGCTGGATTCCCGTGTAGTAATCCGATTGGAGTGCGCTCACGTCCAGCTCATTGGTCAAGCCCGTATCATACTCGACACGAGCAAAGAGGACAATGCTGACCAAGTGTTTTACCTTGAGCACGGCCCACCTCTTAAAGAGGGCTGGCAGAAACCCGTTGACAACTTTATTGAACATGATTTCGCCAGAGCTGTCAGAGTCAAAGTCCCACATCTCTTTGGACATTTGGATGAAGAGGACATATCTGGCTGACTCGCTGCGAAATATTGGCCTCGTCTCTCGGCCAAAGAAAGCGGATTGGACGCTGTTTCCATTCACATAGACCGTCGTGATTTGCGCCTTTATCGTGCCCAAAAAGAGGAGGGACTGTCCTTTATATACGGTCCGCTGCGTGAGCTCCCCGACGGCTACCCTCCACATATCCGCTCGTGATAGATACTGATCCTTAAATATCATCTCCACGTGTGTAGCTTCGGTAACCGGGTGGTCATTATCAACCTAGGGAGGGAGGAAAAGTATGTCAGCCGTATAGATCTACATAGTATACGTGATGAGTGTGAACGAACTGGTGCCAGTAGGACAATGGACCCCTTCTTCATCCCAAATATGTCCGCAATGTGCTTAACAACTTGTACTTCAATATCAGGATGCCGAGCCTTGGTCTCCTTGGGCATATCCTTGGCGACAAAGATGTATTGGTCGCCGAGGGAGCTCGGGTCGCAGGGGCCGAGGTGTTGGTATCGCAAGCTGCCATTGTCCTCATGCGACTGTTTCTTAAGGCCGCCAAATCCCGCCGTCGATTTCACAGATTCCGATTTCAGCACGGCGATGGACATCAAGGTACCTGGCTTGATATCACCACCAATCAGGTCCAGGTTTAGCAACACCTCGTCTCGCGAATATCCGTCATTGAGCGTGACGGCGCAATAGCGCTCAGTCTTTCGCGGCTTCTCATCCTTGACGTCCTTGACAGTGGAATGCGTAGAAACACTCCTGGGCGAGGCGGCAGATATCTCGGATGCGCGGTCCGAGTTGGTCGAGCTCGACTGTCGAAGATGATGGGACCAATGCGGTCCCCTCCGCGGAGCCGATGGTGCTGCGCCGACATATCGGGACATGGAATCGGCTCAGGCGTTTTCACGATGTGCAAATCATAGGGGGGATGGTTTATGGGAGCATAGCCCGCGAGCAACTGCGCAGATGTTTGCCAGTTCAGCAGCTGATGCGTGTCGCGCGACAATTTGGGGGTATGAATGAAGACGGTTCAACAAGCTGAGTAGTGACGGCAGAAACGGAGCTTGATGGTAGCACAAGACGCCTCACCGCCTGCTGGATCCATCCGCACTGTCTCAGTGGGGTCACGGAGCATTGTGGGGCTGAAGACTGCGGGTATTCGCTACCTGCCGCAATGCCACGAGGAAGCACCCAACCAAAGTTGTCCATACTTCCAAATTTACTCTTACTGTGTCTCATACTGTATTATACCGATGTTTTTAAGTTGGGATGAAACATGTCCAGTGCCACTCGAGATAAGCTTCAAAAGAGGTTTACTTTTACTTTCACTATTATTTATCCCGTCTTTCTTTCATCGAGACTTAAATTTCAAAGTTTATATAGAGAAATCGCACACTGTATATTTCACATTGCTCTGTCACGACGTGACTTGTTTAGGACAGTTCAGATACCACTTAATATCTAATCACAGCCAAGGCCTGTCAACAAGGAGAAAACTGACGAACAACAAAGGGCTGAGAAACCGGCGGTTCTGGTGTGTTTGCCGTTACAAGTTTGCTGCTACGCTCTGTGAATGTTACGATCCGGCTACGATATATGGTCAACTCTGAATAAGACCGTTACTTAGATGATCAAGACTGGGCATTAAAACACCGGCAACCGAATCAATGTCGGCGTTACGAGATGGGTACTTCGTACCCCAATCATGCTCTGTCCGTCACCTAGGTAGCTCCTACACTTTTCATCACCCCTGCCGGTGACGCAGTGCAAGTTTGCTCAGCCAGGATCTTGATGTTTGAACAAAGCCCCATCACAGGCAAATCAGTGTCAATCAGCTCAGAGTTGTTTGCCTCGGAGCCGACGACAGCGGGATCAGCTCCTGTCAGTCCGTAGCCCATGCGCCGAGCCCTAATTGTTTTTTTTTTCTCGGCCCGTCAATATGCCAACAAATAGCGTTTTTAAGCCCCTCCATGGAGGGTACGCCATGAGCACGGTCTTATGCCCCGTTGGCTCCTTGGACGGTGGCAATGTTGTGAGATGCTGCATTATTGGGGGCCTTTCATCCGCCTTCTAGCGCGCCGTTCTCCGTGCAAGGGTTCAATTCGAATCACCACAGCATCGGAGATAGATTGCTGTTATCCTCTGATCAGGTACCTGTTTGCACATCGTCTCCTGCGCGTGATACGGAGTGTCCGCTGGGCAACTAGACATAGCAATCGGCAGGTGCAGCTGTCAAACATTCCGTTTGCACGTAGCATTGGAACCAGGTTGATGCTAAAACTGATTGCATCTCATCAAACCACGTAGCAAAAAGCTGGTTAGTATAGCCCCGCTTCAGGCACATCCATCGGAATTCCCAAGCGGACGCCGCTGCCCGGCTATTTGGTATCCGAGTGGTATGTCGCGGTCAATGAGGAGACGCCTCTTCTCCTTTTCCTCGCCGTCATATAGCCTTAGCTGTGACCAGCGTCGCGTTTGTCCAGTTGACAAGACCCAACGTCGCTCTTGATATTGCAAGATACACTCCGCATCTGTTGTCTCCGAAGCAAGATGGCGATCCGAATGAATCGCAAACAGCGATTGACCGCGACCATAGCCATTTCATTCTCCTTTTTTGTGGCCGAACTCATTGGTGTGTTTGATCATGATGATTCTGAGTACCAATCGCCCTAACGTGAATGCGAAGCCGGATTTTACACCCACTCTCTCGCGTTGATCGCTGATGCGTTCCACTATGTATGGTATATCTCCAAGATAGTTGATTGCGTCGCTGACCCCTTGCAGCTGAGCGATTTGATTGGATTTGTGGTGGCCTTGGTCGCTGTCGTGGTCCGTCCCCCCTAATCTGAAATTGAGAAGCACCATCTGATGGACTTTTTTTTTTTTTTTTTTTTTTTTTTAGGTTTCTGAGGATCCAAATCCACCACCACAAAAATTCACATTTGGATGGGCACGCGCAACGCTTCTAGGCGCGTTTTTCAACGGCGTGTTCCTTTTGGCGCTCGGCGTCAGCATCCTGGTTCAAGCTATCGAACGATTTGTCAACGTGACCGGTGAGTTGTAGCACTCAGGCTGTGGACGGTTTGTCGGAGCTGAGCTGACACTGAACTCCATCGAAAGTCGTCGACCAGCCCAAGGTCGTCCTGATCGTGGGAGGCGTTGGCCTAGGACTGAATCTCCTGGTCTTATCGTTTCTTCATGGTAAGCTTCACCCTGAGCCCCCTTTTTTCTGCAATGCCTCAAGCCAATGGCTAACGCATGATCGTCTAGATCATGATCACGATCATGGTGATGGCCACGGCCACGGTCACGACCATGGACACGCACATGCGCACGAGCACGACCACAGTAGCGGCCATAGGCATGAAACCCTGCACGAGGAAGACGCTGCCACCAGGATAGATGATGGAACGGCGCCTGGGGCAGAGGCTCGTCCCACGTTGGTGAGTAATTTGGCCCACCATATCAAGCTCGCTGGTCTGACAAAAAAAAACCTCAAAGGCATCCAGCGGTCACCACCAGCACAGGCATGTATCAGTAGTCTCGCCATCTCGCCCTAGCAGAGATTTGGGGATGCTTGGCGTTATGATCCACGTAGTTGGTGATGCCATCAACAATATTGGCGTCATAGCATCGGCCCTTATTATCTGGAAAGCCCACGGGGAAGCACGATATTATGCCGACCCTGCCATTGGCGTGTTTATCTCTCTGATGATCTTCTTGACCGCTTGGCCATTGACTAAGAGCAGTGGCCGTATTCTGTTGCAGATTGCTCCTAATGAGATAGAGATTGATGACATCAAGCACGATATCAATAAGGTAAACACAGCATTCCATCCCCAAGCTGCCGCACGCCAAACAAGGGGTTGAATGCTGATCAAGCCCACAGGTCCCCGGTGTCGAATCTGTGCATGAACTTCACGTCTGGCGACTAGATCAACGCAAGTCGATAGCATCTGCACATGTTGTCGTTGACGGTAGGACCGTCCGAAGCTTTGCAGACACGGCCAAGATCATCATGGAATGCCTCCATGCGTACGGCATCCACTCGGCAACACTGCAGCCCGAGGTACTGCCTGCTCACCAGCAGCAGCAAGCTCAAAGCTCGTCCGTGTCTCCGAACACTGGTACCGGAACGCCGACTCAACGGCGACGTGATAACGGCGCTGATTGCCAGATTGTATGCGGAAGCCAGTGCGGCGAAATGAGATGCTGCACAACGGTACAGATCTCTGAAAGACCAGCATTGCCAATTTGAGAGGGCACGCTGCGAATGTAACAAGAATGGAAGTCTTGGCCTCACTTGAAGACCACAGGAAGAGACACTTGAACAGAGCTGGGTGAGACGGTTGCTCTGGGGGCTGCGATAGACAGGCGCATGGGGAAAGAATGTAGTTAATGCTCGCAGCTATTGACAGCTTTGGCAATAGGGGGAGCACATCTCCACGGCAGCAAATAGTATGTGCCTAGTAAATAGAGGTTTTGAGAATCTTAAATCATGATTTTTGAACCAGAAAATTGCATTCGTCTACGCGTCTCTCGCTGAAGAGCCTTGTTCATGCATCTGAGAGAAGAGGAAATGAGGTTGAAAACTGGAGAAGGCCACGTTCTGTATTTCTAATAGCGGTGGCCATCAAGGTTCTCATTTATGCCCCCGCTCAAGTCCGGCACTGAGACCAGTAATAGCGAGAGAAAAAAAAGCACTGGACATCATTAATTACATCTTGGTTTAACCGGCTACGACGAATTCATTTATTTTATTTAATACTTGAAAAGGATTCCATTTTCAAGGTAGCATGCTGAAGGAATTTAGATGGACAGGTCTCAATGGTCCAAAGCCAGAAACAGATCTGCATGTAGTATATATATCTCATGTAAACACAGAAACGGAGCTGTTTCCCCGAGCTCTTAACCTAAATGCTCTAGCAACGGAAAATATCTTCCATATAACGTTAGCATATCCCGATCCGTATGTGGATGGCAGACTGCGCTATACGACTCGCAATGAAGTGGGCAGCGGCAAATGTGGACGAGCATGAATCGATTCTCCGTCTATTCGCCGGGTTGATCTCGGCGAGTTCCTGTATGTAGGCAATACGATGAGGGCATCTTCGGCTGTAACTGAGCCTCACTGGTATCAAGCTGGCATTTCTAGTGCTTTGGAGCCGGTTTCCACTATGCCGAGGCTCGAGATGTGGGCACTTGGTGAAAGAGCCATGAAGCAAGCAATTTCGGCATGCCGCAAGCGAGGTCAAGGTCTTGGATAGATAGTGCTTGATACTCGCACATTCGACATCTTGATACATTGGGTAGTGGTGCTTAGGCCACCATCAGTTAGTCCGGGTAAGGCTTCCAAGGTTTCTGCAGGCTGGTCTCAGGTTGCATCCGTCATTCCTTGAAATGTCACATGTGCAAGCAGCATGCAGTAGGCGAGACGCACAGATAACAGGGCTGCTTCCTGTACATGCAGAACTGCGCATACCTACATCACCCTACATGGAGCGAAGCAGTTGGCCGTTCGTTGATGCCAACCCGTGTAACGCTTCCCTGGCTTGTGAAAGTTTTCCATCTCAGGGCCCTCGCTTTGCACCGGGATCCCCTTCGCTCGGCACGGCGGCGAATTGTTCTAGAAGAATACCCCATTAGCAAATGGCAACAGAGTTTGCGCTTTCCATTGGACAAGCTCGATGGCAATGAGTCGTGGCGTTGGCGTTTGGTGGGACCGGCTCTTGATGTGGGCTTTTTCACTTGCTGATAAAAGAATAGAAAACCAACAACGCGCTTTGATAGCTTGGCTGTTATCCTGTCCGGAAAGCTCCGGAAAGCTCCGGAAATGACAGATTTGAAGAGAGAGTGACGGATCCCATTTTGGGACACCATTGTCGTTGGATCTCTGTCAGATAGTATTGGTCACATACAGGCCCGTGAATTCTAGAAGTCAAGCTAGCAACTGACGAATCGTTTTTACATGCCGGCTGTCTTTCACATTCCGATTGTAGGATAATGCCTGCATCCTTTCCAGGATAGGAGGCACGATTACTCGAGCCAGCGCCAATAATCATGCTTTCTCTCTTGGCGGTATGGAAAGTAAGAGAAGAAAGCTTGGCCATGCTGGTGTCTATTGGTGAGAGGCCGGCGGACCCGTCCTCAGTGATACTACCGTCTGTGGTTTGAGAACTTGTCAGAGCTTGCATATTCAACAACTGCTTCACTTGAAGCGAAGAGCCCGCTGCGCCATCGTTCCGATGGAAGATATTTGGTGCGTTAGCAACATTGGCTTCAACCCACACGCGAGATACGAGCAGACCATTGACTTTCCAGAGATCTAGTAACCGTAGGGCATGGGTTCCTTCTCTTCCGTCGGCGTTTATTACATGCCAGGGTACGGCACTCCTCCAGGAAACGAAGCGACTCCGCTCGAACTGGACCGTCTCACAGCCCTCGAGGCCAAACCCACATATATGGAGGCAAAAGTATCCGCTGGTGAAGTGCCGGGCATCACTGCTCCACGGAATTGAACAGATACCTAATACAGCAATACCGCTTGATGCTTCCAAAAATAAGAGAGTATTCGTAATACTACTTCCTATCGTATGTGTATCTGAATAGACATATCCCATAAAGTGCGGGCGTACGAGCAGCTGCATGGTGCTTCTATATGCACGAACCATGCCGTCCCGCGCTCCGTATTCATCTTACCTACCTGTAGGGAGTCTCGTACAAAGCACTCAGGTTAGTGCTTGATATCTGAATGGTAAAAAACGGGGCTTCCTTCTCGCTAAAGCAGGCGACGGTCAGATTTTTACCTACTAGTTACCCGCAGCATGCTGTACGACATGCCCCGTCCGTCTGCAGTGTCGTGTCGGTCCGGCACAGAGGAGAGGTGCTCCAAGCATACTGCGTAACTTCGACTTGTTGAGCAAATGATATTTCGGATGGCTTAGACCAACGCGGCGCTCAGATGATCTTCGGTCCAGCGATTGTACTACTGGCGGTACCAGCGCTAGTAATTGTCACGACGCAGATGCTTGAGTAATTGGACTTTGTAAGTGAGTGTCGAAAAGACGGTCTGTCGCTCGGCGCGGCCGACTGACTGATGGTTCGCGCGGATGAGGCGCGTGAAAAGCATATTTCGTGTGAACCTAGAGGAGCAATGCGTCTTCCAGCTCATTGGGCATCGCGAGGTGTTTGCCCCATTGGTGCCCGGCACCTCTAATTCGCTGTCTGTACGGTAGTCTAAGTGGATGTCTGGCGTTTTTGCTGCCTGGGCCCCTGTCCCGTTGGTCTCGACTGACGTGTTGGAAAGGTGCCGAGCCTGAGAGAGACGGGATGATGATGTCAAGGCCAAGGCGATCTCGCAGCTCTGCACCAACTCAGGGCGAATTCTCAGCAGCGATGCTCTGCACATCTGTTGCATCATGTCCAACAGATGTGCAGTCAGAATGCACGCACCAACGTGCAGTAGAGTACAGAAACAAGAGCTGTGCTCCAGTGGCAATTCAGCTTCTGGTTCCCTTGCCGCCGCCGAGTTGGGGACCCATTGAGGACCCTGGATTTTCATCGTTGAGAGCTCTGGCCCCTCGCAAGATCAGCATTGCTGTGGATATGGCCCGAACAAGACCGATGCGCCGTCCCTGGTCGGTCACCAGTCACAGGTCATTCGGACCTTGGCTTGCTTGCAAAGACAAAGTAGCGCATCGAGCCAGCCAGGCGGGGGTGGATAGGCATAGCAGCATACTCCGTAGCATAGGGAGAAATGGAGTGGGCGGCCGAGGAGTGCGCCGCCGATTCCTGCCCATACCAGGCCAGGACTTGGGACATCCAGCTTGCATTGCATTCACCGCATTTTCGTAGCTGTGTTTCAGAGAGCAAGGCCCTTCCTTGCCACCTGTGCTTGAATGTGGCATGTGAGCATCTCATCCCTCGCGCTGACGCTACCACAGTGACTCTAACTGTCCAACAGTGTGAGTGGGCTAGGGAATGATGGGCTGGAGCTGTGCTGCATCGTTGTTGATTGAGAAAGCGTCGATGGCATCATTGGGCGGCAGATGCGATGGAAGATGGGGGAGACGGACAGCTTGAGTGGTTGTAAATGGGTGCCATGTGCTGGTTGGATTGGCGTTGGGAGACGACAACGCACCGACTGCTACTGTATAACATCAATGGAAACAGGCGAGTGACGTCTCCAAGTTGTGTTTTCGGCGCATTTTGGATTCAAGCCCTGATATGCAAAACAAAAGCAAAACCAACTTGACCTACCAAAGCAAGGAAGAAAAAGCAAGTACCAGGCAATTTCGGGCTGATACCTGGCGGGCTGAGGGCCGAGTCAAAAGTCCCAAGCTCGCATAAAGTGCTGGTACGAGGATTGCGACTGCTTCCATCCATGCCCCAGCATCTGCGGCCATGCAAATAATGCCAACGGTCAGGCTCATGGTTTCTCTTTGCAAGGCGGTTCAGGTAGTTTTGCTGTCAATATCTCGGGTCGGGATCGTATCGGTGCGCCGTCATACTTGCAGCAAATGGCAGTTGGAGCTTCTTCGTTCCTGTCCTTGGGGATCTGAGCTCTGCAGCCAATCAGCGGCGGCACTTTAATAACGCAAGGAGAAAAGTGATGCACAACGACGGGACTCTAAACTGGTCACCAGTGCCTAGTAGCATCGAAACCCACAGCTGCGAGTGTGTCCTTGGATTGAATTTGCCAGTCAACCTGTCGATATTTGAAGTCCAGCGGTCCTGAATGTACAAGAGTGCGTATGTATGGAGTACCTGCAAGCTGCACAAGACACTGCGGGTAACACCAGGTACCCCATACTTGAACCTCCGCCGGTTGCTCTTGTACTCGAACCAAATCCACAGCGCACACGCCGCCCCGCGCTCTCCGCCGCGGCTACTGCGCTGTGGCTCCTAGTGCTTGGCTCGCGCCACCTCAACTGGCAACGCCCCCAGTGGGCTCCAGCGTTCTGGGGCACCCCAAGAGCCCTAACAGCGCAGCGAACCCACTGTTAGCCCACTGCCTAGCCCACTACGCAACCTGCTGCTGCTGAGCGCTAGCGGGAGTTGGCCGTGCTGGGGGCTGCTGTTTTTTTCGCTTTCAGTGCTCGCCCTCGCCCCCACCGCCCTAAAGGCGCTCGTCTGCTGGTCCCGACCTCTTGGATTCCAACCCGACCTCTCCCTCGCCATTCATTCGCCCATCACCAACAAAAGGCTCGAGCTGCCTCGCGAATAGGCCTCGCACAATCAGCCTTTTGGAGGGGCGATTTCCTGCTGCTTCTCGCTCGCAGCCAATCCATACTCGACTACTTATACGAACCGTCGCATCGCATCGTCGTCGCTGCCGTCGCCCCCCCAGCACCCAGCATCTCCCTTTACGCACGTGCCTTGCATTGGAGCTGGAGCTGCTCTGCCGCCACACCATCTATCACGGCGCGCTGCGTGTCTTGTCTTGCGTCGATAGACACATCACTTTTTCCTTTCTTTTCCTTTCCCTTTCGGCCAGGCTAATCTCTCCCTGGTCTCCGAACCGGCTGGATTGTACTGCAGCCGTTTAGTATCTGGGAAATAAGCGAAACTTTGAACGGCGACCATCTCAGCTTGGTGACACGGCTTGCGACTCACAGCCTATTTTCCAAGAAGCTAAACGCACTGGCGCCTGACGAGATTTGAGAGGGAACCTAAATTAAGGGCAGCAAAAAGCAAAGATCAAAAGAACAAAGAAGAAACGAACATGTCCATGTGCCGCCGCCATGTCCCGACTTTATTATTGGTGATGGCGCATCGCTTGGGTTAACTGTGCCGAAGCTGATATCCCGCATCTTCCGCGCCCTCGCTGAGCTTTACTTCCCGGCATTTGGATATTCCACTTCTATTCTCGTCTTCTCGTCTTATTTTCCTGCTCTTATTTTTTTACCATTCGACGGCGCTACACGATATGCTAGGACGGCTTCTGCATCTTGGCTCCGGTGGCCAGTCTACGGGTCCTGCACAGTCCAACAATGGCTCTCGTCCTATCCTTTCCCTGGAATCTGTCCAAGAGGACTCACACACCCGCAATCTGCTTTTCCCCGACGCCCAGGATCTCTACCAGCATCGCAATGACCAAGTCTTTCCATTCTTCAATGCCCCGGCAACATCTTCTGCCTCTCCGGCTAACGCTTTCGACTATAACGAGGACCTCGAGCTCGATGTCAAGGACGTCCGTGTCATCATCATGCAGGATGCGCTCGGTCCCACTAATGCATCTCTCCTCTTCGACAGCCACCCCCTTCCCGAGGCTGCAGCCTCTACTGAGAGGCATTCTACTGCTACCCAGGACGTGAAGAGGACGACGACAAACCCGCTTTCACCTCGCAAGGGGAGCCACAGCCAAAGCTCTCGGCCAACCATCCCCCATACGGATAGCTCTCAGTTTCGCCAGGGGGCATTTGACCGTCGGGCCTCGGTACATAGCCGTAGCCATAGCTTTGGGGAAACGGATGGGCAGCGAGCTGCGCGCGAGTATCGAGAGGAGCTGGCTACCTTTTCCAGCTGCATTTTCGGTAACTCAGAGCTCATGGCTTACAAGGGCACTTCTACAAAGGTCCACGTCGTGCCATCGGAATCTCGCATCCCGGACCACGCAAGCTCCATGTTCGGAGACGGCCGCAGCTCCATTGGACGTGCTACCGGCCGCTCGAGCAAGCTGTCTCAATCCTACTCGTCACAAACCGTATCTCCAACTCACCCGCAGCTGCCGACTGGCGCATCTACTCCGCGCCAGAGTGAGAGAAAGAAGGTTCTCATCACACGACTCTTCCCGGTAACCCTCGCTGCCGACGACTTGGATTCCACCGTTACGCCTCCTAGCCGGTACTCAGATGACAATGGCGGCTTTCCATTTCCTCCCACCGGCGACGAGCCCGCCCAAAAGAAGAAGAAGCCGCAACCAAAGCAGCGGCGCACGCCAATGTACGCCGTAGTCCTCGTCGTACAGCTCCCACCGTCACCGTCACGCATATCTTCGGCCGTACCTCCTAAGCCTGTCTTTCGCGAGCCAGGATCGTACAATGACCAAGACCTCTTCTCCTCGTCCTACAGTTCAACTCGTATGTCTGGTTGGAACATGTCCGGATCGGGCCTTTACGGCGAAACTACCGACTCATCCTTTTCCATCGATGTCGAAGACCGCATCGATTCCCTTACGAAGCACTGGGACATCATCATGCGCACTCTGACTCATCTCCAGTCCATTGCTGCTTTTAGGTTGCACACCATGCTCAAGCAGACCGACATGGCCTCTCCAGGTCCTTACTCAGCCTCTTGGGCAAACATGAGCGCCAGGAGGCCGTCTCTTCCGGCCGACAGGCGCCTGGACGAATCACGAGTCAAGCCGTCTAAGGGTACTACTAAACTCGTCTCCTTGCTGCCTAACTGTCTCTCAGATGACGTGCATATTGCATCCGAGGTTGGTCTTGCCAGATCCAGAATTGTCATGGGCCTCAGCGCCTCCCGTGTTGTCACAGGACAAGGACGCTGGGGAATTTGGCGAGACGAAGCTATCTGGACATGCAAATGGGCTGTCGGGCTTAACCAAGGCGTCTTCCTCCACACTCTGCTTACCGGATTCTTGGCTACGCACGTTGACTGGCTTCAAGCACTCAGCTCTCCCGCGTACAGGAGGCGAGCACTACTTCGAAAGCAGAACCAAAACGAAGATGATCTCTCACTGCCGGCGCGGACCATTATCGTTTCAGACGATAAGATGGCCGCACGACGCATCATATTCTTGCTTTCTGCTTTCCTGCCGGCGAACCAGCACGTTCCCGGTCCCCGAGTGCATCGGCCAAGCACCTCGGCCTCTGTCGGTGCCTTTTCAAACTCTCCTCCCTCCTACGTTGTCCCTGTCGTCCGTGAAGAATCTCTTCGCCGCAAGATCAACCGCCGCACCGGGCTTGGACGTGTCTCCCACTCTAGGACAGCAAGCCAAAGCACCCGGAGCGGCACGGTCTCGTCCCAAACAGGACACTTGAGCGCTGCGGACCAAGCGAGCCACCACAGGCGCGCTTCCGATGCTGCTTCCATTCGGACCACCGGGCTTCCAATTCCGGGTCATGACTTGATGAGCCGGAAGAGCAGTGTTGCCACTTCCACTATTATTCAGGACTCAACAATCCCGCACTTTGCAACTATCCAACGGGCCGATAGTCTTAGGTGGCGACGACCCGGAAGCAGTGGCAGTGCTGCTGCTGATGACCTGAAGCGATCCCTTAAAAGGGGCGAAAGCGGCACAGCAGGAAATGCACGGCCCCCAAGCCAAGGCCTGCGATGGGGCAACCTTATGAGCGGACTGTGGAGCGCACGCCGCCGTGAGTCAATGGACAGCGGCAGCACGTATAGCCAAGCCAGCGACCTTCGGTCACCAATCAAGGCGGGCTTCTCTCAAGCGAACAAGCTTTCCGACCTGGCTCAGCTGTCTCTCGCTGAAGAAGGGCCTGATAGACGACTGGGAAACCTCCGCCGGGCAAGCAATGCTAGGGATGTCGACGTCATGCGGGAAACCACCGAGCGCGGCCGCAAGTCCTTCACCCAGAGCGACAGGACGCCTGATCCCAACGGCGCCTTTGAGTCTCCTGTCAAGACTTCGATCAACGCGGACGATGGCGTCATTGATGTTGATGTTCCATTCCCGGATTACATTGCCTCATTTGAATCAGCCATCAGTTCTCCCTCTAGCAGCGGGTACCTTTCGACGCCGGGGTTGCCCGGCCTTGACTCCTTTGAGCAGACTGGACGCATCTCGATCGACGGTGACCTGCCCCTTAACGCGGCCGGCTGGTTAAACCGCTTCCATCCCGACTTTGTCTTACAGGGCCTTCCTCCTCAAGAAGGCCTCCTTGATAAGATCAAGGCGGCGCTCCAGGCTGAGCCTACTCCCGTGGTTGTCCAATCTGACGCCAACGACGTATCTGAGCGCTGGGTTGATGTCAGCTCGGCTCTTGTTGCCGACACCACCACAGACTCGATCCTCCGCATTACTTACCGCAGGCTAGTCAAGCCGAGGCCGACTGTGGAAAAGCCTGTGATTGGAGGTGTTGCCATCACTCCCTCCGTTTTGCCTCATGAAACGACGTTGGACGAAGAGTGGATCGAGGAAACAGTAACCGTGCCTGATGAGAATCTTGCAGACGCCTTGGAAAAGGTTATTCACCTCATCCCAGACTCTAGTAAAGAGCACTCTTCTGCCTCTTCCCAGGTTCACGTCGATATCCTCGGCCCTATCGAGAGTGGTGGCAGCAGCACCATACCGGATACACTCTCGGAGTCAACGCAGATGCCGGAGCCTCCACTCGAGATACCGCGGAGACAGTGCAAGACGGTAGTGCTGTCTGCCTTGGAAGACACTATCCGAGAGGTTATCGACAACGACGATGGCAACAATTTTGGACGCAAGCAACAAGGGTCAGCTAGCGAGAGTGTTCTGCGTGACGCGGTTAGGCAGTGGGCAAGCACTCTTGACTCTAGCGAATGAGCCCCGAGGGCCTCACTCTCCCTCTTGTATCATCTTTCTTTCTTTCTTTCTGTTCTTGTCTTCTACAACACTTCCTCTGACGTTTCTCATATTAACGACGTTATGAACTTTTGGTTTCTACGATATGGGACGACCAACCAAACGAAGTTTGTATCACCACCACCACCACCATTACCCTAATACTCTGGTTCCTACTCCCAACATATGATACCCCAGCGGTGCAAAGATGTTTTTAACGCACCTCATCTTTTGATTTTATCGGTTGGTTCGGAAACCAATATACGATTGCTCGAATTCCAGCTCTATACGGCCACGCTCTTGAAGCTTCTCTCTTCCCCAGCTCTCTTTTGGCCTAGCGATATTTGATTTTGTTTTCTCGCGTTTATTTTTGAGCGAGGCGTTGGATGGACATGACAGAAACGGGCTATGACCTGCTACGTTGAACTTAGCCACACAAGAGCTCTCTTTTGCTAAGAATTTTTGATAGAGTACGCTTTTTATTAATTTGAAAGACACAAATTATGTTCATTTCAATCTATTTTACTGGCACGTGTGATGATATTGTGTAAGATATGCAGTGATATTGGTAATGGGAATCTCCCTTTTCGTGCTTCTATGTGGAAAACCATTGATCCATATACTTGCTTTCAAAGAAATTAATACAGTACTTTAATCAAGTTCTATCACGCTCATTTATCTTCTTCGGCCACCTCCTGCCTTTCCTGCCTGATGTCTGCCCGTCTTCGCCCTCTTGCGCTCCTTCTCCTCTCTGGCCTTGCGGATATCAGTCAATCCCTTGACCTCCTTCTTACTGCCCATGCCATCCTTGAAGCGTCCAACACGCTTCTCGCGCGCCTCGTTGACCCTCTTCTTGCGCACGTGGAAGTCGTCTCTATACTTGTCGGCCTCCTTGGGCGCAAGCTCCTTCTTGTGCTTGTACCGCACGCCCGACGGCAGTTGGGCAGCAGCACTGCCAGGCTTGACCAACTCGCCGACCTGAGGAAGCTTGTGCACGCGATGAGCCTTCTTCCACTTGTCGAAGCGGCCGCTACTGAAGCTGGCAGCAATCTTGACACCGCTCTCGCCGACAATCATCTTTGCGCCCTTGGAGCCATCCTCGTCGTTTGCGCTGTTGACGTACTTCTTGGACTTGGCGTCCCAGCGCATGCGCGGCTTCGTGGGAGCGCCAAAGGCCTTTGCCGTGTCGTCGTTGGTCAGGTCCATCGTTGCGTCGCGGGCGAGCTCGACGAAGCTGGAGCCCTGGCCGCCCGAGTGGACGCCGTAGCCGCGCTCCTCGGCGGCGTTGATGGTGCGCGGCGTGTAGGACATGAAGACGTCGTTGTCGCGCCAGTCGGTCCGGCCCTTTTCTTTCCTGGTCTTGCCTGTGTTGGTGATTGTGACCTCGAGATCGTCGCCGTATTCATCGTCATCTTCATCATCCATATTCGCATCTTCGTCGCTATCTGGGGCTGGAGCGCCACCGTAGTCGTCATCGACCTCCATTTCCTCGTCGTTGGCTTCTTCCTTCTTGCGTGGTTTGACTCTCTTACGGAGCTGCTTCATAACTTCTGCCGCCTCACTCGTAGCCTTGTCTCCCTGACCAACCTCAAAAATCGTCTCCTGAGGCTTAAAGTTGCTAATCTTGGCCAGCATGGCGGCCCGAGCCTCTTCTGCGCCGTCGACGTCCTTGCCAAAGAGCGGATGCAGCTGCGACCAGCCCCTGGATGCCACCTCCTCTCTCGAACGCTTCGCGCTCTGGCTTGAGGCAGAGTTTCGCGTCTTCATGTAGAGCTTTTCTGCTTTGGAGGCAACGATTCGCAACGCATCGACGTCTTCATTCTCATGAAGGAATTTGTTGAACCATTCTACGTGGGTTCCAACAGCATCTCGTTGCAAAGCTCCAACAACAACATCGTCAGTGTATGACGGTTCCGTTTCTGTTTGTCCGACGACTAGCTTCTTGCCCAAGAAAAGTTGCAGATCTAAAAGATATGGGGCATCCACATCTCGGACCAGACTGTAAGCCCAACCTCTCTGACCTGCACGAGCGGTACGACCAACTCGGTGGATGAATACCTTTGGCTGAGGGGGGAAGTCGTAGTTGATGACGTTGGCCAGAACGGGAATATCGATACCTCTGGCGGCGACATCTGTGACGACGAGCAGATTTGTCTTGCCCATTCGGAACTCCTCAACCTGTATTCGTCGAGCGGTCTGGTCAAGAGAACCATACACGTGGGATGTTGCAAATCCAGCGCTCTTTAGTAAATTGTATAGATATTCGACGTGATGTTTTGTAGCTGTGAAGATAATTGTAGAGTGCTGTGTGGGCTTGCCGGCGCCGTTGTCTGGCTGGCGCTTTCGCTTTTTCGAATTCTTCTCCGTCTCGTCCTCTGCGCCCGCGGGAGGTCCCAGAGGAACTCTGATGACGTCGTGGAGAATATGTAGCAGGGATCCTTCCTTTTCAGCTCCCTTGACAGAGAAGAATGCTGTCTCCAAGTCAGGGGAGACCTTGGTGTCTGCGTCAAGTCGCACAAGACTGGGATCCTGTAGACCGGCCCGGGCAAACTCGACTAATGAAGCTGGAAGCGTTGCGGAGAAGAGGAGTGTCTGTCTTGAAAGGGGGAGGGCGTGTAGAATCTCGGTCAACTGAGTAGCAAAACCCATCTCGAAAAGTCTATCGGCTTCGTCAAAGACGACATATTTGATTGATGAGAGATCAAGACCCATCTCAACCTTGAGATGCAGGAATCGACCTGGAGTGGCAATGACGATATCGGGATTGGCAGACATGAAGCCAAACTGTTCCTCCAAGCTATCACCACCGACCAAAAGCACCGACTTGAGATCTGTTCCTCGGCCGAGTTCCTTGACAACCTTGAGGGTCTGAATGGCCAGTTCTCGCGAGGGCGAAAGAATCAGCGCTCGGCTACCAAACTTGGAACTGTGGGCGCGCAGTCGCTCAATCATGGGGATGACGAATGCCGCAGTTTTTCCTGAACCTGTTCTGGCCATGCCGACGACGTCTTTCCGCTCGAGAACCAGGGGGATCGTCTTTCTCTGAATCGGGGTCGGGACTGAGAATCCTTTGCGAGCGATGGCCTTGAGAAGGTTCGCATTGAGACCTGTAAAGATTTAGAATTAGAAAATTGCTTTGATCGAGAGCCAATGCATCGCAAAGCCCAGTCTTTCTCAAGCTCTCCAACTCACCCATTGCCTGGAAGCCACCGCCTTTCTTGACTGTTCTACCCTTCAAGTTTGAAGCTTTGCGATATGAAGCTGCCTGCTGCAGCGCAATAAACGCCTCATCATCTTCTTCGCCTCCTCCAGCCGCGCCTGCATTGAGAAAAGCATCAAAGTCCAATCCATCCTGGCCATCTTTGCTCATTCCCTGCCCTCCATTGTCGTCGTCGCCGGGATATAGTGAGTCGAGGATGTCAAGCTCAGGCTCTGAGGCCGCTGGTGAAGCTGCGCGACGACTAGGCATGATGGGCAACCAGCGAAATCTTTCGCTGTATTGAATGTAATTTTTGGTGTTCGTCTCACTGCCACCAGCCTCAACGTGCTGGAACTTGAAACTCGCGGCCAACTTTTTTTCTTCTCCATCTAAAAGTTCGGGCCTTATCTTATCGGCCCAATGGGGGTGCGGAATTATGGACCCCGGTCGAGTCTTAATGCGGCATCGCATCCACTCTTTTTCGCTGCTACATTCGAGCCTTGCGCGAATCATCGCTCCAATTGACAAGAGGCACGCGAGAAGCTGCCTTGCCAACATCCCAACCGCTCACCTCACGCTCGTTGTTCCTCCTCCGTTTCTTGTCGCTAAAGAATCGTTTGTTGCATATTTATAAAGCGAAAGACTTTCGGCTGATACCATCGTCATAATGGCGGATGCGACTACAAAGGATGATAAAGATGCCCTCGATGCCCTCGAGCTAGAGGCCAAGGAATTCGACAAGGTTCGCTGCAGCTACCCTCCTCTTTCCGCCGCGCAGAATCGAATCAGTCGTATGCTAACCAAGTCGAACCACAGGATGCCGAGATTGACCGGATCCTCAAGGCATTCCGCCTCGATGCGTGAGCACGGCCTCCCCCAAGGCCATCATATCCCATCCCTCTAACACTCATCTCTACAGATACGCCGTTCTAGACCTGCAGCCCGGTGTCCCGGAATCAGACATCAAAGTGACATACCGCAAGAAATCCCTCCTCATCCACCCCGACAAGACCAAGAACCCGCGCGCGCCCGACGCCTTTGACCGGCTGAAGAAGGCCCAGACGGAGCTCATGGACGAGAAGCACCGCGAGCGCCTCGACGAGGCCATCGCCGACGCCCGCATGCTGCTCATCAGGGAGAACAAGTGGACCGTCGACAGCCCCGAGCTCAAGACGGACGAGTTCGCCAAGAAGTGGCGCGACAAGACGCGCGAGGTGCTCATCGACAACGAGCACCGCAGGAGGCGCCAGATGAAGGCCCAGCTGCAGGAGGAGGGCAGGGAGCAGCGAAGACAGGACGAGGAAGTTGAGGATCGCAAGCGCAAGAGGCAGCATGAGCAGGATTGGGAGGCGACGAGGGACGTCAGAATTAATAGCTGGCGGCAGTTTCAGAAGGGCAAGTCGGGCGGCGATGACAAGAAGAAGAAGAAGAAGCTTAAGCCGATTGGTTGAAGGAGAGGGGAGGATGGAATTTAAATTATATGAATCGTCAGAGCTCCCTCTGAACTGCCTCTTTTGCATTTTGCGGAGGTAAGGGGGCTGGAAGGGTCTTTGGTTGGAGGATGATATCTTTCCTTGTGAGTCGCTTGGAGTTTAATGAAGGTTTTACGTCTGACAATGGTAGCCAAGCATATCATACCATCGGCACAAACAGGTCTCAGCAGATTCTCGCTGCCTCGACAAAAATTTGGGTCATGGTTGAGCATGTTCTGGCATGGATTTAGAAACAAGATGGAAATCACAGAATATACCACTTTTACACAGCAAAGACCGATGATGAATCTGGCGGCGCAGCAATACCGCAGCCATGATTCAAAACCACGTCTCAGCTTAGAACACAACGCACATAGAAATAGGTAGCAAACAGCGCCGTATATATCAAAGAGGGGAGATTGGCCTCCGCGAAACCGCGTCTCTTTCGTCCCCCTCTCCCCCTTTCTTATTTTTCTTTCAAAATCGATTTCTCAGCTATTAATATACACAAAGCCCAAAGCATCTACCGCCCCGAGCATAGCCAGTAAACCCCCCCAAATGGCAGCAAGCCAGGGCCCCAAACCGTTCTGAGCAAAAAACGCCGCGGTCAAATAATATCATACATAATTCAAGGCCTTCTTTTTTTTCAACGACAACACCGTCGAATGCAAACTCTCTCCTTTTTTTGTGATGAGTGTGTGTGAGTGTGTTTAGTTTCCCAGCTCTATGCAAAATGATCCTCCATTCTCCTTTCGGAGCTACCAACGTTTCATGCATGATCGCGTTAGGTTTTTCAGTTTTTTAGAATTTTGGTTTCCTCGGTTCGAATGTCGTACGAGTAAAAGCGAAGTAGGTTGGCAATAGATATTGACACTATTTCCAGAAGATATGAAGATCTTAGTCGGACGCAGACTTGTTCTCCTTCTTCCCCTTGTCGTCGCTGGTGGATTCGCCGGTAGATCCAGAGGCTCCAGAGGCGTCCTTTTCATGTGCGGGATGGTGAGTCAGATTATGCCACATGGACTTGAGGAAGCCCTCGTCCTTGTGAGAATCAGGGTCTTTGGGATCAGGGCTGCACGTCAAAAACCTGCGTGTTAGTAAAGCGACCGTGGCAGCTCAAGTTTTGGAATCTCCCTCTGACCTTGAAACGTTCATAACGCGGCGAGCTGACTTGTCGTCCATCTCATCGGCGAGCATCTCGAGAATGGTGCGCTGGCTGGCGCTGAGCGACTTGGGCATCTTGACTCGGAATTCGACCTTTAGATCACCGGATCCCGCTCTCCGCGAACCGAGGCGCTGCATACCCATCCCGGGCAGAGTGACCTTGTCGCCGGTGTTGGTGCCGGTGGCCACCTTGAGGTTAACCGTGCCGTCCAGCGTGGGAATCGTAACCTGTCCGCCGAGAATGGCCGTGGTGAGGGGAATGTTTGCTGTGTAGAGGATGTTGGAGCCCTCGCGGCTGAATTTGGGGTCCGTAGCAACCCGAACAAAGACGTAGAGGTCTCCGCGCTGAGCCCGGGCATCGGGGCTGGTGGACCTTCCGGTTATGGGAGCATCACCGGCCCCGTCTATCCGGAGCCGCATGCCGTCCTCGATACCTGCGGGGATGTCGACGGTGATGGTCTTCTTGTTGCGCACGACACCCTGGCCAGAGCACGTCCGACACTCGGAGCTCTTTGGGATCGTTGAGCCAGTTCCTCCACAAGTTCCGCATGTCGAGGCCATCTGGAAGCCGCCCTGCGCATAGTGAACCCGCGTTCCCGTTCCTTCACAGCTGTGGCACTGAGTCCTCTGGGCGCCAGACTTCAAGCCACTGCCGGAGCATGTGTTGCAAGATTCGACGGGTGTGATGGTGATGGTTTTGCTCGTTCCCTTGGCAGCCTCCATGAAGCTGATGCTCACATGAGACTCGATGTTGTCGCCCACGAGAATCTCCTGCTGGAAAGGATTCGATCGACGGCCACCAAAAGCCGAAAACAAGTCCTCAAAGTTGAAACCGCCGCCAAATCCACCGCCGAATCCGCCCTGCGCACCAAATCCTGCGAAAGGATTGCCGCCAGCTGCGCCAGCAAACGGATTGCCTCCGGCCGCGTTGGGATCAAAGCTGGCATCGCCGAATTGGTCGTACTGCTCTCTCTTCTTGGGGTCGGAGAGGATCTCGTAGGCGGTTTGGATCTCGCCAAACTTGTCCTTTGCCGTAGGATCCTTGTTGGTGTCGGGGTGGAACTTCTTGGCCAAGCCGTAGTATGCCTTTTTGATCTCGGCGGCGGTTGCGGACTTGTCTACGCCGAGGGCTTTGTACGGATCCTTCTGCAGCAAGGTATTGGTCGCGTGGAAAGTCTATAATCACCAGTATGTTGTCAGTATCTAGCTTCTAACTTATCCATTTCCTGTGTTGAGAACATACCCTCTGAGACGCCCGAGCATTGTGCTCTTTCCGGGCATTGGGTCGCTCAGCTCGAGAGCTGAAAGAAGCCGTGTGAAGCCGAGCGCCTTTCCGGAGGCACTGCTGGAGTTTCGGTCCTCCGGAAAGGTTATGGCTCTTTGCAAGTGCGCGCGCCGGAGCCGCGGCCTTGAAGAGGAGGTTGGACATTGCTGAAGATGTCAAAATCCCAATATATTCTTTCTGCTTCCTTCTTTTTCGATTAGTCTTGTCCTCCGATTGCCTCTCAATCCTTCACCTAAACCGAGCAAAACCCGAACAGAGATAAAGATCAGATAGAATGAGGCCGAATAGCAGATGGAAAGCTAAGGAAAAGAGAACCGGCTCTACGGCGATCGGCTCGAAATTTGTCCCCTCCAAAAAGTTATTAAGCAGCTCTCCACCAAAAGCTTCCACGGACGTCGATGTTTGCGACGAGAAATAATTTAGACGAACATGCACCGAAAAAAAGGTGGGGGTAGATTGATTCTTTGGCTGGTCATTGGAATTGCCGCGTTTTTGCCGATTTTAAGCCGAGCTCGAGCTGTCTTTACATACGCCTTTTGCGTGCCTGATGATTGGTGGCTCGCTCTCCGCGCCTCCGATATGCCGTCATAACCCGGCCGATCCCGCCCTCCTGCCGTTTTGCTTGGGAGAACGGCTTGGCTGAGGAAACGGATAATTGCACTCAATCGGCTCTGTGGGCAGCTTCAATTATGGGGGAGATTCTGCGCCTGTAGTATGGGCGATATTAGTAAAGCTCCGAATAATACAGAGTGCCAACGCTCATACAGCAGAGGCCTGCCCTTGTCACTTCAAGGTTCTCTATTACTGCACGCCGAGAATTGATAAGCCAGCCGCTGGAAGGGACCCACCGACATGGATGACAGGCAGACTGGCGGACTGACTGACGAAGCTCGCGAACAGCTTCACTCATGCAATTGGACGCGAATATTACTATGGATGCTAATCAGGTGATATTATATGTGCTGCTCACTGTAATGCGCATATCAACCCGACGTTACTAAGGTACGGGTTACCTCTATCAGGTCAGCCTGCAGCTCACATCCATCGAGTAGCAAGCACAAGTACCTGGTACAATGCTGCGAGCAACGGAGCGCTTCTGCTGGCTGTACCAGGCGACCTGTCGGGCAGCTCCATGCACGTCTCGTCGTGGCCAAGCGACGCCCAAGCCGTTGGCCTGATGACATGCAGCGCTGTGGACGCAAGTACCGAGTACGAGTAACATGCAAGACTGCGCAGCGGGTGGATCGTCGAACCACCTGAGCCAGGCCCGTGCCCTATGAAGGAATTTCTTCAGTGTGTCTCTCATCCTTGCAGCATGTTTCGTGTCCCTCCTATGTCTCGCATGCAATGTTTCACGCCACCGTTTTTTCTAAACGACACGAAAAAAAGGAAAGAAGCTACCTGTAGATTCATTCAGCATCATGTTGTATTCGTCAATTCTCTACAGGATATTTATAAACAGAAAACCCAATTCATCCCCTTCTATATGAGTGGCGCTGCGAATTCCTAGACCAGTGCCTGTCGATATGCTGCTTAAAACAATTGAACCAGTCCCAAACCGACGGGTTCTTTGGCCCGTAGTACCATTGTAACAAGTGGCGCGATAGAGCACACCATGATGTGCCTCGCAGGAAACAAGTGTGTGTAAATGAGAGAGGAAAAGGAAAAGAAGAAAGGAAAATAAAAGCCATCAGAGTGCCAAATGATTCCCCCGGGTATCTACCCACCACGTACACACATCTGGTGTCGTGCTCAGGAACCTTGTAACGCCAAAACACCAATCCATGCCAGTAAAACGATGCAGCTGCTCACCAGAGCTCTCCAATTATGAGGCATCCGGTCATTCAGCCACGACAATGACTTGCTTGACCGTGCCTTGGTCTTTTACGACCTGGTGATTGCGTACTTTGTATATGAAGTCGACAATGACATCGTTCTCCTGGATGCCCAGCCCATTGAAATGCTTGCGCACGGCCAGGGCGAGCTGGTCTTTGGACTGTCGCTTGATCTGCTGCTTGCGGACCATTGTGGGAGAGTATAGGCCCAAGCTGCCGGGTCGCGAGAGCACCCAATTGTGAAAGGAACTCGAGTAGGACGACGGCGTGGTCAGTTCGTGCTCGCGGAGGTAGGCGTGGAGGGATCGTCGCTCGAAGGAGGCCCAGGGAAGCTGTGAGGGTTGTGTTAGCATCGCTTCTAGACGCTGTTGACGTGCTGGGTTGAGGATTGGAGAGGTGTATTAAGCAGCCACTGAGTGAGAAGACGTACGCTTGGGAGCAGGGCTTCGGTCGGCACCTGGACGGGCACAGATGTGGGAGCGGGATGAAGGTCGTGTTTGGCAGCGTGAGTCTGCTGGCTTGCGCCGCGGCGCATCTTTGTCGAACCATGACCGTTCTTTTCCTTGACGGGAGCATCGGCCTTGTGGTCGTCGTGATCTTTTCGAGAAGTCTTGGTCGGAGCCATGGCAAGTGTAGAGAGAGAGGAAAGTGGACCGATCAGGGCAATGCAAGCTGTGGCTTCGGAGCTGCTAGACGAAGAAGCAGGAGCAAGAATGCGGGATATGGAGCTGTGGGAAAAGGTGAGGAGACGGTCGATCGTCACATCTCATGGACGAAAAGTGCTCAGCTGGTTTGGCTTGCGTGTGGGCTGCGAGGTTCGGAGGAGAAGCGAGGGTCTGGACAAGGAACCTGGAGGGAGAGGCTTTGGCAGTGCAGCACCTGACTCTTGCTAATGCTATGGCCGCCTTTTTTTTCCGCTACGAGGGCGAGTACAGGAACGTTGAACCGGCACTGTGGGCGGAATGACGCGCTACCGAGCCTTGACAGCGCCGAGCAAAGTACCGCTGACGGCGTTGCTCGGTGCGAGGGTACCTGTCGCTGTCCTTGACTTTCCGCCCTCAGAAAGTGGGGGAGCCACCAAAGGCGCTTCTGGTGGGGTCGCTTTTAATGCGTCGCGTGCACCGAATTGGCGTCTAAGAGGATGCGTGTGCCGGTGCCTTTTTTTTGCCAGCCATTAGCAGCCATTGGCAGCGCTAGAGCACATGGGACGAGAGTTAGGCCAAGTGCGGTAGGTACTGCACGTTGGTGGCAGACAGTATGCGGCGCCATGTACCTACAGTGGTGCATTGAGCAGAGCTACTTGCATCAATGGCTTCGCTAGGGCGGGCTTTTGACTTTTTCTTCCAGTCGCTTTCTTCTTTTTCTTCTCCATTGCTTCTTTCTTTCTTTCTAGGTGCTCGCCTCCTTTGAACTCTGCTATCCGTAGATTTGCCACTATGGGGTTTCCCTTTCTTCCTTTTCAATTTTTTTTTGTTCCTGGTGCAAGGTGCTAGCGCCTGGATAAGCGCGGTGCAAGTTGTGCAGCGTCTCACCAGGAGAAAAAAAAAAGATGGGATTGAGACATGCAGCTGAGTCAAGAGTCTGCTATAGCCGCGGCTATTCTTTTTGGAAAAATACAGAATTCAAAATTTTTATTTTGCTATGTCAACTACCTACCCAGCAAGTATTATTTGCAAATACTGCTGCTGATGTTGCTGCCGCTGCTGGTGCTGCTGAAGAAAAATAAAACAAAAAGCACGGTGAACCCCGAATTGCGATAAGATATCGGTGATGTCACCGGAGTCCCTGACAATATACTGCCGCATTGGGGTTAGCACCAAGCCATTGACTTCTCGAGCTCAAATGCCCATAGCTCGAGATCCTAATTCCAATGTGCTTATTTTAGGTACATAGAAATGTCAGGCTTGGAGAGGTCAGAAATATCATACAAGCATAGTTCGTACAATGAACCCAGCTCATGCTAGGCCGTAGTTACAGGACAATGGATAGATAAGCAGATGCATTGATGCATCATTCGTCCCTTGTTATATCATATTCTTTGTTGCATGTATTTCCTCATGCTCTCTTTATGCTTCTTTACTCCTCGCCTTTGAAAGCGTATCTCCATTTTCTATTTATAGATCATGATGATATCAAAGGAAGGTATCAAATGGTACAAAGAAATAATGCATTTCAAAATACTCTGTAATCTGTATATATGTCCTCGTAGAATCACCCCACAGAATTCGACTGTGAAATTCCTCCACTTACATCCTACTTTCTGACAGCCTCTATAACAGTTCAGTAAGCCATCATGTCTGAAGTACTACAGGTATATCTCACACTATCCAATGTCATATATCTCCAAACAAGCAAAAACTAATCATCTTAGTCTTTCAAGAAACATGTCATCAACAAGAGATGGCGCCTCGATGGCCTCATCGGCCAAGGAGGCTTCGGCAGCGTCTACATCGGTATTATATCCCACTCATCCCTCAATCTCAATCACACTCCAATCCACCACTAACACGCGGAACCACCAGCAACCGACCTCCAAACAAACCAAATCGTCGCCGTCAAACTCCAAAACCTCCCCCCAGGTAGTACATCCTCGCCCTCCCAAATGGACAACCTCGAAAGCGAATCCTTCTACTACACCCTCCTCCGCAACAACCCAGGCATCGCAACCCACCACGAGAACGGCCGCCAAGAGAAAATAGGGCGTCAAGCGGCCCACGAGTTCATGGTCTACGAGCTCCTCGGTCCCTCCCTCCAGACCCTCTTCTACCGCTGCGGGAAGAAATTCTCGCTCAAGACAACGCTTATGTTAGCCGACCAGTTGCTGGAGCGTCTTGAGTTGTTTGACTCGCACAAAATTGTGCATAGGGACATTAAGCCGGACAATTTCGTCATGGGCTTTGGTAAGGAGAATGGGAAGATGGTTTATATCCTGGACCTTGGTCTAGTGGGTGAGTATACGAAGGACGAGGAGGTTGTTGTTGCGCCTAGTTATGCGTTTTGTGGCACTTATTATTGGGCACCTATAGCAGCTCACCTGAACCGCGTGAGTCAATATTCCATCCCTTTTTTATCATTATCGCTTCCAAGATCTAACAAGACGAACCTCCAAAGTCTCAATCCCCCAAAGACGACCTCGAATCCCTCGCCTACATGCTCATCTACTTCGCCAGCGGCTCCCTCCCCTGGCAAGGCTACGCCAACGAAAAAGAAAACACAGCCCTCTTGGATCAGCGCGTCACCCGCCTCAAGCTCGGCCTCCCAATCAAGCAGGTCTGCAAAGGCCTGCCCTCCCCATTCGCCCGACACCTCATGTACGCCCGCTCGGCTAGGTACAACCACAAGCCCAAGTATGCCGAGCTGAGGGCAATGTACAGGAGGTTGATGAAGCGTCTGGGATATAAGTACGATGGCGTCTATGACTGGGATTTGTTGGAAGATGGTAGCAACGACAGCATGCAACGTGGCCCAGAGCTTACCTTTGTGCATGGCAGCGTGCAACAGTATGAGGAACTGTCGGTGGACTCAGAGCTCACCTTGGTAAATGACAGCCTTCCGATGAAAAAGATGAAAGAGGAAGATGAAGAATACAAACTCCCCGCCAAAAAGGTCAGGGGAAGACCCAAAAAGGTAGAAAAACCTCGTGCAAAAAGAGTCAAGGAGGAGCAAAAGGAGCAGGAGGAAGAGATAAAGCCGCAAAACAAGGAACCCGCCAAGCCACTGCGAAAACCCAGAATCATATTCATCAAAAAGAAAAAGAGTGAAAGCCCTCCTCCAAGAACACGGCGAAGCAAACCAGCCCAGGTACCAGAGAAGAAGCCAAAGAAGGAAAAGGTCGTTGCCAAGAAAACGGCTGCGAACAAGGCTGCAATCAAGGTCGTTGTCAAAAAAGCGCCGGCAAAGAAACCCCGTGCCCGGACCTAGACGTGTTGAGACATATATTTTTGATGACTGGTAGAGCATGGGGCTTGTATACATGTTTGAAGCACGGATAAGGTACCTATAGTACTGAGAGTGGAATTTTGTATTCTTACAAGGTGGCGTATTGGTCAAAGGCGTTATTTGCAAGAGGAAAGCCAGTGTTCATCATTCACATTGTCACAGAATAGCATAAAAGACGAAATGCACATAAAACTTTCCATTTTTATTTAACAAGCCCGGCTTTTTTTGTCCCTTCATTTCCCACAAAGCCAAAAAGATTTCATATCCTCAATAATAAACACAAGACCGTACACAACCCGCCATTGCTGTCACTAGAAAAAGGGGTATTTTGAAACCAAGCAATAGTATGCGCCGTCCCATATGTTGGAGGCAAATCCGCCCAGCTATCCGCACGTAAAATCTTTCAGCTGTATCCCCCCACCCTCCGGCTGATGTATCCCTTAAAATCGTGATGCGTAGACGAACAAAAAAATCCAATAGAAAAAATAACAAAAGCAAAAAGATATACCGTGAATTCATAAAGTAGAAAAAAGTGTCAGTCGCTCACAGGGCTTTTACAGGACATTGCCTCCAGAGTTCAGCACTATGCAGTTGTGTAACAGGTTTGCCCCTTCGTGGAGCAGCTCCCATCGAGAATTGTCAAAGGTATCCTTTAGGACCATGAGCAACGCTGTGTTGCCGTTTATTCCTCGCATATTTCTCAGCTCATTGGGGTCTGTAACCCCGCCATACTTGCTGAGGTAGGCTCTCATCTGCTGCCATTGTTCATGGTGACCCACCGGTGTCGATCCAGCCAAGCAAGGCCCCTCTACCGCAAACCCATAGCACCAGACGACCAGTGCCGCAAAGTAGAGGACCCAAGGTCGGTTCAGGAGCACATCATCGCGGGTCTCGTATGGCTTGTCGTGATTAGGACTCGTCGAATACGGAGGTCCAGCTTGGTCGGGCACAAGAACGGATAAGAGAAACTTGAGTGCGTAATACACCGCATCGCGAGCCCTTGCAGACGGGGCCCAAAACTCCTTGATCCTTCGCTGAGCGCTGAGGAATTCTTGATGGCCGATAGAGCGACCAAGAAGCCGCTTCGCCCGAGCGAACATTTGGCAGTCTACAATATCAGCGTGCATAGCCATGTGGGCCAAATGGTGCAACACCGTACGGCTCTCAAATACGACGTTGAAATCTTGTTGTTGCAGATCCAATCGATAAGGATCAGACTCATTCTGTTCAATCGCCTTATCAAAGTTTGACTTCCACGAGTCGTATGCCCTGGTGAGAGTTGCCCGCCACTTGTCTCTCCCGCCAAGGGCCTGAATGACGCCTCCTCCTAGCACGTTGACTTGAAGATCGCGCTGGTGCATATGATATGTGACACTGAGAAGCCCGGCCATAAGGACTGATCGGCCAAACGGTGTCGTCCGTACGTCCTGATGGCTCAGTGTGCGTTTCAGACCCTCGAGGAACGTTACGGGTTTGATGCCACGGGACATTAGGTTGGCTTCGACTCGACCGACTTCAGCGCTGCTGGCCGCCCTCCATAGAGACTCGTCACAAGGGAGCGTTAGCCTCATCTCGTGGGCTACCATGACTGCCGAATGGCCAAACATGGTGGCGTGAGTCGAGTCGATGATGAAAGCAGCAAAGGCAGCTCTCCGAGTAGCCTCGTTCGTAATCCAGTGGTTCCACCATTCGTCTGCTGTGTGAGCTATACCAGAAGCCGAAGATTTTCGCGATCCGTCGGAACTGTGCTGGGGTGGCGAATCCAATGTCGACTTTCCAATGAGAGATCGTCCTCTCCTCATCAAGGTTACTGTAGTGGCGTGGTGAATGTGAGCTCGCTCATGGAGTTCTCTCGTTGAATACATCTTTTCGTAAAGCTCAAGTAGGATCAGCGTTTGGAAAACCCATAACTTAGCGGGAGGCCGAAAGCTGCGCTCCATGAATACTTCCCATCGCAGATGCTCTGCAAGGAAATTGGACACCTCAGCGCCTGCCATTGTCACTTTCGTCCCGTGTGTTCTGTCCAGGCAAGCAGCGCCAATGGCCATGATGGCGATGAGCAAAAGGTTGGGTGTCTTCTCCGTGGCAAAGGTGGGCTTGTGCAAGATTGGCATTTGATCGCTGAAATGGTACCAGTACGACCCAACGTAGGCCTGCATCATCCGTCTGCTTAGCATGTGCTCTCCGGAAGAGCGGTCGCCGCCCAGAATGCTGTTGCGCCGTTGTCTCGCCGAAATGTCCTCATTGTCTTCTTGGAAGCGGTCGCTAATCAGGTCAAAAATCTCCTGGCTACGCTCCTCTGTAATATTGGCCTCTGGGGCATGCTGCTCCAAGATGTTATTAACAGCCATAACATCTTGTGGGTCAGAAGGAAAGAATCCCACAGTTGAATGTTCGCCTAAGAAGTGGTCGTCCTGCGAATTGCCGTAACTAAAAAGGGGCATTAGCTTGGTATTATAGCAAATCCCAGCTGGGGGTGCGTTGAGTTTTGCTTACGGTAGGAGAGGAGGGGGCAGCGCCTGTGGGTGAGGAGAACCATTTGCTGGCAAGGAGTTGAAGAGATATGCCATGAAATCCTCGGGCATCCCTACATACGGAGACTTGTTGACACCATCGTCAGCAAATACGGGTCCACTGCTTGACATTTCCATGTGGTCCAGCATGATCATCTCGTTTGGGTGATGATGGTGGGCGTCAGAATACTGCGCCGATGCTGTTGTCGTTCCATGAGACGGCGGTCCATCCCTCGGCGGCGCTGGGGCCGTTTGTAAGTGAGAATATTGGGCTGGCGGCAAGCTAAATGGAAGAACATTATGCTGAGGCACGAAGCCAGCAGTTTGTGGAGTACTGCTAGATTGGCTATGGTAGCCTTGTCCACTGGAGGCTGGTGATATCACGCCATATGGCCCGACATTGGTTTGGATCGACGGCCGGGTCGGTCCATGAGAAGGCTGGCCGCTTGCTAGCCTGCGAGGCGCAGCCGCGCCGTGAGCGATGGGGTCACGCCCATACGCATCGTGCCCAACAGACGACACACTACCGGGGAATAGAGGAGGACCGGCATTGTTAATCAGAGGGTAAGGGTCCCCCGGAGGCTCCTGGGGAGAGGGGTGATGATGATGTATTGGTGGGGGTGGCCTGGGATCATGATATGCAGGTACGGGCACGGGCGCGGGAATAGGCACAGGCACAGGCACAGGCCGACTAGAATCAACAGGAACGAGTTTGGGAGAAGTAACAGATGCCGCATGGCTAACCATGGAGTCTCTTCTGTTGAGCTGTGAGCCCTTGGCTGTATGCCGGTCCATATGACGCTTCAACAAGTCGCCTCGAACAAAGGTCCGAGGGCAGTCTGGGTACTCGCAGCGAAAAATCTGTTTGGAGTTGTGGTTAAGTTGATGTCGATATCTGAGATGCTGTTAGTTGAGCATATCTGACAAGGGCTGGAGAATGCAGACGTTGTATATCCCGCACCAAGAAGACGCACGGGTGCTGCTGCAGCCAGGAACGGTATCGATCCCAGTTACCGTCCTAGGGAAAAGCAACGAAGAAAACACGGGTATCTGAATTGGTCAACTTACAGATGCTCTGCTCTTGAATAGCTCTTCCCACAGCCCTCGGCGTTGCATTCGAATCTCTTCTCAAGGCCCTTACGGCTCCGCCTCCGCTTGCGTGTTGGCTCTTCGGAATTTGACGATGCCTCATTCTGGTCATCGCCATTTCTCTTTGGGTTCTCATCACGACTGGGGGTCCCATTTTCCGTCTTGGGAACTCGGGCTTGTCCAGAGTCTTCTGGCGACGCGCCGCTTCCATCGCGGGCGGAGCCCATGGCGGTGGAGCTGGCCGGAGAGATGGGTAAAGTTGGCTTTGCCGCTGCAGACTGAACACTAATAGTCATTGCTTGATGTGAGACGGTTTCTCTCTTGGGTAGAGAAGTCAGGAGGGCAGAGATCGAGGGCCCACCAACAAGGTGTGGACAGCGTCAAGGGAGGGATCCGGATCGCCGCGTCGGTAGACGGGAAACAAAAAAAGCAGAGAAACGATTGCACAACGGCCTCGACTCCGATCGACAGCCGCTCGAAGATATTCTTCCGCAGAGTGGCTCCCCTTTTTTCTTCCTCTCTCTTGTCCTTGATCTCTAGTCTTGCGGGACCTCCGTGACGGGACCGGCAGCGGAAGCGGGACGCAAAAGGACAACACAGAGAGACAGGACAGATGTTGGACTTGGCGAGACGATGTCCCTCTATGTCAGCCTGCCTAGGAAAGCGATTATAAGGATGCGCTCAATACAACATGGCTGCCAAAACCAGCCCAACGGAACGACCCGGCCAACGGTTAAGATCCGGGCCCGATCATGCGAGGGAACGAAGAGGCTCGGCGAGGACTGGGCAAAGATGATGGACAGCCGATAGCGCACCGTCGTGTGACTGGCAGGGCAAGGCTCAGCACCGAGACGCCGGCAATGGCAGGGCAAAGCAGGGCAAAGAAGCGCAGAAAAAGTGCAGTACAAGGCGCGTAGCAGGAGAGACTCTGGCGAGACTGAGGCTCACGATGGAGTCTGGCGTCTGGCGTCTGGAGAGGGGCGGCGACGGGTGCGGGACTGGGGGCAAAAGCTGAGCGGCTCGACTCGACGATGGCCTCAAAGCTGAAAAAAAGCTGGAGCTTGCCCAAAGCACAGATGCCTTGCGTTGAGCAGAGCAGATCCGAGCAGAGCAGGGCAGATCCTGCGAGGCGTCGAGTCGACCGTAGCCGTTTGTCGGGCTGGGCGTGTTGCTGGTGAGTTGCAGCAGTCAGCCGTCCTCTTTTTTTTTTTTTTTTTTTCTGGTCCCTTTTTTGATGGTGATGGGACGACAAGATGGCGCGGGCACAATGGGCGATCAGATGGAGATTGGGCGTTGCAAAAGAAGGATTGACAGTGGAGGGACCCCCATGGAACGTCTCCCCATGCTGAACCATGGGGTCACCCATGGATTTACTGGCACTAGCATGCTGGGCAGGCCTAGCACATGCACTCCAGCGCTGCACTGTAATTGCTAAATGCACCTACAAGCGCTATTTTGGGGGACTGAGCCAGTGAGGGCGAGGCGGGCGGGCCTTTGCAAGCGATGCTGCGGCTGGACCCCTGATTGGGTGCGCAAGAAAGGCTGGATTAGACTGGACTGGGGGTGGGCAAAGAGGATGGAAGAAAATTGAGAGCAAACCGAAAAAAGGGCTGAAGTTTGAGTGCATCGTGTGCAGTACATGGATAGTGCTCTTCTCTTGAAAGATGCATCACCACTCAGTTTACTTGTGATTCTGTACGAGGAGAGGAAACGGTTGTACTCGTACCCCGTCCATCGTACAGTTCAGCTCGGCTACTCCATACCTGTCCCTTGGCCTTGCGGAGTTTTATTTCCCGTCCAGGCACTGAACATTAACCGCGCAACCGCCTTGTGGAGGCTGGGCCAGATGTCGCAGCCTGGAATCATTCCCAGCTCAACTCCCTCGGCGGAATGCAGCAGCACCTTGCAGAGCGGGTATTGTCCAACGCGGGAGCCGGTAAAGCCTAACTGGCACAGGCAAAGGGTACGAACCGGATGCGCGTAACAAACGGCTGATGGCCCCTCGGCCGTTACCTTTGTCTTGATGAGGGAACATCCGCGGGACAGCACGGCATCATCAAGTAATTCAATGCTGTCGTGCTCCGTGGCTTCGTGTGCTAGTGCTATTCGATGCACGCACGCAGTCTGCCTCGCATTGCAGCGGCATCTCGCCAACAGACGGCCATCGGTGTTTGCTTGTGCAAACGCTGTATACTCGGACAGTAGGCGGGACATTCGGAGGCGAGTCCCATGTTCGTGATCCATGCCCATGGGAGGGAGGGATACCCCAGCACAGACCTACCATTCACAACCCTGGCCAAACCCGTCAATGTTGCACAGCATGAGCTCCCACGTAGGTACGAGCCGTTATGCCAGCCCCAGAGACGCCCGCTTCGAACCATGTCGTCGTCTCATAGGTCTGCAGGCTCGATGAACGGCCTGTTAAAGACAAGTCAAGCGTCCAATGCGAGCACGTCAGAAAAAAAAAAAGGTTGATGCCGAACTCACATGCCAAGCCCATTGCACCCATTCGCACACCCATCCTCAGTACCTCAGTAGTGCATTGTCCTCAGCCTTGCTATGTCACCCTCATCGGCTGGCGCGGCCTGACCCGCCCGCTGTGGAGTTTAGACTTCCCTTGCAAGCCGCAGATTCGAGAGAGGACATAACAAAAGAGAAGCAGAGGAAAAAAAAACTGAGTGGCTGCAGGCTGGTGTCGTCTGTGTAGCAGCGGGCCCGAGTGAAAGCTTATCGGGCGATAGCCACAAGTAAGACGCACAAACCCCCAAAATGCAAAATGCTAAAAATCGAGGCCATGGGGGCAAGTCCGGTCCGTCGAAGTACCTACTCGTACGAGTACAGGTGCTGGTAACACCTTGATCGATCTCGCGATGCTCCGGTGCTTGGGCCAGCAGAGCCGAGCCTTGAGAATGCGGAGCATCCCAATCATCAATCCCACCGGCCTAATAATCGCCGATTACGCAGCGGGCCACCACATGACATGAGCACGCCTCAATGCCCACGCAGGCCGTTGGCACCGGTCCCAAGGCGCGGAAGACGCCGAGATCAACGTTTTCCGAGGCCAAAACTCCGTTTCGCATGGATCGTCGCTCTTGATCAGGGAGGTCTAAAGTCCAGGAAGGATGCCGCGTGGACAGCCGTTAGCTTCGACGTTCTGTCTAACGACCCGGCACAAAGCCGTTGGCGTTGGGGGCGCTGGCCAAGTGCGGGGGTTAGCGGTCGAGAATCCTCAAGCCTCGACGCTCGCGATGCTTTGATAGGCCAGAAAGCTGCACCAAGTGGCAGCAGGTCGATTGTTGTTGGAGCAATACCCGCGCCGCTGCCACGGACCAGAGCAGGGATCTGCTGAGCCCACGCCAGCTGAATGGCAGATGCATCAATCGAAGCACTTGGGGCGTCTGTCTGCAGGTTCTCGGTCAGCATTTATTGACTGCTCATATGCAGATGGTACCATGTTCGAGGCCGGGGTTTGGGTCAATCGAGCACGCGCAGAGGAGGCCTACTCGTACAAGGACATAGGAAGCATACATGTATGTGCCTCAATGTAATTGCCTCATCACTTTCTACCAAAATGCAATCACTAACAGCAACAAGACGCACTGGATGTATTGCTTTTCTCGTGTCCTGCAAGTCAAAGAGATCGGATCTCGCACTGTCGGGCCGAATGTGCCTTTGATCTAGTGATTGTACAATGGGGAGGTGCGACCTCCACTTACAGGCAGCATTCTACAAATTTTCACCACGGCTTGCATCCAAATGCCATCAAATGTTGCTGCCACGGTAAAACTTCTTCCACTGATTGGTATTCTCGCATAAGAATAAGCAAACAGAAACATGCATGTTGGGTGATTCAGCTGACGCCGCCTTGATTTCCAGGCAGCATGGGGAGACAGTCAGCCTCCAGCGTCGCCAAATCAATGCGGCTTTCTAATAGGAGTAAATGGCTCTTCAATCCACAAAAGATGTGACAATACAGCGAGGGTACATGATGAGGTGACTTTCTATTGGTGCTACCATCATTGCTACCAGCCCAAGATGCTTGCCATTTTGCCTAATCATGTACTCTATATTACGCTTCAAATATTCCTCGAACATTACTTGTAATAGGTATGGAGTAATACGGAGGACAAACCAAGTAGGTAATAAACACCAGAACAGGCATAGTACAATGGTGGATACATGCTCTGGAGACCAAAGTCATATCACAAATTGCAGTGTAGCGCCGATTCGCATTCTCTCGTCTAATCTCATATAAAGCCAGTGGCTGGACGAGAGGCTGCAATATGGGACCTGAATTTCACCTGTCTGTACCTCACCTCAGGGTTGATCTTTTCCCTTCTTTTCAGACCCCCGCTGCACGTTGATCCCACTACGACCCCCTTTCGAGCCTTGCCAAGGGGGAAGGGTGGTATTATTCAATTAACTTCGCATACCGAAAACTTGGCTTGAGAGCTTAATTCGACATGCCGTGGGATCTTCTCATCATCAGCCGTAAAGATCGGCATTCCCCTAATATGTGAGATTGGGGGCGACAGATACACATAACCATCGATATTCGGCTGCGGGGTTTGTTGTAAGTCCCGTTGATTTGTGTTATTAAATCTGCAAACACTTGGCTAAAAACTCCACAGTTGTCCAATAACAGATATCGTGGTTGAATCCTGGATCACCAACCCTCGCGTCTGGTCAGCCTTGGTGAAAGCCACCCATCCGTGCCATACGACTTGCAAGAGGGAGGATCTACTACGCCTCTTAATGATGACGCCTTTAACGCCATGCAAACGGGATAGGTGGCTCAGCTCCAGGAGCTATCATGAATCATCTTCCGCCACCGGCACGAGTCTGAGCCTTTGGATTAGCTCCTGTGAGCCTCGAGAGCAGCCACCAAATCCTTTACCCGACCAACGACTGCTTCGGGAATGTCACGGCAACTGTCATCGCTGTATTGGTCCCTTACAAGCAAACCGAACGACCATCATGTCCTATCAGTTTGCTTAAGACTTTCCTCAGGACTGCGCCTCCTCCTGCACGATGTCAGCATACGGAGGTTCCCGGGACGCTGGTTACCTGTATTCAGAGTGACATACGTTTCATCGACGCAGCTCTCGAGGGAGGTAGGGCACAGATCTACAGCTGAGCTATGCGCGGGCACCGGATATTGTCCAAGGCACTCGCCTGACTACGAGAGTAGTGGATTTTGCAACTCCTAACATCGACAGCAAGGAAGCTGTATCCCATGACTACAACTCCCAATGCCACTTGCTCACTCTCGATCCGGTCTACAAGAGAAATGCCCTGGTAAACAATAATGTACCTACGTGTGCTCGAGATGTTCTGTCCGAGCATATGTCTCTTGTTATCATCGGAGCAGCAAAAGAGTCCTTGGCCGACGGGTTAGATGAAGAACAACTCATAAAGGACGCTCGACATTAACCGCTATGTCCTCACTGCTTGATCCAAGGACACTGGAAATCATCCCCGGCCTTGTCATAAAGTTCTCATTTCCGACGCGCCCGGTTCTGATTGGAGGATGAGTGGCTATGAGACTTGCCTTTTTGGATACATGTATCTGTAAGCTTTGGCCAGAACCGCAACCGGCCTCTACGAGTAACATTGGATTAGTACCTATTCTCGGCACTGTGCACGCCGCAGGTCCGCCCGCACGGAGTTATATTCCGCACGAACAAAGACTAGGCCCGATCCCCCACGCCGAAACGCCCCGCATAGTGCTCACAGTACAGTGCGTGTGAACGGAGATAAGGCGTACAAGTCGCAGCCGGACAAGTGATATGGCATCATCACCTAGCCCGCCTCCTGATAGGGAACCTGTCACCTCAACTTTCAGCTTCGGTACCGGTGGAAAGCTTGCCGTTCATCACACAAAACACAAGATAACATGGCTCATCTAACGACGCTGCCAAACGAGATCCTTCACAACATTCTGCAATGGCTGGCGCCCAAGGACCTCGAGTCGCTACCCCGCGTCTGTAAAGCACTTCACAGCTTCGTGAAAGGCAATCAGAAGTTGTGTGAAGACATTTATATTCATCATTTTGTGAGTGCATTCGCAGGTCTTATATCTCGGCTTGATGTATTAGGAGCACGAGCTAACCATGGAAGCTAGGATTCACCTCCTGATGATGACGACAGACTTGATTGGGAGACTGAGTTGCATGACCTCGTCAAGCTGGAGAATATCTGTCACCGTGAAAATGTTGAAGACAAGGTAGGTATTGATGTTACTGGTTCACCAATCTGTAGAAATAACCTTGCGCTAACCAGCCATTTACACAATCCAGGAAGGTGAGCTGAGTTTTGTATACAAAGTAGTGACTAGGCTGCTCAAGCATGCCTCCCCCGCAAGCCATGCTGTGGAAACATCCGACACTCAGTATGCGTCCAGAAACGCAGACTTTCTCAATGCCCTCTTTGAAGACGAGTCCAGCCGTAAAGCCTTTCTTCAGAAGTCATCTCTGTTTGAGAGGGTCTACAGAACTCAGCACCACCCGTTCCCGGCTTTGGATAAGAGGCAACAACAAGAAAGCGCCAAGCTCCACTGCTTATACGGCAAGCCTATTCTTGAGACTGGAAGACTGCGATCTGCGAGGACGTATCCTTATGCCTGCTCTAAAGTCTATGATATTCGGCAGTACACTAACCGGACTCGATGGGGCCCATTCATGGATGAAGCTGGCGATTTAAAAGTAGATTGGGAGAAGGTAGAGGCTATTCTCATTGTACTCGGAAGTAACATTTACACCAAGAAGCTCACGCGGCTCTTTAACGATGTTTGGGACAGCCCTTTCTCTGGGTCGTGGAAAGGCAGCTTCATATCCTCCCCCATCACCGACCAATCGTCACTAGATGCCATGGATCCATACGGCGTGACCGGCACTTGGTATCGGGTATGTTGTCCTAGATCCTGGTTTGAGATAACCTGTGGTCAATAGCTAAACTTGCTTGCAGATTGTATGCTTCCTTGACTACAACGACTTCTTTAGTTACAACTTCACAAACCCCGAACGAGACGAATCTCCTCTTCACACGCTCGATGTTGGGGAAGCTACTCGTCTTATCATCATGAGGATTCACGTAACAAAAATCGAGCAGGCCGGGCCGGATTCGGAGTACTCCTCGGATCTGCCAATCGTCCACTATGAGGGCATCTCTCGCCCTCTCGATGATTCTTGGGATGACAATGCGTCCTCTGATCTCCGAGGTATGTATCTTGATCGCTACAGCTGTTTTACTGATAACCGTTGCTGAAGCTAAAGACTTTACTTCCAAAGGCACTGTTGGTTTGACCAAGGAGGGCGAGGTTCGATGGACGTCAGTGTCCATCTTTCAGGGACACGAGCGTTGGAAATCAGAAGGCGTACAGCTTTCAGGGCCAAAAAGTGGTAAAGTTATCGGTAACTGGTTTGACAGGTAAGTCCAAACACTTGTGCATCCCATCCCAGTCATATCCCTCAGCTGACCCGAATGTTCTACAGAGACTATGATCCTCATGGCCCTTGTGGACCATCGGCTTTCTGGAAGGCTAGTGACTCGGAGACGGCGCATGGTACGCACGCTGTTCTTCCCAGAAACTTTCTCCTATGGAGCGCACTGATTCAGATGGAAGATTCTGATCCAGAGGGTGACATGGAGTACACTATGGAGAATGAAGAGGAAGAGGAAGAGGATGATTCTGAATCTGAACCGGTGGCGAATGAGCTGCCAGAGCTGTTACTGGATGCGGAATTAGAGATTATTGAGATTACCCATCACATCGAGGATCATCCAGAGCCGTCATCTGGGGCTTGAACTGTTTCTATTGCTTATGGCGTCTATGTAGGATGACGGATCTCTTTTTCTATTATACTAGCAAGCTTTCATACCAAATCCCATTTCTCATTAACAATATTTGCCAAATTGGAAAATCTATGACCTCTGTCTGTTATAGCTTGGAAGGCTCTGGGTCAACAACATCAACATTTGCCTTGTTGTGCTCACAGATGCAGAGCAGCTCGTTGTCACTTTTCCTTCTCAGGGTGCCTCGCAATGCACACAGTCTCTTACCAACCTGTAGTATCTCGCACTCCACGAGTACCTCCATGCCAGCCGGAATGGGGCGCATGTATGTGGTGTTGAGGGTGCGGCTAACGCCCATGGTCTGCCAGAAACCAGGCTTGCTAACGAGCACAAGGACCAAAGACGTACAGAAATCAAGTAAGGACGCTGCAGCGCCGCCATGGAGATTGTTGAAGCCGTTGGTGTGCTTGCCTTCGACAGTGAAAGAAAATTTCACCGAAGGATGGGGGAGAGCCGATGATGCAGATAGGACTTTGATGTTGGGTATGAGGTTACTCATCCACCGCTGATTCTGTGAGTTCGTTAGCACTTGTAGTTTCCCGTTGGGAAATGGATTTGGAACATACTTCTTCGCCGTCTTGCTGAGAAAAGTGGTTTAACCAAGCCTCGACTTTTCCGACGTCGGTGTCTTCGTGGGGGATATCGTTATTGTTGCTCATCTTGAATGAGTGGTTGAGGTGTGTAAGGGAGATGAGATGGGACCGGACGCGGCGCTGACTCTAGCTTGGATGCGCGGAAAGGTTCCAAACTTGTCCGGATTCAATTTGTATATAGATAGTATTAAATAAGTATTTTATAATGGTTGTTTGGAGCGAATTTGACCGTCAATTGCGCAAATGCAATGGAGGTTGATGTCTGGTGAAGTGGACGTGATTGGTGAGAGTGAGAGCGAGACGGGAAAGTGTCGGATCGGGCAGTGAAATGAACCTCGGTTTGGATCTCGCTAGCGCGGGAGCTTAGCGGATTGATGCTGGCCTTCTTTGGCTGTAAAGTGACCACACTTGTACTGTACTTATTTGGTACATAATTGGCACGACGAGACAAGGCAAATGTTTTTTGATTGATGCTCCGATAGAGAGGCCATAATTAAGGTACCTAGGTAGTCTATGCCTCTCAATAGACAATCGGAATACCAATTTAAAAGGAAGTCGATATGCATTCATGAACTTGGATATTGCTCGTTGAAGCTTCCATAAAGCTAGCAAGTACCCGGGACTCGGGGCCGGAGCGTCTGAAGAGACCGTGGAATTGACTTCCAGGTTACCTTGAAAATGCCTCTCTTTCCATTTAATCCAAAAATTATATAAAATACAACGGTTATCCTCAATTATGTCAATTATAAACCAGTTAGTGAAGACAAATATGGTAGTCCCAGTACCCATACCAAATCATCGTTTCCGGGGAATCTGGGGCAGATGGACGGCACTTTTACCGAGGCACTTCACATGGCTGGAGCGTCATTGGCTTAGTGCGTGGACCGCGCCATGCCGAAATCCAGGCTATTGAGATGAGATGTACCTATCTATTCCTCCTGACACTTTCACCTCATCATCAACAATCCACCATTTCGACATTTTCGTCTCCTCCATCCTCGCACCGTTTCTCCTTTCTTCCTATTCACGGCATATCACACGAAATATAGCATTAATCGACGGCGACGGCGACAGCATAGGATTGACACTGCTACGGGCAGCGGCAAAGCAACGGCAGCACCATCATCAGCAGCTTAGCAAGCCGCCGCCATGGAGTTCATCACGGCCCTCAGGGGCACCTTCGACGGCCAGAAGCCCTCGCTTTTCGAAGTTCTCTCCGAGCAGCAGCTCAACAGCCTGCTACCGCCGACGCTGCGATACCTCCTGACCGTCGCCACGCACCGCCATCCGCGATACCTCCTCCGAATCCTCAACTCCTTCGACGAGCTATACGCGCTGTTGATGCTTGCCGTCGAGCGTCACTATCTGCGCACACGTGGTGGCTCCTTCACAGAGAATTTTTACGGCTTGAAACGCGAAAAAGCGCTTCACGGCGAGATCCCGAGAGCAAGCCTCGCCGCGCCGCATCTGGTCCGCGAGACGCTGAAGCTCACAACCAAGGATGTGTGGCAGAACCTGGCCGTGCTAGTCGGCGTGCCGTATCTCAAGCGGAAGCTGGACGAGTCATACGACATTAATGCGCCCCGAGCGCTTCTGGGCGCGGCATACACGCGGATGCCCGAGAATCCGACTCTGCGCGATCGATTCATGCACTACTACAGATGGTTTCTGCGCAACATTTACCCGCACGTCAACGCGGCCTACTGCTTCGCCATGCTGGCTTTTAACCTGGCCTACCTGTTCGACCGTACCAAATACCACAACCCGCTCATGTGGCTCATCGGCACGAGAATACGAAGGATGACCATGGCCGACTACCAGGCCATCGACAAGCTGTCCGAGCCGGCGAGTAATGCCGCCAAGCCCGGTCCGCGATCTCTGCTGTCGACACCTAAGGAGCTGGCATCTAGGGCCATGTCAAGCCTCTCTCTGCTGCTACCTATGAGTATTTTCGCACTGAAATTCCTCGAGTGGTGGTACCAGTCAGATTTTGCGAAGCAACTGTCACGAAAGGCAGCTGAGAGCATCGAGTTGCCTCCTCCTATTGTATCCGGCAAGGGTTCATTCGGCAAGAAGAAGAAGGAGGAGGGCAAGGAGGAAGAGGAGGAATCAAAAGAGGTGGCCATTACGGAAAAGGAGGCGCCGATTGCAACGCCGTCCATGCTCCCCATCTTTGTTGTTCGGTTCCCAGAAGACTCTTCCCTGTGCCCTATTTGTGTGGACGAGATCGTCACCCCAACGGTTTGCCAGACGGGTGTTGTCTACTGTTATACATGCATCCACCGATGGATTGAGGGCATGCATCCTAAACAGGAGGAGTTCATGGAAGACCGCGAGGGCAAGTGGGAGAGTGGCCAGGGCCGATGCGCCGTTACCGGAAAACGTGTCCTTGGTGGCACAGAAGGCCTGAGGAGAATCATTGTATAAAGGAGCCTCCGTGATAACACATAGAAATTCATTGGAGGATACTTGAGAGTATCTTATATATATATAAGAGGTGGATATTATAACATTGCAGCCAGGGTTTAATTCGGCATGTACGATTAGGAACATGTACATCAAAAGATCTAAGCAAGTGGGAAGCAACTGTAGATAGAGGCATATCATGGGGCGTTACTTGGGCGAAATACCCGACCTGAAAATAGACTTACTAAATGCGCGTTTGTTTCAATTAAAACTTTTCAATGACACGCGTCAAAAGCTTGGGATTTGCGCGACAGGCAGCCAATTTCTGTGACTCTGTGAATTGAAAGTCTCACCTTCTGGAATGCCTTCTCGTGTGTGTTGCCAGCACCACCATTCTTCTGTGTCTTGGCCATCCCGGCAACGAGGCTTCCAGGAATTGGCATTTTTCCTTTTTCGTTCTAGACAATGCAAAGGCGAGGCAAATCTCCCCGGGAAACAATGCCTTTCAATGCCACGATGCTTGTTGCGCGTCCGGATTGAGTCTGGCTATAGTGTGTCTCACTTATTTATGGCCTTGATCGCCATGAGGTTACGGGTCAGAGAGGACATTCCAGGGTCTGAATGCTGTCTCTTTGTGAGATATTCATGTATATAATGTGCAAATGCCTTTTTCAGCTTTGAAACCTCCTCTTTCCTTCTTCTTCTTCTCTCATGACAAGCTATCTTCAACCAAAAACTGCAGTATCAAGTGTCGTGCTGCAGTTGATTGAGGATGGAGTACTTTTTATCCACAACGTATGCTGGAGAGTCTCTGCTCTCCAACTTTAACTGGTTCGATGGGGTAGATCCCTCTCACGGATTCGTTTCGTAAGTGCTTTTGACATGGTTCTGACCATTGTTTATGTTTGCTGAGCTGACACTTAATCTGCATTATGTAGCTATCAAAATAGACAAAATGCTCACGCAATGGGCTTATACCAAATCGATGATAGAACAGGAGTTGTAAGACTAGGGGTTGACAGCACGAATAGCTATTCCGTCTCGGATAGGGGTCGGCCGAGTATTCGACTTGAGAGCAAAGATACATTTGATCAGGGCCTTTTCATTGCCGACTTCTTACACATGCCTCCTTCACATTGTGGATTGTGGCCAGCATGTAAGTTTAACTTGAATCCTATGCGATACCGATATTTAAAATGTTCAGGATATTGACTGACCATGGATTATAAACAGTTTGGACGTATGGTGATAACTGGCCGTACGACGGCGAGATTGATATCATTGAAGGAGTCAACACTGCCCACACCAACATCATATCAGCCCACACGGCAGACGGATGTAGTCAGGGCAATGACATACTCGGACTGTTCAGTGGCGAGCAAATAAACACAGAATGTGCCGTTGGCACTGATAACATTGGCTGCGGCTTTCATCCCTCACCTGACGACACTTCATCATATGGTGACGGATTCAATGCCGCTCACGGAGGTGTTTATGCCATGCAATGGGATAATGTGCATATTCGCATTTGGCACTTCCCTCGCGGGTCGATCCCGAGAGATATCGAGGCCAAGAAGCCCAATCCTGACACATGGGGACAGCCGATTGCTATTTTCGGGGGATCGCAATGCAAGGTTGGCAACTACTTTAAGCACATGAGATTGGTTCTCAATATTGTGAGTATATAAACATACCCGCTCATACGCACACATCAGCCGATGGACGTCGAGAGAGAAGAGTATTTCGAGACTGACCAAGCCAGAACTTTTGCGGCGACTATGGTGACGCTGTCTGGGGCAGAACGGACCAATGCAACGAATTTGCGCCGACGTGCGATGAATACGTGGCAAACAACCCCGAGGCCTTTACCAACGCATACTGGGACGTGCAATATATCGATGCCTACGAGTATCGTCCGCGTGTCCACGACCCATGGCCAAGCTGGAACTCAACCCAGCCAAAGCCAAGCTGGAACTTGACTCTTCCTCGTCCTCGTCCAGGTCCCTACAGTGATGAGCGTACAACGACTTTATACAAGCACACTCGCTTGACCGAGACTGTGACGGTATTCGCTACTGGGCATGTTCCTCACCGTCCCTGGGATGATCAAGTTCCTGCTGCAACGACTGATGCTATTGAACCGGTGGCAACCAGGGCACCTGTCAATCCCATCAAGATCAATCATTATTCGTACCTCGGCTGCTTCTACTCGAATAGCGGCTTTGAAACATTCCACGAGGTTGCTGACAGCAGGGACATGACTCTTGAGCGGTGTGTCGATCTATGCAATAAGAAGACTTATGTTGGCATATTCGACTCCCACTGTTTCTGCGCGGACACTCTCGATGCTGAAACAATGGCAACCAAAAAGGAGGGTCTATGCAACAAAGTGTGTCCAGGAAACCAGCTCGAGTTCTGCGGTGGCATAGTTACGCCCAGGGACATTGATGCGCCACGCAAGAAGTTCGTTTCAGAGACTTTGCCGCTGCACGCGCTTACTGTGTACGGCTGTGTTGAAGACGAAAAGTTGGAACAACCGCCGGCGATGGCACCGGGATCGAATTGGACGGAGAAGGGGTGGTCTAAGACGATTACTGAGGTGGCTGAGGTGACTGTTTTCCCGGTTTCTGAGCAGGATTCTCGTGAACAGGGTTGGCAATGGAGTGACAAGCATGAAGGTGGCCATGAGTGGAGTGACAAGAATGGTGAGAAGAATGATTGGCAGAAAGATGGAGGTGAGAAATACGATGGCGAGAAGCATGATGGAGACGATTGCGATTGTGACGACAAGAGCGGAGACGGACACGATTGGAACAAGCATGAAGGAGATGGACACGGCCACAATGAGGGTGACTGGAAAGAATCCGGTTCTTGGGACCCCTCAGCAGCAGAGGAAAAGAGCTGGCCTTCGAAACCTGAGATCTCAGAGATTGTGATCCCAGTGACGGAGACGGTCGTTGACTGCCCCGAGACAAAGCAAGCTGCTGTCACACCTACATGGCTGCCGCATGCTGATGCCAAGCCTTGGGTTCCTTCTGACCCTCCTCACCCTCCTCCTGGGCCATCACCATCACACGACGACCATTGGCATGATCCTCCTTCGCACGATGACGATCATGACAAATCTCATCCTCCGCCTTCAACGTTCCCAGAGACACCCGTGAGCCCGCCCGTGGTGCTTGTTGCAGGAGCATCAACCGTGTATGCGGGATTGGAGAAGTACCTGGCAATCTTGGGTTTGAGCATAGTGGTTCTTCTCATGAGAATCATTTAACCTCAAATTCAATGAAGAAAGATCAAAAGAGAAAAAAAAAAGACAACAACATAATGAACGCTCGGGACGGAGCCTTTATCTTTTGTATACAGAATACTCCCAGCATAAAGTGCGCGCATTGTATCAACATTAATCACAGGGATTTCTTTTGTTTAGTATGTAGCTTTTTTAGGATTTAATAAACGATAAATTCTCAACAACAGCATTTGTGTTGTATTTCTTCTCTCAATTTCAAAACATGGCTATTATAGTATTGGTCTTGGAGTTTCCTATCTAATAAATCCAAGCTAAATATCAACGACCACCGCCCGATTCTTCACCTTGCCAGTGCTTCCATACATCTGAGCGGCATTCACAAGTAGGCCACCTTGGTTGCTTCCAGGGCCTCCCATGATCCATTTCCATAGCACGGCATGAACCCCATGCAGCAGCACGTAAAAGTGATCCCACCAAGCAGCGTTTGGAACAAAATCCCAAAAGGGCCCGCGAGTAGGCCGAGAGAGCAGCCGCTCGTAGGCAAGCTGCATGTCGTCGAAGAAGATGGATTCCTTGCCGTAGCCCCAGTGAACATGACCAAAGACGTGGAGACGAGGCTTGACGCGCCAGAGTTCTTTAAGCAGATGAGGATCGCCGAGGCCAAGATCCAAGTGGTGTTTCTATATGAGACAAATTAGCAAGCTGAGCTCATAGTAGACAGAAGAGGACAATTGTTATACCGGAGGGCAGTGTGTCACCAGAATATCGGTCTGAGGCGGGATTCTGCTAAACCACGGTGAATTGGTAGGCTCATATTGGAATCTATATTCGAGTCAGCATTCCAAATGTCCCAACTTGAAATCAATATCTCTCGCTGGCACACTCACGCAAAGCTCTCTGGTCCACATTCCGGAATATCGGGCACACCAAAAATGGTGAGTTTACGTCCATGAATTTCTTGCACAGTCAAGCCACTTTCAAGATAATGCAGTCCCTCCAAGTTAACCACAGCACCAGCCTTGACGTCCGGGTCAAGGCGGCTACGCGAGTCAAACCAGCTATCGTGATTTCCACAGACAACAATCTTCACTTGATGAGGTTGGTCCTTCAGCCAGTCGAGCTGTTTTTGAATATCTTCAGCGGTCCCAGAATTGGTCAAGTCGCCTGCATGAATGAGGATGTCGCCCGCGGGGATATCGACCACTTGGTCATGGGTGTCGGATATGCAGACAACTCGAATAGCTGGTTTGCCACGAGGAGGAACAAACGGTTGGCCTCGGAGGAAGAGAAAGATGTGATAGAGCCTGACGGTGATGAAAGTCAATGGAGAGAGGAGCAGCTGATCGAGGAGAGTGAGGCGCTCCCACTGGTTCTCCCGGCGAAGGCCGAGAAAAGTGAGCAGGCCCATGACGAGCGTTAAAGCAGCGCTGGCACTGAATATGGTGATGCTAAATCTGATAGAGATTGGCCAGCATTGTGGTGTTTTTGCATATCAAAGGCTGCATGTACATGTAATGAGAAGGGCTGAAAGGTATGACGCATCTCAAGAGGGATGAGCTCATGGCTCATGGTGTCAATGCTGTTTGCTGATTGGCTGGATTCTAGCCCTTCCCGGGAGAGGCTTAGCCCGGCTTTTCTGGAGATTGAATCTGGGATCTGCCTACGGAGTAGCTGATCGTCAATGGCTGGAAATGGCTTCACATGACGAGGTTTTCAGCTGTCATGGATGATGCACGTCGTCTTTTTTCTTCTTTATTTCCCATCCCTCCCCAATTCCTTTCACTTTTTCTCTTATACCTTCCACCATATCGTCTATTTCTCTCTACTCGTCAACCTCTTTGTCTTTCTGGACAAGCTAATCCTTATAGGGTAACCACACAGCCCAGTGACGTCTTTGCCCGCCATCCCCACAACAGCTCCTGACAATCTTGCTATCGATTGACCACATACGCAGCTCAGCTCTTTCTCTCTCTCTTTTGCAACCCCTACAACTGCGTACCACTTGCACGCACGCTTCCTGGTGCTGCATGCAGTCAATTATAAAGATTAATTCATTTCTCTCTTCCTAATCATCCTCATCGAGCTCTTGTGCTTATCTCGTGCCCGACGTCATCGACATGTCAAGCCTGCGGGGCTTGTACGGTAAGGGGGAGGATCAGGGTATAGAGGGCAACTTTGGGTAAGCATGTGATTACGATTTGCAGCTTTCCATTTCATAATCTAGCCAACGACCCATGCTGAAAACAATAAAGGGTTGATTATGTGATTCATTACCGAATACCACCCAAGGGTATGTCCATCTTGATACTTGAACTCATCCTCTCTTGCACTGGCTTACACCACTGTAGAGAAAGAGAAGGCAGAGGCCGCCTTTGTTCAGCTCATTGAAGCTCTCACAAATATCGGTCTCACCACTGCTGTTCGATGTGGTGACAAGGACTCTCTTCTCGTCTTCACCAGGCTCGCCTCAAATGATCTGTTGGCCCGGCAGGTCTACAGCTCTCGCCTCCAGGACTGGCTGCAAGGAGTCCGCATCAAAGCCCCTGCCAGCGATGTCACGCAGGCAATCAAGGACGAGCCCGTTACTGAGGCTGAGAGGCTTCGATTGGTCTATCTCCTGATTACCGAGTCTCGAAATGAGGGAGGCGCGGGCATTACGCAGGGGCAAGGCCAGTGGAAGTACGTTGAAGCCATCTTTCCACTCCATAACAATGCATTCAACAAGGAGTGGCTACATAAATGGAGCAAAAAGTACATATTGGACCAATCCGATTTAGACGACATTCGAGACAAGTTTGGCGAGGGCGTTGCCTTTTACTTTGCGTTCCTCAAGGATTACTTCCGCTTCCAGATATTTCCGGCCGTGGTAGGCTTCTCTTGTTGGATGCTGATGGGACAGTTCTCTACATTTTATGCCATCTGCAGCTGTCTCTGGTCCGTCGTGTTTTTTGAGTATTGGAAGCGCAAGGAAGCTGATTTGTCCATCACTTGGGGTGTTCGCGGCGTTTCCAAGATACAGCATCCACGAGCGGAATTTCAGTGGGATTTTGAGGCGGAGGACGCAGTTACGGGAGAGCCTATCAAGATTTATGCTCCTATTAAGCGGTTACAAACTCAGCTTCTTCAGATACCTTTTGCTGTAGCCTGCATCGTTGTATTAGGCGGGCTTGTGGCAACGGTAAACTCTCTGGAGATTTTTATCAACGAAGTATATGCTGGTCCAGGGAAGGCGTATCTGGTGAGTATGCCATTTTTTGACCTGAGAACCTCCTATCCTGTCTTTATTCATCATTTTTGCAACATGCAATGCTAATATTTGCGGCATAGGGCTTCCTGCCATCCATCTTACTTGCCACCCTGACACCGACATTTTCGACTATTCTCATGTCTGCTGCTAAGAAGCTGACAGATAAAGAGAATTATGATACCATGGACGGTACGTGTACAAAGTAAAAATCTCAAAGCAAGTCACTCCGAAGTAAAACTAATTGAATCTCCCTTTAAAGCACACCATGCTGCTTTGGTCCAGAAACAGTTTGTGCTCAACTTCATGACTTCATATATGGCATTGACTTTTACGGCCTTTGTCTACATTCCCTTTGGTAGCATTTTGCAGCCATTCCTTAACTTTTGGGGCAAGACTGCTCAAACTCTCACCATGAGCGAGGTTCCATTGACCACGCGCCAGTTTGAATCAAACCCCCAGAGAATTGCCAACCAAATGTACTACACCACGGTCACGGCACAAATTATTAATACTCTTACCGAAGTCGTTGTACCCTACATCAAGCACAAAGCTACTGTTAAAGCAAAAGAGCTGTCGTCCAATGGCGCGGTTAAGTCTAATGACCAGCCCGAAGAAGCCGAGTTCTTGAAGCGCGTACGAAATCAAACTGGGCTCGAGGTCTACGACGTTACTGCAGACTACCGTGAGATGGTAATGCAGTTTGGTGAGTTGAGACTCTGCATTACATTCTATCATGATGGAATAGCTTTACTAACTTCGAACAGGCTATCTCTCTCTGTTTTCCGTTTCATGGCCTCTTACGGCCTGCTTTTTCCTTCTCAACAACTGGATCGAGCTGCGATCCGATGCTCTGAAGATTGTCATTGGCTGTCGCAGACCCATCCCATGGCGAGCCGACTCCATTGGACCGTGGTTGACGGCCCTGGGCTTCCTTTCATGGCTCGGCAGCGTCACCAGCGCTGCTATTGTCTATCTTTGCAGTGCTGACAAGCAAGATGGCACCGTATCATACATCACTGCGGGTGGTGTTCTCCTCAGCATCCTCCTGGCTGAACACCTCTACTTTGCGGCTCAGCTTACCGTTCGATTTGTCATGGGTAAGGTGGAGAGCCCAGGCCTCCAGAGGGAACGCAAGGAACGCTTCCAGATGAGGAAGAAGCTCTTGGAGGAGACCGTCGGCCACGTGGCGAGCGAGAAGGCCACTGTCGAGGTTCCAGGGGTCGAAAAGACGGAGCAAATCACTAGGCAAACATTGGAAGAGGAAGCCAGGCTGGCCTCGATCCATGGGCATGGATCCCCCGAAGAACTGTAAGAAATTTGGTGTCAAACTTGTTTGCTTGGCTTTTGGATAGCCTTGCATGCTAGGTCGTGCAGACTCAGTTGTGGCTGACATGGATAACAGGTTCTGGCAACGCCAGCGAGGCATGCAGGATACAATCTTGGTCGGCCGGAAATTGATCGCAGAGCAGTCTAGTGGCAAGGCCTGAGGTTGAGCCTGCGTAAGGGCATCAGGGGCATCTGTACTAATCTCTCGAGTGCGGAGATTCTGGCGTCCAGGTCAAGGCCACACCCTGCAGCCGTCGTACAGAAGACTCCGTACGGATTAATACGCTGCGTGCCCCGTCGACTAACCTTTGCCGCGGGCTCTGGAAATGGGGATATGCCCCATTGCGATACCGACAACTTTGGACATGGGACAATGTGGAGGCGGTCGAGGTGGGGCTGGCGATGTTGAAGACACAGCACGTGCTCGGAGCTTGCGACCGATACGGAAGACGGAAGCCGGAGGACGGAAGACGGGGGTCTGAAGTTGATTATGGAGACTGTTTGCTGGGTTTTGGATAGCAGCTTGCTCGCTAGCTAGCGTTTTGTCGTGAATCCTTTTCACAAGCGATGAGTTTGTCGTGTGTTTCGTGCTGTAGAAACTTGATGCTATCTATACAAGGATGCTCTCTCTCGCCTATGGAATAACGAGATTCAAGCATGTTGACGTTGGCTCTGCTTGGCTTGAACTATCAACGCCAAAAGACACCCCTCCCCCGTCTAAGTCCACGCCCCCTTGAGGATCAGACAAAAAAAAAAGTCGCGCTTGCGTCTTCAGACAATAGGAAGCCCGTGCAGCTAGCACATCTTGCCCAACATGGCGATTGATCACGAGGGGAGAGCGAGGCAAACAAGGCCAGATCTGATCGGCGGGTTGGACAATAGGAATCCGCAATGCTCGCACATGATGCAGCTAGAGGATTTAAAAGGATGGGATGGAACCTATAGATGCTCTGCATGAGGGCGCACAGACGTGAGGGTGATCTGCAATCCCTTTGACGATGGAGAAATTCAAGGATCAAGGGACTTACATTGTCACCGACTTTTTCGGTTCGACGCGGGACGTTGGATGAAGACTGATCTAACAATAGATTCGAGATGAACTTAAACAAAAACAAGAAAAATTCAAGGATCAAGGGATTTGATATTGTCACCGACTTTTTCGTTTCGATGCGGGACGTTGGAGGAGACTGATCTAACAATAGACTCGAGATGAACTCAAACATTGCATCAATAGGTACTGGCCTCAACAAAGCATGCAAGCCTGCCCCATTCACAGGTACCGGCAGGGCTCAACCGATCGTGTTTCGAAAGTTTGATATCAAGATGCGCTTCTGTATGTAATTGTTGATAGAAATTTGAGTTTTTTTGAACAAGGGGTCCCACGATCCACCTAGTTCGTGTCATCTCTTTTTTTAATCGATCTTACCCCATACTCAGGATAACATGTACGCACAGGTAAATGTGACAAGTGAATACCATGCTAGCAGGCGGTTGGATTAGGCTGCCTTATTGAAAATATGTGGCTAAAAGAAGAGTTGGAGTTGGATGGCTGAAAAATATTTATCGTTGGAACGCTGATGAAAAAAGGCTGAGATTAGCTTGTATGGCATTTTTGGTGTTATGAGACACACATTTTGGGAGGGACTGCATACAGCCTTTGTGCCAATTTCTTATCTGTGATTCTTTGATGCCTAGCAGGCAGTAAAAATAAAAGAGCCAAGAATTCAGTGGCGCTCATATCGCAATAAGGATTCCGACGCTGACGTTGGAGGATTTTCTTGGAGTTTGACAGAGGATCTGAAACTTGTATAACCTCAACTCAACAGATGAGCTTAATAAGCAGCCTCGACACAATTGAACTGGCCAAGCTACGGGATCAGCCATATCAAGCAACTTTATTCAATGTTCTCTCGACTTGTAACCGTCGATTTGTGCAATACTAGAACTAGAGGTTTCATCAACCTTCAAATGGTGTACTGAACTGTCGTCAACTAGACATCTATCTCTAGACGGAGTGAAAAGCCGTCGACTCACTGCTAATGACTGCAACAAAGGATGTAAATCAGTTACACGACTTAAGCGCCTCCGCATTCCACCCCGTAAGAGTGTCCACGTAGTTATTCCGCCGAGCCGTGTCCCAGCCGTGTGTCCCCGGAAGCATCATCACGGCCCCCGCCAACACCATCCTTCGTTTCTGAAGAACGTGGGTGGGCAAGGACCCCCATCACTCAGCTGGAAATACTTCTAACGCACAATCTCCGAGGCTTTGCAGGGCTATTCAACTTTAACTAATCGAGGTATATTAGTCGAGGCTTTCAGCGAGAGTGTCGTCATGGCAGTTTCTTGAAATGATAAGCTTGCGTCCAACGATACCGCCGAAAAACAATCCGCCGGATAAACTTGAAATGCAGTCATCAAACATGATGAAACATGCCTACTAGCGGTCTATATCTAAATGTAGTAAGCAGCACGAAATATGATTGCAGCAGTAGGACAGAGTAGAACAGCCCGGACAATCCCCGTTGTCTCCCGAGAGACTGTAGTGGAACTGATGGTCTCCCTCGGAACTGCTTTCGTGATTTTTCCGATATCCAACAGTTTGATGGCTTTTCGAATTCTGCGTTAAAAAGAGCTTCTCTCATACTTCTCCACCTAACAAGACATATGGCTCAGGTTCTCAGTGAGACCCCACCCGTTCAGCATCCATCACATCTACAAACCTGAAGTCCCTCGAGCTTGACCATATGCGAACCACTAATAAACTTGGAACGTGCCTTGTAGTAGAGGCATGGGCCCGAACAGGGTTCGGTCTTTCTTAAGGCTGAGAGCTTTAAACTTGTACGGGCTATTATAGCACATAGACTAAACGCCTTGGTCTCTCCTCACTCAAAGGAGGACATTAATTTGATGTTGATGGAGCTGTATATGCTTAGTAGGTAGGTCTATGTACTGTGATAGTACTTTGTTCTCCCTGGCAGGCGCCTTGATAATACTACATACATATAAGCGAGCTTCATGCGGATGGTTTACGTCATCTCAAATGAGTACTTGACTGGCCACATCTCGGCTCATTATCATGTTGCAATTTCTCGCGACTCGCTACCATACTAGCAAGGCTGCATGAAGAACGCAAAAGGAGCTATGAGTGCTAACCTGTTACGCGGCGTCAACTTCCCGAGGAGAGGTGGTGCTAAATGGCCCTACTGGCCGGTCCAGATTCCACACATTCCACATTCCCATGAGACCCTTGACGGTCGAGAACCCTTGATGGGTGGCTAGCCCATATGGAGGCGACTGATCCGACTTGGTGGTGTTGGTAGATTGCCAGTAGGATCTGTTCATGCGGATGGCATGCGGGCTAACGAGACATGGGGGTTGGAGTGCATTCACTTACATGTCGTACATGCAAGGTACGGGCAGTAAGACTACTCGTACATGTGCATAGACATACATGAGCTCATAATGTTGAACGAATGGCACCTCGAGGGCCAATGGGTGAGCTGAGTTTTGCCCTGGTACCTACGAGTTCATGCATGTATTTGTCTCTCATTCGTTCATCCTCTCCCGCTCAATGATGCAGATCAACACTTGTTGTTGATGCTTCAATGTCCTTTGATGGAATAGCTCCAGTGCGGCACTCGTATCGACATCGATCAACAACGGTGCCTGTGCCTGCTTTGAGCTACTGCACAAGTGCTCACTGGAATGTGACGAACCGTGCTTCCAGTTCTTTAGAGGCACATGGGAATAAGCAACATCGGCCAACCAAAGGGGGTGTGTGCATTGCAACATTATCCGGAACGTCACTTTGTGATGGATGGATGGAGAGTGAGTGGCTGATACACCTTGCGTCCCCCATGTAAGATGCTAATCTGCTTAAATCGTGAGGTCCCCCCTTTTTGCTACTCTGGAACAGTAAACTCGACGGCCCAAAAGTCCTTGGGGATTTGTTGAGATAACCTGCTGAGACTCAATTGGCCTCGAGGATGCCGATAACCATGTTCCAGGGCCTCAATTGGGTGTTGTTGAAGCGACAGCAGTTCGTGTTAGGGTTCATGTCATGTAACCACAGCATTGACGCTCGGGCACAGAACAATTACCCGTTGGTCCGTCATACCTGGATGCTTGTATGTACATGGATTACTCGTACATGGATGGATGGATGGATGGATGGGATCAAATGTCTTACCTGCGTGCATCTGCCATTCTCCACTCTTCACCACACTCGCGGGCTCCCAAACTTCTCCATCTTCAGCCCAACCACCATCCAGGAACGGGATCCATGGAGGGGCACCAGGAGGAGCTGCTAAAGAGACTGACTGGACTGGAACTGGACTGGCATCCACAAAGAAGATTGATGAAATATTCGCTCAGCGGCGGCTTTGTTTGGTTTGATTGAGATTGAGAGAAAGGGGGGGCCCCTTTCAGAGCTTTTGCACTATTGCAGCCTTTTCCGTTTGCGACACCGCACCGTCGTGCCAGATCTTTGACTAGAAGCAGAGGCGAATGTGACGCATCAAAGGCCAAGGCGAAACAATGACCAAACGCCACCGGATACGGGACGCTACTGTTAGCAGTCACCGATTTCTTTCTTATTCTGCTTGGCTTGGCACAGCGTGGGCAGCGAGAAGAAACGAGGTTGGGGATTATTGATTGCATTGCATATTGCATCCAGGTACGAGGATCCATCTCCCACGCGAGGTGATATCCATTTATCCAGTGCTCTTACAGTTCATGCCTGCTCGTACGAGGAACCACCATCGTCAGTGTATACGAATTGCTTGCTCCAGACAAAGAGGGGAAGCATATCCGCAACCGTTACCCTTGTCTCCTTGTCTGCATGGCCCAGCTAGTAACTAATGAGGTTCGTTCGTTCGACGAGAAAATTGCAAAAAGTGAGGCTGCTGCAGTTCCAAGTTCAAAGGCGCGCGCACACGAGCTAACTGGCGCCCAGCCGCTATTCCCAAAATAGCGCTTTCTTTGACAGCTCCGGCCAATGCACGATCGCCATTGCGCAACGTGGACAGGACAGCTCGAGTCCCGGGCTTTCTGACCGAGCAGGGATTTGCAGGGATCACTTACAAGTTACAGGGGGTCCCGGCAGGATCGCGACACTAGACAGCCCGCTTCCGAATCAGCCCATCCACTGGGGGGGCCTGTAGTGCCCTGTACCAATCGACATACGGAGCCTGTCCAGTTGACGTCCAATCGTCGGTGCCCTCGTGCTCACAAGCCTCACAAAGATGATGTTTGAGGGTCCAGAGTCCGCCTGAGTTTCGCTCTTCGGTCGATTCATTCATGCTGGCAACGCTGCCCCGGAATGGGGCATCCATGGATCTTTCAGGGGATGCAGACCCGACGTTCGTTCGCTTCCATGGATGTCCAACCGTTGCTGGTCGTGGTTTGGTTGGCATGTCTGGTCTGTTCTGTCTGTCTCCGTTCCGCCCCATAATCGTGCACTCATGCATCCATCCATGCATCCAAATTGCCCTACTAAGGCTAGGCGGGTACCTGTCCATTGATTATTGCAACCGTGCCAACTGCTGTGATTGATTGTCCGTGATAGCCAGCACAGGCGAATGGATGCTATACTATATCGACGCCTGGGTGGCTGCAGCCATGGCCAAGATCTGCCCTAGGCATTCATCCATGGATCCCTCAGCCTCGAGACTAACAGTGCTCACGAGTGGTGCTACCTGTGTCAGGGTGTTGCTCAGCTCTTCTCTCAGCTTCTTGATACATACGCCTCTCTTTCCTCGCACTCTCCAGGCATTCTCTTCTTTTTCCACTTTTTGTATTCCTTCTCCCCGTTTCCATCTACCTCTCCTCTCCTCTCCCACTTTCACAATTCTACAACTCTTCACTCTATTTCACTAGTGTCTGCTGTCGAATTGCAGCTACTCATTCCACCCAACACTCTATTCAAGATCCTCCCAAGGCTCACTCTCACTTACTCACAGGCTTGCCCCACGCGGGGAGTCTCTCGGTGCTGATACCCTTTTTATAAAGCGCCACGCCTAGCAACCACCGTCCAAGACTATCATTTTGCTATAACATCTTTATCCTCTTTTAATCTCCGCCTCCCATTGCATTACGTCCACCTGCGCTTAACATCGCACGTGTCGTACGCACCGGCTTGCACCGAGTCGGTTGCACGAGGCTGTCATCGTACAAAAACCCCCCCAGTCCCTCGCCCCGCCGGCGAGTTGACGCTGCTCGCCTGAGCAATCCTGCCCGGGGACAGCAAAGATGGAAACCATTGTCGATCTGATTCTCACCCCGTTTAGGGATATCGTCGACAAGGGGAGAACAGCTATCCAGAATGCCGGTGATACGCAGCCCATGCTCAAGGCCTCTCAGGCATTGCTGAAGGAAGGCGAGCGTGCTCTAAAGAAGATAGAGCCGCTATGCAAGAAGCACTTTGACGACTATGGGCCGGCTTTTCTTGAAGCAGTAAAAGACAATGGTAAGTTTCTCTGAAGGAAAAGATGCATTGATATGCTCTCGGAGCAATAGAAGCTAAAACTGCCCCAAACAGAGGACATTGCCCAGTTCCGAGTCCAGCTTACCGACATGCTGTGGGAGTTTGACGATTATATCGAAGTAGATGACTTTGATGCCGACAAGTTCACCGAGCTTCAGATGATGTCACGGACGGCTGCACCCAAGATCTACGATATCCTCTTGAAGATGAAGCTCGAAGCGCCAGTCCAGCCATTCAATCAAGAGCATTTCATGTCACAGCTGTCACCTCCGTCATCGCCTCATCCCACGCCGACGATGCTTCTGCCACCCATGATGCCTAACATGATGCCCACCACAGCACCACCTTCAACAACTGGTGCAAGCTCAGTCGGCAGGGACTCCATATCGAGCTCCAAGACAGACAACAGATCTGTCATGGATACAGGCCCGGTTGAGAATGCCAACGAGCAGTTGAGTGTGATACTTGACAAGGCGTTTAACAGCGACAGCAACACCCTCGAGCTCATCTCTCAACCACCCCCAGCGCCACCTCCGGACAGGGCCCTTCCTCCCCCTCCACCGCCGCCACCGGCAACACTGGAACAACTGCCCCCAAGGCCACCGTCAACAAACCCGTGGGACATTAGAGTCAAGACTGTCGCTTCTGACGATGAACGTCCGCGCGATGCTCCCTCAGCACGCCGAAGGCCGCCTGTTGAGCCAGCTCTCCACACACCGGTTGAAGGAACATCACCAATCAGCCCGTATACTACTTCTAGAAACTTTTCAATTCCACGTCCCAACCACCCGGACAGTGCTCGCAGCTCTGGGTTGCTTCAGGAATACACAAGCGATTCAGAGGACAAGCATTCGTCCATGGCCACCACAATCAGCAGCCAATTGTCAAACTACAGCATGAGCCCTACTCAAACTTCACGGCCTCGAGCACCAAGCAATCACAGCAACACCACCTACAGCAGCAGCACGCCAACCATACCCGAAGAAATGCTAAAGACCCAGAATATCAGGTCGAGGAGCACTTCACGACAACGCCCTGCGGTCATGTACTCACCGATGCCCTACAGATCGCAGCGTCCACGCCAGCCATCGCACCCAACCTCGGCTGATGAGCGAGTGGATGACGCTAGGACTATTCGCAGGAATGATTCATTCAGGAACGATTCATTAAGCGAGCCCGGACATCAAGCTATCGAGCGTAGAGAGTCTGATGCTGAGAGCTTAATTGACCCGAACCCTCTCCCCATCAGCACAAGAGGATCCGTTGCCGACCCCGGACCGCCAGTAGCTCCTAACCCAGAGCCGCCGCTACCAACAAAAGAGCAGCAACAGCAGCAGCAGCCAGGACTGGAGCTCGCTCGCCGCAACACGGGCCATACCTTGTCCGATGGTATGGATAGTGGTTTGATCCCAGTAGACTCCTCTGTGCCTGGAGCTCATCTGGCGAATCTACCACCACAGGATCTGTCCATCGACAACTTTAGTTCATTTTATGTGCAGAAGCAATTCTGCGCTGGAGCTACCGACGTTATAAACGGAGGAATTGGTGTCAAGAGACAAAAGAAGCCTGTTGGTGTACCCTCCTCTGTTATTGTCACGGCACTACTAAACTCAGTCATCTAGGGCCTCACCACAGCCGTGGTTGCTAAATGCACGCATTGTCTGTATGAGCTCGACTTTAAGCACCTTGAGTATGATATCAGCAAGAAAGGTATGTCTGCCACAAACTGTGACATCTCTGGATACACATGAGGAAAGCCCCATGTTCAAATATCTAATCCATTTGTCTAGAGGAGGGTAATTACACCAAGCATGGCGTTGGATACCGCCTCCGTTTCTTGCAAAAGAGCCACTTGCAAGCCAAGCGCGTTGATGATATCATGTATGCCTGCGTCTTTTGCATCCACACCAGCCGAACACTGGACCAAAGCGACGCCACGGTCTTCACATCTACAGCTGCATTGTTTGCCCACTTGGCCCGGCATCCTCGGCCACTTCCAGATGTTCCTGGTATCGCTGTAGTGGACCAAGAGGAAATCCCACCGCATCTGGTCAACGATTACGATCTCCTCTTCAAGAGCCCTCCCGAACCTCACCCCGTACAAGAAAGAGCTGCGGAGATTGCCCATCTCCCTACAGCTCATGCAAAGGAATCAGCTCGAAGACTTTTTGGCCAGAGACTGCTGCCTGACAGAACACCGGCCTTGGAGCTGATTCAAGGAGCTAAGATTACGGGTCTAACTTGGCCAGCTCGATATGGCGGAGAGTGGGCTTTCGGCTGGCACGACGGTGTACACGCCTCGATTCCCATGGAAATTATAAAGCTAGACCGACCCCCCTTTAGCCAGATCAAGAGGAACAACACGAGCCGCATCCGTGCCAAGGCTAAGTGGAAGTTTGCTCCAAAGGAGAAGAACGAGGACTGGCTCAAGTTTGACAAGGACGAAATCATCACCAACATCACTTGTAAGTCATATACCACTACTAACATGAAGCGTAAGAGAAGAAGAATTAAAGGACTAACATGCGGCCAGGGTCATATCCTGAGTATTGGTGCTGGGCCGGTACAAACTCAAAGGGTAAATGGGGAGTCTTCCCCCAGGCGTTCCTCGACTCAAACTCGCTGCAAGAGATTACATCGACGATCAGCTCGGACCGCGCCAGCATTCTCAGCAGCGAGAAGAACAAGTCGAACACTATGCTACCCAAATTTTCCACCCGGAGCAAGAACGGACGTCCTCCGAGTGTCGCCGGATCGACAAGCAGTGGAGAAACACGATCGGTATTTGGAAACTCACGGAGCCTTCGACGATCGCGAGAGGATTACTGAACAGGAATATAGGTATATTGAGTATGGTGTATTATGTTAATATGGGCACCAAGGGATTTCTACTATCATAGCGGGCGTTGACTGGAGCCCTGGCTTGCAACACTTCCACCTGAGAATGTCTCACTTTGTAGTGTTATCTATCTTGTAAAATTCACATTTGGGAAATCTTGGGAACTTTTGGGTGAGCCGGGCATATCTGTTTTTCTTTCTTTTTTCCTTCTGTCTTTCTTCGCTCTGCATTACTTAGAGAGAAGCGAGAGACGTCATCAACAGACGCTATTGGAAGACAACGTCGGAGACGAACTTTTTTTTGGCTGAGGATCATGGGTAATATGGTTACGAGATATTGGAAATGTACACAAGCTGGTCGCACTCTAAAAGAAAAAAAAATATACTAAGTCTGGGCCAATCCTGTTCTGTGCCTGAAGAGAAGCCAGAAATGATGCCATCAAGCTTGTCCTTTCGTCATTGCTCGGCAACAAGCAGTTTTGTATCATGATGCTAGACTGAATGAAGAGCCCAGGTCCGAAGACACAGCGTCTGTGGTGTTTGGGTTTCCTTCAAAGTCAGCAACATAACGTCGATAATTCGTTCACGTTTACGAGCTCCGCCCGGAATTGCAGAGGACCTGGAATTACACGAAGTGCTTCCATTGGCGAATTGGCAATCTTCGAAGGTTTAATTTAGCAAGATGCAACGAATAGCCTTTCGTCGTCGCCTTATCGATGCACAAACACACAAGGTGACGAGATAACGATTGATTGGTAAGACAGGGGTAGCTTTTATTGAAATGAAAGGATGCAGGCGTCAATGCCCCCGGAACAGCTAAGCAGGCCCTTGTTTCTTGTCTGTTTCTGGGTACGAGGGGGGGGAAGAGGCCGGGGTGGTTGTGGTCAAAAGTGAACCTAAATTTAGGGAACTCCGGGAATTTTTCTCTTCTGGCTTTAAGCGCTCAGCGGGTTGTTGCCCAAGGGGGATTTTTCAGGTGGCGCATCCCACTGGATTTGCGCTTTGTGGGATTGGTTTGCTGGGGTAGTGCGTCGGCTACGGAATTAATGGGAGCTTAATGAATCGGTTACGGTTGTAAGATGAGTTCAATATCGTGAAAATGGTCAAGGCTTTTTTGGTTAGGTAGGTCTACCGATTTGGGTAATTGGCTTTGAGCTTTCTTTAGAACGATGGGAAGCGCTTTCATCAATGTGAACAATGACGAGATCATTATGTTACATCTGAGCATTGGTATTTTTCAGTGGTGGCACCACAGAATAAAGCAGTCATTTGGTTACACATTGTCACGCCGGGTTGTTGGTCCGGGAGTCGGACAAAGAAAAGACGAAGCCTGTGTGCTGCTACTATTCTGGTGATCATGTTGTTATTTCCTCTTGTGTCGCCTTGACCATGCTCTTCTTTATTAGGCCTATGCAGTGTCGTTCACACAGAGGGGCTTTGTTGCGCACAGGAATCAAGGCACACAGATACACACGTGCCTCAACACACGTTTCATTGAACAGCTTTGTTTTGCTTTTACTCTGCATTGTCCTCTCTTACAAATACGAGATTGTCGCGTGAGGGGAAACAAAGTTGCATTTCCTTGTTTTTTTTCCCCCGAGAACAGGGCGCTCAGGTGAACGCCATGTGCCGTCTGTATTTGCGATGAATGTCCGTATCGCAAATGCTGGATGTCCACCATGTAAGCGTAGTAGAGTTTAGACAATGAAAGCGAAAGCTTCGGAATCCAAGACAAAGGGGAGAGTAAAATGACAACATTCATTGTCTTTCCTCATTCAACGTTTGTACATGCCTTAGCCATCACAGCTCCCAACCTGAGACACATCAGCTTGCACCGCACACCGCTCTGGATTGTACGCCTCGGAGATGAAAGTCAGACATTCACAACCGAGCATAACAAGGGAGAGAACAGTGCGTGGGTGAGTGAGGGGGACATGCGGAGATGGAGCCCATTGTCTCGTGGCTCTTTTTGGGGTTGTATCACTGCCGGCGAGATGCGAGATGCCGGCACAATCAATGATGCCGATGAGGCCGCGTGCGTGAGTGGAAGAGGCAACTGAGTTAATGGAGAGATGGTCACGCAGAATATCGAGATGTGACAGAGTATAGATGTCGAGACAACCTTATTTACAAAGTGCTGCCTCGTACGGGATCATCAAGCAGGAATATCTAGTAGTGCCTATCTAGAAATACGATGGATGATTGTATGTCAGAGAGAGAGAGAAAAAAACTCAATTCATTCATAATCTACCTATGTCATTATTTGTGTGACATCATAGACTAATAGCACAAGCTTGTGAAAGCAAGCACAGTGGTCCCGATTTCCTCAGTAAGACTGCTTCAAGTCTATGTGGTCAAGGTATTACACGGCAAGACAACAGCATCCTTTGTAGCTTCCTCATTGAGGCAAGCCACCCCTAGTCTTCTTTTTCTTCTTCTTTGTTTTTTATCTACCTTTTTGTATTTTCCCCTCTTCCACAACACATCTCGTGAACAATCGCTACCACCTCCGATTCTCCTCCATCGTCGCAAAATGTGGTGCACCGTGCGAGACACTGATCCTCGTGATGGATTCCCAAAGAAGGATCGGTGTCGATCATCTGCCCCTCGCCTCGCATACATACTTTGCACCAAGTGCTACCGTTAAATCCCAAGCCTCGTCCGCTTCGTCCCAACTTAAACACGCGAAATAGCCCGCAGCTCATCGCCTTGATCTTAAACCTACGCGCCGGCTGGAGCTAACTAACGCTGTCTAACACTCTCGGAACGAGGGAGAGAGAAACAGACCGAAAATAGAAGAGAACAATCCAGTCCAATTGGTGCCACCGCTTGAAGCCTCGCATTAGTCTCTAGAAGCGCTTTGTTACAGTCATCCAAGAGTCTTGGCGACAGGCCCCGCGTTGTCTCATACGGACTGTACGAGAACAACAACAACACCGGCAAAGGATAGACGGACAAAGCACAAAGGTCCGGAAGCGTGAGACACAAAAGCATCATTCACACAATGTTCCCCCGTAGCGCCACTCCCGATGCTGCGCCGTGGCTCGGCCGCTTTGAAGCCGCCATCGGTCTGGACGCCACTTTGTCTGGCTCGCCGGGCCCTGAATCCTGTGTACCCCTGACGCCGACCCAGCAAATGACAACCGCTGGCGCTGGCAGAGGCGGCCAAGCCTGCCTGTATGCAAACGATTGATGAAGGGGCACATGGTGAAGCCCGAATCCATTGCTACTGCTAACCAGTTTCATGCTCTAGTCAAGCCGCTTGCGACCAGTCCGAAAAGAATCGCGGCAGCCCTGCCGAGCCGCCGAGCTATCACCACCATGGATCCAAATCCGGACCCCTGTCTCCTAGCCCTTCATATGCCAGTCCCAAGCTTTGTCCGGACCCGCCACGGAGCTTCTCCCTCGCGTCCCTGATTCACAAGCTTTGCTTGGTGTTCGTGTTGCTGTCCGTTGCATTGTTAGTCTCCGGTTTATTAACTTTATTAACTGCTCGCGGCCCCGATTTCGATGCAGCTCTTCCTGATGTCTCGGTATCTTCTTTCCTTTCTTTTCCATTTACCCCCTTCCGCTCATTTGTTTTTATAGACGCAGCTCCCGGCTTCCCAGCTGGATCGACTTGCCTTTTATTCCCACCGCAACATTCTTTACATCATGGCACTTCCAAGCTGGATCTGGAAGCACGCTCTTGCCTACTCGGCCGTACTTTCGTCACTCGTTAACCCTTCATCCGCCGCTCCTTCTACTTCTCTATCTGCTACAAACTATGTCGCCAACTCCGTCACAGCTATTCGGGAGCTGAACAATGCCTTTTATGATGTTGAGACTGGTCTCTGGAGCGCTGCCTGGTGGAACAGCGCCAATGCTTTCACCACATTGGCCGACTTTGCACAGCTCCGTCTCAATGAGGCCAACCAGCTCAACGTTGGCGGCTTTCTACGCAACACTTACGCCCAGGCTCAGATCACAAGCGTCTCTGTCGCCAAGTTTGTGAATGCTGCCGGTCTTCCCCAAACTCTTCACTGCATCAACGGCAGGGGATGCTCTGCCTCCTTTGCGGCCTCTTTGCCCACCAGCCTCCAGAAGCGAGGCTTTGCCGACTTCCTCGATGACTTTTACGATGACGAGGGATGGTGGGCTCTCGCCTTGATTCACGCTCACGACGCCACCGGCGATCAGGACTATCTGAATTCGGCTATTGAAATCTTCAACGATATGCAGACCGGTCAAGGAACTCCTTGTGGTGGAGGCATTTACTGGAGCAAGGATCGCACTTACGTCAACGCCATTGCCAACGAGCTGTACCTCTCTGTTGCCGCTTCTCTTGCCAACCGGGTGCCATCCAACGGCACCTACCTTCAGATTGCCAAGGCTCAATGGCAGTGGTTCTCCCAGAGTGGCATGATCAACTCCAACAACCTCATCAACGATGGTCTTGACTCCAACTGCAAGAACAACGGCCTGACCACCTGGTCTTATAACCAGGGTGTTATCCTCGGCGGTCTCAGCGAGCTCGCCAGGGCTACTGGTGACAACTCTCTTCTCACCAAAGCTTCCGCCATTGCCAACGCCGCCATCAACGCCCTCTCCAACTCAGATGGCATCCTCGTCGAGGCAGACAAGTGCGAGCTCAACCCAGGCAACTGCGGCACAGATGGTCAACAGTTCAAGGGTGCCTTCATCCGCAACCTGCGATACCTCAATGACCTGGCACCAAGCAGCACCTTCAAAAACTTCATCCTCCGCAATGCTCAGTCCATTTGGAACAACGATCGCAACAGCCAAAACATGCTTGGCGTCGCCTGGACTGGACCCTATGTGGCGGCTACTGGCTCGTCCCACAGCAGTGCTCTAGATGCCCTAGTGGCCGCGATTGCTGTTTCATAGTTTCACCTTGATTCCCCCGTCTTGGCAATTTGATAATTTTTTTACTTCCCCCTTTCTCTCTCATCGTTTGCTGCTTTTGAATTGGGCCGTCTGGTGACGACAACATTTCAGGAGTACGACTCCTTACTCAGGTCACAGCCGAGCCAGGCGTTTGCTGTGTGGGCTTGGAGTTTTTATTTCTCTAATCTGCGCGACGGGCACGCAACCATTTTGGGCATCATTAATGATAAATCATAATGTTGTGAAACATTCCTTTATTTTTTCCCTCTCCCCCTTCGCTTGAGACGGTGCCTTAATATGGGGCACATGGCAAATGCCCCTGTCACATTGTCGTGTTTCATATTGGACAGTGGCAAGGTCATGATTCGCCAGTGATAGCTAAGCAATTTTATCATTTTGCCAAGCTTTATGCGACTGAGAGAAAAAATGTGTGAGCCGAAATGTCTCTAGCTACTGAAATCTTTGAATACGAGCTTCTGCAAGCATCGAAATCTAATAGGCGAGGATAATAAGTATAGCATAGAGTGAGCGCCGCAGACGGATAAAAAGGCGCAGAAACCGGAAAAGCCTATCGATTTGGCGATAAGATATAGATTCGATCTAGTGTTAATCATACTTTACATCAAACACTCCATTTACACATTTGTCAAAACCTTAAAAATTAATTGACATGTAGCTCCGAATTGCAAGATGGCGATCTGGAAGCGGTTAATTGGGAACAATTGCTCCGTTTTAAGTCCGTAGACAGATTGACATTGCCGAGGCAAATGCACAATGTCAGGCAGCAAGCTTTACCAAGTGCGGCGTCACTCAGCCGGAGTCTACCCTATAGTAAAACAGTGAGACATACAGTATGTACACTGTGGATTACCAGATTAGATTGCAACTTGACAAGATGCACACGATACTGATGTGAGCCTGATATTCAGGCAGCCGTCAAAAGATCATTGGCGGTCCCCAAGACGAACTCACAACCAAGAAGTTTCACCTGTAAGCCGACGTGGTTTTATTCAGCTGCCTAGCTGCACCGACAAAACATCGTCACCGCCTCCAGCTGCGCTCATAAAGTGGTGCCTAACGTCCCTCTTTTTTCTTATCCTTTTTGATGTAAAAGGGATGCTCAGCCTGACTCGTTTTTGAAGATATTGGGCGACAGCAATCGCTGTTTCTTTTTAAGATGGATGCCTCTGAGAATGACATTGACGTGTATCTGCACAAGCATTCCAAGATTCTGCTCGATGATTTGGACCAGAGCTTGGTGACTTGTTTGCGGAAGCCGGATGGCCGGGGGGGAACGCGTATACGGCGATGGGTGCGGATTAGGGAGACTATGAAGGCTACTTGTGCTGTAAGTTTCTGAAAGAGACAGACAGAGAGTGTGTGCTGACCAGAGATTTTGTCTTTGTAGGTCTTGGATCAGTTTCAAGAACTGCCTCAACTGCTGGATCCGCATCTGCCCAAGTGGATTCCCTATTTAGCAGAATCATATCTGGAGTATCTGCAGACGCGGCATCGACAAAAGAGGGTTCCAGAGCAGACCAACCTGCTTGCTCCCTTGGACTATGCAATTTCCAGGATCCTCTATTCGTTCTGCAAGGTCCGCGGCGAAAAGGTCATTGTGCGCTTCCTCAACGTCGAGACCAAGTATCTGGAGCTCATCCTTTCAGCTGTCGAAGAGGCTGAAGTTCACGCCGGCAAGGAAAAGAAGGACTTCTTTGCTGAACGAGATTCCGGTGATGGATGGTCGTGGGAACAGCGGTACATTGCGCTGCTCTGGCTTTCCCACCTCTTGTTCGCGCCGTTTGACCTGTCGACTATTTCCTCTGCCGATCTAGATGAAGAGGGGGTGCCATCCATTCCCGGGTTTAACTGGCCTGCGAATGTACCGGGCCTTACGATGAAAGTTATTCCTCTGGCTACAAAGTACATTGCTTCTGCAGGAAAAGAACGAGATGCCGCCAAGGCTCTCCTTGTGAGACTCGCCATGCGGCGAGATATGCAGCGCATTGGTATTCTGGAGAGCCTCGTGCAGTGGTCTCTGAAATCGCTACGGCCACAAAGGGAGACTGAGATTGAGAATCCCTATTTTTACATTGGTGTTCTCTCTTTTCTGGCTGGAATACTGCGGTCTTCATCCGAGACGTCTGATATGAACGCCTATCTGCCTACCATTTTTGAATCCGTGCTTGAACTATCGACTGGAGAAGACGCAATCTCAAAAATCATCATGTCGCAGTCATCAGCACGGAAGATGATGCTGAAAGTCATTCGCTCGCTGGTTGTTTCGCTATTGCGTTCCTCGCGACGAGATATGAAGACCACGGTTTTGGTAGAGAACGCAATTGGCTACTTCCTTGAGAGCCTCTCTGATAACGACACTCCGGTTCGTTTGTCTGCTAGCAAGTCGCTTAGCATTATTACACTGAAACTGGACCCAGACATGGCATCCCAGGTTGTCGAAGCTGTCCTTGAGTCCTTGAACCGCAATGTGCTTTGGAGCAAGACGTCAGCCAAGACAGGGGCTAAACCGGTCCGCGACTTGTCCGCTGTGAATCCATTGGAGTGGCATGGCCTGATGATGACCTTGTCGCATTTGCTCTATCGACGATCCCCGCCAGCCAGCCAGCTCTCCGACATCTTTCACTCCCTTCTTCTAGGATTGACCTTTGAGCAGCGCGGCGTTTCTGGAGCTAGCGTGGGATCAAACGTTCGCGACGCAGCGTGCTTTGGCATCTGGGCACTTGCTCGCCGATATACCACTGACGAGCTCCTCGCCGTGTCCACAAAGTCCGTCTACGCGGCCAAATCTCACCCTGCAACGAGCTCTATTCTTCAAGTCTTGGGTACGGAGCTGGTGACGACGGCGTCCCTGGACCCGGAAGGAAACATTAGGCGCGGAGCTTCAGCTGCGCTGCAGGAACTCATTGGCAGACACCCAGATACCGTGGAGCATGGCATTGGAGTTGTTCAGTGTGTCGATTACCACGCCGTGGCCCGGAGATCGCGCGCCGTTCAGGAGGTTGCTACTGGTGCGACAAAACTATCACCGCAATACGGAGAGGCCGTGATTGATGGCATCTTGAGCTGGCGGGGGATAGGCGACTTGGATACAGGCTCGAGGCGAGCTGCTGGTTCTGCGTTTGGCACGCTTATAGTACAACTGTCAGAAACGGCCTCGGAAACGCCATTTTCTCGTTTTGAACAGTCGATCGACTTGGTGATGGATCGTCTGAGCACTTTGCAAAAAAGACAGGTAGAAGAACGCCACGGTCTGCTAGCATGTTTTGCCGGAGTCGTGGACGGCTTCCCTGAACTTGCTCAGAAAGCCCAGGGGAAATTGCTGGACCAAGCTACTGTCCGCAAGATACTGGGCTACATATCTGGAATTCTTGAAGATTGCAAGAACAACGAGTACCGTCGGCCTGAGCTTATTGTGGAGGCGGCGAGTCGATTGGTTGTTTCCTCTTTGCCTCTCATCCAGGCTGCAACGCTGAGCGACTTTTCTTACGACAAGTTAGAAAAGGGAGGCGATGTGTTGTCTATGGAAAAAACGAATGGGCTACCAGACATTGCCTCGGCCTTTGCCTCGGTACAGCAGTTTGCTGAGATTGAGACGTTGACCTCGAGGCTGCGGGACGTGATGCCGAATTGGCTGAGTAGAAACGAGCAGGAAACTGCCGATTCTGCTTCCGCAGCCGGCCTCATGCTTCTTTTGCTCTCTTCAACGGAGGAACGTATCAAGATTTTGGAGCAGTGGGCCAAGCTGATCGCAGCTAAGCCTGGAAGCCGATCGATAGTCACTGGAAGCGGCTACTTTCACGTCATGGCAATGGCACAACCTCTCTCTCACACTTTACAAGATAATTCTGGGAGCGACGTCGTGTGCAATGCGTTCCTTGAGCGATGGAGCGTCGATAGTGAGGTTGAGACTAGAGTTGCCATTCTGCATAGTCTTTTGAGCAGTCGCATTCTCAAGGACAGGCCGACAGTTTTCCTGGACCTTCTTGCAGAGGGCCTCAACGACTACACGACGACAGCTAGAGGTGACGAGGGTTCCTTGGTGCGTTTTCAGACACTCAAAGCCATTGCAGTTCTTTGGGGAGATATTGGCCATCCTACGGGACAGGCAGACTGGGTAGAGGCGTCTGTCCGAAAGCTTATTTTCAACATTCTGCGGCTCTCTGCAGAGAAACTGGATCGTGTCCGTCGTGTGGCCAAGGATGTTGTTGCGCTACTTATGAGTGAGAGGTGGGTTTCTTTCTTCCTATTCCCCGAGTGACTGGTGAGGTATCAAATACTAATTCGTGTCTTCATGTTTAGTTCCGTTGATGAATCGAAGGACTTGAATCAGCCATCAAGAAAAACTTACTTTACGAAATTCTTGAGTTTTTCATCGAAGGGTTACTTTGCTCTACTACTTAACCTCATCCCCAAGGACGCTCTACACCCGCACATCATGGCCATTGTAAACACCGACGAAAACTGGATAGCCGGTCTCATGGCCGGCTTTGTCTCATCAGCAGACACCGGAAACGAGGAGCTGGTCATTGCCAGTCGCGCCGCGCTCACAGAGTATTGCGAGGAATCGCACGAAAACTTGCAACGAGTATGCTCCGCGCTATTACAAAACCTAAAGACATGCCAGAGCGAAGACCGGATCATTGTGCCGACTCTGGAGATTATCGCGTTTCTCTTCTACGCGGGACTCTTCCAGCGGTCTCAGGGCATCAGTTATCGCGGCCTCTGCTTGCACACGCAAAAGGCGGGATACAAGACGGGCAACGTGCGCAAGGTGATTGCCTGCATCAAGGTTTACGGCGGTATTGCTGCGTCAGCTGGGACCGCGAATGGCGGAGTGAATGTGGAGGCTGGAGCCAAGGATGCGCGGAAGAGACTCGGTGCGCTCATGTCGCATCCGTGGCCGCGGGTTCGCAGTGCTGTGGTTGATGAAATTTGGGGGCTTGTGGGCGGCGAGGAGGCGGTTGGGGAGGATGGAGAAGGAGAAGCGGATGGGCATGGGTTGACGGGTGTGGATTGGGCGAGTGCGGAGAAGAGTCAGATCAAGGCTTTGGTGACGGAGTTGAGGTTGGAATAGGCTTTGCCATGGTGCTGTTGCTGATGGATTACAAGCTGTTTAAGAACGTTTGTTTATCTAAGAGGAGGTTGTGTCATGGATACAGCATAGTTGTCTTTGTTCCGACCACCATTAGCATAGGTAGCCTAGATGGAATATTCTTTGGCCTAACCGAAAATGACCAAAGGAAAACTCCACTATTCTATAGTTTCAAGTATAAAGAAAAAGTATTGAGAGAAATTGGACGGGCAGGGCTGTCTATCTAACGAGGTGACATTTATCGCCACCGTAAATACTGGCGTGACTGGGTGCGGCAGCCACGCCGTCGAGACAGAATGCGGGGATGGAAACGACATGCTACCAAGCCATGAGTAACTGCAATAGGAAGTGGGCGTGATGAAAATGATGTCACATTGTTGAGCTAGCAATTAGCAATCAGCAATCAGTGGACAGAATGAATTGAGTGCAAGTTGTCAGTTTGACTGGTGGACAAAATACCTGTATGATGCCCACTATAGAGCAATATACATTGTAGGAATGTCTGTCATATTATCAAGTGAGAGAGATGTTCAAGTAAATATGGGGACAAAAGTGCTTGTATAATATTGTCTCTCTTAACAATTTGCAGTCTCGGTTATTATGTCCGTCAATGACCAGCCAAGGCAACCACTCTTCAGAGCAGTCAAATAAATTGAATCGTTGCTCAAACAATTCATCGCACGCTCGAATCTGCTTTCCTCTAAATCAACTCTCACGAATACTTGAAAACCCTATCCATAACTATAACGATCATCATGGAACCCAAAACCGAGGCGTCCAGGAAGCGTGACAGCGACAGGGAAACGCATCTCCGACACATCTACGGAATAGTGCCAAACCGAGGCCAACTCCTCGACCACCAGCTAGAGGTATTGCCATCTAATCTCCCCTTCCAGTTTTTGCTATCCTGATATTGCGGTCCCAAGACTGACTTTTGCAACTCACGAACAGAGAAGGACCTACTTCGATTCCGGAGACTTTGCCCTTTCAACGGCCCGAGAACCCTCCAGCATGGGCAGCGTCACGACTGGAAGCCAGCATCCGAGCCGCGAAGCCATATCTCACCCGTTTTGTCCGGAGTCGGGCCAGGCCAATCTCCTCGAGAGGTCTAATTCGAAAGACAAAGGAACCGAGACGAAGCGCAAGAGCCTTCTCGGTGAAGAGCAGAGCGGGGATAAGTCGTAACTTGAGGTCGTACGAGATGGGCGTTGTCAAGATTGTTCTGAAGGGGAAGGTGATTTACTTGCATCGTTGGTTTTTGAAAGGGAAGAAGCCCTGAGGAATGTCTTTGAGAGATTGATATATGAGAGTATTTGAGTTTGTTGTAGCCGCATGTATTACTCTTGATGAGCTACGTCGTGGTAAATTGTTAATAGCAGGCCGTGTAGGGTTGGTACATAGGTACCTTACCTTGATAGCATCGTAGCCATACTTTTTCTATTCTATTCTACTATTGATATCTTCTTGTACTATTGATGTCTTCTTGTACTATTGATGCCTTCTTCTACTGTCGATGTCTTCTTCTACTGTCGATATCATCTTCTACTGTCGATATCATCATTTACCACCATCTTCTTCTTCTGGTATCGACACGCGTATGACTTAATGTAGTTCTTTACAATATCTGATAGACGAAGCCAATACCAAGCATGTGCGTAAAAAAACTTGAGTTAACAGCTGTTAACCCCAAAAGTGATGGCCCCAATGTATACAACTGGCAACAACCCAGAAATAAAAAGTGACGGGCCGCCTGCCACTGCCACTGAGAAAACATAAAACGCAAAAACTTCTGCAAGGCCTGCTGAAAACTTTTCCTTCTTCCTTCATCGCTCTTCCATCACCCGATACATTGCTGTCTATCGGCAGATGGAGGTCATCCAGCAATGTCGGTCGTTGGATCAAATGGGATCGATAAATATTTTACGGTGTTCGCCTCTCTGTGTTCCTCTTTTTACTTCTCCAACATCATTATTTCTTATTGATACTGCTCATTTCTTTCTGGATTAGCGATTTGCCCGAACCCTATAACCTTTGTTGTCTCCCGTCGACACTATCAACATATCTAACATCACCAACTACCCAAAGGCCGCTTCTGCAGCTATTACAGCAACTAATCAATCACATCCTTGTTGCTTATTGATGTCTCGTTAGTGTTATCTCAGTCTTTAGATCTACGGCATCACCTGCTAATAATGATGAATTTTATCAATGTTCAGGCTATCGACTACTATTACCAGCAAGCTGCATTGAAGACCCCAGACGAGCAAGCAGCCTTTGTTCGAATGGTCTAGAAATCTGACAATGATTCGGCCACTTGGGTGAAAAATCCAGCTCTATCTATCAACTCAACAAAAAAAGGCTGCATGCTTAAGCAGCTCAACAAAAGGTAGCTATCTATATTGCCAACTCACTCTGACCGGAAGCCTGCATCCGTGCCAGCTCACCTTTTCCTGTGGCCTTCCGTGCAGAGTTGAAAGATTCCAGAGTTTTAAACCAACAGGACTCTATATTGCTGCCTTTATTGCTTCATGTTGACTAGTATTTATAGTATTTACTGTCTCTCAAGCCTCCGAGATGTTGTTGAACATGGAGATGGGTTATTCCAAATCTACGATTCCTCAGAATACTACAACTACTATTACTACTCATCGATGCTGTTATTAACGATGGAAGAGCCTACTTCTGGGCGGCCTGTCACACCACCCAATCAGCACACAACCAACATCTAGTGTTATACCGAGCAGCATTACCTCGTTACTATTACAAGTCCAGTATTTTTTACATCTGGCAACGCCAGTTGATCCTCGCTGTCTTTGCTCAGTATTAAACATTATCTATCTAGATTCGACGTCTACCTATGTTCAACATCTAGTTCACATTCCGCATTAATTCAGATTCAACATCCATCCACCAAGATTCAACATCTATCTACTAAGATTTACTATCTATTTAGATTCAACATCATTCTTAACTCACCATCTACCTAGGTTCAACATCTATTTAGACTTAACATCCATTGGATTCAACATCCATTTAGATTCAGTGTCTATTAGACTCAACTTCTATCTACAGTTACCATCTACATAGATTCAACATCTACCTAGAGTCACTATCTACTTAGATTCAACATCTATTTAGATTCACCATTTACATACAAAGATCCAACATCTTCAGCCACCTTCTACCTATATCTCTACAAATATTCAACAGGTAATAATTACCCCTCGAAATCACTTATTTATGGCTTATTGGCGCCTCTCTAGCAGCTCTTTCCCCAGTGACTTTTCTGACAATGGTGAACGAATACCCATATCCCAGACCGCATCGATTAGATCTTGATGATATCAAGATTAGCATTACTCACGAATGCCATACCACCGCTTTTCAAACGGTGGATTATTATCATCGACAAGCGATCACAATGACTCCGGATGAGCAACAAAAATACGTTGATATGGTCCGCAATTCGGACTACATCCTGAGTCCCTCAAACAGAGCAACGCCCAGTAATAATAAACTGTGGAAATATCTCAAGGACCCAGAGAATGTTTATTCCCGTGCTCACTTTGTCATGTTGGCCGCCGCTTATGGCATCTCCAGGCTCTCTCATCTTCGAGAGAATGTTGAAGCCGCTGGCGATGTTTTCGAAATTATGGACTACTCAGAATATTACGATCATTTCTATCACCACTCGACGCCGTCGCCAACTGAAGATGGTTCTGCGTCAGCAGTTGCGACACCAGCCCATGGATTAACTTTAGTAGATGAGACTCGTTCTACTGGTGCAACCCCCATCAATCAGCCAGTGACGCCGCCTCCCAATGAACCACAATTTGCTCCTGCCGCTCCACCGCTTAGGGCTCGTCAAGCATGGGATCCTTTTCAGTCATCGCCAGCCACCATTGCAGCACGTTCTCCTCCTAGTGAAGCACCAGTCGAGCCAAATTCCGCGTCGGTTCAACCAACCGTTGGTCTTCTGGCTACAACGCGCATTTCTATTCCTTCAACAACTCCCGAACCGCAGCCGAAGAGCTCAACTTACTCTCCTCAGCTCAACCCTACCCTCAACGCCAATGAAGGTCGGTATTCGCCTTCGATTGAAATCGCGGCTTTGAGAGAGAGAATTAGAACTTTAGAAAATGAAAAGGCTGCTCTCTTGCAGCTGGTTCGTGACCAAGCTGTCGCTCTCAATCAACGCCAGCAATAAATTATTCAGACATACTAAAGCCACAATCACTATTTACATATATATAACACGAGAGCTTTCAGGGTTAAGCGTTTTCAACAAGAGAACTTTCGTTTTCGGGCTTAGGTGTCCGACTTTGTGAGAGGCCACATGTGTCTTCGTACCTACCTGTATTCCGCATACTACCAGTAGATAACTGTATTACTAAAAAGAGAGATAGTCAAGACATTTTATATGCCATCTCCGACGACCGTGATCTTCTAACTTGACCCACGCCCCCTGACGACATGAGACTTCATGTGATAGCAACTACAGAAGGCTTGCTATTCGACTGCTTGCTCGGCCGCACAGAGAACGAGATACAATCAGTTCACTGAGGGCGTCTGGACGTTTAGGTCTGTATTAACTTATACCAGCCTTATTGGCGACAGACTTACGAACTCTACGCATACTCAGAAGGAGGAGGGAAGCGAACCACAAAAGCCCGCGCAAACAGCCTCGTACAATATATTTTAACAGGTGAAGCGGAAATCCAAGTGAAGCGGAAATCCAAATATCAGAGCCTATATCTCCCCCACAGGACTACTGCATAAAGGACGTAGAATGCGCAATTCTGTTGATACCATTGAGCGGCCGGCCGGATTTAAATGCGATCAAGCAAGCTATGTGTCTAGACTCTAAGTACCGTTGGGTCTGGTCTGATGGCTGGACGGGGTCCGTCGCGCTGTTCCCTCCGTCTGCGCGTCCCATTCTGCTTGCCTCTGCCGGTCTAGGCCATCGTCCCATTCTTCCTCAGGGCGCATCGTCCGCTTGTGGTCAAGGCCTAGCTGCAGAGCAAGGTTCCCCTTCTTCTTTCTGTCTGGGGCCTGTGCCCCGAAACGGGTCCGATCATACAGGTATCTTCCCCGTGGGAGCACCTCGATCAGAGTCCAAAGCTCCTCATTTGTGATAAAATCGGAAGAGAAAATGACTAAGGAGGGGGCAAGGAGGAGGAGTATAAAATGCAGTGTAGTTACGTGATACAGTTGATAACCATGTATCATCAGCTTTCCATATCATTCGGATTCCAAGACTCGATGCTTTGCCAAAGTCTTCAAAGGGGAGTTAACCATTTAGCACCCCAGCGACTGCGTGAAGCTTGTGCATCGAGACCGAATATGAAGGGGACTTTTATTTACTACTACCGGTATTTGCCTAAGTAGGCAAGATAAGCCCTCAACTCTTTAAATACCTGCTACTTGTTACTACTTTCTACTATTGCTGCTATCTCCTACTATAGCTATATTTTTCTAGTATCTACTACTCTCACCATATTCGTCTAGTTTTCGGTATTATTTTCAATACGGGATGCTGGATAGAAAAATTGGGATGCTGGATACATGAAGCCATTCCCTTTCAAAAGGGCCAATTGTCGGGCACCCAATATACGGGGTATCGTGAGGTTTGCCGTCCTCCATTACCTCAAAATCAAAATAACAAGGCGTATTCTGTGCGAGTTGATACGGAAGCAATGGATGTCCGTTATCCATTTCGTAAGTATTGGAGATTCGACACTACACTGAATTGAGGATACCCGGAAATATTTGCAGTCTCTGAAGCAATTTCCGTCATCAGTTCCCAATTCTGGCGGTTGGTAACCTGCCTTCATACTATATCTTCGTTAATATCTCCTTGCAGAATAAGAGCATAAGGACCAAACAGCGAGATCATTGTTTGTTCAGCCATATCTAGGTTGGCAAGGGGCATATTGATCGCTTATTCAGGAGGCCAGATCATTTTATTGGAAGGGAGGATGTCACACTATCCAAGCATGTAATTCCCGGCGTGTCTCCGTGTGGGCTTTCCCCTCCAATCCCTGCAGAGTATCCCGAACCTCTGTTTTTCAAGAGCTGTCAACTTGGTTAACAGTTGCAGTTCGAGATGTAGTTTCTATGGGCACAAGGTGATGTAAGTGTTGGATCAATTTCCCAAATAGCTCTACTTGAGCCTCTCGTTTTGCCTTGCCCTTCAGGGCGCCTAGGAGTTTTTCCTCTCTAGGCCGCAAACTTATCCGAAATGGCTCTGTCCAGCTCCTAGCCAGAAGTCGGCTCGAATTAACAGTCAGATTAGGAGAGGGAGGAGGGGCAGGAGGGGCAGGAAGGACCTTTTGGTCACTCCATCTCGCGGATAACCTCGATAAGTTTGCGCACAGTCTCCAAAGTTTCAGGGTCGACAAGAGCCTCGTGCTGGTCTTCTGACAACGCCGTCTGGTTCCCTGACAACGGGATCATAATTCGACAATTGCTGGTAGAACGCTTTGCAATTCGATGATGCCACATTGTGAGGGCACATGGCCTCCGCTTACCTACTATTTAGGTAGCTACACTTGACATAGCCCTTAGATACATCAAGTCACCTTCTGCATTACCTCCGGTCTCTATGTATTGTGACCATTGATGCCGTGACCGGACCGCGTGTGACCTGATACACATTGTAGGGTAAAGAGTCATTGCACTTTCATGGCCAAGGTGCTTTAACCACACATTAGCTCGACTCTGGCCAATATATATCGCAGTTGAGTTTGTTTTGGATTGTCATTTTGATGTGCATATAGAGGTTATATTTCTTATCAAGGGGGTCAGTAAAGCTGCAATAGCTAGGTCAGAGGAAGGCTACGCCCCAGCCTTTGGTTCAAAATCCAGAATCAATCCGTAGCCCAACCCGATCGGCCACAGCCGACCAAGTCAAACCTCGAAGATTCAGGCCACAAAGTATGGCCGATCATTTGATGTGCATGTAGGGGAAGATATATGCATTTTGAGCCGGGCTGTGGCCATTCAGGTGTTGCTGTAGGCAATTGGGCAAGTTGTTGAGAAAGTAAATACTTGTCTCCGTTGAAGTTCTGTAATAACAATTTTGCAGAAGGGACAGTCTTTGAATGAGGCTTTGTGGAGCCACTTCAGGTAGCCAGTTCTCCTCCTCGCTCTCCTACCTAGTCAATCCTCTCCATCTTCATCACAATACAGATTTCGGTCACAAAGCTTGCTTCTTTGCATTTGAGATCAGTGCCTTTGGTCCCTTTGTGTATTTTCTCTCCTTGCTTCTTTTGTTCATTCATGATCCCTAGCTTGATCCCTCACATTGTGGAGGAGCTGAAGTCGTTCGTTTGACATTCTGAGTTTCAATAGTCTCGGCCTTTAGTTGGACGTTTCTCCAAAATATATATGATAATCGAGCAGTGAATGGTCACCCCGGTTAACGGAACATGCAATATTCTTGTCCATGAGTGAGAACCAATTTTGCAATTTGATGACAGCAACTGGCTGACGTGGAACTTTACTGCCGGCTGATCCAAAGCTGTGGCATTTCCTACTGAGCTGAGAGCCGGGGCTAGTACACGAGCTGAACAGCACTCCGTTTTTTGACATAATGGGATCGACTGAGCTGAACGAATGAGTCGTGATCTCCAGCGCTTGCTGGCTCGCCCTACAGGCTAGAAACAGCCATCTCCCTACCCCAGATGTTCACCTCGCGGCTAGAAGGAAAGCCACCCTTCTAGCCTGGAAGAACTTCAAACCGCCATCGCTCAAATAAAGTTTCCCGCCACCACAAAGTCATCACAAAAGTCAAAAAGTCAAAGGCAAGATCGCGTAATTGCTCAAACGACTCATGCGGTGAGGCCTCACTGGGGTGGCAACGTGTCAGTCGCCAACTCCTAATTTGACGCCACCTGTCGTAGAAACGTCTGGCCTGCTTCTAGGCAAAAGTAAAATTGCTTCTGGTTTCAAAGGGGCTTAAAAACTTGCGATGCTCTCCTCGAACTCGGGCGAACGCCAAGCGGTATAGGAGGAGTACAGGCATGTACGTCGCGACGAAATTAGGTGCTAGTAGTATCAAGCCTTCGCATGTAGTAGAACGAGTAGTGAACATTGAATGTCCCTGAATCATGGGTTTACCGCTTCAGGGGCTCGATAGAAGCGTGGCGTTCCCGTGCCTGTGGTCTGGGATTAGTCGATCCAATAGTTTGTCGTTCCATTCATGAAGCGATGCAGGGTGGTAATTTTCCAGGAAGCAAACAACGTGGAGCGATAACCTTGGTGGCAACGTGCTCTGACCCCAGGATTTTGTTGGCAATGTTGCTAGGATAGCTCCTTTGTTGCAGGGATTGGATCTTGGGGATTTTTGCTGCCGAAAGACGGCAGCACGCATCCGTCAGCCCTGATAAGAACGTTGAAAATGGCGTTATCCGAAACTACATATCGCAAGATATATGACCACATGTCGAGTCCGGACCGCTAGGATACAGTAAACACATGGGGAGCTTGTAATTATCCCCTGTGGTGAGACCGCCACCGAGATTCGTTTAGGCTGGAGATTCAAGTAAGGAAATGCACATCGCCCGATCCGGAAAACAGTGTTATCGCACGCACGAACCATGCTTGCAGAATGGTGGTGAGAAGCTTATTTTCCAGGCATCCACAGAATTGAAACGAAAGCTGTAGCCAGCGACCCTTGAGTCAAAGTTGAAGCATTGTAACCATGTTTGCTGCTTCTCTCAGAAATGCGTTCTCTCACATGGCTGGTCACAAACAGCAGCGGTCCGCATTCCTGCCACGAGGTTGAGAGCCTACCCAACTGAAGAGCAAGGGCAATATTAGGTGCTGATGCTGATGCCATCTCGCACGTTCTCCCTGTGAGCTAGTGATGAGAGGAGGTTTATCAGCACATGGCGTGAATCGGAACTTTAGAGCCTTCAGGGTCCAGGGCAAGAAGCACAGGGGAAACATTGACGCTCGACATTGATCAAGCCGTGTCGCACTATTGCGGTCACAAGACATTGCGCACAGACATGGCAAGACGCAATCTGGTGTATGTCTGTACCCATTGAGCGTTGATGCAGATGCAGATGATGGTGTCTATTCCGTATCATTCACCGAGCGAAAGATTTTATGGAGCGCCAGGATGGCAAACCTGGTAGCGGTCACCCCCACGCCGTTTGTATGGATATGTACTTTTCCTTTCGATATAACGTTTCAAGAACTCGCTCCATCACATTGTACCTGCAGGGTACCGTATTGAATGAGAAGCACGAGAGTTGAGATCAGAAAGAAAAATCTGATGGGACATGGTTCAGCTGGAGCGGCGTGGCGCTCTTAGCCATCTGGACGTTGGGTGAAGTGGAGTGACAACTCGGAGGTAGTTCGTCATTATTCCCGACTTTCTGGATGAATGGAAAAGGCGTTGTTGTTGTTGTTGTTGTCTCCATGCCACGGGAGGCTATGTATGAATGGTTTCATATTGGAATGAATCCATCTCGATTGCTCTTGGCACTTGTTGGTGGACCTGTAACGCTTCAAGTCTCGCCATCGACCAACAGTACAGTCGCGACAAACAATGCCAGCCTGTCCTTGACTTGAGATAGTGACAGAAAACGGCCACTATCAGAGAGTATTTTGGGAACGGAGTAAGCAGCTCAACTCGCACGAGATGCGCATCGGTCCGGCGGATAGAAATTTCATCTGTTGGTGGCGCCAAGGGTTTGCTGGGATTGCCGTTGCTTCAGTACAAAGTAGGAAGTTGCTGCTATCTCGAGACGCAGCATTGCCGACACAATTGCCGTTCAAGATTAGTCATGTGGAGAGCTGACAGAAGGCAAAGTCACGTGCAAGCTGACTTTGAAAGCTTCAGCCCAGCTAGACAGTAAAAGTTCATGGAAATGGCCACTGTCAAGCCCGTCAGCTCGCATTTTCTTGTCACGACGCAGCCAGCTGAAGATGCTAGATTACTGTACTTGACAGGTCCCTTTTCGGCAACAAGGCTGGGCGAAAGGGGGCAGTCAATCATGCATGGCGCGTGTTCATGCGGAGCCGTATTCCGAGAGCAGAGCAAGTAAAACAATTTGACAGCTCCCTGAGGGGCCCTTTTCCACCCCTGGATATCGGCGATTGCTCCATCGACGCTCGTCATTTCAGTCTTGATACGGAGTTGATGGAGTACCTGCTCGTAAGGAGGACTCCATAAAAAGCAACGGCTCCAGTTGTCTGTAATACTTTGGTTTCCACACATCGGACCGCTCCTGCTCCGTACATGCAGTGCCTCATGCCGGTACCCGCTTCTCCGTATAAGAAATGAGACAGATGGATGATACAGTCCACAGCGAATCAATCAGTGCTGGTCGCAACGGTGGAGCGAGTGGTGATAGGTACGATAGGCGAATCTAAAGTGTACAAGGATGGCTTAGTATTTTTGTTTTTCTCTCTTTTCTTTTTTTTTAATTCATTGTTCCTTTCGTCCTTCGCTATCATTGTGGCGGATGGCGCACAAGGCAGAGGCGAACGACAAAGGACATTCTCGCATGAAGGTACGGAGCTACGTCCGTCGCACAGGCGCTTGGTGACAAGCCACGACCACGTGATGGAGATAGAGATTGCGCAGTGACAGCACGGGAGGCGCTAACATTTGCGCGTGCCAAAGGGCGGGAGCGCAATGTACACAAATTCCACTGACAGATTGTACCCTCGTATCCGAACTTTGAAGTACCAGTACTCGTAAAGGGACCTCTCCGTACATGCAGTTTGGCGGCATCTACCACGACTAGAGCGCTTCCATCTTGATGGATTATGCCAAGAACTAATGTGCACGGCAGAGAATGCTGCTGCCTGGGCATTGTGATAAGGCTCTTGACTGTGCATATCAACGCCTAGAAGGCATTCGGTGATGATGGCCCAGCTTTTTGGCACACAGTGACAGGGGCCCCGCTAATCAATTGACTTCGAACCAAAGTCGTGACGTACTTGGTGCCCGTGCTCCGTCGGTGGCTGAAGTCCAGACCCATTGTCTTTTTGCCATGCCTCCACTGCCCACAGAGCTGCTTTGACGGCCCAAGTAAGAGATCAACAAACCGTAAGCCTGCAAACAACGACAACAACGGCGACAATCTCAGAAAACGCGTACTCGTACCTCGTAGAGAACGCCAATCAGGGGTTCTGGCTGAAATTCATCCCCAGCACGGATCTCTAGTTCGTGGGCAATTAGGGTAAACCGCTAGCTACCCGGCGCCCGCATGCATCGAGCCGGCTAGCTTTTGCGCTCACCGCATCCCCTCCAGTCAAGACTCAATTTTCCGTCGTGCTTTACAGAGCAGAGGGTTAGAAAAGGGACAAGGGGAGAGCAGCAAAGTCCACCATCTGCAAGGCTCGAACGAGCTGGTCCCCTAAAAATTATCCGATATGGAAGCTGGGTCGACTTTTGAGTTCTGGCACTAATGCAATTTGCTCTCTTGACCCTCCTCTTTAGGGCTGCCCGTTTCAGTCGACTATTCGGTTGGAGGGGAGCAAAAGCCGACACGAGGGGCCCGCGCACGATCAAAATCGCGATCTCAATCACATCGTATCCAAAGCTTTGTTCTCTTCTGCCATCTGCCAGCACCGGCTCTTGGGGTTCATTGACGGACGGCGGGGGGAGAGCTTTACTAGGAGCCCACTTGGAGGCCGATGCCTCATGCTGCTCCGTGCGCGCTGCGTGAGAGGGGCTCCATGGCCTCGGCTGCTCCCAGCGTTGCGGAACGGCCTTGGATGCTGTCGCAAGTTTGTGCTTGGTTGGACTGGGTCTTCAGCCCCAGAAGGCGTGCTGGGTTACCTTGCCAGCCAATCCTCAGCAGTCGAGATGACGCTGGTGGGTGGGCAGTATCATGCTCTCTTTGTCCCTGTAGGTACCAAGAGGTACGAGTGCTCGTCTAAGAGCTGAGTGTTTGCATACACAGGCATGCACACAATGTGCTCCGTACGCGTTGTGTCCTGCGAAGCTGCATACATATCTTGGCTTTGAAGATGAGTAGGTAGTAGCGCCGAGGGGATCATCGCCATGGGAATGCATGTGATGCACTGTGTCACTCAGAGCGTGGGAAATTTTTAACTGCGGGTGTGGTTACTCTTGCATGGTACTTGGGACTGCGTTTGGACAAACGCCGGGCCGAGGTACCGCGCTTTTGCAAAGCCAGTTCGAGCGTTCCGGCGGCGGCGCCAGGGCTGTCTTGTCGTAAGAGCCTGGAACAAGAGAAAGCACCGCTCAGGCCACCTCCCAACTCTCGCCTCGTGGCTACCCGCCGCCGCCTGAACTCTCAAAAGCCGGGGCCCATGTACTGCAACATTGGTTGACCGACGCAGGTACTTGCGCGTCCTGCGGGCTGCAGCTAGCGCACTAGGTTCCTGCAGGTCAGGATCTTCGTACTCCATACTTTGGAAGCCTCGCTAGCTTTAGATCAATGTCTCAGAGGGCATGCGGAGGGCCAGAGACTGACACACGTGAGGCTCGCATGGCACAGGCGGAAAGCCACCACATCAGACACGAATTGCCTTGCTGAACCACATGTCGCGTACAGTAAGATGTACATACAGCGACCTGCTGAAAAGGATGCACAGAACAGCAGTTTGATGCAGCATCCTTACCGCTCGGAACAAAGTACCTACCTGTTCCGACGAGTGGCGGGCTGAGATAACGACGCGAGATACCCTACCGCACTTGTACATTTTGGTACTTGACCTGCTGCAGAGACAGAGATGAGGGACGGTATCGCATCCTTCACAGACCAGCATCGGTAGGTTAATTTGGATATCGGCGGGCGGAGCCATGCGCCTAACTCCTGGCAACATTATCGCAGCAGCGACACGCAATTTGGCAGCCCCATAATACCTATCTCGCCCTTTCGCGCTCTGTTTCGTGGGGCCATCATTGGTGCAGTACGGAGTACAGTACAAAGTACATGCTTGATAGCCTCCATTTTTTCCCCCTCGGGTGGTCGCCGTCCATGGCTGTTGTTGTGGCTTTGTGGCTGTTTTCCCACAATAACGTCTCTCCCCCTCCCCCCTTGAAAGAAAATTTTGCCTTTTGCTTTACCGAGCTCCGAACATGTTCCATATGGCGCCAGACCGTTATGCGGCCTCTCATCCTTTTGCAGCGAGGCATTCTGGGGAGCCTCGTCTTGAGCACGGGGCATGAGTAGTACATGTAAGCTGGCAGTTAGTCAGTCTGCCTGGCTTACTTGATACGAGTGCTCCAATGAAAACACCCGGTGGCTGACGAGCAAGGCATCTAAGAGGCGGTGGCCAATATTAAATCATCGATTGTCGGTCGATAGATAACCAGCTGGTGCAAATAGTGAACGGATAGGTTGCCTTGGTCGCACAGGCCCCCCCTCTCTTGTCTGGCGTCTGGACCGAAGGCTTGCAGCATTTGGGATCAGGAGGGTTGGATTGGATGGGGCTGCAAATCGTGCATCGTGTCCTGCACCAATGGCGCTGCGCCACTGCGCTCCACAACCCCTGCCCAGTTTACTGGATCGAGTAATTCCAATGAGGCACGAGCTAATGACGCTGCTAGCGACAAGCCCATGAGAGACAGGCGGGCTCCATGAATAGCACCAGCACCAGGGAACAAGGACTCGGGTCCGCGTTATGGGGCCTGGCGACTTGTTGTGTGTGCGACGAGCACTGCAGCGAGCAGGTACCCACGTACTGTAGTGTACTTGGCAGTGTACTTGTAAGGTACCTGCGGAATGTACCGTCTGTGTTTTCCATGTTGTATTTTGTGTTTTGTGCAAAGGCTTGGCAGGCATTGTAAATAGGTAAGCGTCTACTCATTCTATTGATTCCATAGCCTAGCACCACCCGTCCGTCTCTCGTCAGATAATTCGGGGGCCAGACGTGGAGGACAGAAGGATAAGGTAGACACCGCTACCGCTATCTATCAAACGCGCAGTTGGTGAATCAATCAACCATTGAAGAGTCTAGCCCCTACTCCGTCCCCTCGCCTCGCCCCAATAAGATACGGCGCAGTACTTGCATGGAACCTGCAGCTGCTCTAGTGCTGAAAGGCCAGTCGCGGCTAATTGGCGAAGTCGACCTGATGCGCGGTAGCAAATCCTGGCCCAGCCACGGAATTGGTGCGACTGCAACGGGTTAGCACCAGCGCGCTCGTGTGCATCCCCCCATCGCCCCAAGACATGGAATGTATCGCCAGGTACACTCTCTAATTAAGTCGGCCAAGGTGCAAGTGCAGGTGCTGGTACTGCTAATTCCCTCCATCCCACTAGCAGGTGCTAGGTATTGCCTCGCACGCCACCGCATCCGGGGCTGCGCTGCCTTTCAGGTCCCATCTCCCGCGCTGCTGCTGCTCCAGTCTTATCAACGACGGAAACCCTGTGTCTTGGCCTTGCAGCGGATTTTTTGCCTTCTGACTCCTCGCTTTTGTGCATACATGTACTTCTGCTCCGTGCTTTACATTACATTGCTACTAGGCCTAGTACATGCACGCACTACACTCTTCTTTCTCAGCCGCCATTCCCTCCATCCATATCTACTACTTTCCACATCCTAACACACCTTTCTTCCCATTACATACATACATACATTCGATCCCTCCCCCAGACAAGGAAGAATCTCATCTTTCGCCAACCCCATCGGTCTTCTTCTTTTTCCTTATCCCTCTCGATATTTTCCTTACTGCTGTCCTGACGAGGTCCTTCCCCCCGATGTAACCGCCTGCTGCGGCCACTATACTTGCAGCGTTCATGCAGCAACCCCTCCGAATCCCGCTATCCGAATCGACGCTCCCGCCAGCACAGCGCTTCCGCCAGCAGCAGAGGCCGAATGCCCGCTGGACAGAGACTCCCTAGCGTCTGCATTTCTTCAACAACAACAACAACACCAACAATAGCATCGCGACTCTCCTAAAAACCCGCCCCGAAACCCGCCCTACCTCGCTCGTCGAGCCCTCTGCGGAGGTCGACGGGCGCGGGCCACAGCAGCAAAAAGCCCGCCATGTCCATCTACTCAGATCCCCCGGCGCTGCGAGCGTTTTCTGAGGACAAGCCCTCGCTGCTTGTCTGCTGGTGGGCCACAATCTTCTGCGCCCTTATGATCCTGTTTCGCATCGCCGGCCGATTTATCCGAACCGAAAAGCTCTTCTCCGAAGACAAGTTCGCCGCCGTCGCCCTGGTCCCCTTGTTCCTGCGCATGGGCTGCGTCCACTTCATCCTCACCCACGGCACCAACAATGCCGATTTCACCGGCGTCACACTTACCCCCGACGAGATTCACAAGAAATCCGTGGCCAGCGGCCTCGTTCTCCTCAGTCGCATACTTTATGCCGCGACGTAAGTAGTCCGCATGCCTGTAATGTTACTCAGCGCGTAGTAGTGGAGTGAATGGAATGGATGGATGGATGGATAGAGATGAATGGATGAGAAGAGACACATTTGACTGACTGATCCCGAATTACAGACTATGGATCCTCAAGGGCACTGTTCTCGAATTCCTCAGGCGAATTACCGACCTATCATGGCAACAGTCACAAAAGTACACGCTAATCGCCATTCGATGGGCCCTTGGGCTCACCTTCATCGCCGTCATCATTAGCGATCTTGCCGAATGCAATCCCTTTAAGCATTACTGGCAGGTCTTGCCTGACCCCGGTGGTCAGTGTCGCCAAGGCTATGTCCAGCTCATCACCATGGCCACTTGCAACATCCTTACCGACCTGATGCTCGTCATCTTTCCCATTCCAATCATCATCCAGAGCCACATGCCGCTTCGCAGAAAGCTCCAGCTCCTCATCCTCTTTTCTCTCAGCTTGTCCGTCGTGGCAGTCACCCTCTACAGGGTTCCGCGGATTATCGACGTCGATGGCCGACAGCAGTACCGATCGCTCTTGGCGTCAGTCGAGTTGATTTTCGCCACTGCATCAGCAAACGCCCTTGTTCTGGGCTCATTCGTCCGAGACCGAGGCGTCAAGAAGCAGAAGCCCAGGCGAACGTCGACTGCCGCCGAGTCTTTCGAACGCACCAACACCATCCGAAGGCCAACCATTCACAGACAATGGGGTAGCGATGAAGACTTGGTCAGGGATGTTGGGCTGGCTGTTGAACCTGAACTCCGAGAGCAGCCAGACAGCCCGTCGTCCGATCTTTACGCACCCATCCAGCCGATGAGCTCTATCGGACAGGACCGCCAACGGCAATGGCAGCAGCAGCAGCAAGACGAGAGTGCGCATGAAAGCGCCCAGGAGAGTGCTCAAGCGAGTCAGGACTTGTTGATCTACAAGACCGAATCTCAGCACGGTTCTCAGCACGAATCTCGAAAACTCTCATTGTTTGATGTCGGTGGCCTTCTTGAAGAGGGACCCGCCACCAGCAGCGGAAGTTTCCGAAGAGGGAGCAGCTTTACATCGTCTTCTCAGGAAGCAAGCACCTCTCAAGCCGCCGTCCCGCAGGCGTCCCGAAAAGCTAGCACAAACGGCGTTCGACGTGGCTCAACAGCTTTGTTGCAAGACCTTGGTGGACTTCTGGGCCCCTTGAACTCAAAGTCGTCAGTCCGTTCCAAGCATAGAACTGGCACTGAATTGCAACCAATCCCACAGTCTCATCAGGAGCACCATGCTTCTGGAAGCGCAGCGTCAGATCTCGTTCTCATGGACCCCGGTGGCCTTTTACGATCATGAGACGAAGACGCACTCTACGGCAGCCGCACCCACCTGCCGTCTATCTAATTGACGAACTAATCTACGACTTGATATCACGAATCTCTTAATTCCTTCTGGGAAATACTTTTTTTATTTGGCCCTATTTTTTCCAGCTTCACTTTTATATCTTTGGATATGACCCGTCAGGCATGGCGTTCACGAAAGTACTTTTCGCTGTATACATATACACATATATATACATATAGTACACTTCCTTTCTGTGTTCTTTTCTATTTCTTCTTTTTTCTCTTTTCCCGGCATCAAGAACGATACCTCGGCGGAAATGATGGTGTTTTGATGGCTTTGGCATATCCAGTTTTTTGGAATGAAGATGAGGGGGCGACAAGCGATGAGAGAGATGGACGAAGCGGGAGGCAAATGCGATTTGTTGTATTTGCCAGGTACTTTGGCAAGCATATACCCCGGTGACTGGCACCGTTTTTGAAGAGGGGATGTCCTGTACGTGTAGGGCATGGTTGATGATGGGATAAAGAAGACGTGGTAGATGAATACGTTGAGAATTGAAACGATTTAAACGTACATTTTGTGTGCCCGCATAAGTCTTGATGTGCTCGTATGTGCCATGATATCTATCTGTATTGAAACATGCACACCGGCATGTGTCTACTAGTAGTCCGTGGCATTCATGGGAATTCTTCTTGACGTTGTGAAATGTACTTGGTAATTTATTGAATTGGTTTGTTTCGTAATTCTAGTTAATTAATCCCCCCAAACGCCAGCTTTGACACTGCAAATGCAAAACAATTATCAAACAGCATCGTCGCTGCTCCCCTCCAGCTGAAATAATCCAACTTGAAAATTTTGCTTTTTTTTTCTTCCAGTTACTTCCTCGCGAGCACATGCCCTCCCCTAAATCGTCACACGCTTCAACCACCATCTCCTAATGTCTCTACTCAAAAAGCTGGGAGACTCAAGGAGCAAAAGTTCCATTAGACACACAACCGGTAACTGGCATATCGACCCGCCGTCTCACTGACTCGGATAATCTTGACGACCTGCCCTCTCTTGAGCCCCAGATACCGCGCAACGGGATCCTTCTGCAGGATACGCGGCAGCTGCGTCTCCTTGAGGCGGTAGCGCTTGAGCAACGCAATCTTCTCCTCGCGGGAGAGCAGCACGTGGCGGGGCACCAGCTCGTGGTGGGTAATGTTGACGAGCAGGTCGTCCTCGAGGAAGCACTCAATCTTGGCGAGGTTCTCGACGCTGGCGAGGGACTTGCGGGCGGCGGGCGACAGGGGCACGTGGGTGACCATGATGCCCGTCTTGTAGTTGTTGGAGATTGTGTACTTTGCAAACTGGCGGATCTGGCCGACGCCGAACTGCTTGTCCGTCAGGAACTCGACCCAGATGGGGCCGCAGTCGGGCACGGGGTCCGGGTTGGAGGCTGTGGCGGGAGGGGTGTTTTTGCGGAGCATGGAGTCGCTGGGACGGGCGGAGAACTGGAGTTTGGCGCGGCTGTTGTTGTGTGCATTTGTTAGCCTTTGTGACTCTGTTACGTGGACAAATGATATTTATAGAATTGGGAAAGGGAGAGGAGACGGAAAGGTGGTCGTACTTTACGGTGCCGTCGGGATGGCAGTATTCGTCGCGGAACCGGTCGAGAGAGATGGTGACTTCGTCTTCGGCGAGCTCGTACTCCTGAACAAGGCGACACGGTCAGTCAAGCGTTTTCGAGGACATGATACGCCAAAGAGCGAGGCACAGCAAGATGAGAGAGCCATACTCGGTCCGCAACCATCTCGTGAACAGTCCTCCACGCGCGCCAGAGTCTCACCACCTCCTTGGACTTGGCATCGTTGGGCAAATCGTCAATCATCTTGGCGAGCTTTTGATTTATCGCTTCGAAAGAGGTGCAACGAGGAAGAGATCGACAAGGGCCAGAGGTCGGAGGAAAGGCGGGCTGCGCGTTGTCGCGATGGTGGTTTTTTTTTTTTTCCTTTGCTCCAAAGGTCCGCTGCGCAGGAGAGATGGGCGGTCGTTCAAAAATTGTTTGCGCAGCCTTGCATTGGCTGGCTCGCTGGGCGATTTGCTGGGGCCGCTCGGAGCTGATAAGAGAATATCATGTGACTTGACTGATAAGTTAGTAAGCAATAACGTGGCAATGCGCCTGTGCCTGTAACTGAAGAGGTACCTTGGTACCTATAAAACTTTGTGAATTGGGAGCCAAATTGAGCTTCGTGAATAACTTAGCCTGGGTATCCTAAGCAAAATCGAGACACAAAATGCAACATGACAGTAGAATTGCTCAATTGAGGCTGCATACGGGCAGAATAGCTACATACATGTACTCGTACATATGTGCTGGCTTCTACAGCAACTCCAGGGCTCTCATTGGCTCCCCCAGCTCTCTCCCCCCACTCAATCCCACTTCGGAAACCCTCCGCAGCAAACCAGAAGCACTTTAGCACTTCACAAAACAAGATACTGCTGCTTTGAACAGCTCCAACATTCGCACTTAAAGTTTCTCACTAAAACTCGCCCTGACTTGGCACCACAGTGTCCTCTACAGCAGTGGCCTTTAGTGGACGTTGTAGCATCCTAATCGCTAGAATATACCTGTAAAAATCCAATTGTGTCGCTGCTCAGTGTATTTGAAGTATCTGTTGGATTCGACAGCCTTGAATTTTATATTGATTTTTTTTTTGGGTGTGGGCCCCAGACCATTGAAGAAAAACGTGGTGCGTCCAGGGCAATTTTTTTTTACCACCAAATTATTGGAGAGTGTCGACTTCGGCTTTTTTTTCCTCCTCTTGCTACGTCGCACCAACCATCGTCAACCTTCGCCCTTTTCCCTCCCCCTTCCCCCGGTTCTCATTCCATTCTCCACAGGGAAGTCGTGACGGCTTCGTCTGGCCTCTTCATTCTTTTCAGAGAATATCTTCTGCCCATCGGCTGTGATTAGCACAATGGCCGCTCCCGCTGCTGCTGCTGCCCCCGCGGCTGATTCTGCGCCTTCTACTCGCCCGACTCGACCCGACGAGAATGTCTTTAAGCAGGAGCTCGCCAAGGCCGAGAAGGAGCACAAGGCTTCCATGGACAAGTTTGTATGTTTTCTCATGGCGTGGCTGCTTTTTACTTGGTGTTTTATACCTCCATTCTTCGATTTATAAGAGGCTTTACTCGAGTGTGCAGTGACACGATCTCAACATGCTCTCCCCAACAAAAACTGGCAACTCGCACAATGGGGGGGATATAAAGGAGAAAAAAGAAGAAAAGAAAGAGAAGAGAAAAAGATGATGGCGAGAGGCAGATTGTCGATTGATGCCGGACTTATGCTAATATACCATCCCTTCATTAGAACGCCATCAAGGCCAAGATTGACGTTGCTCTGCCCAACAAGAACAAGGACCAGCCCAGCCCTACCCAGAAGCGTCGCCAGGAGCTCATTGCTCAGGCCAACGAGATCCGCCAGAAGCAGGCCGGTGGCAAGAATGCCCGTACCTCCAAGCTGGACCAGATCAAGCGCCTCGATGAGCAGCTCCGCAGCCGTATCAACGAGCAGAAGACTGCCAAGGCCAAGGTCCCCTTCAAGAGCGCCGAGGATATCGACCGCCAGATTGAGACTCTCGACAAGCAGGTCAACTCGGGAACCATGAAGCTTGTCGACGAGAAGAAGGCCCTGACCGACATCTCCAACCTTCGCAAGCTCCGCAAGAACTTTGGCCAGTTCGACGAGGCTCAGAAGCAGATTGACGATCTCCGCGCCAAGATCAAGGAGATCAAGGACTCCATGGAGGACCCCGAGCAGAAGGCCCTGTCCGAGCAGTACAACAAGATCCAGGCTGAGATCGACACCATCAAGGCCGAGCAGGATGAGGCCTACAAGAGCCTGTCCAGCCTCCGTGACGAGCGCACCAAGCTGCAGGCCGAGCAGCAGGAGAAGTTTGCCGCCATCCGCAAGCTTAAGGACGACTACTACGGCGCAAAGAAGGCTTACCAGGCCTACGAGCGTGAGGCCCGCGAGAAACAGCGTGAGCGCCAGCGCCTGGAGCGTGAGAAGTACGTCCAGGAGCGCAAGAAGGCCGATGCCGAGCGTGTCCTTGCCGAGGCCAGCGAGCCCGCCTACCTCGACGAGATCCGCCGTGCTAACAGCCTGCTGGTCTTCCTCGACCCTACTTTCAAGGCTGAGAAGACCCCTCTGCTGGCCAACTCTGGCTTGACTGCTCAGGCTCAGCGCACCGTTGACGAGGCTGGTCTCAAGGGTACCAAGCTTGTCCGCAAGGAGGACCGCGATGACGAGTACCTCCCCGCCCAGTCCAAGGGCAAGAAGGGCAAGAAGGGCAACAACGCCGGTTCCGCTCAGAAGGGCTTCAACTGCCCTCCCTCCGTGGTCGAGGACTGCACGTTCCTGTCCCTCGATCCCCCCATGCGCAAGGAGGACGTGCCTGAGTTGATTGAGAAGGTCAAGGCCAAGCTTGAGCACTGGAAGGAGGACCAGGCTGCCCAGACCCAGCGTGTAAGTGCTTTAACCCCTTGAAAACAACATTTTTTCAGAAAGGCATAGACTAACTCCCCCTGAACAGAACATTGAGAAGGCCAAGAAGAAGCTCGAGGAGATCGAAAAGGCCGAGGCCAACGGTGACAAGGTCGAGGAGGTCGCCGCCGATCTCAAGGACGCCTCCCTCGAGGACAAGGAGAAGCAGGAGGAGTCATAAACGGCTCCCGAGTCTCTTGTCACCCTTGCAGGTCAAAACAGCCATCGACAATATCGACAACCGATAGCCACCTTTTCTTTTTAACTTTTTAAAAGTTACGTTCATCATATCAAGCTGACGCGCCTCATCTTTCGTTCCCAGCTCGGCTCTCGTCTCTTCATACATCGCTATATTATATACCTCTTATACCGTCAGCTTCAAGAATGTAGAATTCCAGGAGTTTCTCCCTTGGGAATCAGAAAAGAAGAAATCTGTTTTTTAAAACATGTCCTTGCAAGGGAAACGAGAAAGAACAAAAAGGAAGGGATCAGGAAAGGGTGATGCCATATCGGGAACTCCTTTCTTTTTCTCATCTCCATCCTATATCGTTATACGTGTGCCCCGCGTGTTGGGTTGATTTTTTTGTCAAAATTTTCTATCTAGTTTTTTTAGCTTTTTGTCATCTCTTTATTTTGTACCTAGGTATATCTATCTTTATTCCTCTCATGGGAAAAGGAGTTTAGGCCCAAGCACGAAATATACACCTTATGATTTGATGTAACAAGAAAACAAGAGATTCAAAGGAAAACACATACTCCCTCCCTGCAACATGACATGTGACGCCCGGCACTTTGTACATGCCGAATCTTTTGCTCATTTTCGGTGAGTGTGATGGCCTTGAGTGGCTTGCTTTCTCAAGCGGCCTGCATCCGAGGCCATCAAAAGGGGCTGCATGCGTCGTGCGTCTAGGGGAACACAGAAGACGTTCAATTGATCACATGTGAATTGGCTGGCACCAATTGAAGCTAAACCAGGTGCATCCACAGCTGTTCAACGCATGAACAAGCTAAGGTAGTTGAGCAACATTCTTCACCGCGTTTGTAAGCTTGATTCGTAGTATAGGAGGTATTCATTCATTGTTTAGATGTTTTCGCCTTGCTCAGCTAATTTCAACTATTCTGAGAATCTCATCTCGAAAATGTGCGCGTAGTGACTCATACGAACCAGTTTTATCCTCCACTATAGACGGGTTTCATGACGAGACACAAAGAATCCAGTGCGTACGAGTGCTCCCCTCATGGCTCAGCCACTCACATTTCGACCGTGGTCATGCTGTGCTCCAGACAAAATCATTCGCTTCCTTTGATGCATACTTTATACGCCAGGCTGAATGGTATGTATGTGTGTGTGTGTTTCCAAACTCGTCTAAACACAGTGATCCAAAATCTTGTAAATGTAGCCAAAAAGAAGAGAGAAAAACAGGAAAAAATTCCAACGTCCGGGGTTCCAAAGTAAGGCTACTCCAACTACCATGCAATCATGCCATTCCCATTCCAGACAAATGAAACCTAATGGTGATCGTACATGTCGTGATGCTTTTGTCGCAGAGGGGGTAGAGGTAAAAGTAAAATGATATGTAGACTGTTTGTGCCTCTGGCGCTCATGTCATGATGAAAGAAAATGGTTCAATCATAATTTTTTTTGAGTTGCTTATTTGTTTTGGTATCTTTTTCTTCCGCTTATCCAAATGGTGCGTAGTATGATGAAGATGGGTGGTGCTGAGGAGGTGGCGGCCTGAATGTCCTTCGGTCTCGGGGCGCTGCGGCGGGTGCAGGGGTACGACGCTCCATGAGGGCATCGCGATCTGCGTGAAATTGAGACGGGGGAGCTATAGCAGGAGGAGGAGCGGAACCAGCACTGGCACTGATTGAGCCGGCTCGACGGCTCGGCTTTCGAGGAGGAGGAGCAGTCAGGGGAGGGTTCTTTACGGCAGCCTCGTCATCGGCGGGAAGGGTAAGTTCAATGAGGCTATAAAAGTATTCGAGGACTTCAGGATAACGTTGCACGCTGGCCTGCCAATCCTCATCGATGCCTCGCTTCAGAGTTGCCTGAGCTTCGGCGATCTGGTTTGGGTGTGGCGGCGCATTGTAATGGTAGAATGCGTGGGCAGTGATGTGGTCGAGATGAGCCGAGTGGGCCGTCTTTCGTCGCTCGGCAAGTTGACGGAAGTACTCAAGAATATAATCTTGAGCATGGGCCCTTACCCACGAACTATTATCTCACGGATTAGTGGACGCTAAGCCTCAGCATCAAGGGCGGTCAAGGTAGGGCAGTATAAAAGATGATGAAAGGGCCAAACCAACCGTATGTCACTATATATGGATCGCATCATGCGTTCCTCGGCCTGCTTAACGGCTACTTCGAGGCCTTTTGCCTCGCAGTCACAGGCCATCGAGGCCGGAGCATGGCATATGGCGCAGTCCGGATCCATCCTGATGAAGGACTTCCGCACCTTGGTATCTCTGGTATGCATCTTAGCAATGGGGTATCTTTAGGTTTTGGCGTGGAGGCGTTGTTTGGGTTGAAAGGTGTAATTGAGAGAAGATTCCAGGGAGAGACGGATAGGAAACAGAATACGGGCTAGTATTACACAGAAAGCATTCAGGCACGCGAGAGAAAGGGCACGGTGGGCTTGTTGGCAGGCAATCAACCGCAGTAGCAAGGCCTCACTCCCCCGTTGGTAAGCCCATAGACGGGCCTCATGGGGAATGCAAGTGGGAAAATCGGGAGATTGTGGCAGATATCGGATGGAAGATGTGGTATATGGGCAGAGAAGAGGAAGAGGAAGAGGGAGGGGAGGGGATGGAAGAGAAGGAGAATGCAAGAGAGAGAGTGAGAGAGAGAGACTGACCTGGTTGAGGAAAGGATAAGACAAGCAGAAGCAACGATAGAGTCACGCCAAGCGGTAAAGGGAATAGAGGAAATGCCAGCAGAAGCAGCGGCTGCTGTGCTAGATCAGAAGGCTGACGCTGTCTCGCCGGTGAGCTGGGATGTATCCTGCAAGCACAAGCACAAGCACAGCACAAGCACGAAGCAGCTCTGGAGGCGTCGGACCCAGGATGAAGCTTTCCGGAGGGGACCAGAAAGAGGGCCTTTGGGAGGGACAAGATCTCAAGGTCCGGGACCGAAGCGTGGGGAAGGCCAAAGGGCAGCTGCAGCACGACGAGCGTGTCCTGGGGGTCGAATGAGGAGGCGGCAGGTGGGTGACCAGCTGTCGTGGCTCGAATGCGGGATCGAGGAGCCTATGCAGGCTAGCCTAACGAGCAGCGAACTGGCCCAACGAAGATGAAGGTGCCCAAAGAGGAGAGGAGAGACTGTCGAGCAGGCGACGTCTTTTTTGTGGTGGCGAGAGGGCTTGGGGAGGGCAAAAGAGAGAAAATCCGAGATTGCAAAGAGCAGGCTGGGCTGAGTAATTAATTCCGCTGGGCTGCCAGAAAAGACACAGATGCAGAACAATGCCAGCTGGTTTTCGTACGTACGTGTAGTATCCCCAGGCCGTACAGTATCTGCCGTGGCCGAGACGCAGAGTCGCAGTCCGTCTTCCCGTAGCAGCACTTCGTACTTGTAATCTAAAAGGTGGCGGTCGATTCTTGCAGTCTGGATATGTGGCCGCTGGCGTCTCGTTGTCCGTGCAGCAATGGAGCCGCTGGTGTCACACAAGCAAGACACGACACACACACACACACAAGGGAGGCTGGTGGACCGACCGCTGACTTGTTGACCGTGGTGAGGAGAGAGATGGGCTGGTCTCATGCAGCGAAAACTCAGCAGGCGGATGGAGCCGGCAGAGGGCCAAACCGATTGACGGCGGTTCGTCTCACCAATCGGGTCTGGCCTAGTGAGACACTGATATCCTCTGCCTGCAGCGGCCCCGTCGTGTCCGTACCGGTGCCTTTTCTTTTGCTCTTTGCCTTGTGTTGCCTGCGGGCGTGCTGTGCCGTAGGCTATATGCTGTATGTATTATGTAGGTGCTTGCTGCGGGAATGCGGGCAAACAGGTGGGAAAGTCACCTGCGGATGGAGACGTTGAAGCCGCAAATCTGCGAGTAACAGCATCAGACAGCCAGGCCGATGAGCGGGCATCTAGGCTGCAGCCAGAGAGATTTCACCGCACTTTGTAGCATTGGGAAGCGGGCTCGAGCATGCACCGTCGAATCACGAGGGGCGGGACATGCATGGACGAGGCCCGCCGTTGGCCGGATTGCTTCCCTGTGGACAAGGCTGCGAGGAGCTAGAGGAACCCTAGCAGCCAGCAGAGGTCACGATGCGCTGACGATGCTGGGAAACTGGTGATGTGATGCGATGCTGGCTGGCAGAGATCTGCCATGCTCTCTCTGGCTGTTGACTCGTCTCTTGTCTGCTTCGCCCCTCCGCGAGAAGCATGCCGGCACCGAGTGCTTCTGTTGGCCGTACTCGTACATGGCACCGGCGATCTGATAGCTTCAGCAAATCAAATCACAAGCTGCCGGCCTCAATTCTGCACTCGTGCGTGCTTTTTCTCTTTCTCCTCTTCTCTTCGCTGTCACGGATTCGACATGGGGGACTGAAGAGCCAGGGTCCAGTGATTGGCCTCAAAGCGGGGGTGCGAGACAAAATGGAATCAAGCTTAGAAAAGTCGAGTGTTGATTACAGCGCAGTTGCTGTTGCCAGCTGGACTCGCTGAGTTGGCAACACCTGCAGCGTGTGTACAGGGTACATGCAAATGCACAAATCCAATGAGTGCAAACTGACTCATTCGTGCACGTCGCTGTGCATCTGTGCATTGAGTAGTCGTACAAACAACTGCTAGAGCTTGTAACAGCAACTCCAGCCTCCCGTCTTCTGCCTATTATTATAGCGGCTGATCAAGCTTCTGATGCTTGATTCAATTGAGCCTCTGATCGGCCTCCAAACCCCGCCATGCCCGCTATTATGCCGGCGCTGGTGGGGTCAAGCCCCGGCTACAGGCCGTAGTTACCACTAGAACCCCTCCATGGCCAGTGGGTGAGCCATTGAGTTCTTATCTTATCGGCGACGCAGCATCGTCAAAATTTCTGGTGCATCAATGTCGCATCATCAGAGACACCCGTATATAACCATGGGCAAGCAAATATAGCGGCGCACACAATCCCATCATGCCACCTCGGTGTCCCGGCCCGTCTCAGCTGCCTCTGGCGCCGTTCCTCTACCCGGCACTCTTTCGCCCTCGGCTCGTCCACTCTGCGCTGCTCCGAACGGCTCTCGCCCGCCACTCTTCGTCCTCTTCATCTCCCTTGAACAGCCTCCCCGAGTCACGACTGAATCCCGCACCGGACGACTATGCGGCGCCAAGCTTTGCGGATAAAGCAGAATTGACGCTTTATGCTGGTCGTGGAGGCAACGGTTGCGTCTCCTTCCAGCGAGAGGCGTTTCTCCCTGACGGTCCTCCCAATGGCGGCGATGGCGGCATCGGGGGCAATGTCTATATCCAAGCCGCGCATGGTGAAACCTCACTGCATAAATTAGCCCGCAGACGTTTTGTTCGTGCCGGGCGCGGAAGGCACGGGCAGGGAAGTGGAAAGGGAGGCATGCGAGGAGAGGACGTTGTCATTACCGTTCCCGTGGGCACAATCGTCCAGGAGATTGAGCGCCATGACCCAGCTGCCGAGGAGGAGATGGCCATGAAGGCATACAATGCCCTAAAGAAACAGAGGCGGCGCGAGCTTTTGGCTCAGCAGCAACTGGAATCACAGTTGAAAGCAGAAGAGGAGGCAGAAGAAGAAGAAGACGCCATGGATGAGCGACGCTCAAAGAAATACAGTCCCGAGGACGACTACGATCCAGACGCCGATGATCCGGAGCGGGAGAAGTGGCTTCTCTATCCTGGCATGTCCAAAAACGACATGAAATCAGCAGAATTTCCCAAGCTGCCCAAGCGGACTCGCTTCTTCCAGCAGCCTGCTGCGCCAGTCTATCTCGACCTCTCCAGACCAACGCCCACGCCTATTCTGCTAGCCGCAGGCGGCATCAACGGTCTCGGAAACCCTCATTTCACTTCGAGAAATCACCCCCGACCAGTCTTCGCCACCAAGGGCGATGAAGCCGTGACTATGAAAATCTCCTTAGAGCTCAAGCTGCTGGCCGATGTAGGTCTGGTGGGTTTGCCCAATGCCGGCAAAAGCACTCTCCTGCGAGCTCTCACCAACAGTCGCACGCGGGTCGGCAACTGGGCTTTCACAACTCTTCAACCCAACATCGGCACCGTCGTTTTGGACAGATACTCTGGCCATCCCAGCGTCAAACCGCGCCGCCACCGTTACCCATCTTCATCTCAGGAAGCTAGCACCGACGAATCCGCCCTGGGAGAGCCGCGGACACGGTTCAGTGTGGCAGACATCCCAGGTCTCATCGAAGGAGCTCATCTTGATCGCGGCCTCGGCATAGCCTTCCTCCGCCACGTCGAGCGCGCAGGTGTCCTCGCATTCGTCATCGACCTCAGCGCCGGCAATGCCGTCAAGGCCCTTCAATCCCTCTGGCGCGAAGTCAGCCTTTACGCCGAAATGCGTCAGGAAGAAGAACGTTCTCGCGAAATCGAGGCCCGAGTCGACTGGGATCTTGCTTCTCAGGTAACGCGCGGACCCGTCAACCTGATGGGCGCCTCATACGGCACTCCGCTGCCCATGCAGGAAGCACAAACTCGGACGCCGACGCTGCACATTGCGGGCAAGCCATGGTTTGTCGTCGCTACTAAGGCGGATTTATCGGACACGCAGGACAACTTCCGAGAGCTCAAGACGTATCTGGATGATATGACGGAGGGGCGAGAGCCGCACCCGAGTGGCGTTGAGGGAGCGTGGACAAACAGCTGTGCGGCTATTCCGGTCAGTGCGATTCACGGCCAGGGGGTTGACCGGATTGTTCACTGGACGGTTGGACTTTTGGATGAGTAGAGTTGTCGCATTCAAGATAGAGTTAAAAGTAGGACATGTACGATACGTACCCAGTATAGGATGGCAGCGCTTGTATGAATAGATGTAATCCCGACGAAAGAAGTGCTTACTAGTAGGTAGACAAACCGAAAATAATCCTATAGATATAAGTACCTAAATAGATGGTTCTAACAATTTCTTCCAAATAAGCTCCATTTGTACATTTTTTTTTTTCATCCTTGTCTCAGGGGTTGCAGCTATTACCACGATCCCATTTAATCAGATCCCTCTGGGGTGGGAATATCCTCCAGGTCAATCTCCTGCTGTTCCTCCTCCTGCTGCTGTTCTTCAGCCTCCTTCTTCTCCTTCCTCTGCAGACTAATGTTAATCAACGGTGAAGTGTCGTTAAACACCCTCAACAACATAGCCGACCGGTCCTCCTTAGGCAGCATCAAGTTCAGCGAATGAATGCTCTTCCACAGCGGAAGCGCCATCCTCTCCTGCCACTCCTGGTCGTCGCCCTCGGGCTCGACCCTCAGCACACAACATCCCATGCCGATGTCGCGCACTCGCTCGCCAATCTCCTCAAAGTTCTTCCACCCGCCGTCGCTGATCTTGGGGAACATCTCAATCAGGAGCTTGTGCAGCGTCTCCTTGTTGCGCAGCCGCACGATGCGGGTCTCGCCGACGTAGCCTTGCAGGATGGGCATGCCTTCGGCCTGGATGCGCCAGCGGCAAACTTCGGCCGAGGGGGCGTCCTGCTTCATGAACATGCGGACACCGCCGTGGATGAATTTCAGGCCTCGGCCCTCGTTCTCCGTGAGGATGTCGCGCATCAAGGCGGTGGTGTAGTAGATGGCCTTGGCAGGCTCTCCCATCTCGTTTCTCACCATGTATCGGTTGGTGGGAAAGCGGCTAGACAGTTTATAAAAGTCCTTGATGTTCTGGATAGTCGGGTGCTCGGGGTCGAGATACTTGAAGGGCTCCTCAACCGGCCCATTTCTCTTGGGCTTGCCTGGGCGGTCCTCGCGTTGTGTGGTAGGGGCGGGAACGGGAGTGGCGGCTGCTGAGCTTTCCTCTCCAGTTTTGGTCTTCTTCGCTGGTTGCTCTGCACCATCGTCAGTCTCCAGGGGGCGCTTGCTAGCGGCTGGGGAGGCATCATCCATTGGTTCATCCTCCTTCTTTTCTTCCGCTGCGGTAGACTCCTCTGGCTTTGCCTCGGTAGCAGGAGTGGCGAGGTTCTCAGAGGCTTCGTTTGCCCGGGCGGTCTCCTTTGCCTCGTTCTCCGGCTTCGCCTTGAACTCAGTCTTCTTCTCCAAAACGGTGATGAAGAAGCCACCGGTATCTTGCAGGTGAGGGTAGACTCGCATGCAGCGCTCCAAAGGCAGGTTGGTCCCCGCAGGGTCTGGGAACATGGATGACTGAAGTCGTCCAGGAATCACACCTTCGTTGCTCTCCTTGGCGAACTTCTCGACCTCCTCCCATGAGCTCCAAATCCTAGCGCTCTTGTCCATGATTTTCCACGTCTTCAGACCGGGTCGTCGCACGAGGCCAGGCAGCTGGTCACTAGAGTCAACAATCTCAACATTGTCCAAGCCACCACATCTCTCAATAGCAGCAGCAATGATCGATTCATTCTCAACTGGGTTCATGCTGCATGTCGAGTACACAACGCGGCCACCAACTTTGAGGAGCTGTAGGGCTCGGACCAGAATACGGATCTGGGTGACGTGCAGTCCCAAGGCACTACCCGGCTGCCAGTCCTTCCACAGGTTCGCATTCTTTCGTGCTGTTCCGTCTCCGGAGCAGGGAACGTCGGCCAGAATTCTGTCAAATTTGAGGTAGACAGGCTTGTTGTCGGTCGAAGGCAGCTTGATAGAGGGGAATTGGGTGGCATCGTGATTCATCACAAGGAGGTTAGGCGATGACAGTCTCTTAAGCTGATGGACAAGAAGATGGCCACGCTTGTAATCGGCATCGTTGGCGATCAGCAGGCCCGTGGCGCGACCGTTATCAGATGGGTCGGCCTCAAGATCGGCTTCGGCCTCGTCCTTGGTCTCATCACCGAGGTCCAAACCATCCTCCTTGGCGAATTCTCGCAGAACCTTCCTCACGCGAGACTCCTCGCCAACGTGGAGCATTTCCAGCAGCTGAGCAGACTTGCTTCCCGGTGCGGCGCACATGTCCAGCACAGTCATGCCTGGTCGGAGATCCATCAGAAGAGGAGGGATCATGCTGACGACTTCCTGTCTGCTGATGTTGCCAACACTGGTTTCAGAGACGAGGAACTTTTGGAAGGCCGCAAAGGGCGGGAACTTGCGAACAACGTTCTTGGGCGTAGTCATCCACCAAGCGAGTTCGTCGGGGTACCAGGACACTGGCTGAGGAGGGTCGACGGGACGGCCATCCTGGTGTTCAATCTTGACGATTTCGGGGATGTATCGGGATCGCAGAAGTCTCTCGACGGCGAGCGCATGGCTATGCGACAAAGGTTAGCGTTGAGCGCAGGTAATCAGACCGACGCAAAAGGATGGGTTGGGTAAAATCAGCATCAGCGCGCAAAGCACAACGTACCCCTTGGAGCCGCAGAAGCGGAAGCTGTTGGGCAGCTCGCGCTTCAATGCATCCCAGAACTGCGTCTTTTCCTCCTCAGGAAGCTGCAGCAGCGAATCGTAAAACTCCTGGAGCTTCTGGTTCTCTTTCTTGAGAGCAGGGTAGTCCCTCCAGCTTTGGCCGCGATCACCGCCTCCTCCGCGTCCACCACCGCCTCCACGACGTCCTTTTCCCTGTATATGAAAAATAAATCATCAGTATTTGACAATTGATTTCAATTGAAGCCACTGGTTCCTTGACGAAACTCACTCTGAATTTCTTGCCCATCGTTGCGATTTGACCTGCTGGCGTTTGGAGCTTGTGATGGTTGGAAATTTTACAGGATAGAAAATCTGGATGCCCCGCTGTATCGCGGGTAGAATGCGCTAAAGCCAGAGGGTGGGTGGCGCCAAACCTCCAAACTCAAAGACTAAGGGCGCTAAGGAATGCAGGTTGGTAGCATTTGATCCATCCATTGATGGATTGATGGATGCCTCCAGCCGTAGAATGCAAATAATATGGATGGCGAACGCAAACTCATCCAGAGAAGAATAATTATGAGATTTACTTCCACACCATCTGTTGCAGTCATTTTTAAACACCTATAGGGTATCTCTTCTATGACTACCTACGGTAGATGTATTTAATCTTCAATTAGCTGAGGCCCTCTCATATCTACATCTGGCAAACTTCACAAGATGAAGGGTAAGCTCTCTACCTAAAGTCGCCTGTTCTTGGCCCTCCTTTTTCTACCACTTTCTAGTGCTTGTATCAACAGCCATTGTTGAGAAAAGAGGCCCAGTGTCGCCATAATTGAGTTAAATGTGGCATATTGCTTGCCGTTGTCTTTCAAGCCATGTATATGAAAGGATTGTAGATGTCTAGACGATGTGGCCGGCTCGACAATCACTATGTGGTATCAGCTAGGAGTTAAAAACTACACTACAACATGCTTTCAGCTGCCCCTCTCCTCGATTCACCACATATTTGATACCAAGGAGATGCTGGCAAGCGATATCGAGGTCATTAAATCTTGCCCAAAAACATGGCGGAAGGGGTTGAGCTCGATCAGCTCTTGAATACCGGATTCAAATTGTTATCGAAATGATCGATGAAACACTGGTGATTATTCATCGACTTTTCTTCGAATTTTGCCTTGATACAACGATAGATAGTTGGGCGTAACTATCAGGGCCAGCTGCCGTCCAGCCCAGATAATTGCTTCGATCGTGATCTTGGAAAGACGTTGACCAACGTTGACCAAATTTCTTTGGTACTTAATGCCTTCATAAATTTGGATTGCAATCTCCTTTACCAATATGCTTAGGTTATGATATCAACCGATCATACCATGCCTGATCTATCATCGACTGGCGTATGATTCTAGCACTATTGACATCCTTTATCACAGATTCCATTCTCCCAACTGCCTTCTTGAATAACGTACTTATTACCTATACCTTGACTTTCAAATACAAGAGATTTTTAATCACGCTTGAGCAATGAGTCCAACCAACAACCTTTAAAACACTTTGTATTTCAACCATTGGCGATTCAGAGCTTTCAACCATTGGCGATTCAGAGCTCCCCTCCTCCTCTCATCAGGCATCCATTTCAGCCTCATCTCAGGAGTAATGCCATCAACTCCAGTTGACGCAAGAAAAAGTCCCTATACAAACACGATTGGCCAACTGCAAGTACATTCACTTCATCCTCCACCCAAAGATACATCACTTACAGTACCTATACCTTCAATTCACTTTCACTTCAGCCCTCCAGGCAGCAGCCTCACCTGCCCAACTTCACCGCCCACATCTTCGTGCGCACAGACCACCTCCGCCCGACTATATATCATCCTCCTCTCCTCTTCCCTTTCAGTTCTCTTTTCTTCTTTTCTTCTTCATACTTACCTTGCTTAAGTACTTTGTCCGAGATCAAGAAGTCGGAGTACTAGTATGGAGGGCCTGCATTGCACATCGCGGAGTCAACTCCTTGCTCCATTGTCCTTCGGGGCCATGGGAGGCGCAATTTTTGATTTTGAAAAGCTTCGGCTCTTTGTTTTCATTGTGTTGCTTCTGCTTGCGGAAGCCACGAAGAAGACGTCCCTTGATTTTTCAAGGTGCCGTTGTCTCGTGATGGGAGACGGGTCAGATGGGTCGTAATCGCGTAGCATGGTCAACAGCAACCAGAAATACACTTAGTCGTGATGTGTAGAATGGAATCTCAAACTGTTGCATTTATCGCTGGCATTCCTTCCTCTTTCACGTCCATAGATTCTCGACTTTCGAGGCGCTCGAGTTCCGCTGCTATCTCGCGTTGGGTTTGTTCGTCGACGATGCCGTGTCCAGTTGGTGACATCTAACGTGGTTGGTATGATGTCGGTGTCTCCATCTCTGTCGTGCTCGATAGACGCCTTGGCAAATTGCAGAGTCTTGTATTCGATCAGTCTTTTGGTGAGTGGTGCGGAGTAGTTTCTCATATCATCCCCTTGTCGAGTCACATCGTGCACACCACAAACGAATTTTGCCAGACCAAATGCATTATTTTCATCCGCTCATCTATCTATCTATTATGTACCTTTTAAAAATCACAGCTCATCACGTCCTTGGGCTTCTCAAAAAGCTCACCACGCCGCTGCAATATCCAACCAAATCATCCAGCCTATTACATTCCTTCTCCTGCTGTCCCTTCCACTCTTCAAGAGCCTTGAGCAGCGTCTTGTTTTCCATCACCATATCAAAGTGAAGTCGGAGGAACACCGTCATCCACGCCTGCGTCAGCTCGTAATCCTTTCGCGCCTGTAACCGTGTCGTAAGAGCTCGGATAAAGTGGAGGAGCTCGTTGGAGTCGTCATCCTCGCCCAGGGAAAGCGACCGAAGCTCAAGATCCGCAGTCGAGGGAGAGAGTGATTTGAGGTGCTCAATAAAATCATCGTCTGGTAAAAAGAGAAGAATGTCAGTGCTTTTAGCTTGGTAACGTCTGGAAAGAAAAAAGAACTTACAGTTGCCGTTGGCAGCGCCAGCACGCAGCTTCGATGTGAATGTTTCCTCAAATCGAGCCTTGTCGTATCTACTGATACGAGACTTGCTCCCGTTTTCTGGTTCATCTTCTCCGTCCTTGGCCCCAGGCACTTGCGCCCCGGATGTGGATGGCAAGAAGAAGGGCGCCTTTTCGGGGAGCTTAGGTGCCTCCGTCGGCTTATTGCGCTCTTTGATCAGATCCAGGTGGAGCAGCGTCTGCCATCTGCTCTTAGGAACCAAACTCAGCGTCATCAGGTCAGCACTGATTTGATCGACAGTAGGCGCGAGGACGCCAACGTCTTCTTCTGCCTTGTCCTCCTCAAATGCTGCCTCCAGCAAGCCAAGGTTTCCTTCTCCGGACGTCGTAGGTGCAGTCACCAAGTCGATTTCAGCTTCGGATATCTGGCGAGTTGGGACGTGTTTATACAGAGCCTTGTTCGTCCATATCGTAACACCAGGGCTGTCTTCCAGAGCCGCAGCCAGGTACTCGCCTGTGTATGACATGGCCACAGCTTTGCAAGGCTTCTCCAGTCGAATAGCGTCGATGAGATGGCTGGTGGGTAGATCCCATATCCTTATCACCGAATCGCGAGAGGCGGCAATGATCCACCTTCCGTCGTTTGAAAAGCAAAAGTCGTTGATGACATCTTTGGGACCCCAGAATTCTCGAATGGTCTTTTTTGTTTCCAGGTCGACAACTCGAATGGAAAGGTCATCGCAAGAAAAGGCCAAGAGGTTGTTAGCAGGGTGGTAACGGCAGCCAGTCGGGAATGTCATGGGCGCCCAGTCCAACTGCTCCAAGAGGGTTCCTGTCAAGAAATCCCAGAACTTGATCTTGCCGTCCAGCGCACAAGACACCACAGTCTTGTTCATAGAATCAACAACCAGGCCAGTGATGGCCTGGGTATGCTTGCCAACACCGGCGGGATACTTTCGGTTGCTTTCGCTTTGCAGCTGAACAACGTCATCTGCCTGTCGAAGCTGCTGCATTTTCAGCTGACGAGCTTGTGCTGGCGTCAACTTGGAGGGGAAGCGTTGGCGGTGGACACCAGACTGAAGATTGTACATGTCGATGCCACCAGCCCCGGAGCCGACCAATGCAAACGTTCCGCAGGGACTGATAGCAACAGTTGTGACGTTGGTGCCATCGCCAGTTGGGAATGCCCAGCGACCAGCTCTCTTTCGACCCCAGAACCAGGTGCGGGCAAAAGGGTCACCTTTATGAGCGGTGACAACACTCTCCCAGCCCGTCATTCCGCTAATCTCTGCGTCCATCTTCTTCTTGGGGTCTCGTCCCTTCTGCCAAATCTCCTGCTTGCCAGGCAAGGCGCCAATACCACCATCGCGGTTAAGTGAAGTGGCAATGCATGTGATTTCGGGGGCTTTAAGGTCCTCCAGTGTTGTCGTTGGGCCATGTGCGAGAGCATTGCTGGCCAGGATACCAATCTTCTTTGCCTTCTTCCGTATGTTACCCTGACTCAGCTCTGTGCTCTGACCATCGCGACGCATGCTCCATCCCCAGAGACTCCTATCCTTGCCACCGCTGATAATCCATTTATTTCCGGCTTCAGCACCATCGAAATCGGAGGGTAAGAATTGGAGGCAATTGACAGGACCAGAATGTCCGCTCCGGGAGTGCAGGATTCTTGGGATAGGAGAGAAAGGCGTCTCATCAAAGATCCATGACTTGAGAGAGTTGTCTCGGCCGCTGGATACAATGACTGCCTGACCAGCCAAAAATTCAACTTTGCTGATGCCACCGCGGACGTCACCGCCCTCACCTGAAGGTGGGTTGTGGGCACTTCGAAGGACTCCCATAACACGACCTCCCTTATTCAGATCCCAAAAGGTAATATCGCCTGAGGACGGTGTAGCGGTGGCCATGACACCATCTTTTCTGCCATCATGTCCAGCTCCCATACCATCGGTTCTGAACGATATCGAAGTAATAGGGGCCTCTGGGCTTCCAGCTTCGACTTGGAGAGCGCGCTTATCGGTGAGTACATTGGTGATGACTAGGGTACCGCTTGAGTAGGCGATGGCCAACAAGGAGAGAGCCGGAGTGGGTTCGAGACAAGTTACGGCGCCAGAGTCGGGGGAGGGAGGTAAAATGGTGTATATCAGCTTTCCAGTGCTGACGTTCCAGATCTCGACCCAACCATCTTTGCGACCAACGAAGATCTTGTTGAGGAATGTAGGCATGGTGACGACGCCGCTGGTGATCTCATGGCCGCCTTTGGCAGCAGCCATGGTGTGGATAGTAGTGTAATGCTCGAGTGTCGCGGTTTTGAAAACCTCAATCCGCGTCTTCGCGCAAGCGATGAACCAGGTTCCAAAGATGGTGATTTGCTGGATTGGCTCTGTCAGGTCGCTGGGGAGAGCTACCTCATCAATCTTTCTACCTCTTTGGAAGACCCAAAGGCCCTGAGGTTCGCCATCCTGCGATCCACCCCATGCGGCAAAGACCTTCTTTCCCCAGGCATACGTAGCAGTGATATCCGCAAGTGTCTGTGGCCGGGTGACAAAGACTAGGTTGAGACCTCGGAGCAAATCGTACGTCTGCAGAGACCGGCCGACCGATGTTGTAATTTGGAAAGTAGTCTTTCCCAATGGAAAAGACGTAAAAGGAATACTCGATGGAGAGACAAGGCCGACAGTCTGCAAAGTAAACAGTTAGAGTCATGTATCTAGTTGCTAAAAGCTATTTTTCATAGGAAGAGCGCATCGCATATACGTACTCGGAATGGAGCAAAGATTCGGGAGGAATTGCTTGAGGGTTGAGGCGCATTGGCCAAAGTCGACACTTTCTGGCGCTTTGCCAGCGGCCCATCGGGATCGGAATGCGGCATCTTTACGCTGGTGTTGTGCAGCGTTTCGCGATTCGTCGTCGAGAGCAGCACTCAACTTGTCGTGGATCTGTAAATTTTTGGCGGTGATGGATACTGCCGTTTTCTGCCGCTTACCTAATGAATCGCTAGCCATTGCAAGTGGCTGGAGCGCATGTCCCCGCCACATGACACCGCCACATGCCCTCCAAGTCAGCATCATGCACATGTAGACGATGTGTTTAAAGAATTCATCCGAAGTGTGTAGCACAAATCATTCCCTTCATTGTGATATCTTTGCGCAGCATCATACTGAGAGAGGACAGATGCCCTTGGCTGCTTGAAAAGAATCTACGCTTTAGAGATTACGGATGCGCAGGTTAATACGAACGCTTATAGCAAGATCTCTAGATTCTGCAAAGTGTCAATAAATACTTCAGAGCTTCAACTTCGTATTCATCTTCAGCAAAGTCTCTTTAATCGCCATAGAGCCAACCACATGTGTCGGATGACCACCTTTTCGATGCATTTGAATCTTCGGTGCGGTTACACAGATGGCATCTGCTGCCTCTCCGGTGTTGTAGGCTAAAAACCTCATCACAGTGCTCTATGTACGAGTCCATCCCCAGACTGCAGCGCAAATCAATGAGATAAACAGACCCTCACAACACAGGCTTGTCATGGTAGCTCGACGACGGCCTCACCGCTAAGTGGATTTGGACGTCAAGTAGCGATTCTGTTGGTTGGTTTTGCTCAGACTTGTCCCCTTGCAGCCCCAGGGCATCAATTTCCATTCGCCAATTCAACCTTTGCCCCTCCGTTGTAGCTTGTTCCCTCTTTTTCTCTGACTTGGTGCCAAGCATATCCTTGTCTTTCGCGGTGCTCAGCTCCCGATTTGCCCCTCGTTAGCTGACGCTGCATGTGGCTTGGGCCAATGAGGCCTCAGCAATCGCCTCCATCAGGGACCGTCCAGAAGGCTACAGAAGGGAAAAAAAAAAAATTATTCCAAGGACGCCGCCACCGAGACTGTCTGCACAGTAGCCAGTTACACTTTTGACAAGGTTCGATGTAGGTACATATATACACTGAGGAAGGCAATGCCCTTTAATTCTTCTTCTCCCATCTGAAGGCTCTCTTTCTTTCAATCCAGCCTTTTATCATAATCCTTATTCAATTCCAGCCACCACGTGTCTTGCTGCAGCGTGTCAACTCGCCGCTCTCGGATGATGTCACCGCCCGCCCGTATCTAGCACCGGACGATTGCAGCCCAGCTCCTGCAAAGTATTGACTGCATAGAGTGGGTTCCTCCCGGATCCCGTTCGGCGAGAAGACTCCAGTCTTTTCTTTTCCTCCTGCTTACCTCCAGATCGTTAGTCGATAGACTATTTCCCCTCCGCCAGCCCGTCCAAGGCTTCTTTCTGCTGGCAAGCCTCCGCCACTATCATATCATGGACCCTTCCAGTGCCAGCTTCAGCGATCCCGCTATGGGGAACGAAGAGGCTCCGCTGCCACCGCCGTCAGAAGCTTCGTACGACGCCAGTGCCGCCAATTCCTCGCCGTACACCTTGCCGTCCCAGCCCTCGAGGCAATCCCGCAGCGTGTCTGTTTCCTCCTTCACGGGCTCAGTCAGCAGCAAGAGCCGCTATGCCGAGCCGGGCACCTCCGACGTCCACGCCGAACGATCTAGCTTCTCCAGCAGCCCTCACTCTTCCAATTTTCTCAAAGGCGCTCGATCGATGAGTTCATACAGTCGACGACACTCGGCCGCTTCCGAAGCCCTGACTGAGGAACTCTACCTGGGAGAATCTCAGCAGAGCCAGGTCTTCTTTGACAACGATACTCCTCGGATTCGCCCCAACCCAGATGTTCCAGCCAACCACTCGGCTCTCCCCGAACCCGCTCTGACTACCAAGTCGTCGTTTTCGGATTCTCATTCAATTCGATCGAAGCGTCTGTCCGGAACATCGTTGTATTCATTGGCTTCGGCACGTGGCGTCATCATCAGCCCATCGCAATCGCAATCGCAAGCCAATCCAGCGTCTGATCAAGGACCGCCTCCGCGATCGGTACCAAGTCTGATGTCGTCCGGAAAAGCGCCAGCCTCGGCCCAACCTGAAGCCGCATTGTCTAGCGTCACCGTCACCACCTCTTCAGGAAGCCAGTCGGGACATGGGTCGCCTAATACTCACAGCCTCGCGGCCAGAGATTCGCAGCCGCCGCATCTTGATCTCGTCAGGCGAAACCAACGATCCGAAACCATGCGAACTACCCAGCCCGATCGTTCTCGGAGTAGAGCAAAGAGACGGTTCAGTGGAAGCACTGCATACAGCAGTCAGAGCCCAAGTAGTGAACGAGGACCGCACCATCGAGAGAAAGAAGAAGGTTCGTGTGGAATCGATTGTCGATCGGGCAAGTCTCCCGCGTTGGATTGTCCATTGTAGCTGACAACAATGCTTCAGTCAAACCCGCGCCGCTAGGTGTTATTGGCATTTGCGCTCTCGATATCAAAGCCAGAAGCAAGCCGAGCCGGAACATTCTGAATCGCCTTATAGCGAACCGCGAGTTCGATGTGGTGGTTTTTGGTGACAAAACCATTCTCGATGAAGGTATGACATTTCTTCGAATTCCCCAGCCTCCGATTAGAAAAAAATACAGATCGTCTTTAATGTTTTCTTGAAAAGGATGGTGGTACTAACAGAAAGTTTTTCGTATAGAGGTTGAAAATTGGCCAATGTGGTGAGTAATTCCCTTCTCGGTCAGCGTAAAGAGGATAGTGGCATGATCCCCTTGGCGTATCAACCAGATGACAAAAACAACAGACCACAGAACACGCAATATTTGCTAACAGTTTTCAGTGACTATTTAATATCATTCTACTCCGATGGATTTCCCTTAGAAAAGGCCATTGCATATATAAAGACGAGGAAGCCCTTCTGTGTCAACGATGTGCCGATGCAAAAGATCCTCTGGGACAGGCGTGCGTGCTTGCGTCTGCTGGACAAGATTCAGGTTCGCACGCCAAAGCGGCTTGAAGTGACACGGGACGGTGGCCCAAAGGTTCTCACTCCAGAAATGTCAAAATATATCAGGGAAGTGTCCGGAGTGACACTGGAACCCGCTGACCCGGAAAATACTCCACCACCAACAAAGGTTGAACTTCTAGACGATGGAGACGTTCTCAGCGTCGATGGAGCCCTTCTCAAAAAGCCCTTTGTAGAGAAACCAATTAGCGGCGAAGATCACAACATCATCATATATTTTCCAAAGAGCTCTGGAGGAGGAGCACGGAAGTTGTTCCGAAAAGTTGGAAACAAGAGCTCTGAATACATTCCCGAGCTCAACGTCCCTAGAGCTATCTCCGAACCCGAAGGCAGCTACATCTACGAAAGCTTTATGGAAGTGGATAATGCGGAGGATGTCAAGGCATATACTGTTGGTCCTCAGTACTGCCATGCGGAAACCCGCAAGTCTCCCGTTGTCGATGGCATCGTCAGACGAAACACGCACGGCAAGGAGCTGCGCTATGTGACGAGTCTCGGTGCGGAAGAACGAGAGATTGCTCGCAAGATTTCGACTGCTTTCGGACAGAGGGTCTGCGGATTCGATTTGCTCAGAGCTTCGGGAAAGAGCTATGTCATTGACGTCAACGGCTGGAGCTTTGTCAAAGACAATGAGGACTATTACGAGCATTGCGCCAGCATTCTAAAGGATGTCTTCATTAAAGAAAGAATCCGCCGTGGCGGCATAACACCGCCGCCTGTTGCTTCTCCCGCCCCGTCTTCGGATGCCGACCCTATGGCGAAAGCAGGACAGACGATTACAGAACACGAACAATCAGGAGGCACAAACACCACCGGGGCTACCACCAGCCAGCCCATATCTGCGGCGAAGCCAAACAACAGCACGACACAAGCTGAACAACCTAGTCAAGCTGAGTCGGCACTAGTCCCCCCTAGCGGTACGGCATCGCCAACCATAGAGAGTGCGCGGGCGTCCGTTGGCCAGAGCTCGGCAGGGAGCCCCTTGCTTCCACAGCCGTTGCTACCGCCCTCAGATGTTTTGTCACCCAGTGTTTTGTCATCAACTCCCAGGTCCAGCAAGGATGCATCACAATCTCCTGCTGGTCCATCAGCGCAGGAAGAAGACGTGGCTGAACCTACGCCTCCCCCTCCCCCTCCTCCAAAGCACTCGTGGAAGTTGAAGGGCATGGTTTCAGTTATCAGACATGCGGACAGGACTCCCAAGCAAAAGTACAAGTTTACTTTCCACACTGAGCCTTTCATCGATCTCCTAAAAGGCCACCAGGAAGAAGTGCTCCTTATTGGAGAGCCCGCCCTGGCGAGCGTGATACAGGCTGTAGATGTTGCCTACATACAAGGTGTTGAGGACCGAGAAAAACTTCGATCTCTCCGAAATGTCCTTGTTAAAAAGGGAAGCTGGGCTGGAACCAAGGTGCAGATCAAGCCCATGTTCCGCAAGAAGAAGAAGGAGCCAGTGCCGGAAGCTGAGGAAGCTCCCCAGCCGGGCCAAACCGGCGATAGCACGCCCCTGGTCCCAGGAGACGATGCAGATAAAGCTGAGGGGCGATCATCCAAACGGCATGATTCAGTTTCAGAAGTCACCATGTCGAAGTTTACCGCCGCGGAAGAGAGCCTAGTCCTCGACAAGCTTCAGCTCATTGTCAAATGGGGTGGCGAGCCGACCCATTCGGCAAGGTACCAATCACAAGAGTTGGGAGAGAACATGCGTAATGATTTGATGCTGCTCAACAGGGATATCCTCGACGAGGTCCACATCTATAGCAGCTCCGAGAGGCGAGTTACTGCTAGCGCACAGATCTGGGCATGCTCCTTCTTAGGCGAAAAAGAGCTCCCGGAAGACTTCATCACCATCCGCAAGGACCTTTTGGATGACTCTAATGCCGCCAAAGATGAAACAGACAAAGTCAAGAAGAAGCTTAAGGGGCTGTTGCGCGAGGGTAATGAACGTCCAGCACAGTTTGCCTGGCCTGAGAACATGCCGGAGCCCTCAGAAGTGCAGAACCGGGTCGTTCAACTAATGAACTTCCACCGCCGAGTGATGCAATACAATTACGGTAAACTGCAAAACAGCAACGCTGCCACGTCCCTTACTGCCATCTCAAGCTCCAGCACCGAGAAGCTCAATGGGGAGGGATCGAGTTCGTCGCTTTCGTCAGCACTATCGCAAGCTAATGCAGTCACCAACATTCAGCCCAGATGGTGTTGCGGAGAAGACGCGGATCTCTTCCGCGAGAGGTGGGAGAAGCTCTTTACGGAGTTTTGCGACGCAGAGAAGGTGGATCCTAGCAAGATCTCTGAGCTCTACGACACGATGAAGTTTGACGCCTTGCACAACCGGCAATTTTTGGAGTGGGTGTTTACCCCGCCGCGAAGCATGCTTGAGGAGGAGTATGGCGTCAAAGATGGTAAAACGAAGGACGGCGAGGATGTCGCTGCTGGCAAAGGGTCGTCGTCGGCGGCGGATGACGGCAAGGCGACAGGGGCAACTCCCGACAACTCAGACAAGGCTGACAGCTCCAACCGGTCGGCAACAGTACGCAAGCTCTTCCGGCGAAGATCCTTTCTCAATGGCCTCCGCCACATGAATGACGAGGCGCCCCCTGAGCAGTACTTTAGGCTGTATAAGAGCAATAGCGGCGCGGCGGATAAGACGGATCCACGGAACGAACCGCTTCAGGAGCTGTACCGGCTGGCCAAGATTCTGTTCGATTTCATCTGCCCGCAGGAGTACGGCATCTCGGATAGCGAGAAGCTGGAAATCGGACTTTTGACATCCCTGCCCCTCCTCAAGGAGATTGTCCAGGATCTGGAGGAGATGCAGGCCTCCAACGACGCAAAGTCCTTCTTCTACTTCACCAAAGAGTCGCACATCTATACCCTGCTCAACTGCATCATCGAGGGCGGCATCGAGACCAAGATTAACCGCAGTACCATCCCTGAGCTGGACTATCTCTCGCAGATTTGCTTTGAGCTGTATGAATCGGAAGTCAACCCGCCTCCCGAGGAGGGCGACGAGCCCGCTTTTGCTTATAGCATCCGCATCACCATCAGCCCTGGGTGCCATGTCTTTGATCCCTTGCACGTGCAGCTGGATAGCCGGCACTGCATCGGATGTGCGCCGCGGCGCAGTCTCACGCCCCATCTAGATTGGCTGCATGTCATCAAGACCCTACGCGCCAAATTCAATCAGTATGCTATTCCCCCTTTAATTCCCCTCTTCCCGTCCCTTTAGTTTTCGGCTCTTGTCTCGTATAAGCTTGTCTTGTTTTCGCTTTGTCAGTGTTCCCGTCAAGAAAGTACTGTGGCTAACATGTTTATGATGTAAAGGGTCAAACTGCCAAAGACGTTTCTCGCCATCAACTTGTCAGATGCTTTCACCTTTGAAGAGCTCGAAAGACATGGAAGCGATCAAGAGGGGGGCCTTGAAATGAAGTCAACCCATGTAAGGGATAAGGCACCCGCTGATGCCGGCAACGAAGAAAGCAGCTGTGCGGTCGTCGACGACGAAGCTGCTCCTATCCCCGAACACGAGGGTCCCATTGTCAATCCCACTTGAATGCTTAATTAGTTTAGCCCTATAGGGCGAGACAACGATCATGCCTTGGTGGGGATGACAGCGATGCCCTGGCTTCAGAATAACCTTGATTCTCTTTCCTTTTTTCTCGTTCTACTAGGGGATGTGAGGGTGTTTTTCTATCCTTGCTGGGGTACCCATACATAAGACAGCTCTTCCTAGGGCTGTCGGCGTCTTTTCCTCTCGGACTCTACTTTTTGACGACGATACTCGTTGTTTAAGAGTCATTGAAACATGCCACGCCCTGATGATGAAGCCGAGGCTTGCCGACACAGCCGCCAATACTACAGAAATCGTTCCAAACGTCATGTGTTCTGATTCAGCCTCCGTTGTGACATGTCGGAAATATCCGCGTTCAGGGCCCGGGGCGTCTCGGAAGGATCGCATAGTCCATGGGCATCGCGCGCACGCGTTAATCGGGATCGAAGTGGGAGAAACGCCTTTGCCATGTGTCAAGTGAGATGCATAGTCGGGAATAACAGCATTCTAGATAGGGGGCTTTTTTTTTTCTCTATTACTTTGTCTCTCTAGGATCAAGGATATGGAATGGTTCAGGGAAAGGGGTGAGGGGGAGGGGTTTGCATATAGATAGGTAGAAACTTTGCATGTTTAGGCTGTTTTTCTTCGTCGAGTCTTCATCCTTGGAACCAATAGATGGTAATATTCCTCTAAGATTTCTAATCGTTGTTTCGAATAATCCCAAGTTTACAGTAGTGCAGATGAACGACGAATTATTATGTAAATACCATTCTCTCAATTATCCTAGCATTAAAGGACCAATGGGAAGACATCTCCGGAGTTACATTACATGATGTTAAGTCGCCCCTCCTGTGAACATGCAAAAACAATTTGTCTCTGACCACTATAGTAAGCATTTCTCTCATAATCATGAGAGAATGGCTCCACAGCTTTGCATCAAACGTAATGGCAGCAGCAGCAGTACCATTAATAGCATTTCTTGGCAGCCAAAAGTCATGCGCAAAGTCATGCGCGAAGCCATCAATACGTCAAAAACACCCCTGCTACTCACTGCAAGCCCCGGTTTCCATCACGGCTGAAAACGGGTTCATTCTCTGGCCGTCCCAGCTGTGTGTGATTTAGGCAGACACAATTTGAGCCGGCTTCCCACCACCAGCGGCCTCGAGGGCGCGCTCGGTACAACACCCTAGAGGATGACTTGTCTCACCGTCCAGAGATGGCAAAAGCTGCTCCCCAATCAACGTCAGACCCAGGAACTTGGGCACGGGAGGAGGCGCATTAGCGCTGGTTCAGGACCTTGTCTAGCGTGCCGGCGCAGCGGTGCTGGTAGCATGACCAAACTTGCAGTAGTGTTCCATGATACCCATCAAGGAATCCGGAGTGGCCGCCTGGGGAGTGTGATATGTGATATGCCAAGTACCTGTATTTTAGGTACGGGTATTGCGGAGAGGTTTTGGAATTAAAGCTGCTACGAGTCCGTAGTGGCATGCCATCCCATCTTTGACGGGTCTCTTGGCGGTGCTGCCATGACCAAACACGTGGTCCTCGGCACTTCGTTCATATTGCTGACGGGCCGAGTCAGCAGACTAACAGACTCAGGGCTGCATCGAACATAACGTATGTATCTTGAGCCCTGCCTGTGTTCGAGTACGCAAGATCCCAAGGGTCGTGCTCTTTTTGTCGGCATCGGTAAGCACTACAACTCCGTAGACCATATATGGCAACTGATTGCTGTGGAAGGCTCGCGTCAAGGTATAAGATCTGACATGAGTAATCGAGTTCCGAAGCAACAGATATTTAGCAATACATGGGCGTCTTCATACGCCACAGCCGCTTCCAAGGAGCTGAGATACAAGTAGAGTTGCGGACCGGACTAGTACGTTGATGGATAGCTTCTGCCCGCCCTGTTTTCATAAACGCCGAGCCGGCGGCGCGGTGAACAGGGTAGCCGATAGGTGTGCTGTGAAAACGGGAGCAGTTAGCCGGGATCCCCGATCGTGTCTAAGAATACCCCAGAAGTCGATTTCTAGAATATACCTGTCCACCGTGTCGCTCAAGACCATTCACTGGTAGCCCTGGGATATAGACCAGCTATGAGACCGTCAGTCCGTATTATAACCAACATGGCGCAGATGGCGCAGATAAAAGTCGAGGTTCACGGGCGCCGTTTATGCCACTACACCCGTAATCAGGATTTGCACAGGTTACAAGTCATCCCATCTGAAAGCGTCATTGGTTTGGAAAGATTCTCTTCAAACTTGATTATGCGCCGGCGTCGGATGAAGGCCATGTTCCGGGCATGGCCGCGCCGTCCTTTCACCTTTTCGAGCCAACACAGTGGGGCTTGTCAGCGGCGTGTCTGCCATTGTTCGGGTGCCAGATGTGCGTCCTCTCATATGTAGGGAGTAGGTAACGCCGAGAACACCGGAGCTGCATCATCTTCAAATGACTCGATCACCACGCTGAACAGGGAACACGGAGCGCTGGGAACAGATGGCTCATCTCCTACCGTAGCAGTCACATGATAGACTACTAGTGCGGGTAAGGGTAAAGAGATGGACAATTACCACGGCCGGGGGAGCTGTTTCATCATTCCAGCCAGCATTCAGAGGCCTCATGCGTCCGGGAATAAAGTAGTATGTAGTACAAGTAAAACGGCGGCCAGACCCTGGCCCTGTCAGCCGATAGCCGGACTGGGTTGATATGTAGAAAGCCCGTCCATGCAAGTTTTAGGTGCGATGTGATGCGAACCAACCGGAATCGAGTGCCGGTGCTTGAATGGCTAGATCGTCGGACTGTGGTCATCTACCTTGGTCGACTCATCATGACTCTCAAGGCTGGTGTCGTCAATGTGCACGAAGATCTGCATCTGCTAAAGACAACAAGCCAGGACTTAGGAAAATATGCGACGGCCGCTGAGCAAACTCTTCCGTGAGGGCCGAGCTTGGAACTATTGGGGGCATCTGTTATACGGATTCAGCGGGTGACCGTGATTGTGGGTTGAGACTGAAGCAAGAAGAAGTTGAGGTGGCAGAGCTGCGTACTTCGTATCAGTAGAAAGCCGGGTGCCGGAAGAGAGGTGGTAGGAGCGCAGCAGTAAGGATCCCATGCGACTGTGATTTCAGTGCCGTCGCTGTCTGCCGGCCAGCTTTCCCGCGGCTCTCTGCCAATTTCATCTTCCTCCCTCTCGGCTGGGGTTGCTGGATTTGGAACACTGGGCTACGTGTTTCAATGATTTATGGCGCAGCACACACTTGCGAAATCCATTCTTCTGATAAGTGCACTCGTATACCCACGACTGGGGATGATAGGCTGGCGGCTTAAGACATGAATGCATTGTTGATCGGCGTAGCCCTGTGACTTTTGGTTGGTGGTCAATTGCAGTTGCCAATCGCACAGCAACCGATTGCTTTAGTTGATCTGTACGAGTACAAATTGCATGCGTCTCTGTGATGCAACGCTCTTGGTGCTGCCGGGAATGGCTTCCGGTCATGCCGCCCATACGAGGTCGGCGATGGTAATGGTGTGAACGCATGGTTACGTTTGCAGGTGGCTTACCCTCCTGTAACCTTGGACAGATAAGTCATGTTTGGGAATCATTCGTGGATGAGGACGACATGTCGTTTTCTCAGCATGTCATGCTGCTAAGAGCATAGATTAGCTGGACTGCGTGGTTACAATGGTCTGCTCGGATGTGGCACCTACGAGACAAGCTGGCCGTACATTTCATGTAAGGGTTAGCCAGGGCCCCATGGGAAGAGCGGATGAGTAGAGCAGTCATATATCGGCCGCGGCAATAGCTCAGGTATCCTGCATGCAAGGACAGCAAGCCAAGGTTGAATGTTTTAAGAAGCAGAGTCGTATGGATGGAGCGGGCTAGATTGCGTCCATGGAGTAGTAGGATGCAGGCGGGGGTGGGAGAAGAGCCAATGTCATCCCAGGTGCTCCTAGTGCGACGATATTACGTGCTTGTACCAAGTTGATACGCACTTGGTCAATCCCGGGAGCTGAGCAGCCACGGCATCATCGCAGCACAGATACCTTGGATGGCCATTGATGGCGGGCCTTGTGCGTGGAAGAAGAGCAAATCGTATATAAAACAAAGCATCGAGGTCGGAGTACGTGGTAAGATGTGACAGGAGCAGAAACGGCGCCAGGATTCGCTAGCCGTTAGGCTACCGGCGGCAGGCAGGCCGTGGCGCACGGCGAATCGTAGATCGGCTGGGTTTGGCAGCGAGTGAGTGGCACATGTACGACTACATACATGTATCAATCAGCACGATCCTGTTGTACAGCGAGATGAGTTCACTGTAACATGGCATGGGGCGCGAACCAGGGCAGGCCGGTTCCCCGTGCTGCGCAGCCACGCGCGGGCAAAATTGTTTTGCCTCAATGCCGTTGCTGGCACCGACGCAGGCGCAGGCATATGCATGTGCGAGTATTCGTCTTGCAGCGCTGCACATCAATCAATCATACCCAGCACATCTTGTACCATGGATGACAACTGGGTCAAGCAACTTGGCAGGGGTTGCGGAGCGTTTGTTGTCGGCCCATGCCATGCGGGGTTTCAAGAGAGGGCATACAGCGATGATTGGTCGCTCTGCTGCGGCTGCGAAGATGATATTTGACGAGATGCGGTTGAAGGGAGAAAAGGGTGCACGTATCAAAATATGGCCAAGCTGATGGGGAGGGAGAGAAGAGGCAAGGTGGTAGTGACAACAAAGAAGAGGAGAAAACATGGGTACCTAGCCAGTGTGTATACCTAAGGTATGAGAGAATGATGATAGGCCTAAAACACTGGCAATCGTTCTTTTCTCTGAGTTTATTTGTTTATTTGCTTTTCTCTGTTCTTTCCTTTATTCATCACATGTCATTTTACTGGAACCCATCAATTTGCGGGCTACTCTTGTTGTCTCCTTCCTCCTTCCTCCTCCTTTCTTCCCGTGCCCTTTCCTTTTTCCAAACGGAACTTGGGCGGCGAACCAAAACAGCAGTTTCACAGAACCAACAAAAGAAGCAGTCGTGGAATAGCGGGGCATTATATTCGCTGACATTTTGTGTACCAAATAGGGAAATAGCCCCCTGTCATCTTGTTTGTGCTTGCCGAGAGCTTCATGCCCTGTAGTACATGTGCGATACGAACAAGTTTTACAGATACGAAGCAGTGGCAGGTACTTTTGCAAGTATTAACGCAGCGTGCCATGCAGTCCATCAGCCTACAGTACCTAAGAGTAACACGGTACGTACAAGGCTCGCTAAGCCACAGATTTCCGTGTCCCTTGTTGGATGAGGTTAATTTGAGTCCCAACCTAACATGAAGCATGGAATACTTGCAAGGTGTCAAGGTAATCAATCCATCTCACGGAATACCTTACACGCCTGAATTTCTTGGTAAGCTCCCCTTACATAAGCCCGTCGGGCAATGCTCTCGGGCAACACTTCAAATTGCACGGGCACGTCCAGGTCCACGGTTTGAATCACACTACCAAGTATTACAAGAGCACTAAACACCTTGTCCGGGACATCTTCCAGCATTTCCCCGATGTCTGTCCGCGTCCGCGGGAATTGATGCGATGTTCCGGACTGCCGCGTCCTTTTCTCCTTCTTTTTCCTTTTGTCCCTTCCCTCGAGCATTACACGTCCCCTGGCCATCAAACGATTCATCCCACATGCAAACATACACACGTCTCGTACTGAGCAGGCTTTATGGGTGGTGTGGATGGTAAGGGGACATCAGGCAACTCATTGCGGGCCATGGGGTGGTGGGTTAAAAGCTAGAACGCCTTGGATATCCATTGGAGAGGATAAGAAGAGAAAAAAAAAGTGGCAGCCTGAGACACCGCCCTGAGAGATGAGACCACGAAGTATTAGTCGTCCAAAGTAAACGCCTCAAATGCGAAAGCCAGCGCAGAAGAGCTGAGGGCGTCTTTTCTCTCCTTCGTTTGACCAGGTTCTATGACAACGCTGCTGTGGTCGAGACTCTGAATCCCATGCCAAGGCCAATCAATGCGGCATGCAAGAAAGCGTGTAAAGAGTGATAACTTACAAGTAGTAAACAAAAGAATTACTTTAAATCATCATTGGGTGTTCCCATGTGAGAGATGCTGCGCATTGGACCCAAAACGGTCTCGTTTGCATTAGCTGGCTCGCTTGTTGGCGCCGGTGCGAAAGCCCCAGGCAGGGAGCAGAAGATGCGGGCGGTGCCTACAGCAGCTGAGTCAGAAAACAACAGCTCTAGGATCGCATTAGCTATTAGGCTGCATACCGGTGAAAAGAAGCTGCAAGCTGTTGCATGATGCTGCAAGCTCTACTGCAGGCTACAGCACTCGTATGCAGCAGCGCGAGATCGTCCCACGGCTAGCTCTAGACTCGGTACATCTGCCCAAGGTTGAGATGCCCTAATGAAATGCAAGTGCAGATGTACTTTGGTCTTGGGGGAGCGCCTCTCATTGGTCAATTGGCGCACTGAATTACTCTGTTCAGCCATCCCGCTATAAGAGCCTAGTCGATGTACCCGGGCCAACTCAAGCCACCAGATTGAGAGATGTTAGTAGTACTAGATTAGCAGCCAGGGCAGTGAGAAAACAAATCAATCACATTGGCTTCACGTCCTCCCTCGCTTCGCAATTGAATCCTGTGGGTCGGTATCTCCCTCCTTGCTAGGGCTAATTTCATCAAGCCTGCTTTTGCATACTTCGAAGCAGGCAGAGCTTGCGAGATGCTACCTCGGGAAAAGGGTGCCTTAGTACCCAACCGCTACCCCCATACGGGCTGAAAAAGTACAGGTCTGGACCTGTAACAAGGCAAGATACGGAGTGCATGCCCGTACATGCATGAGCGCAGCTAATGTATGAGAAGCCTTGTTTCCATATGCAAAGAGCAGCGGCAGATTTTCAGCCTCAGCGTATCCTGGCTATATGGAGTTATATGGAATAATTGGTGCTAGTCAGTCTCGCTGCCTTACCTCGCTCATGTCCTTTCGCCGAGCACCTTCCTCGCAACGCTTTGGCAGAAAAAAACAAAACACACCGCTCTCATGGCGCGGCAGAATGATTCAGCAAGACTGATTCAGTCAACATCTTGGCCTGCTTCATCCTCCTCCGTGTTTTCGGTCTCGTTCCAAGGGTTGGCCGCCCGTCTCCATCTGCTTCCAGCTTCGGCTCAGTGCCAGGCTCCAAACGGCGCCGACACACGCAAAGCCCTGCCTGCAAGGTCCCACCCGAAGAGCCCTAAATAAACAGCATCCGACATGAGGCGCTGTCAAGGTCCACGCCGGGGCCGGCTGAGGGAAGAGAAGAGAGAACCAAACCACGACGCACATCATGGACGGTAAACTGCTCACCCGGAACAAGCAAGTCGTCATACAAGTCTATACATGTAGGCTGTCACCCGCTCGTCTCACCCTCTCACTTTCGCTTTCGGCGCATCTTGATCCCATCTAGGACAAGTGTCGTCAATACGGGTCTGGCTGGGATTGGGAACTTTTCCCTTGAGCGGCCCCATTCCGTTAGCCGGTAGGGCTACATGCGGCGTACGAGTCTTGGAGATTAGTCGTATGTCTGTGCCGTTCTTGTTGAAGCATACGAGCCCGAGTACTTGCAGGTGCGCAGGTGTTGTATGACTGCCAGGGTTGTTCCGCAATGCCCCGGGAGAGATGCTTCCTTGCCAGATGCTCAAGGTGCGTCATGTGTTTGCATGTACATGCAGCACCCGCACCCGTACGAGGACGTTGACGTGGTTTGCCATGTATGAGGCCCAAACGCACGTCTTCGCAGCTTGTTGCTGCATGAATCAGCCTGTCTCAGGACGTGGCCGGCATACAACTTTCAGCCCAAGCAAGCCATCAGTTTACACTCACCACTACCTGCATTACAAATGGCAGCAAAAGCACCAATGTGAGTTCTTGCCGAGAATTAGGCCTGGCCGCTCCCAGAGTCGCAAGTGGGCGCAGTTTAGCTTACTGCTACTTGTAGTAGCTCTTATTTAGGTGACCCGTGGTGTCTTTCACGCTCGTCCTAGTGCTAGACAGGTTCAGGGGTGAAAGCCCGCTCCCGTGTCTCCGGTCAAGTCAGACCCTTCCTTTGGGAGAGACTTGAGCGGCGCTTGCGGGTCGGTCAGCTCGGAGGGGTGTGCGTTTTCTCTTCTATACATACAACACGGAGTTGAGCAGTGATGATGACGATGGCCTTTTCCCACCCCGAGCTAGTCGTTGACAAACCGGGGGTCTGACCTTGACCGTTTTGGAATGTTTGCACCCCTGTGCTGAGGCTCTGTTGGCTGCTAGCCCCGGTCGAATCGCCCGCAGCGTGACCAGCAGACAGGTAACAGCGATCTTTCCGGTTCAAACGGAGAGTTGCGTCCGTCCGCGCGTGTTTGAGCGCATCATCTGCTTTGGCCGTCGACGGTTCCAGGGCCAGGGCTGGAGGGGGCCAGGGCCAGGGCCAGGAGGGCTATGCGCGATGATCTGATTATCCTCCCATCCCGCCGGGTCGCCGTGCTTGCATCTCCACAGAGGGAGGCACCTTGCAATGTACTCTTTCTTACTTGTAGGAGAGAAGAGAGAAGAACAGAGCAGAGGAGAAGAAAGAAGAGATTCGAGCCATTTGAAATCCAGTGAAGCGATTTGATCCAGTCAGTATAGCCTCAAAGTCTACATGCGCTCTATCAGGCATTGATCTGTGCTGCCTCAAGTCCCAGATGGATAGTTGGGCTGCAGAGCACCTGCTGGGTACCTCGACGGACGCAGAGTGCCCAGAGAAAGTACCTTGCCTTGCATTGCCTTGCTTTGTGGGCTGCATGTAAGTAAGTACCTTTTATATTAAGTTGCGTGTACATATGCATTGATGCATCCTTGCCTTGGCCTTGCTGTCTCTATTCACATGCAGCCCATCCCTTGCTTGACGTCTTCAACCACACGCCCCCCTTCCTTTCCTTTCTCCTTCTCCTCCTCAGCATTTCCATTCCCTTCTCTTTTCTGCTCTATCATCAATCACATCATCCCATCATCCTCGTCCGTGTCCTCAACCCCTCTGCCTCCTCCTCTGTTTCCTCCCCCTCCCTCTACCCCTCCCCCTCGACCATCCTTGCACGGGTTTTGCACCTTTCGTTGTCAATTACCAACAGCAAAAGGCGTGATTGACAATTAATATCCTTCTGCAGAGGCTTGTGTGGCGAGCAGCCCGCCAGTTCACTTCGCCTGCCATCGATTGATTCCGTTCATCGTCGTCAAACACACTCCCGCTTCGTCGCCTTCCAGAAACACTTCGGCACTTGTCTACCGCCGGAACTGGCTCCGGTGTTACATCTCTGTCGGCACCCGCTCCCGCATCCCCGTTTTCTTCCCGGCGAGGATCAAACAAACGCCTTGTTGGTTTGTTCTATTTTTGTTGATATACCCCGGCCAGGCTGTTTCGTCACTTAGTCGCAATCGTCGGGCACGGATGTTTAGCTTTACATCGTCATACGCTCCAGATTTTGACAGGCGACGCCCGGCTTATCGAACCCTCCCCCTGCTTTCACGTCCCCTGCCTCCCAGCGTATGTAATATCCCTGAAAGCCCAGTAGTAGTGTTTGAAAGAGGAGCTACTACTAGGAGCTTTTTTGACAAACGCGGGTAGAACTGGTTGCCGAGCTCAGTACGCCGATACTGCTACATATAAGGTTGCTATTCGCAGCCCTCTGGTCTATCGTTCACAGCCATCAACACTCAACCATTCACCTCTATAAAACACCTTGATTGTTCACACATTGTTCACCCATTGTTCACTCAAAGCCTCTTCTTCATCTCTAACAAGCTTTTATCTTTTAAGAAACTCTCCACCGTTGAAAACTTAAAGAGACACGTTCATCTCTTGTAAGCCGCCACAGTCTGACATCCATACCAAGGCTCTATCTACTACATCATCTATTTGCATCAGCCGCCTTGAGTCAAAGTTGCTTGGCTTCACACTGTCTGAATTCTTATTGTTCTTTGATAGAATCAGTCAAAGAATCTATCTCTTTCAGAGACTTCATCTCTGATAGCCAACCAACTCCTCCTGACTCAATCACAAGGCTCTGCTAAGCCGACCATCAACCGCAAACCCAATGACAATGGCAGTCTCTTGCGCTCACTCTTTTGTCATGATCAAGTCTGACAATACTCTCGTTCAGTGGGTTTGCCAGCATTGCCGGTCGGGACCTCACTGGGCCATCTACGAATGCACATACTGCAAGCTTCATCTTTGCCGCCCATGCACCCAGGCAGCCTAAGCTAGTTAATCAGCAAAGGCTGATATCGACAACAACTACCGGATTGACCATTTTCATGGCAGGCCATCTGGGGGGATTCTCTTTCTCCTCGGTCAATCCTGGTTGGTTGATGATGCCGCCGTCGCTATTCATGATGTTCATTCCATCTTGAATGCGGCCCACTACCCTTATTACGACGACAAATTCACCCTTGGCGAGCCACTCGCTCCCTAACAACACTTTAACTGATACGGCCTCGACGAATCATGACCATCTTTGACAACTTTTTTCCTTTGTTTTGCTTTATAACTGCACATCTTACTCAGCAGCATCCCTATTTTTGCCCTTTGTGCAAACCGATTGACAACTGCAAATAGCTGTACGGCCACAATGCCAGAATTGGTTTTGCCTGCAGTATTATCTGCAGAAGCAGCGGTGTTTGCCCCCGGTCATGTTCATCGTTTACAAACTTCCATGCAGTTGGAACTGCAAGTCCCACGTGGGCAGCTCCCTTTTTGGCGACGCGCCCCATAAGCTGGTACAAGGACCCCTGCTCCGGATGTTACTCTGCTAGTGGACACAACTTGGACCTATGAGATGGCTCTCCAGGGCATCAAGACGGGATTCGGCGACTCTAGAATCGGAAGCGGGGAGGTGTGTGGTGGCCGCAACCTGGCAGCCTTCGTCCTCATCATGCTCACCGGCGACTTACTTCGCCCTCGTATTTCCCGTTTACCCTATTCCGTTTGGAAAGGACAAGGGCTAAGACAAGGTGCTGGGCGGAGCTTTGGCCTTCCGTTCATGATCAGGGTTTTGTCTGACAAGGTGCTGCGCTTTGCGCTGCAATAGCCGGCTGCCCTGCTTTGTCTTGGTCACCAGACTTGCTATTTCATCTGTTCATCTCCCTTTTGGCCCTTTTCACCCTCTGGTTTTGGTGTGTTGGAGTCTTGATATTTTGGGACCATGGTTGGTCTTTGCTTTTTGGTTGAAGGACCTGGGGTTTGGGGTTAGCTTTTTGTCACTTGGGTCAGTGCCGTTCTCTCATGACCGTTGACCGGCGCAATTTGAGATTTAGATGGATGGAACGGGGCTATTTCAACGTATGAGTAACCCCACGGATAGACTGGTTTGTCGTAAGGCAAGGAAACTCCAATCTGGAGACGTGAGCATGACTTCATAGATAGTAAATAGACATGGGACACAATGATTACACTTAACACACCACTTGTCATACGATTCTCTATAATTCCTTCGTAGTGATACTCGTACAGATCAACGGTTGAACAGTAGTAGGGCTCGCAGGTCTGGATGCGATTCAGTTTCACGGTTCCCTAAAAATTGGTACAGCCCGCTGATTTGGCTTTGTCTTTGACAAGGATCTACGAGATAGTCTTTCTTTTTATAAAGATTAATCTGTGTTATACTACGCTACCATCAGCAAGGAGACAGAAACTACTCTGTACGTGTTCCATTGCTACACTTAATCTCAGTTTGTTACTGGCAATCTACTAGTTTGAGGAAAACAAGCGAAATAGAGGGGAGAAATGCCTCTCCTTTCATAGAGAAGAAGAAAAAGAAACCGAGAGGTTCGTTTACATTAAAAAAGCAACAGAGAAAACGAAGTTGACTAGAACTTTATTCTCATTGGGAGAAAAGTCTGAGATTCAATCTATCCTTGATTTCCTGTTTCTATGGATTTGCGTCTACTGTGAAACACAACGTTGGTACTCCTCCCGCGGGAAGACCGAAAAGGAGGCAAAAAAAAAAAAAAAAAAAAAAAAAAAAAAAAAAAAAAAAGGCTGTGATACAAGATTTGCCGTGCGAGGCGATCTGATTCTGTGCCATGTGCGGCAACAATGGGATCTCCCCGTATTGGGCGGGTGATGTAACAACAATACCCTTGTGACGGGCAGGTCATATGGGTAGACGGATGCAATAGTTTGCTTGCTTTTCTTGCTTACTTCAAATCGAGGCAAGATTGGACAAAGGCAGGTTTTGGCTGAGCGGCTAGAGAGTAGCAGTGCTACTCGCATTGAAAAAAGAGGCAACCTCCGAGAAATGATCTACGCATATCGGTAGTAGCGAGCAATCGTCTTATCCTTGTACGGCCAATCCCACACTGGCCTCTCGCTCGTCCTCTTCGTCACAGCCACCTCATCTCCAACTGATATGTCAACTCCGTCCAGGCCATCAACCAAGAACGCATACTTGCCAAAGACGGGCGTCCACTTGGACCCTGCATCGACCCGTCGATCCGACATGAGCTTCTTCAAGAGCATGCCCTTCTCGCCTTCACCGAACCGCCCCGTGTCATAATCGACGTTGAGGGAAGTACAACGGTTACACAGCTTCGTCATGGCTAGGGTAGGGCGGCCGCCGAAGGATAACTCAGCCCAGAAATCTTCTTCGAACTCACCCTCGCCCTCGCCGTCAACGACGATGTTGGGGCGGAACTTGACGATATCCACGGGACCGCTGGAGAGGCGGGCGTTGACGTTGCCGAGTGACTTTTCGGTCACGACGAGGTAGGCAGCCATATCTGAAAAGGCCAGCCAGTCCGCCTCGGGTTGCTGCTGTTGGCATTGATCTCCCCATACGAAACTAGATAGATAAGGAAGCCAGCCCTGTTTGGCGGGAGGCGCAGCAGAGACAGCGGGCTGAGCTCTAGGTGAGAAGGTGCCAAAAACAGGGCGACGCTCGTCACCGATGTAGCAAAGGATAGTCTGGAAGCCGAAGCAGGCTGTGAACCACTCGTCGAAATATGCCCCCATTCGATAAGCGTCAACCATGGCCTGGTGAAGGTTGATGACCTGCCGGTCGAGACCCGAGACGTCAGGGTTCAGAGGCACGCGGAGGACGACGCTCTGTTCCGGACGCGGCGGCACCAGCGGATCTCTCGGGGGCTGATATCGCACATGAATCTCATCGTCAACAATCTCCTGGGTGAAGCGGCTGCACTCGGGGTACCGGTCAAGCTGGATCTTGGCCAGCTCCCCGTCGTCGCCGACTTTGAAGAGCATGAAGCGTCTGTCATACTTGACCCCCTGGGGGCCAAGATGAGCATTGTGGAGCGGGATGCCGCGGAGGGCCTTGATAGGATAGACCCAAATCTGGGGTAAGAGAGGAGTCGTCAGCAACCTTAAAATCGTGGACTGCCCTGTCCGGCTAAGATGCTTACATACCGCCGTTATCTTCATGGCTGGCGCGGCTGAGGAGCGAATTCAATAGGGCTGGAATCAAGCAACGGGATCCAATTTGAATCAAGAATAAGAAAGAGAAAGGGAAAAACTATGCTGTTCCGTCCGAAATGCTGCCCGCTACTCTTATACAACGTCGAATTCCTGTGAATCATGTACTCATGCGTCCGTAGATACATACTAATTTAAGCCAAAGGGCCCGATTACCCAGATCGGTCATCATGCTACCGGTCTGGCGCGCCCTTCCTCGGCAATTGATGTGCTAAGATGCGCCTTGTCCTTGTTGTTTGGCATTGATTGCAAAGTAAGCAACTAATAGGCTGTCATTCATCCTTCCGCGGAAGCGGTCCCTAGACTCTTCGGCTTTAGGCAATGGGCTTTATTTTTCGCTGTGCGTGGGGGCAGCGATACATAGCATGGGAGTCGGCGATTACGACTTGTACAGACACTCTGCTAATTCCGTCGCGTGCCGGGCTTTGGCGAATGCGATTAGACATTATTCGCGAAGCCTGACATCTCTCCTTCCTTTTCGGCCTGCTCATCTTTCGGATATCATATCGTCGTGTTCGCATCTTGGCCTAGCTGAATATTGGAATCCCCTAGCGATATTTTGCTTTTGATGTCAGTTTAGCCGAGAATCAACGCGGTCAGCTAGACGCCATAGCGGCGCTCAAAGCATCTCACAAACACTCCAACTGACTCATGGTTCACCTAGTCGAAAAAAGGAGTAGCAGGATGAGCCTCCCGAAGATTGTTCGGGTGAGATGGCTATAATAAGTCAAGGTACAGTCAAAGATCTTGCCCATAGTCAATCTTGGCGTTTTTATTCCCTCTTTCTCCTCATAGACGCCAGTTGCAGGGACCAAGAACGCGGGCATACTCGCACAGATATCTAGCTCAAAGAGTCTCTGCTGCAATGCGTTTCCAGGAGGAGATGATCATCCTTTCCCAGGGCCCAAAATGAGTAAAGCTTAACAGGTTCACTGACAGGACGCTAACGACTCCTCGCGTCGTCTCACGATAGTGCGAAGCAGCTGTCCGACCTACTCGACAACTAAAGCAACAATCATTTCGTTTTGCAAGTTAGATCATATTTCACCACAGCCGAAGTCGTGATTCGTCATCAGAGAAAACATGTACGACTTCAACGGCATGCACTGCGTACTCCATACAAGATCAGAGAGATAAATGTCCAACTCTGGGGAGCGGGGGAGAGGAGAATGCTACCCTGTTGAGTGGATGGATCCCTTGAACAGTAACGGGCATGTGTGAGCGAAACCCCACTAGGCTCTGCGATTAATGCTACCGGCATGCTGGAGATCTCTGACGTATCGACAGGGCACTCGGCCATTGAAAGCAAGCTGTAAATCTCTTGTCACTGGGGGTTTGACGAGCGCCGACGCGCTACATGCATACGAGCACTCGTAATACTCAACGAACCCTAAAGCCTTGTTAATAATCTCTTGTGCGCCCTACCGGCTCACACGGCCGGTTTGTCTCGAAATCTTGCTCAAATATCATCACGACATTCCGTTAAAACCGCCTTGGCAAGAAAACGGAGCGGTCTCAACTGCTCAAATACGTAAATAGTCGGCACTGAGAGTTCGGACGCGTACGCTCTGTACGTCAGCAGTGGATCGGATAACCCTTGTTCTTCCGTTGGGAGACGACAACCCCTCCAAAAGAAATGTCGCCAAGGGAAGAGGGTCGATGCTAGCTTGATAGCTTAAGAGGCCGTGTTACCGAAAGATTGAGCGATGGCTGACCCTGATCGGAGGTGGTGATGTTGCCGCGTTTTGGGCACATATCGTATCACACTGGCAGCCGTCTGTCAAGCCAAAGAACTACTGCAGCACAGTATGGGTGCTAGCGGTGATAGAGAGGTAGTAGTGGTATTAGTGATTGATTACTACCCGCGCAAACCACGCTCCCGGGACAGGGCATGTGGTGGATGTGATATATCGAATTATGCTTGGTGAGTGCGCGGACCGTTTGCTGATTCGCTCGGTTTGGTTATCTTTTGTGATCTTGTGGACTGATAGAGCCCAGGCAACAAAGTCGTAATAGTAGCATCCATGAAGCAAGAGAGGAGGGGTTGAGGCCGATATGATCCTTCAGACCTGCACATCGGCATGGCTGGCTCCAGGATAAAAGCGTGAAAGGTGATTTGCTCCGTCTCAGTAGATGCACGCCGATAATGCAAACGGGAAGAGAATGAAACGACGCCCGCTCCTCATTCACAGCTGCATGCATGTAAGGTATACAGTAGCAAGCATGCTTGATGCTAGAGCTAGAGCAGAGTAACGGCCTGTATCATGCGCGACGGGACGCCGAATCCATCCGGCGGTTTGCTTCATCTCCATCGCTCAATCCGTAGCCGTATTTGCGCAATTTGGACCCCGATAGCCGTGTTTGCTTGGCAGCCCTTCCCTGAGCCCGCGTGCGTCTGCTGCTCATGCGGAACGTCAAAAGCCAATCGAGGGGAGCAGCTTATAACGGTGGCGTCGCTGTTGGTTGACGCCTCGTCTCGTCTATTGGATGACTTGCTCCCTTGTCCGTCTTATCGCGTGCCCTCCAGCTTAGACTGGCCAACCGGGGGAGGCCCAGACCGTTGTCGAGAGAGTTGTGGCGCTTGGGAAATCGCTAGCCTGCTTGGGTTCAAGGTGGAGAGAGATGGTCGGTTTTGAAACCCCAGGTTTGTTTGAGCTTTGTCCAAGCAAGGGCTGTTTTAGCTTGATGGGGTTCCGTTCGGTTTGTGGGAGCACGAGATGGACTGAGAAGAAAAGGCGATGGAATGGCATGACATGTGAGAGTAGAAGCAAGCAAGCAAGCAAGCAAGCAAGAGATGAAGAAATGGAGTTGGATTTGAGTTGGCCGGTACGTACTCCTGCTAGGTTTACAATGAAATCAAAATGGAAGGGCCATGTTGGGCGTCGTTGCTGATGCTGCAGGTGCTGCCGCCGCTGCTGCATTTTTGCATTTGCCCGCTGTTTGATCGTCCACAAAAAAAAAAGGAAAAGCAAAACCTCCACTTTCTCCCTAGAAAGCTGGCTTCTCCTCTTCCCCACCACCTCACACACGCCTGGCCGTCACTTGTTGCTAGCAACCTGGTCAAGTGAACATTTTCTTCAAGGTCCCAGCTAGCTAATAATGTTAGCCAAAGACCTCACGACGCTACAGCTCTTCAGCTGGCCTTGACTGACAACGCTCAAGTGGAGGTGAGAGAAGCTCTAGAGAGGTCCAAGATGGTCGATGGTCAGCCACCGCCCGCTTTTACATCGCACTATCAACACGCGGAAATTTCAACGGGAAAAGCCGCTTCGTCTTGATACTTTTTTTATGCTGTTTTTGTCCTCGGTACTCGATGCTTTTGTGTAAATGGCTGCTAGTGAGCAGGTATTGCCAGGGGAGCAGCTACATACATGGAGCCAAAGAGGGCCAGGGGCCTTGTCTGTCTCGCCTCGCCTCGCCTGGCCCTCGCTTGGTTTTGGGCCTGGCTGCGTACTGTACAGTATGTGCAAGGTTTTGCTCTCTTACATGAGCGAAAATGCCGAGTGTTGGTTCGTCGATAACTCTGCCTCCCACTTGCTTCCCACTTGCTAGGTGCTGCTATACTCGTACTAGGTAGGTCGATGGGCTTGACAGCCGTCCCTTTCTAGTGTCCGGAGTAAATGATGCAGATCTTGCAGATTAGAAAACGGCCTGTTCTTTTATCTATCCCTCCAGGCCCCCTTCCGGCTCGTGCTCTTCTTCCTCAGCTTCTTCCCATACTGACTCTTGACTCCTCTGCTCGCTTCACCAGCCGTCTCTTACACCGTTTGGGGATTCTGAAACGGACAGTTTTGCCATTAACCTTATCCATCCCCTTGTATCACTTTGTTTGTCGACATACATATTGCATGCGCTGCCCGGCATAGGCGCCCGCCACATCCTGTGCGCCGTCTGTTTGCTGCTGCTGATTTATACCCATTATTACACGAGACATTGAGAAATTACTCGCTCACACCTCTCCGGAATCCTTGAGGCCTGGAGCCCCAGTTCTCCAGCTATAATCTCCATAAATCTTTATCTTTATCTTCTTCCTCTTCTTCTTCCTCTTCGTTTATCGTTCCTTATCTTATTGCTCTCCTGCTTGCATAAAGCTTTATTTTCTCCTCCTTACTCTTTGGGTCGCCAGGCTGCGGCTAAATCAGAAAGGCTCCCGCGCTTCTGTAGGACCCTTTACCGCGGTTAATATTCTAAATTATTTTCCCCGAGGGCACCGTCCCTCCGCCGTTGTTTATCTCACTTGAGTACCCAAGAGGCTGGGCGTTATCCTGGATTAGGGAGGTGGGAAGATACCACTGCATGACACCATGGAGGAAGCTCAACGCCTCGTGGGTGTGCGCGAGCTGGATCTCGCAAACTATGGGCCAGTCTCTGTGGTAGACAGAATTAATGTTGTGCAGGGCTTGAGAACCAGTGCTGGTAAGACTTTTTTTTATCTCTCTCTTTATTTTCATTTCATCATTTCCTCTTTCATCTTCATTTTTTCTTGCGGTATATCAGAAAATGAGAATTCCCCGCGCCTACACCTTTTACCTTGAGCTCAAATTGCTCAAAATTTTCTCTATCCATCTCCCCCACCATCTTTGTCATCTTCCCATAGTGTAGCTCCGAGCTCCAAGCAGTAGCTCTACTAACACACTAAAACCAAACATTTCTCATCAAGCTTCTTACTAACTTGAACAGCCTTCTTCACATTTCTACGAGCAAATCTTGCTCTCAGCGCAACCTCACCGTCGTCGCCTGTTTCCTCTCATGCGCCAACGCCATACCTCGAGCCTTATTCGCATCACCAGTTTCCCATCCCACCATCTCCTTCGCCTCTAAGCTCCTCGACGTCCTTCTCAGATTCTCACTCCTATACTGGCGCCAACGCCGCGGCTCCTCTCGACTCTCTCGATGATGTTCCTCCTCTGTCCCTGGAACCGCTGCTCACCTACGATGACAAAGTCGCCGGCCTGAATCTCATTGCCGACTCGATAGCGCAGATGAAACAGCGGGCTGCTCACTCCATGGTCTTTCATCCCTTGTGCATGAGCGTCCTGTTCATGGCATGGGTCGGCATCTATCGCTGGTCTTATGTTCCCTCAACCGAGGATCCCAGCATGGCTCTCCTGCTATCATGCGGTGTAACCATGACCTACCTCACTGCGATACGCTACTTCACAGACGGCTACGTAAACCTAGCTGAGAATCTGCGTTGGTCATGGCTCGAGGGGTCCAACAGCATCGAAGGCGATCTCCTCATCGGCGCACGCTACGGCGGTGCTCTGATTGGAGTCCTGGTCCTCAGGCTGGAGCCTCGCTTTTCCTCTCTTACATCAGGGGGCAGCAAGCGCAGGAACAGGAGCAGGAGCGTGAGCTTCCGGGGAGGCAAAGGTGTCATCCGGGCATGGACCACACGCCTCCGGTATCGCGGTAAGGGCATCGGCCGAGACCTCCTCGACGGCGCCATTCGCATTGTCAAGGACCGCTGCGGAAAGGATGCCGAGGTGGGCTTCGCGCAGGAGCATGCTAACAGCACCATGCTACTGCCGGCCATGTTCAACGGAGCGTTTCGTAGAGGCGAGATACGTGCGGCTAAGGCGTTGGAGAAGGCGTTGGAGGAGTGGGAGTCGAGCAAGAGAAAGAAGTGGTAATGGATATCAGCGTTCCCTGGAGGAGCTTGATCTTAAGGTGCCCATAAGTGGACCCAGGATTTTTTTTGGATTTGCTGCGAGAATTCCTTCATTTGAGATACCCCATATGATTTTTCATCCTGTCTTTTGCGATGCGTGGCTATTATTTGCTTTCATATACATTAATGCTCGTCCATATTCAGGATTTATACTAGCGCAGAAATGAAGTGCCTTCGTACTTCTCATCAATTCTCATACATATAAACAAAGTCAAGACTATCAGTATCATCACTGTCTCAAATAAACACTCAAAGCACATTGCCTCTAAACTTGCTAAATGCCCCAGGTTGCTGACTGCATGACCAAATCAAAGAAAATCACAATACAAACAACAGAACAAGTAAGTGCCGTATCATCCTGGATCATGGCGAGCTGATTCGATCCGCCTTATAGGGCAGTCTTCTGGCCACCTTTGTACGGTGGCTCTTGGGTTCATTCCAGGCATCATCCTTGCTGAAGTAATAGAGCGTTCTTCCTCTACGTTTGAGACTGTGAAGTACCTGCAAAGTCACATGGGTCAGTCTGGCTTCTTCCTTTTTTAGACGGTTGTTGCAAAGAATAGGGAGGATCAAGGCCATACATCTTCCAAGGTAACCGTCTTTGCTCGCCGGTAGTCAACATATGTAACAACGTCGCGAAGAACCTAGAAAAAAAGAAAGCGCATATTAGTAAAAAGGAGACAGAGAGGGGTATGATACTCGGATTTGGGTGACTCACCCCTTCAAGAAACGCCTTCAAAGCAACTCTAGTCTCTTCATAGACCAGCGCAGAAATGCGCTTTACTCCTCCACGTCGAGCCAATCGCCTGTACAACGTAATCGAAAAGCAGTGGTTAGCAAAAGTAGCTTTCGTCCATCGGTCTTAGGTTCACACTCCTATCCATGTCTTCCTCATGGAATAACTCCGACTTCACTTACCGGATAGCAGGCTTGGCTACAGTCTCAGGTTAGCAATCTAAGTCATCTTTCCAAACGCAGAAGAGAATGAACGAGGAGGGAGGGAGGGAGAAATATGAGATGGAAAGAACATACTGACGCCATGGATAGAATCTCTGAGAATTTTTCTGTTACCAAGGCATAGCCGCGTTAGCCTCGTCTCTTTCCATACTCTCACATAGACATAATCAATCGGAAAAGAAGGATGCTATTTACCTGTGGCGCTTGACGCCGGTGCCAATCGTCTTGCCTCCTAATTGCCTGTGGCCCGCCTGGCTCGAGCTTGGTCCTCCACGGTTCGGAATGGTTGGAGGCATGATGGTCGAGATGGAGGAATGGCTTATTGCACAAAATGGAGATGAAAACACTTGAAATTCAAACACAAAAAGCTTGTAAACAGTCGCAAGATACGTTTTCCAGAAAGAAAAAACAAGCTTGCTTCTGCGCGCCTGTTGAAACTTGGGGGGTTGCTGTTGTTGTTGGTTGAGTTGCCATGGTTAAGTCCCGAGATGGGGCACGTGACTAACAGACCCAATTCACTGCACTTCATCCTTTCTCACCCATGTTGAGAGCTTTGGAGGCCTTGACATTCATATCTGATATCAGTCCGGATATCTTAGCGCACCGAGCTCTCTAGATTAGCTGCTGCTAAATTGTAGGCAATCATCAACTTAGATCAAGCTAAAGGGTAGTGCAGCATGTGGAGCATCTCTTTTAAGATCGATCCGGAGCACAGACAGACACCACATAAGCAAACACGGGCAGACGAAATACGGCATAAGGTGGGCAGCGAAGCGCAAAAATGGCTCTAAATATATTTTCGTTGGGAACAGCACAGTCAACTTTTTGTTTGTGTGTGACACTGGCCCCGCCTCTTTTTTTTCCTTTTCTAGACGCCCTGAGGCTTCTTGCTCCTCTTCCTCTGACTGACTATCTGCGACTTCATCCTGCGGGCTGCATTCCAGTGCAGCCGCGTTGAAGTCAAAACGAGGGTATCGATTGCTCAACCATCTCCAACACTCACCAACCATTTTCGTCCACATTAAAGCCATCCCGGGTCATCTAATTAAAAGTAGTGCGGAAAGGGAGTATAAAAGCACAATGAAAATAGGGAATAACAAAAAAGATTACCGTAAAACGCCAAGACTTTTGTTTTCGTCGTTTCGGTTCCTCGAAAAGAATGGGTAGGCTTGATGCGGTCGATGCGTGCGTCGCAGTTGGCATCAAATTGAAGTTTCGTACAAAGGGTATTAGATTGAGCAGGTTTTGTCAACATTCACAGTGCATCCGTCATTGCCGCGTCCTAGGGCAAAGGGGAGAAAAGATTATTGCGTTGGCGAGTATGCGGTGGTGGTTGTCGAAAATGCAATCACGCAACGACTTCTGCGGGGGGGGCAGCACCCTCCAACTCGGGAGCAGCATCATTAGCTTCCGTTATAGCAGGCTCAGATGTCTCTGGAGCTTGCTCTACTTCTGCTTCAGCGGAAGGCTCGGTAGCAGTCTCGATAGCCACTTCGGCAGCTGTGTCTGCAGTTGGTTCTACAGATGGCTCTTCGGTTGCTTCTGTGACCGGCTCTGCAGCTGTCTCAACTGCTTCTCCGGTAGCCTCCTTCGTAGCCAGTTCTGTAGGCTGTTCAATAGTGGCTTCTGATGATGGCTCAACAGCGCTATCAACAGGAGCACCAGTTGGTGCCTCAATGGCTTCGGTAACAGGCTCTTCAGCAGCTACCTCCGCCATGTGGGCATCAACCATCAACTCAGGGGCGACGGCGACGGCGACCGCGGCCAGAGCATCAGCCGCTTCTGCCTTGACAGCCTCTTCAGAGTCAATGATACGAGCCTTTTTATAGGGTCGCGAGTCCGCTTCATTCAGAGCCTCTTTGGTGGCTCTCAGCTCAAGCTCCAGTTCATCGAGGCGTCGTTTGAGGTTGTTCTCTCTCCGATGGCTATCTTCCAGCTGAATGCGGAGTTGGTTTTCCATCTCCTTGCTGGCATCCAACTGGGCTCGCAGTTGGGTGTGCTCAACACCGGCGACTTCTTGGCCCCTGAGCGCTGCGGAGGCTGCCGCCTCTTGCTGCTCAAGCTGGCTCAGGCGACCGCGGAACAGTTCGTTTATGAATTCAAGCTCTCTGACTCTTGTCTTCAAGCTGGAATTGTTTGCAATGAGTTGCTCTTGCGTCTGAGGAGATTCAAGTCCGCGATCTCCATTCATGGGTGAGCCAGCGCGCCCCTCTCCGCCATTGAAGCCGGCAACGCCTCCCTGGGACGGATCATCCACCATGAAAGCGGGCAGTGAATGGTTATACATTGAGGGAGTTCCGGTTCGGGAGATTGGCGAGTCCGGGCCCTCACCATTGGCCTTTTGCGCTCGGCGAATAGCCTGCGCTGCAGTGCTCTCGGCGCTGTTGGGATCCGTCGCGAGGGGAAATCCGTGTTGCTGCTATATTTTAGGCATCGTGGTTAGCAAAAGGGGCCATGCGCAGCGTGCTTTGAACGTGTTACCAACCTTTCGCTTCGGAGCAAGATCAGGGCGCATCGTCTTTACGCGATTTCGGCTCTTGATAACGTCCGTCTTGAGAGATATCGGCCGGGGTCGTCCATGCAGCTTCAGGAAAAGTCCGCACGCATTGCACAGGACGGATCCAAACTCGTCGCGTCGCCATAACGGCGTTGTCGACGTTCCGCAGTTTTGGCAGACGGGCTGCGTTGATCCATTAGTTGCCATCATTTTGTCGGCTAGCACTGGGTGATGGGGGATGCGATTAGGGAATCGATTAGGGAGAAAGGCCGATAGATATTATCATCATCGATAAGGATGACGGAACAGAGAAAAAAAACTTTGGGCCCCGGTCGACCGATAAGGCCAAGATAAACCGGGCACGCACCGACGTGGGTGGGTGGGAATTGCCTGTTTGGGCCTAGGGGTGAAGATTCTTGCGATAACACACGTGATTGCGATAATGATATGAGATAAGATGTAAAAGTTGGAATATGCCGGCTCCGATTGGCCCGCTGTCGGATCGGCAGTTTTGGTGTTGGAGGCGCAACAGGGCGGCGGCATTTCGAACAAGGGAAAAAAACAAGGGAAGACGAAGATATAAATGAAGGAAAACACAGACTTACCATGTTGCCGTTCGTGCCACCGCTAGTAGCAGCGGGAGAAACGCCATGATACATCTGGTTCTGAGGAATTGGAGGTGGCCTAGTAGACGCGAAGAGTCAGTGCCAAAAGAACACTACAATCCAAGAGCTCGAGATGCCAATCTCGCCACGACCCATCTTGCGCCAAGGAACAACAAGAGAAGGCATTGTACGGTTTCAAATTCGAATGCAGGCGCAGTACCTTTGTTGTGGAGCTTCAGCTGTCGCGTTGCTTGCTGCAAGGGAGGCAATGCCAGGCAGTTGCTGCACATTGGCAGATGCAGAAGTAGACGTCGAGCTTGGTCGAGAGATGGGCTCGATCGGTGGTGGCGGCAGGACTTGTGCTTCTTCCATCATGGCTAGGGATTCGGGAGGGCTTGCAGGAGCGCAGACAAGGGCCAGCAAGGCAATATGCGAAGTCGAATGGTCGCCAGCGTGAAAGTGGTGATCGAGGCCGGGGTGTTTTTGTGCCTTTCTTGCTCAAGGGTGGTTGCTTTTTTTCAGGAGAAAACAAGCACCAGCCACAAGATCGCGGGATCGCAGATTTCGTCTCGCGCTATGATGATGTAAGGAAGAGGCGATGGGCGTGGCGGAGGTGCAGGAGATTGAGGCTTAGGCGCGGCACAAAAGCGTGGGGAAAAAAAAGAAAGGGAAAAGAGGAAAGAGCGAAAAAAGGCCCTGGAGGCGTATCGCGATGTAATTATTGTTCCCCCCTTACAAAGTACAGGTAAAGTGGTAGGTACACACAACTGAGGAAGTCCGGATACGAGTGGTAAGAATCCTGGGAAGGCACGCGTGGGAGGGAGGGGCTCGTTAGGACCAAAGGTGCTACCTCGCCCCATGTACCCGTACTTATACAGCGCGCAAAGCCTGCCAAGCAGAGGCCCTGCGTGCTGTCTGCGCGCTGTACAGTGACCAAGCTGCGCTGGCCTCAGCGTGAGTTCGGGCTCTGGTGATGCCTGGCTGCGGCAATGGCGGGCGCTGATTGGCCGCGGCGGGCATGAAGAACCGCAGGGTTAATTTAAACAGATTCAACAGCAGCCTTATGTATGATTGCTCCAGCCTGAAGGCGTATCCCAATCTTGATCTGTCCCACCCCACGGCCACGGCCACGACGACCGCGTCTGTCCGGGATTGATCCTCTGCTTTACCAGATATCTAGCCGTGCCACGATAGAGCGCGCATGTCGGCGAGAGGGGGGAAGAAGAGGAGAAGAGTCAAGAGAGGGGGGGCACAACTGATAGACAGAGCGCCGTCGAGCCTGTAGCATCGCCAAACTCAATGTAGGTACGTCTGATGAGTGTCGCTGCATGCAGATGACAGTCGTGGATGCATGTCATTGGCACTTGATCAGCTCCATATTTGACAGTGCCCCTCCAACGGCGGCAAGCGAGAGTGAGGGGTTTGCTGTTGTTATTTGTTGTTGCTGTTGTTGCTGTTGCATTTTCGTGAGGCATATGGGCCGAAACGAGAGATGACATGGACGAGATTGGTTTTTGTGTATAACAAAGCTTGATAATGGCATTCAGCAAAGCTTGTGCCGGCTAGTCGATAAGGACGGCGTCGATAACGCGTATCGCAGCTATCTGCCCATCTAATCGCAGCACAGCCTAACCCTGGATCTTTTGACGTTGGTGCTAGCTCAGCTATGGAAGTTTTGGCAGCAATTTAGCCAGCTGTTCGCTGGGCTGGAAGTGCCGACGGAAATAGAACCCGAGGCAAACATATCTACCAATGAACTACATGTATCAATACGGATTCCTTCCACGATGATGCTGAGATGCTGCCAATGATTGCTCACCAACTGCTATTAGGCCGAACTAAGGCTCCGATCTGCCCTGGCCATCAAATATCATTTGATTTTGATCCTTGAATCCATAGGTACAGTACAGTAAGCTTAGCATCATGCCCGCTACATACCACCTCGACGTATGTACTCGTACTGTCGTCCCCATAAGCTCTGGAATCTCGTAACCACGGTGTTGATCCCAGAATGCCCTCCGATTCGCCCTTGCTTCCTCCCAGAAAATCCATCCATACCAACAGCTGTCCATCAAGCCACGACCCCTTTGCCATCGACCCACCAGCCCGGCAATTTTTGCTTTAGCGCCCAAGCCACAGGCCTTCCTCGGCGTCATTGGAGCCTCATAGACGCGGCTTTAGCACAGCGGCCCCTCCAGTCTTCAGCGGTGTGCGCCCTGTAAGTGCCCGACCGCAGGCGCTCCATAGCAGTTGTACCGCTAGCAGAACTCCGTGCGTTCTCGCTGGAGCTTAATTTAGTGGCACTACGCACTGCTAAACCTTGCAACGTTCGGGAACGCAGTTAAGTTCTCCATCTTCTGGCCTTTTGGAATCTCTTGGTCTCTTCTTCTTTCAAACCTTCATCACCGCCGCTTCTCATCCTCCAGTCTCGTCGCCATCCGATACTCCCGCCAACATGTTCAACTGGGCAAAGCAGCAGTAAGAATCCCCCCGTCGGGCCCCCAAGGCACAAGCCCCGCCATTCTCCCTTGTCCACCCCTCCAAGGTTTTGCCAAAAATCGAATGACGATTGCTAATGGAAAGCTGCTGTCCTCTAGGCTGGCCAACGTCGCCGGCACCCAAGAGCCCATCTATGGCCCATCTGCCATCAAGGCCGTTGCCCAAGAGGCAAAGGAGACCAACACGCCGTATAGCGAGCTGACCAGGGCCGACCACACCTGGCTGGCGCTGGACAAGACATGCGTCGAAAACCAAGTCTTTTACTTCTTTGCCGAGAATGGCACCATTGCCATGGCCCAGGTCATTTACAGCAACGTTGCGTATGATGCGTCCCGTTGCCATGATATCGATATCATTTTAGCTGACTTTTCTCCTGTTGAAGCGGCCTGAAAGTTACCTGCCAGTTCAACGCCAAGATCTTCTCCCGTGATCCGGCGAAGCCGCACCTGTGGTGTTCGAACCCGCTAAGCAACGTCGCCTTCAACGAGGACAAGACGTCCTTCTACGCCGATGACTGCGCTGTCGAGCTCTCCGAGGACGGTAACTCTTACACAATCAAGAGCATGAACGATGAGAGGGCGCTTGTCAACCTCAAGGTGACCAGAGCTGCCCCCGGCTTCCAAGCCGGCAAGACGGGCACTTCGCTGTATGGCACAGATCTCAAGAACCCTTGGGGCTCGATGCGCCATGCATTCTGGCCGCGCTGCTCAGCTGAGGGCACCATCACTACCAAGGAAGGCCCAGTGGACCTCAAGGGCCAGGCCATTTACATCTACGCTCTGCAGGGCATGAAGCCGCATCACGCGGCCGCAAAATGGAACTTTGCCAGCTTCCAGGGCCCTAGCCACACGGCCGTCATGATGGAGTTCACCACCCCTCCTTCTTATGGCGACACCGTCGTCAATGTCGGCGCCCTTGTCAAGGACGGCGAGATTATTGCCGTTAGCACCGAGAACAACAAGGCCACGCACAAGGCCTCTAAGAAGGACGCCACCAGCGATTGGCCCGAGCCCACTCAGGTTGAATTCTCATGGTCAGCATCCACCTCGGACGGCAAGCCTGTCACGGCTGTCATTGATGCCGCCCTTGGCGACCGCGTGGACAGGGTTGACGTCATGGCCGAGGTGCCCGGATTCGTCAAGACCATTGTAGCTGCTGCTGCTGGAACCAAGCCTTACATTTACCAGGTTTGTAATCCGATCTCGTTATTTCTATCTACAAGGCTAACTCTCTTTTCTCTCTCTAGTTCGCCCCCAAGACCACCTTGAAACTCAAGGTTGGCGATGAGGAGATTTCTGAGGAAGGTCAGCTCTTCACAGAGGCCACCTTTATCTCCGACCTCGCTGCCTCTGGATAAACATAATAATATTGCGTTTTTGGAAAGAAATACAAATACAGGGCTTTTTGTAAAGAACTGAATGATTGATTGAGACATGTTTGGATACAACCTAATATGAAACCGGCGTTGGAGAGAGGTTATAATACTACTAATCGCTCGTTTTTTTACATCTGCTTACGCGTAATCAACCAGCACATTAATTTTGATATATTAGGGGAAACAAAGAACTTACCTTTTATATAATGTGTACTGAAAGCAATGAGTGTGCCGAGGGTGTGGATAATTGTCAATTCTTTTTATCTAGTTCATGCTTATCTGCTTCTGAATCTTGAAAACACCTAGTGGAATACAATTTGCAAGTCTAATAACTAGAGGGGAATAAAGCTCAAAGACCTGGAGAGTCCTCTCGCAAATATATGATATAAAGTAGGGTGTGTAAGATGACGCTGTAACTGTCTCATGTCCAGCTGTAACCCCCTAAAATAAACGATGCGTTACATTTTATATAAACCACGCCCTCCCTGCCGCCAGTCTATTCAAATCCCGTGTATATAGTCCGTCCCCCCTCCCCCGGTAGGTATAAAACCAAAAATATCCCAGTGTTATTTTCATCAAAGCCCGCCCGCCCATTGATTTTTGATTTCATTGGCTCATATCAACATTAACAAATTTCTCTCTCTCGCCATTTCTTTTCTTTTTCATGATTGCTTGTCTTTTTCCTCGGGCGCTTGCTTGTCTTTTTCTTCGGGTGCCTTTTCCGTCTGCTCTTGCTCCTTGCCCAGCGCGCGCTCGACCTGCCATATAGCCCTCTCGAGCTCAATCTCGACGGCGGGCAGGTCGAGGGTTTCGGAAAAGTCCTGGATCTGCTTCTGGGTGATGAGCATCTGCTCCTTGCCGGCGGGCTCGTCGGCGGGGGCCTGGCCGTCCTTTGTGTATAGCTGGTCGAGCTCTTTGGAGGGGGCGAGGTGGAGGAGGTTGTTCTGGAGGAGCCATTGGACGTGTTTGCCGCCGTTGATTGCTCGCCAGTGAGACCAGGCGCGGTAGACGAGGTAGAAGAAGGGGAGGTTGGGGACTCTATGATGATGTTATGTCTTGTCAGCCGGAGTTGCTCTTGTCTCTTGTCTCTTCATGTCTTTCCTCTTTTCCTTCTCTTGTTTCTTCTTCTTTCTCCTCTTCTCTCATCTCTCTCTCTCATCTCCTTTCAATCTCTTCCTCTCTTATTTCTTCTGCGAGTAAAACTTACAGAGGTACCAAGCCTAAAGGCGCTGTGATAGGCATGCCCACAAAGCACCATATCAGCCTCTGCCGATGCAGCGCCTGCCTCTCCGTCGCCAGCCTCCGCACCACCCCCTCGGCCTTGTGCTCCGGAATCGCAGCCGGCGGGAACACCAGCTGGACGGCATCGCGGCCCCGCAGCTCGTCCTCACGGCGCCGTGCCGACAGCGGCGGCACCGACTTGAGCCCCCACTCCTCAAAGGGAATGCGCCGGAAGGCATGGTTGCCGTAGTCGACGACTTTGCGTTGCCATCCGCGCTCCATCTTCTCCCACTGCGCCCACTTGCGCGCGGCGAAGGCGGCGCCGCGGTCGATGAGGCTGCCGTCGTGGGAGGCGGCATTGAGTTTGTTGGCGTAGAGAAGCGTTCGCCGCGTGGATACGGGGAGCAGGTACAACCTCATTGTGAACCTGAATAGTCGTCGTCTGAATAGAGAAGAAGAGAGAGAAAAGTGAGAGTATAATCTCTATCAGTAGCTGTAGCTGAGAAGAAGAAAACGGATCCAGCTCGGGAAGATAGATCTGGATCAGCTAGCAGTTTAACTAAAGACGTCACAAGCGGGTCAAGACACTGCGCCGCAAGCAACCCTTCAAGCCCATTGACTCCCTCACAGATGCAGAAAATACAAGACACCCAAAAATAAAAAGGAGAAGAAGTGAAATACCAAGCTGTTAAGAGAGGGGGGGACTAAAGTTGGCGTTAAGAAAGAAATTGAATGGAAAAAGAAAAAATAATCGCCGTAAATTCTTTGCATGTAAAGCTGTATGTTGATTTGCGAACTTAAAAAGCTGTGACGGAGGCTAGGCTCGATTTGGGATTTTGCTTTTTCTGAGCCAAATGCCGGCGGACCAAACAGTGGCGCACATGGGCATCATGGCGGGCTGCGAGTTCTGCTTCTTTTTGGGTAGATGGGTTGCAGCTCGGAGTGTAGAAATCGGCAAGAAACTTGGAAATTTCTTTATGTTCCGAGAAATGAAGTCACCTCCTACCTAGTTGGGTGTCATGAGGTAATCTCGGTTACATGTCATGTTTCCTTAGGCTCAATGTCTAGCATCGCAGTTTAATACTTCAGCACTCACCAAATCAATTTCAACACAAAAGATACAAACTCAACAAGGCACACATCTGGTGACGATTCTTTCGTTTATTTGATATCTCTGATAAGAAAGAACAATACTCACGCACAATTTATTTCCACGTCCGTCTATGCTTTCGATCTCCAACGTTCGTCGACTTACCTACCCTATTATCAACTCAGAAAAACTCAAAAGCAAGAAGACAGCTGTCCAGTCCTCATATATCAAACTTGCAAATATACAGACATCAGCGAATGGGCGGATGGTTTAGTGGTATAATTTTCCCTTAGCATAGTGCGACCTTCGAGTTGCCTAACCGCCTGGGAAAGGTCCGGGGTTCGATTCCCCGTTCGTCCATAGTTGTTTTTTTGGCTCTTTTTTTATGCTTAACAGCACTCCGTCTACTCTAATACATATATACTGCCACTATATTCATTCCCTGGCAAAATTCAACTGTAAATTTCTCTGACTTGAGGTGGTGTTATATACGAGAATGCCCTATAGGTTTTGATCTAGTTCAGTCTAAAGCGACACTTAAAGGCCTCAATCATGGGGTCTGTAATAATTAGTGGTTAGGTAGGTAGGTAATAGTATAGTTTTCGAACTAAAGCTTGGAGGAGGAAAAGGTCTATTTTATGTGCTGACCCTTGAGGGTATAGGGGCCGTTTCCTCGCGAAGCCTTGACTTCCCGAGTAGGAAATCTCAGGCCATCCAACAACATGCAGTCACAGAGGCGCGCCGCTCTGTTGGTCACGAGATCGTATGCCAGATAATATGTCCCTCAGGAAACCCCGCTTTGGCCAACATCCCATATGCGTTTACAGCAGAGCCTTAGTGAATGATCAAATAAATAACCGTCAATCTGCATCTCCAAGATAACAGGAACTGCCCTAGCTGACCTTCTTATACGCTGTCTTCGAAATCGAGAAACATACACGGGCTATGAAGATGCCTTTAGGCTTAGATCAATCGCCATCACAAGACGATTACTCGACCACGAGTTCAGACGACACAGTTCAGTTCACCGACATAGGCTCTGATGCCGGTAATCGTGGCCCGAGCGAACGCATCCTTATCCAGCCTCCGGTGACAATCAATGTGTTTGGTGCTGGCGCAGTAACTACAGGGGGATCTGACACGGGGCATACTGCTGCTACCACCATCAGTAGTACTGGCACATCCGGTAGCAGTGATGCCGTCATTTCGCGCCTGGAGAGCCAAATCGCAGCTCTATCAGACAAAGTCGAGCAGCTTGCTTCACAGATTAAGTCAGCGCAGCAGCCACAGCCTAGACTTCAGGTTGACAACGGGATGTGGCGGCGTATGAAGGGGGCTCCACCAACACAGCGTATCGCCTTTTCGAAGAGATTTGAGTCGGCGCCAAGGGTCATAGTGGGCATATGCAAAGCGGATATAGATTGTCACAGGAACTTCAGACTCAATGTGTATGCATCGGCTATCGATTCGGAAGGATTCACTGTTAATGCCCATTATTGGGCTGATACGAATCTATTCGAATGTGGGGTCTCATGGGTAGCTATAGGAAATGCTAGGTAGGAAGGAATAAGTCACACAGGATACATGTTAAACGTCGAGAATTTGGACTTAACAGTACATAACTCAGGACAGGGGTTTGCAGTAAATGGGAGAGGCATGATAGTATGAATATAAGTTGAATAGAGTCCGTNAACCTCCACATACGACCATAGGTAGTGGAAAATTCGGGGTCTCGTCTGCTCCCCCAGAGACAAGCCACTAACCGGCAGATTAGTAGTTGAGTGGGAGACCATCAGCGAACACCGGCTGTTGTATGTTTCATTTTTTACCCTCTTTTTTTTTTTTTTTTTTTTTTTTTTTGCATCTCGACATGCTCCAACACGTCGATTGATGCGTGAGTTACGTTATCTACCTTCCTTCCATTGCCTGGCGGACAGACGGATTTCTTGTCTCATCACGTATATAATCCAACAAGACTCGGCCAAATTTAATAAACCTGAAATTTATTTTCGTATCTCCAAAGCACCAATTGCTACCCATCCGCATCTACCGTCTACTTATACCAAAGGATGCCGATGCCATCTATATCGTACCTAAAGGGAATGTTTTCGCTGCCTCTTCTGCGTAATGTGTAAAATCACCATCCTCACAGAGACCCTCCTGTCGTTGTTTTCGTAGGACTCTTGCTTTTTGCCTTCATAGCCCCCTTGCCAACAATCTTCTCCGTCCAGTTCCATGATGAAGGACTCAGTCTCCCGCCCTGGCTTTCCTTTGTTTTGTCCAGTTTCTTGTCGCCCACTGCATCATTAATAAAATCGAGTTCACTCTCATTCTCGCTACTCGCCCAATCACGCTCACTCCACGACATTGAATCTCCTCTATCGCCCTGATGACTGTGATTCGTTAGGGAAGTCCGATCAGTATCTTGTGTCCTTGGCAAAGGAGGCACTTCGTCAAGAGCCTCCCGCGCCTCGCTCGCATTTGTCGGCTCCGGAGCAAGGCCGCGGGCTTGCCGCATAGAAACCGTTTTAGTCTCACGACCATCCGCGCCAGGGGGTTGACTGATGTCCAAGGCCCGCTCGCCCATGTGCTCGTCCTCAGTGCGTAATCGCGAAACGGCAGAGTCGCTAAAGTGAGAATCAACCAAATGCTTGACGACCGGCCAACCGTAGGCATTGGCAAACATGCGGCGCACGAAGATGTTGTTGTGGGCGTCTGGTTCCAGCTTGACAAGCACCTTGCGCCATGACAAATCCTTATGGTATCCGCGCGAAATCTTTTCCTCAACACGCATGCTCGAGCCGTCAACAACCTCGTTAGGCTGCTTTTCAGGACCCGTATGTGCGGTGTCGTCGTAGTCTTTTGTCGATGCCATTGAATCTTCGTGGTTTATCCCTGAATGCGGCGTCGACGAGCCGCTGCCGCCAGGCGAGAGCAGCGACGAGGACGAGGACTTGAGCTTCATTTTACTAAGCGCTGAAGGAGTCCGCTTCTTCAAGGGTGGCGCGGGGATGTCCGTCGGATGATACACTCGATCATGAAAGATTGTTCGTGGCCGCTTCGACGGATCAACGAGCCACTCCACATCCGGAATCTTGGGATTGAGCAGGTCTCCAGCAGATTCAAAGAACGTGGTCCTAGGCGGTGCCGTCAGGCCTTCTATATCGTTCTCAAACTCGTGCCCTGCAGTTGCCTTGCCGGATTGTTTGGCCGTCATTGACGAATTGGAGCTGTCGGCAGTGCTAGAAGCATCTCCACCATTCTTAAGTGTCTGACTCCTGCGCAATATCTTCTTCTGCTTCTCCGTCACGGGTTGCTCTTTTGGAGGGTCGTTGCTCCTAAATAAATTAAAGAATCCGGTGAGCGGAGTGTGAAGCAGGTTATCTCCCGGGCTTTCCAGTGGCTCATCTGCAAATACCGCTGGAACAGAGCGTAGGCTCGCCCGATCGTCTTCGGCGAGAGCATCGTTGGATGGCTGCGGCACTTGATGGCTGTTGCTGTTTTCGCCATTGTTGGTGCTGCCATCACCATTGGGGGTCGTAGCACCCGAGTCGGTCTCAATGTCGTCGGGAGGAAGCTGCAGCTTCTGCCGCGATGATCCCATGTTAGCACCTGTGAGCTCGGCCCATCCAAACCCTACAACGGTCTCGACGAGACCGGCTTCTCTCCTTGCTTTGCCAACTCGCCCTAGACCCTGCCAGTCCAAGAATAACAGGCAGCTTGTGCGCAGCGGAACGATGCCATCATTGACTACATTGGAGTAGACTGTTCGGTTCCGAAATTTCTTGAGGGCAATGTGAGCGGGCCCTGAGGGTAAGATTCGTAATAGAGGCTTGGACTCGGGCTGTGATTCGCCGTAGACTTTCTTGTGAGCAGATTCGCCTAGGTTACTCACAATGGCACCCCAACCGCTTCGTGCAATCGTCGGTGCTCTCCACGTCAGGCCTAAATCCTGCCCCGTCCTCCCTACGAGACCAAAATCGAGCGCAAACTTGACGTAGAGAGGGTTTTCGTTGCTCAAGCCTAAGAAGGGCGTGGCCAGCGCGATGAAATTAATAGGTCTTATCAGGTCGAAGAATCGTGGTGAATGCTTTTGTATATATGCAATAGCGTAGGTCTGAACAAGGCCGCCCAACGAGTGCGCAATGAAGCTGATGCTCGTGACCTTGTAAGGCCTCCGAATTAATTTGTGGTCGTTCGCCTCCTCCGAGTCGGGGGCCTTGACGATGGTGCTGTGTTTGTGGGCTTGCATAAGGTCGTGCGTCCCCTGATCGCCTAGCCCGTGGGCAAAGCCTTCAAAGGCGCCTTTTCCTCCTATCGGTAAGAAGGGCTGGTCCGGGTAGGTCATAGAGAGAACATATCTCGCTAGCCTTTTGCCAAGATACTTGATTCCCTTCTCCGTCTTGGTGGCGTTTCCAGAATATCCTCGCACAATGACCTCTTCGTCTTCATCCTCGTCATCCTCTTCGCTTCCTGTCGAAGAAGCACCGTCTTTCGCCTTGCTGCCGTCGTCGGCATTAGCGTCGGCCTCTGCACGCTGTTTTGCTCTTCTCGCCTTGGCATCAATCTTGGCCTGCTTTGCAGCAGCATCGATGCTCTCTTTCATGAACAACATGTCGGCGCCCAAGTTACTATGCAATCCATGCGTTAGAATGACAAGGTGAATCTTCTTTTGCTTCCGTGGGAGCGGCTCGTCTTCGGTTTCCGCATCACCGGTCTTGACCATGCTCTCTACTGGTTGGTCGGCAGTAGGTCGGTCCTCAACCCTCTTATCGCCGGCATCATCCCACACCGGCAACCGAGGCGTGTTCCACAAAGTCGCCGTGTCTTCTACCTTGACATGTACCGCTCTTGAAAAGACTCCGCGAGGCTGTCCTGGATGATGCCCGTCCTTGGCTCCAATGCTCTGCTGATGGTCCACTAGCTTTCCCGGCTGTGGTACCTGGGCCTGGCCGCCTACCACCGGGACCGAAGAGCTCAGGCTCAATGACTTTTGTTCTCTCGCTACCAGCAGCTCGTATCCTACCGCCGCCGATGTGGAGAAGATGACCTGTGATGAGATCTCGATGATCCAGCTCACGCTCTCGGAGTCGTGCTCCGGGCCGTTGCCAAACGTGCCATGGCTTCCCGTCCCCGCCGCCTGCCGTATGTCTTCTGGCACGACAAGCTGACACTCCCACGAACCTCCGGCCTTGAGCATCGGCTCGAACTCGGGGACGCCATAGCGGCGCGGGCTGGGGAACTTTTCGTTGGGGTTGAATTTGGCAGGATATGTCGCCACGCTCAGGGTATACGGGCCGTGGACAAAGGCCGCTCGCAGGGCAATGTTGGACGTGTTGCGTATTCGCACATATAGCCGCTCTGGCGACGGCAGGATTCGGTCTTGAGAGGGGGCGTAGGTGACGGTGTAGCGGACAACCTCGCCAATCTTGACGCTGCCAGTTTGGTGGATGAGAAGCATCTTTGTCGGCTTCCGGGCTGCGCAAGGCCCCGCCGCTCTGACGCAGTTGCTTTAAGCCTTCAGCTGTGTGTTTCGCTTGTTTCGCTCGATCGATCGTTCGTCCAGTCTCGTTTCGTAGATGTATATCCAAGGAGATCTGACGATTGAAACGCGGTCCTCAATGGGCTCCTGTAGGTTCAGTCGGAAATGGAGTGGAGGAAAGGAGAGGCAAGATATGGCGGCCCCAACGACAGAAAGGTAGTGTTGGGATTTGGACGTATTAAACGTCACATTATCCTCTATCCCGGCACCCTATGCGAAACGATATGACAGTGCACAGGTCGATAGGCCAAACGCTCATTTGAAGGGTAATTTAAAGATGTGCATGGGTGAAGTGCTAGGGAAGAAGAAAAAGGGAATGGTTTGGAGGTGGGTTGATAGGAGATTGAGAGTGGCGTACTGCGTACTTCTGCATTGAAGTTGCGAATGAAGAAGAAATGGGCCGCTCAAGATTAGGCTGGCGGCATGTGCAGGGCGACGGTACCGGCGGACGGGGTACGTAGAACGTGTACACGTCGGTATCTGGGGCTCGTAAAGATTCGCCCTGCGCCGGTACCAGGTACGTAACGCCACTCCTTAACGACAGCTATTCGTTGCGCTTATACTACTCAGATACGAAGTCATGCCAGCGTCCTCCATACACAGTCAAGGTACCCAAGAAACGGATCTGTCGGGAAACCCGTTTTCCCGTGGATTCGACGCTCTCCAGCATATGACGCTACCTGCATGACGGCGCTGTCGAGTCTCCCAAAAAAGACGCTGTGACACCGTAGCTGCCGTCATCGAATCCAACGGCCCCCCTTTAAGCATATCCTTTCGTTTTCCAGAATTTTAGCGTGCTAGAAACGCCTCGCCTGGGTCTTTATTAGCCACTCACGCCCAAGCAGGGCATCCGGCACGAGGCTCGTTTTGATTCGATCTGGGGGCCTGTGGCGTCACGCGACCGGGCATTGTTCAGATTGGCATGTGAATGGAAGACGCTGTATTCATGCGCTACTATCCTGGCTTCCCGGCGCGATATCACTACTATATTAAAATGAAGTGCTGAAAAGGGGATGTCTGGATTGGGCAGTGGGTCTCCTGCTTGTTTATTCTTATAGAGATTTATGCTCCAAAACAAGACATTCTACGGAGTAGCTTCGATGGTATTTGGTGGAATGCACATCCTTTCCAGCCTTTATTATCTGCCGTGGTGTTGAGGGGCACAAGAGCTGACTGTATTGGCAGAAGATAATGACCAAAAAGAGATGCACAAACGTTAGTACAAGCTCGACCAAGAGCATCATCTTTACAATCACATCTGATTTGCCTTTTCCACGGGTATTCAAAATACATGAAATGGTTAGAAATATCGATAGGTGCCCAAGCATCCAGAAACCAGTCAATCTCAGTCTTACATACTTGGAACATTTACATAGTAGTGAGTTGCCTATTCATCAGGAAATCCTGGTTCAACAAAACTCCTCCACTCCGACACCCGATGCGCACCTCGGCCATACCCCGTCAATCCTGCCAAAGTCGATGACTTGGGTCTCTCGCGCTCTTCTCCACTGCGCCGTGATCTGCGCCTGGGAGAGGGAAGCTCGGTTTCAGCAGTCTCCATTCCGTAGTAATACGGATCGTGAACTGATCGTGGCGTGGTGGTGTACGCATTATCATAGTACGCGTCTCCTGCAAAGGGATTCGGCCTCATCAATCCGGGCGAGGGCATCGCCGGTACGGGGGCATAGGCTGACGGTGGTGGTGCAGAACCTCTTCCCATCGCGCCAAGAGCCATACCGATTCCCATATCTGGAGCGTGTCCAATGGTAGCATCTCTTGGGTGCAGTACATGGGGTCGCATAGCTGGGGCTGGAGCTGGAGGAGATGGCCCTCTCGACCGGCGTTCTGGGCGGTTCTCTGACAACCTATCAGCCAGACGCTGCTCCATTGAACCACTGCGCTGCGGACCCCTGGCACGGTTGACCCCAGAAACGTAGCTGTTGTAAGGCGCCGGCGGCTGTGCGGCTGAGGCTGCGGTAGGCAAAGTTGGCAAGCTTGTTCGTCTATAATCTTCCATCTGGTGATGCTTGCTGCCGCTGAGCCCAAAATCCATCTCATCCTCATCTTCCTCAGGCGTGATGGGAGCAAAGGGGTTCTCGCGCTCTCGTTCACGCTCCCAATCACGATCTCGACCACGATTCCGATCACGCTTTCGATCTCGGTCACGGTTACGATCACGATCACGATCACGATCATAGTCGCGGTCATAGTCGCGGTCATCTTCTTGCTCATCGTCATGCTCATCCGAGACCTGCAGTCTCCTTGCAAATCCGGCATCACGCTGCTCTTGCAGCCGGCGAAGGTGCATCTCCTCGTCGTAAGGCTGAGGTTTTGATCTTGTTGCGGGCATCGAGGAAGTGGGCCTTGAGTAGGATCGCAGTTCTTCCATTGAATTCGGCCTATTAGCCCGGAGAATCTTCCTCAGGTCTTCAGTGGGAATGTTCAAATCCTGAACTTGGTTGTTTTCCCATGGATTAGTTCCATTCTCGTAGTTGAACCATGGACAGCTGCAGCCTTTCCATTTAGTGCCGCATATCATACAGAATTCAGCTCCGCATCGGCTTTTCACTCGGTGTTAGTAACTGAAGGAACTCATGAGGTAGGGCTGTGAGAAGTAAAGGAACGGCCGGCTTACCAGGTCATATGGTTGCACCCTTCTTTGAGTTCAACCATTGATTTACACTTGTAACATCTCTTCCAACCCTCCTCCTTTGCTTGATCGAGGAATCTGTTCGTTTCCTCGTCACGTGGACACTCGGTAGAGTTGTGCCATTTACCACTGCACTTTGGACAAACTTTGGTCTTGCAACGACCGCAGCGAGCGACTCTTCTACCATCTTCTCCTCGATAAAAGCTGGTTGGCTTGATCCATTCACCACAACGCTTTGATGGGCAATAGACTCGGTTTCCAGTTGAGTACTCTGCAAACTTGCGGTTCCAAGTCATCTTGAAAGCATTGTCGAATAGCTTATCCACATGTTTGAGTGGGATATGACTTTTTGTGCAGCAGCGTGGGGGCATGTGCTGCGGATCGTGAATCGACATTTCAAAGTTGCGCTTCATGCAGGCATTGCACATTCGGTGGCCGCACTTTAGGTCCGCTCCCTTTGACGACGGAGTATCCTCCATGCATATAACACACTCAACCCTTGTATAAGTTAGAAATCGATTTCCACTCTGCCAAAAATGAGACGGTCTGTTCATGTCTTACCCTTTTCTTTTCTCCATCTTAGATTGCTTTTCAAGTTTGAAGAATTTGTCTGGCGATGAAGGTCTGGACCTGGAGGCCGGCCTAGAAGCAGGCCTGGAAACAGGCCTGGATATAGGCCCAGAAGCGGCATTGCCAAAAATATTCCCCAAGATACGAGCGGGTCCTGAAGTCGAGCCGTTGAGGCTGCGAACAGACCGCATGGTATTCAATGATCTTCTAGGATCTCGATCCTCGTAGGCCGATTCTGCCGATCTATACCCTACACCGTCTCGTCCAGTTGATGTTGCTCGTCTAGTCAACTTATTATTGGAGCTAAGTTTGTTAACTTGGATTCACAAAAGCAAAGCTGAGAGATATACTGAAGAGAACAAACCTTTTTCTCGATGCAACAGGTGGTCGTGAACCTTCAATGACATGCGTCAACTGATAGCGCTGAGCCTTATGGGCCGACTCGCTCCTCTCACGGACCCTGGAGGATTCTCGTGTATGCGAAGTAGAAGGCACATCACTGGCCGAAAGCGGAGGGTCAGAGTCTCGCTCGTCGTCGGAGTAATATCGCCGTGGTGTAAATCTCTTTCGATAGCGGTTTCTATCGCTTGAGGAATCGAGATATTCATCACGGCTGGACAGGTGCTGTCTGCTATGACGTGACGAACCGTCAGGCGGTATCTCCTCCACCTCGAGGCCGTGATCGTCATCTTCATCGCCGCCATACGATGAGACGCTCGCTGATCTGTGCGTCGAGGGCTCGGAATATACTCCATGCATTAATCTGCGACGAGGTTGGTTTGGGGGTGAAGAGTTCCTCCTTGTACGGCGCGAAGGTTGCTCATTGGCAGACTCATCCTCCCCATCGTACGAGTCCATCAATGTACCCTTTGGGCGACGGTAGGCATCCGAAGCAGCCCTAGCAAGCCCTGGTTGCCATGGTGGAATTTTGGAGCGGCCACCATTCGCAGCGGCGGCGGCGGCAGCAACGGCATCAGCAGCAGTTGCAGGTACGGTGGGAGTGGCGGCGGCGTCTATAGCTTTGGAATTGTTGGACTCCCTTCTGCGCATCGTCAGCTGCGGCAGCGACGGTGCTGTTCCCAGGTCCAGACGTCGTTGTATTTGGACTGTACCGCGGGTATGAGGCTGCGGAGCTGCATCGTTGGCCTTCTGATTCCAATCGCTTGGTTCGCCAGGTCTGAGTTTCCGTCGTCCAGAGCGGACAGTGGCAGCACCAGGATCTCGACTTGATTCCAACCGCATATTGTCTTGCTTGGAGAGAAGAGTCACAGCAATCTACTTACTTTGACTCTTGCGTCTAACTCAGCGTCCGACTCTCCCGCCGTGCTTATGTGTCTCTCTATATGCTCGCCACCACAGACAGCAGCGTTGGTGTTGATTCGGCTACCGCGCACAGACAGCAGCGGGGAAAAAGAAAAACGGGTGTGAACCAAGGCACGTACGCACGCTCACGAAGACAGAGCACGAAAAAGGGCGCTGAATCCAACGAGCCCCCTTTTGGCTCGCTGGTCTATCAAGGGGCGAAATAAGAGAGGGGAATTAGGAAAAAAGATGGTGCAGTCGGGTTATGCAGGAGCGATCGAAGCCTCGTGGGCCAGTCAGGAACGTCCACGCTGCACCAACTATTGCATCCCACAATATTCTGATTGGAGTTGAGGGGTCACAACGTGCATGACCACCTTTGTGAGAACGCCGTTGGACAAGACCCCAAGAGGCACTCGGGGGGAGGAAAGAGAGAGATGCCGCTGGACTGGAGATGGAAGTACACGAGAAATCAGGGACAGAGGAATGGAGAAGGTTAAGGGAGGAAGACAAAAAGAAAAAAGAAAAAGAAAAAGAAAAAGCCGCGGCAAGGGAAATGCTGCCTTGCGTGGTAGGAGTAGCAGATTGGGCTGCTAGGACTTTGGGCGTGTGTTTCACTGGCCCGCCTTTGCCCTCACAGGTTTTGTCGTGCAAGGGGACTTTGGCCTGGAGGATGCGCCTGGGGAAGAAGGAGTCAAGGCCCCCAGATAAGCCGGCGCTTTAGAGTCTTGATGGACGTGGCGGCTGAAGCGTGAATTCTTGTCCGGTTTGGAAACGGGGACACGGAACCTGCGTCTGCGAAACACGCACCAAACAAAGGATGCAGCAGACTTGAGCCGGCGCTTGCTGCGCAAAAAGAGGGCGGGGGAGAAAAATGTAGTGGGATGAAGTGACAAAAGTTGGGGGCCTTGAAGACCTGGGGGCTAGACAGCGCGTGTAACTTGAGCACTGTTTTAATGCAAGGGGGAGGAGATGCACGCTGCAGATTGGGAATTCAATGAATAAAAGAGAAAAAGAGAAACAGGCGTGTTCTTGAAGAGATCAAGGAAGATCAAATGGCGGTGGTTGGCATTGCATTATTGTGGTAAAAGCTGGCTGGCGAAACAAACATCACGTGTGGGGTTGGAGGGGAAAGGCGATGGGAAGGTGCTGCCTGCCAGTCTAAGGAATTCCGTGCTTGCCCATGAAGGCTCGTAATATTTTGGTGTACGAAGAATGGAGTACGGAGTACTGGGATACGATACAACTCACAAGATACAACTCACAATATCCCAGCAGCCTCGATCTTCTAGCACCAGTTTTCTTGCATTATCACCAAACCCAAAGATGCATGCGATGAAGCGCGCACACTTCACCTTGCATAAGCCGCTAGACACTCTGGCGGAAGCGAGTAGCGAATGCATGAACACACTGTGCTGTCTTTGCCAGGTACCTCTTCGCCTGCATCTCGACTGCATTTCGACTGCGTCTCCTCATCGGCGTCTCCTCGAATCATCCACCAGACAGGCGGCTCGTGACTCTCTCTAGGCTGTGCCGGCAGCCTCCCTGTCCGTGAATCGGCAGCATGACCTGACTCTCTGCCCCTGTCAGTCCTCGATGCCTCACACCAAGTTGTCTCCTCAGGCTGCCTCTGACTCCTCCCTGCAGCTCCTCATGAGACACACTCGACGCCCTCACGTGGAGATTGGGCTGTCGAATCATCGGGCTTGAAGCTAGTCTGCGGCTCGGCCCCCTTGCGGCGTCGCTCGCCCGGCCCGTTGCCTCCACCGGCGCGTACAAAGCATGTACTTTTGCCGCCTGGTCTTGGGATCCGGTGCCGAAGCCACGGCACGGCATAAGATCAAGGCTGGCTATAGAGAATTGGGGGACTTCCATGGTGAGGTGCATGAGAAGGCAGCTCTTGGTTTTGACATACGCAGAAAGCTTCTCCTGGCCATTGGCGTTGCAATGGCGAGAGAGCATTAGCGGCCTGCAAGCTGCAGTGTGTAAGAGGTGGCATTGGTGGTATTGCCAAGGTACATTACCGGAAATGGTAAAATCCCCAAAGCGCCACCGGGCATCCTTTTCGACCCAAGGCCACTTCAGAGGAGATGAGAGAGAAACCCTAAACCCCATTCGTCTATACTAACAGTGAAATGCTCGGGTTGCATCTAGGTACGAAGATAATGATTTATCCAAACAACTGCTGTATTGCAATCAAGAACCTCACCAATGACTTTGAGCATCGAGGAACAATTGGTGGGTCGGACCGAATCACGCAGCCTCTTTAGCCGCCGGAATGGCCATACACACCAGAGATTGGGTGCATGATATCCAATATCAACAGAGGTATATATGCAGTGCCATACCCTACGTGCCTGCGCTTGTGCCTGTCTACATGAATACCTATGCAGTAGTGCTTCCGACGCATACACGCAAGGTACCTGTTTCACGACGACTGATAAAGACGCAGTCGTGCATCCTCAGAAGACATCTCAGTGCAACGCTATTTCACGTGCTACAAGAGTATCACTGGTATCGTGACTAATACCCACTTGGACGTTTTGTAGCGAGAGCAGCAACGGCGCTAGAATCAGATGGGAATGAAGACTTCATTGTTTATAGTGAGGACACTGATTGGCCGAGCGACATGGCAACTTGCAGCATAGACGCCCAGTCTGAGCAAACCATTTTGTGAAAGCATTGATGTCACATATTTGATCTTGTTCAACATAGCAGGATAACAGCATGAAGTTTTCTTTTACTCAATTATAAGCTATATACAGTGAGTCATATACACAGAGCTCATCCCATCATTACATTGCATCAGAAATCGAACAAGCTAAATCGACCAAGGCCTCCTGAATAGCCCATCCTTTACGCAAAGACGGCCGAGGTAATCTGACCAGCGATATCTGCATACGCGACAAAGCCGCCCAGCAGGCCAGTCTCGGGGCAACGGTCGACAAAGACAACGCGGCCGTCATCTTGCAGGCCAACGGCGAGCAGGTTGCCCTCCTTGTTGATGGAGAACTGACGGGGGAACTGGCCGCCAGCAGGAACGACTTGCAGGACCGTGAGCTGACCAGTGGCTGCGTCGATCTTGAAGTTGATGAGAGGGTCGGAGGGGATGGTGGCTGAAGGGTTGTCGAAGTCGGGGATGGTGGTGCTGTTCTCAGCGCGGGAAGAAACAATGAGGTAGTTGGTATCAGGCTGGCAGTATGCATTAGCTTGGATTCATCCTTTGAAGGCTGGTGTTGGTTGAATCATTGAACTTACAGAAACAACAACCTCGGAAGCGGCATAGCTGCTGGGCTCAGCTGGGCCTGCGCCGTGGCTGGGAATGTTGAAGATCTCAGTCAGCTTGATCTGACCATTGGGATAAGTAACATCATATCCAATGATGGTGTTGCCCAGCTCAGTGACGAGGTAGGCGAACGTCTTGCTGCCCTTGACGACAAAGGCCAGGTGTCGAGGACCAGAGCCAGGCTTGACGCTGACGGGGGTGATGTCCTTGAGAGCCAAGGTGTTGGGGTCGAAGGAGTAGAGGTGGATGAGATCCATGCCCAGATCAGGGACGAGCAAGAACTTGCCCGTGGGGTCGAGAACCGCCTCGTGAGGGTGAGGGGCATCTTGACGAGAAGGGTCGGCGGGAGGGCCGGTCAGCTTGAAGTTCTTGGTTTGAAGGAGCTTCAGCTTGCTGGGGTTGGAGACGTCCCAGGTGGTGAAGGCAGAGCCACCACTGCAAAGAAAACCATGGTTAGCTTTTTGCATTGATTGATTTACACATCTGTCCCCAAACTAGTGGGCTCAATCACTCAATTGATGCAAACTTACTAATGAGCCAGAGCCAGACCATGGCGGTTGTTACCAAACACGACGCCGCTCACAGGGCCATTGGCGGTGCTGACCTGGCCAAGCTGCTGCAGAGTGCCACCAGGGGATGTCTTGAAGGCAGTCAGAGCACCATTGGGCGTGTTCAGGCCCTCGTTGATGCAGTACAGGATGGAGTCGGGAGAGTCCAGAGTCAGCCACGAAGGGTTGTCAGAGCAGCTCTGGGACACGGCGACGGGGCTCAGCTTCTGGATGCCCGTGTTCTGGCCATGCGTGTAGTTGAGCGTCGTGACGGTCTGGGAGTACGAGGAGACGTAGACCAGGCCGGCAGAGGCAAGATTACCTGCGCACAACAGCGTTGCGGCGAGGCTCTTCTGGAGGTTGCGGCGGCTAGGCATTGTGTAAGTGAGGCGATGCTGCGATGCCGAGAGAGAGGCTCAATTGGCAAAGACGAAGAACAAGTAATGGACTGAGGGACAAGATTCAAACTGAAGCGAGCTTGCAACAAGAAAAGAAGAAAAAGAAGAGGGCGAAAGAATCTGAGACACGTCCGGGCACTATTTATAAGATCGGCATTGAGCTTCTCTCCGCGTACAAGGTTATGAGAGGGCGATCAATACTACACAACCCCCCAATTGATTCACAGCTTTTTTGTTACCCCAACACTGTCAGCTACTACACCGCAGATCTGTGTCCTGCTGAAAAACGACACCTGCATGCAGAAATTACATGGTATCAACGGACAATCCGTGACTCCAGAAAGCATCGCGGGAATCCCCTGATGACGAATAGGCATTGTTACAGTGACATCGGCTGCCTAACTGGGAAGGAGGAACAATCAGCTCGAAAGCCGCTGACAAGGTGGGGGCAAGAAGGTACCTACATTATTTGGGGGGTTGAAAGCTGGACGCCCTATTCATGCTCTTTCACAAGCATCTTATCCTGTTCTTCTTGCCTGAACTTTCAGTACTGCAATATGCAGATATTGCATTTTTAGGAGCAACACATGTCTAGCTTCAGCATTGGCATGCTACGTAACACTTTGAAGGCGGCCCAAAAGATGATCGAGTTTACTGTTGCCAAGAATACAGGCCCAATCTGTCAGCCAGCCTCTGCGGAGAGTGTGGATCTTGGACTGAGACAAATCGATTCAAGCCTAGATGGTACCAGATGAGAATCAGCTGTCAGTCAGTCAGCTCGGCTTCTAGACCTACCTTATGTGTCTTGCCAGCGTTGAAACAACTGGAGCCTCCGAGCTCACGGGCTCACCGAATATCAGACTCAAGCATCACTTGTTGCATGTACCATATCTACCTGATGTTTCTCCTTCCCAAACGGCCAGTCTCTTAATGCCATTCTCTAGAGATTCCAAAGCTAAGAAGGAATAAATTCCTTCCATTATTATCATCAAGAAGCCAAGACATTAATACCACAACCTAAAATAAAGCAAGCATCCCCGTCACCGCCCGTCCCGCATCCCGCATTCGGGCCTGATCCCTCAGCGCTACTGCCGCCTCGTCCCTAGCGTTCTCAACGCACCGCCTGTCCCGGATCTCGTGTAAGCCATAGTCGAGACTCTGCTACTACACTACGCTACATTTTATGCACTTTTGAAAATCTCTTCATAGCTGAATACTTATATTCTAGATTCAATTAATTGGCATCCATGTGCAACGAACATCAAGACATCAAGCAAACCCCTTCCTAACTTCTGCCCTGCATCTCAATCACCACTAGAGTACAAGTTGTCACGCAGAGACAGCTCATCCCTCCACTGACCCCCACCAAGCGATTCATCTTCTTAGATATCGCCTCGGCGGGAGGCATCCGAATAGCCGTCCTCATGCAAGGCACAATTCTGTGGGGGAGCGGTGACAGCTGGGAGCATCGTATCGATATCTGTTGTTGAAGAATTCCCACCAATCTCAAGCGTCACGCATGCAGGATACCAAAGTATGGCCAGCAGCCTGGCAGCACTCATCACGCAATTCTCTGTACGTCTTCATTGCTGCTTCATAGATTTAATTTTCTTTATTGAGATGTGTCTATCCTATCACCTTTGCCTCATATCCTGACGCCTTTCTTGGTATCATAATTTTCGTCCATCTTGCGCCACCATCTATATCATTCCAACAGGTATTCCGTACATCCGAAATATTCATCAAATTTTAATGGGCGTTTCTTCGTTTGCTGGTGTTGTAGTGCCCTTCGAGTGCGACATACTGTATGGCGCCTAAAGAAAGAAGGATTGTTAGTATGCTCTGCAGCAGACGAAGTAAGCAAATCGACTTACCAAAACCTCCTTGGCATTACAGATTCTCCACGCCAGTTTCCTCACACTCCGGTCCGCAAGGACAACGGCTGGCGCAAATTCAACACCAAACATCTCCCGGATGGCGTAAACAATTCTCTTGGCATACTTGCCATCTCGCTCCACATGACTACCAAAGCTCTCATCCACGGTGCTTGGCGCAATATCGTCATCGCGATCCAGACAGTTTTGGATAATGGGAAGAAGAGCCGACTCGACAGCTTTAGCATACAGCGCCTTGGTACCGACATCGACATCGACATCTTCTTCGTCAAACTTGCTGATGCGGATTTCGAAAGGTTCCGAGATGCTCATGACCGTGTGACGTCCATCATGGTGGTATCTAAACTCAAAGACACCTTGCGTCCACCATAGCTTATCTCCTTGGAAAACAACCTCGCCTTCCATCATATCAGGCTCTGAGGGATCAGCTTTGGCCACGACATGTTCCTTGACAGTAATGCTGGTATTTGCCGTCGAAGCATCGTATGCACCAGTGCATGTGGGTGTCCACCTTCCAAGTGACGAAACCTCGGTCGTGTCTCGAAGGCGATTATCCGTCACCATGTAGAGGCCAATCCAATCTTCTTTGCTGTGGTTTGCGGGCGCTCGCCACCTGACTCGCAGAGGGGCACCGTATTCAAAAGTCTTGGTCTTGATTAGCTTTGGGAAGCGTCCTGAAAAGCTCTCTTTACCAGTAGCTCTTTCATCAACGGCCGATTGAAGGGAGGGGGTTCCTTCAATAGTGAGTGAGTACTGCTTAGGATCCAGCCCAGCTAGGTCGGGGGCAATTCTGGTAATCGTGAGGCGGGCAGGTGCTACGTTGAAAAGAGCAGATGTGTCTCGGACGATAGTCTTAACACCAGAAGTAAACTTGGGGCGGGCACTGTCCAAAAACTCTTCGACAAAGTGGGACGTGTCGTCCAGGACCTTGTCCACGCTTTCTTGCCATACTTTGACCGGAGGCGGTAATGATCGCTTGATGAATTTGGTGAGACCTGCCTCCTGTCGAATGCTTCTTCCATAAATCTTTTGCATGTGAGGTCGTTCGACGAACGCGATGACCATGACATTCAAGATTTGCGTAACCAGAGCAGTGATGAAAATGGCTCGGCTCCAGGTGATGAGAGCAGCGCCCCAGATGCCAGCAGTTCCAAAAACTCTTTCAGGGTTGTTGAGAAACCGATAGATGGAGGTGTATGTAAGCTTGGCTTCATGGTCGAAGAAGAAGTCGCCGCAGAACCAGCCAAACTCGCCGAGGGAATCGTATACGCTGAAAGCAGTCCACAGCTGTAGAGCAATCAAACCAGCTCCAAGCACGTGCTTGAAGAGAACCAGGCCATAGCCCCAGTCCTCTGGAAGGTTGTACATCTTCCAGCAAGCTGCAATGAAAGATGTGTTGCACATGATCATGCTGATATGGTACATGGCTTTCCATTGGCGCCAGGCTTCTCCAGCACTCTCGCCATATTTGAGAAAGTGGCGAGTCCACATCTTTGATTTAGATTGTTGGTCCAACACGAAGCCGAGGCCAGCGTGATACCACACCCGCCACAAAAGTGCGTGAGCAACGAAAATTGCTTTCCAGAAGGATGTTGCCGGCGTCGCAAGTGTAAGGACCGCAACATAGACTGGCAGAATAACGACAACACAGTCTGGAACTCGGAATAGATCCATGTTGTGTAATCCAACAAGATTGTGCACAGGTGCTGGCATATCCTTCTGTGAGATGGAGGCGGATCGCACGAATGTATCTTCTGCGGGAAGATCGAAAGCCACGGTGGGGGTGACCGGGCTTCGATTTCCGGCCTTTTCTCTTGGAGCAGGAGGATTGTAAATCTTGTCGATATGGGGGTTTTCCACCGACACAAGGAACGCAAACTGGGCAAGATGGGCGAGGATGGAGATGAAGAGCACCTCGTAGCTGGCTGCCATCATCGATATACCGTAGTATCCAGCGTAACCAATCGAATACATGGGATGGGGCGCCATCTCAAAGACACCGTCGAATGTGAGATCCTGATCGATAAGATAGAAGAAATCTCCCCAGTACCAAGCAAAATCCTTGACAACACGATGCGCATCCAGCTTGACCCAGAGATTGAAGCCGACCAGTGTAATACCCAAAAGCCAGCGGGAGCTTCCGAAGAGTATACTCTCGTCCTTTGGTGTGTGGCTACAGACAATGGCGAACAGACAGTATGACACGAAATCACACATCAAGATCAAGTCGACGACCCTTCGGAAGACGAGCCAGGTGTTGTATTCAATGGGAGCCTTCTCAAACTCGTAGTCCTCAGGGATCTTGGCTTCGAGCTCTCGCTTCAGAAGATTGTACAGCCATGGGCGGGGATTATTGCCAGTGCTCGGATGCTCGAATAGCTTCCATCGCTGGGCCCAGGTGATCAGGCGCCGGTGGTGAGATTGGATATGTAGCAAGATGCCGATGCCAACGTTGTAAGAAGCTCTCCAAAAGAGGAAAACAGCTGCAAATACGGGGCGCTTATACCCAGCCGGAAGGAAATATGCCGCTAGGATATGCAATGCTAGAATAGCCAAGACGACAGCATCTGAAAGGTTCTTGGGCTGCCGCGGATCAAGGAGCTGTGAAACCATGTCATGTGTAGTTGGCACAACGAATACTATCCCAATTGAGGGGCATTGATTAGCTCCATGGCCTGTGTGAGCCAAAAACGGTGCGATTTGCCTTGATCACTCACCTGTGCCATCTGGTGTACGACCAAAAGTCTTCTTTTGTTTGCCAATGTCACCATCCTGGGTATCCTGGCCAGCGCTCTGCGGTTCCATTGGCGCTGGACCACTGGGGCTGACGCTCCCACTTCCGCCGTCAGATGCATCATCGTAGAGCTGCCGGTGCCGCAGCTCAGCACCTCCAGCCGAGAGGTCGGCGGCCGTGCTCATGGTGGACGGAGTTGAGGATCGTCCGAGTGGGCCCGAAGTGACAGAGGTTGAAGAACGGAGAGGAGTAAGAGGGTAAAGAAGCAGAAAGTGAAGAGCAATTGGGAGCTTGTGGGCTATTTAGCTGGACTTGTGCATAAACTCGGAATGTCCAATCACGAGCGGCAGGACAGATTGTTGAGAAACGGCTGCAGGGCCCTTTCTGGGTTCGTTGATTGCAGGGCGGAGCCACCAATCCGGAGTCTAGAAGCGAGCTGATCTCCGGGCTAATGTCGAAGCGCAAGTGATGTTCAACCCGAGGTGCCTATGAATGGCGTCCCGTGTCACCTTTGGTTGGTAGTAATGTTTTGATACAACAAGCGGTTGACGCTTGTCGACGCAGACCGAGAAAAACGGCGTTGTTGAAGGCCGTTTTGTGGTTTGTTTTTCTTGTTGTTGTTGAGAGTGAAAAGTCGAGAAGACGGCGGAAGAGGCGAGAAGGCTGCTTAGGTGTCTTGTGACCTCTGCCCAGCTCTGGGAAGCGCCGTTGCTACCGAGCAACATGCCAGTGTGGAGAGACACCTTAACGCACTAGAATGGCTGCCAAGTTGATGTCAATAGTGGGGGGAGCCACTGGAATCGTTGGTAGCCCCCTAACGCAATCGCTGCTGTCGGCTAAAGCAGGCACATTAGTTCCTTACTGTACACGAGCCTAAGGGGAAGAGGCTGTGCTTTGAGTTCCATCCATTGGCAATTATCCTTTCAACAGTGATGTTATTACTGATAAAAAGGGTACGAGGACATAAGATTTGATGCAGCCGATGAGGTAAAGATACATAAATCACTAGATGCCGTGAGATCGCAACAACGTGATTTCCATGGACTGCGCAAAGCATCGGGGCGGACTGAGATAGAGTCCAGCCCACTTCTCCAGCAAAATGACGAATGCAGCTAAAAAGAACTTGAGACCAAAAGTCAGACATGTGAAAGTCGGAATCCTGGTCTACGATACGCTGTTCGATTGGTGCAAGCACTCCACATTTGCCCAACAGATGGAAGCCCCACCACGGAGGGCTTCTCACCACACAAGCGAGATTTACCTTGAGCGCGGAGAGACGCTCAATGCTTGGATCCAGTAAGCTTTGTTTGCTATTTTTATGAATCAATGTCTAAGAGACTCTTTGTATAAGTTATCTCGGCGAGTCTTATCTATAGGTGCCTTCTTGTTTAAAATTAGCTACCTGGTACCTCTCAATAACTTTAGCCACGCCGCCTTTTCTCGTTGTAATTCTCCAATCATGATACAAACTCCTCTTACCTTAGTATTCCATTAATCCCGCTGGAAGTTTAAAACACACGTTCAGCTGTATGTGCCTGTAGTCAGAAGAAAGTATATCTATCAATTGTTTACAACGCCACAGATACCAAAAATTTTGTTTACAGATCTCCGTAGCAACCCTACTGTATTTGTGTATATACACAGAAGCTTTCATTGCGGAAGTGATCTACATGTTGGTGACACAATTGAAGGAACCGTATATACGGCAATAGGTGACAGTATGGCAGTCATTAAACACTCCAAAAAGTTCAAGAAGGAGACAATCTTAGCTACTTCAGCAAATAGTCATAGCAAATGCATTACCATATCTTCCTAACCATCCCGCAACAAGAGAAAACAAGGGCTTTTGTTGTTTTACTGAGCCTTCTTGGCAAACTCGACCCTGAGAATGAGATGCTTGAAACCAAATCCGTCCATCTTGTTGCATGCGGTGACAGCGTCGCTGTGGTCTGCGAAGCTGATGAAGGCGAAACCCTTGGCCATACCAGTTTCCCGGTCCTTGGCAAGGAAGACTCTGGTGACACGACCGAAACGCTCGAACATATCGCGCAGCTCTGATTCCTCTGCCATCTCTGAGACCTGTTTGGAAGAAAAACATAACCGTTAGCAAAAAATGACATCTTTGATAAAGGGGCCTCGAATGATGAGCTTACGTTGGTGACACGCAGTGTCGCAAAGTCGTCCCTCTCGCCGTATTTTGATCCACCCATGCGTTCTCCGGCTCCTCCACCAGCGCCACGCAGAGCAGGCGGAACGTATGAGCCCTTCTTCCCAGACCCGGCAGCACCAGTGGCAGCAGATAGATCCTCTGCCATACCGGCGGGCGCATCTGCGCCGCTCGTTTCTCCAACAGGCGCCATGGTATCCTTGTAGGGACATCTGGCTGTAAAGTGCTCGCCATTGCAGATACGGCACTTGACCTTCTTGTCCTTGAGCTTGTCCTTCATGGCCTGGGCGTTCGCGTCGGCGCCCTCCTCCTTGGCATCCTTGCGCCAGGAGACGCTGGGTCGGAAGATGATGTTCTCGCCGACGGAGGTGGTATCGGGGGCAGGTCCCGCGGGATCTTTGGCGCTCAAGCCGAACTTGGCCCACGTTTTCCGGTTGGCGACGCGGGGGTTGACTGTCTCGGTTTGGGTGACATAGCGGATCCGACGAGTGGTCTTTACTTTCTGACCCTGATCGTTGTATCGGAATGTGATGATGGTCTTGGTACCATCTTTATTAGAGATGGTCTGGGGAGGCGGAAGGTCAGAAGAGACTTCCTCAATGTCATCGTCGTCGGCCCAGTCGTGCCTGATTTTTCGCAGTGGTGGGGTTAGCGAGGCTTTGCAAATGAAGTTTCCGAGAATGGAGGCCACTCACTTGGCCTTGGGCGGCGCGGTGGTAGCCATGATTACTGCCTGCTGTATAGCACCAAATTCGTCGATTCAAAAAAGCAATCTGTCCTGCGGTGTAGTCGACGTGTGCCGCGTCGCTGGAGCGATTCTACAAGGACTGATTGTGAGCGTGGGGTTTGCCGTCGAAACAATCCAGCGAATTTCTCAACATTTGGTGCGGTTTGCAATTTCTGGTGGAGCAGCCACACTGTGGCTGTGAGCTCAATCACGTGATGGGTATCTTATCGGCAGTGCTAATGGAACCAGCAAACCGGTAGCTGAGTGCCAAGTGCATGGGCGCAGCAGCCGCCACCATCCAGCTTTATAGATTCCGGCGAGACTCAGAGAGATTGTGTGGCTGATGGCGCCGAGGAAACAAGAACAGACTCCAAGCCTGTGGCTGCTTTTCAATGCCAAACTACTCCGTAATCGTGTCTGGAGTCTTCCCGTCTGAGAGACTAAAGATGCGCCATTCCCCGAAATCGACCCTCCATTCAAGCCGAACGCCCGAAGGTTTGTCGTAATCCAGTGTGGCGCGCCCAGCGTTTGCGTGCGTAATGCCCAGAAAGCGGTCATGAATCAGACCGTTAAGTTCGCCCCAATGCCCAAGGTTTTTGATCACGCGCTGCCCAGCTTTCCCTTGTAATTAATTCCCCTCACTGCCTCTCTACGGAGTAATATATTCCAATCACTACCGCCTCCGTTTTTGCGTCCTATTCATTCATTTCGACGGAGTTTCTCTCGTTCTTCTGGCGATTCGCAGTAACATTTAGAAAGGATAAACCATGGCCGCCAAGAATACCAACCGAGGGGACCAACCTCCAGCTTACGGAGAGCCCCAAGCACCTAAACCCACATACGGAGGATACGGGGGTTATGAAGGATACCAACAGGGCCAGTCAAGCAACTATCAAGAGGGCATCCAGGGCCCGTCAGGTCAACAGGCATATTATCAACCAGGACCACAAATGGGGTATTATAACCAGCAACAGCATGGCCCTTTTCCCGGCCAAGGGCAATACCCGCCTGGACAGGGCCAATATTCTGGCTATAATCAATATCCACAAGGCCAATATATGTACCCCCAGGGTCAATACCCTCAGGGCCAGTACCCTCAACAATATCCCCCTCAAGGCTATTATGGAGATAGGCGTCCAGGTGGAACGACAAGCGGCCTTCTTGGTGGTCTAGCTCTTGGTACAGCTTGTTGTTGCTGTCTAGACTGTTTGTTATGTTAATGGGCGGGAAAGCGAACGACGAATGATCATCCTATCCAGATATCAGCTTTGCAGCAATCACCGGGACCAATAATACTTTCGAGCCTTCTCGCAAGATGCGGATCATAGACGAAAAACATTCACAGAAAGAACAAACGAGGACAGGGTTTGGGTTCGGGTTCGGAGTTAGGGGGGAATTCTCGTATGATGTCTGGGAACAACCGATGGCAGCTGGTTATAGTTATTTTAATGGCGTTTTGGCGTACGGAGATCCTCATACATTCAGCTTACTGATATCCTTTGTTCAACTATCAGTATTCTTAGTTAGGGCGAGCGGCGTCTCCAAGATGTGCGAAATACTAATTATTATCTCCCAATATTATGTCTTGCTGTTATCTATTGATACCCCTGAGGATACTTGGCGACAAGCATCTTGATATCGTCCATAGCCCTGCAGAGGAGTCAGTTGGTACAAGTATCTGGATGTATGTATAGAGCTGTTGTAACGATTGACCTACATCTGTAAATACTCCTCGTTATCTGGAAATATAGCTGCCGCCTGCAGGTTAAATTTCCTGAACAGGTAATAAGTTACACTAGAATTTGTAAAATGCGGGCAGACCTCTTACACGGAATAGAGTGTGTTGCGATCATCAAAATCCTCTAAGGGTTCGGATGGGGCGATGTGAGAAAAATATTCCTCAAAGTAAATGCTTGCAAACTTATTTCGACTTGGTCGCCAATTTCCTAGTTCATCTATTCAAAAGATTCATTAGCGGAGTCTAAGTAGTAATGGAGCATGACGCTGGTATTGAAGTATGGCGTGGAGCTGCATACACTCATTGTGCGCCCAAAAGCTAGAGGGATCGTAAATGATGCTTTTCTCTACATCACCAGAGACGACGCCTGCGTTCCCGTACCACAGATCTCCATGTACTAACGAAGGCTGTATCTGCCGTCCGCCACTTTCAAGTGGTCGGAGAAGCCTGGGAATGACCTTGTCAAATAGCGCAGGTTCGAGTGCTTCAAGTTCCAAGCTACGCCCAGCCCTCTTGAGCCGAATCTTCAAGACGTCGCGCAATCCGTCGGCAAAGAAGAGCTCCCAGCGGTCGGACCAGGTATTCTCCTGAGGAAGGTTCCCGTTATACGTCTTGCAATGGAATCCGAATTGGCCATTTGGCGACAAGGGGCGAGAAGACAGATGCAGCTGAGCTAGTTTCCCGCAGAAAGAAATAGGCTCAGGCATGTCGCCGGTGAAGTTATCAAAGTTGCAAATATAGAAGTGGGAGTTCGAATCTGTTTTGAGTGTGCCCCATCCGATGGGTTTCGGGCAAAAGCTGGGGTTGATATTGTGAATAGCTAATGTAGACTCGAATTCGCCCTTTAGAGCCTCTTTGCCTTCCAGTTTGACAGACACCTGTGACTGGTTAGCTGATTGACATTGAATTTTAAACAATATCAAGACCTTAATGAAGTAGCATTCTTCGCTGCCGTCTGTGTGGCGCACTTTCAGACGCAGGCGTCTTGCCCAGGCAGAATCCTCCTTGCCATCCCTTATTCCGGCAAATTCTACTACTTCTGCCACTTCATGCAATACTAGATAAAATGATTCCTATTATTAGTACAATGATGAATTATAGAAAGGCAAAGGCTCGATAATGGGACTTACCTGCGAGTATGCTGGGATCTGCCTGTGGCCACTTTCCTTGAACATCAGTGGCTTCGTCTAGATTTACCATCTTTGAGGTTCTTTTTTTGTAATGCAGCTATTTTAGTAAAATTGCAGTAAAGCAGTCTTGAGAGGTTTAAATAAATATATGTAGAAGCAGACCTATGAAGAAGGTATTTCCCCCGCCCTGAGTTGAAGTAATGCCTCACCATGAGGACAAAGCGGCCGCATGGGCCTCTACTATATATTGTTGCCTGTGAGTACCCTTTAACACCCAAGACATGCATCAAGAAATCATCTACATATACATAGGTACCTAATTGCGTATCGCAAAATTATCTTTGTTGCAGAGTTGCAAAAGGGACTGCAGTTTGCCGAACGCCATCGGCTTCGCAATGAAGTGGTCTACTTTGACGACCTGGCTGCAAGCATAAGAATAGCAGCAAGCACAATAGCAAGCACAGAGATGCCAGAAAGCACAAAATGGCCAGCTAACATACAATCGCAAACAAGCATGAAAAGATCAAGTCAGAAGCGCAGGTCAGGGTCCGATATACGTCTAGCAATTCGTCAAATTCCAAGAGAATGCGCTTCAGCAGCGCAAAGCTGAAACATCGTACGGTGGTTGGCAATCGGCTGTTGGTTAATAAGACCAAGTCGAACTTGCATACCCTTAGGGAGGTCTTGTGGCAGAATAGGATGTACTCCTGTCTTGTTATCTCGCCAGTAGACCGAGTCATCAGCAGCTTCAATGCGGCCAAAGGAACTGGGAGAGTTATTCCGTGGCGCAATCAAGCCACACCAATCTCTCTACACGACGGGCAAGATTCTCCATCATTTGCGCAATCATTTACTAAGAGAAATCGTATGTCAACAAAATACAACTTTATGAGCCTTGACACCTCCCTGATAAAGATTTGGAGTCGAAACACGGTGCTTTACCAACCTTCTCCTTCAAAGTAAGGTAATAAGGGTCTCCGGGTCAACGTCGGGCGAATAACATTTAGCAAGAATAGCCGCCAGAGCGACTTCCGGCGGGATGATAAGAAAAGATAAGGGTCAATGCGTTCTTTCCTCCCAATTTCTTTGTGACTCAACTACAAGATCACACGTCCGCCCCGCACCCTTTGGGCTTGAATCCTGCAAAAGAAACTCGTCAGGATCACGAGCGACAGTCCAAGATGGCGACTATCTACATTGACGAAGACATTGGCAAGGACGAAGTTTCCCAGACCGGCACCGAGGAGTCCCCTTACAAGACGCTGCAGTTCGCCTATCTCCAGCGTCCCGCTGAAGCCCAATATCTGACCCGCAAGTCGCAAGCCGAAGATGAGGCCGCAAAGGAGTGGAAACCCGTCGCAAAGGCTGCCTTGAAGAAGGCAGTTAACTTCTTCGACGTTCAGAAGAAAAAAGCAGCCAAGGAACAGGAGCTGGTTGTCAGGCGCAAGAAGGAGGAAGAGGAGCGAGCCAAGGCCTTGGAAGCTGCCAAGGCTATTGTTATCACTGAGGACCCCAGCCTTCCTGCTGCTGTTCGAATTGGGCTCGACGAGGTTGGCGATCACATCAAGCTCCGCAAGGTGGATGACCCTGAGAGCAAAGGCACTCGAGTACGCGTCTTTGGTCGCGTGCACCGAGAGCGCAAGCAAAAGGATGTCATGTTTGTCACACTGAGAGACGGCTATGGCTTTATGCAGGTGGTCATTTCCGGCCAGCTGGCAAAGACTTACGATGCTGTCACCCTCACCCGTGAAACCTCAATGGAAATCCTAGGAGAGATGCGAGAAGTCCCTGCCGGTGCCCGGGCTCCTCTCAACCGCGAATTGCACGCCGACTTCTTCAAGATTCCCAAGCACTGGAAGGCCCCCGGTGGTGACGATGCCATCACCAACAGAGTTCAGGCAGACGCCGAGCAGGCCATGCTTCTCGACCAACGACACCTTACACTTCGTGGTGAAGTCGCTTCGGGTGTCATGATTGTCCGCGATGCCGTTGAGTGGGCCTTCAACCAGGCCTACAAGGAGCTGAGATTCCGCAAAGTCAGCCCTCCCGCCCTCGTCCAGACACAAGTCGAAGGCGGTGCTACGCTGTTCAAATTTGACTACTATGGCGAGGACGCCTACCTCACACAGTCTTCTCAGCTATACCTGGAGACCTGCCTGCCCTCAATGGGTCACGTTTACTGTATCGAGAAGTCCTTCCGAGCCGAAAAGTCTCTGACCCGACGACACTTGTCTGAGTTCACGCACGTTGAGGCTGAGCTTGACTTTATCACCTTTGACGACCTATTGGCCCACATTGAGCAAATCATGTGCCGTGTGCTCGAATTGGTCATGGACGACCCTGTCGTTGCTGAGAAGATCAAGGCCATGAACCCCGAGTTCAAGCTTCCCGAGAGGCCTTTTATGCGCATGAAGTACTCGGAGGCAATCGATTGGCTTGTTGAGCACGATATTCCCAACGAGGAGGGCAAGCCCCATGCCTTTGGTGACGATATTGCCGAGGCCGCAGAGCGTCGCATGACGGATATCATCAACAGACCCATCTTCCTGACGCACTTCCCTGCTGAGATCAAATCATTCTACATGTACAAAGATCCAAACGATCTTCGCGTTACCGAGAGTGTTGACTGCTTGATGCCCGGTGTTGGAGAGATTGTTGGTGGATCGATGAGAATGGACGACTACGAGGAGTTGATGGCCGCGTACAAGCGCGAGGGCATTGACCCCGAGGCCTACTACTGGTACACTGATCAGAGAAAGTAAGTGATGACAAGTTCCCGTTTCGAAATTCTATTCGTTCATTGGCTAATCACATTTTCTTTTCTAGGTATGGAAGCTCTCCCCACGGAGGCTACGGTCTGGGACTGGAGCGATTCCTTGCCTGGCTTTGCAAGCAGCATACTGTTAGAGATTGCTGCTTGTATCCTCGTTACATGCACCGTTGCAAGCCTTAGACGCTAAATCAAGAGTTAGACTTGTTTGTTGATTTACGAGAACACGTGAAAGACAGACTTGCTTTGCGCTAGTTATCCAGAGATGCCCTTCTACGATATTAAAAGCATGTGAAAGACCATACAAGGAACTCGATGATAACTCGTGATATTGCCACTCGAAATCTTGAGCTTCAATGGTGTCCCATATAGTTTGAGTGAGAAAATAATATCTGTCAAGTGACTGCTCCAAAGATCGTGTAGCATCCGTGAATCTACCACAACACATGCAGGACAATGGTAATCGCACCTTGATGGCTATTAGAAACAATTATCACATGTCAAAAAACATTACAAAGCACGAGATGTCTCTAGATGGTAAATCTAGATTACCATCGAGATAGATTTGTTGGGGCAAAGTTTATTGTCGGATATAGCGTGGCAGCTGAGCTGACAATCCCCGTATACAGAGATGTTTGCCACATTCACATGCAGATGTTTATGATCAATCACATGCAAATAGAAATGTACTGTTTTTGTTTTAATTTGTTGCTAATGTGATATTTTCTTAGAATATCGATAATATCAAATGTTCTCTTGGGAAAATACTGAATGTAACATGCTTAACGGATAGGTAGTTGCTGGGCAAGAAGAGAACAACAACGGCAATCAATGTAAGCATCTACCTACTTGTTAAATGATCGAGAGAAGCAAATGATCGTCAATGCAACATGTTATCATTGAAGGAATAAACTTGGTTCCATCATCATATAATAACGCTCAATAACTACGCATTTGCATCTCAAACACATGCGATTTGCCTAGGCACAGTCGATGGCAAATACCCCAACAAACATTCCTCAGCTTCGCATCCAATAAACAGCTGTCAGCATGTCTTCCAGAATCCTGATGGTTAACACGCTAAAACGTCATGAATTGCGGATGGTGTGTAAAGCAGATGGCGGACATTGTTCCTCCACGTTCCCTTGACGTCATCCGCCACGATGCCGATCGCCAGTCAGTTTTGCATAAGCTCACTGTCTGGGTATGTTTTTATTATTTATATCTGGTGTACCCTCGTTTCATCCTTGATATTTCTAGAAAGTCTCTTAACTCATTACATATTCATCCTTAAGAAGGAAGAGCTACATTCACATAACAACCACATATAACAACCAACAACACAACAACATACAACATGTCTGCCGAAGATACTAAGAAGCCCGATACCGGCAACGTGACTGACACAGTCACTGGCACTGCCCAATCTGTTACGGGCATCCTAGGCAACACAGTCGGCGGTTTGGGTCGCACTGTCGGCGGAGTTGCTGGTGCAGCAACTCGAGGCCTTGGAAATACTGTCAATAGCGTCACCGGAGAGACTGGTCGTCCTGTAGGAGATGCTATGGGCAACATTGGGACGGGACTAGAGGGAGGCTTGGAAAATGTTTCCAAGGGAGTGGAGGATGCGGGGCAGTGGAAGAAGCAGTAAACAAAACAACAAAAAACAAAAGGGTCAGGCGCGAATATGGAAACTAGGGGGAAAGGGCCCTGAGCCCAAATGTACTATTAATTACGAATTTGGAACAACCTTGAATCAAAATTTTGTCATATCATGTACTGTATTTTGTTTCGTGATATCGACATTAACAGCCTGTAAAGCTACCGTATGCTAATACTTGGATCCGACTGAAACCAAAACCCTTGACTTGCGGTGTAACACATAGGAACCTCCCGTACCCTTCCATTCTCACGCCGTAGACTCTATCTCCGTAATGATCCTTGAGAGGAGTTTATCTGAACCGTGCGTTATTACAACACGCGGAAAGAGGAACACAATCCCAGTATATCTGTTATATGACCTGTAATCTTGCGCAAATAGGAGGGTCATGCTCCTCATTGCTTAGTCTTGCCAGTAATGGCGTTTAGACTTGCTCGGCACCCCAGCCGACATCAGCTTCTCGCATGTTGCTAGGGGGTTCGATCGAGGGAATGAACTCGAGGGCGACGTAGCCGACACCGATGATACCAACAGCACCACCAGCTAAGTTGCTAATAAGGCGACTGCCGAGAAGAAGGCCTCCGAGAAGGATATAGACTATCAAATTTGTCAGAATATTCTCCCCAAAAAGAAACTAGACACCTAAACATACAGATACCACGGCCAATAAAGGAAAAGAGGAAGTTGGCGTATCTCGAAACTTGAGGGGGGATTTGGAACTCTAAAGTCCTAGTTAGCACCATTCTACTTCCAAAGTAATCTGGGATACAAGGAAAGTACATACCTAGAAGTGCAATAGCAAGACCAAATACAATCATATAGATACCGATGACGAGGTTCTGACTAAAAATTGAGCAACAATCAGCGTCGTCGATCATCAATCAGCCCCGCATGTGGAAAAGGAATCGGTAAACGCTGCGTCATGATAACATGGAAGCACTTTCCGTCGCATTCAAATGAGAGAGACTCAGAACTTGTTCTCTGTTCGGGAAACCTACAAGCCAACGGGGAAGATGTGGAAAACGCCCCCCAGAACGGTGATACCCGCCACGGCCAAGTTAACAATGCGGCTGCGGCGCATCGAGGCGCAAATGTTAGCGACAGCAGTTCAATTGGATCGCCTGGACCATGCAGATAGACTAGAGACATACAAGATATCGGAGATTTCCATAGCTGCTGATTGACGGGGAGAAGCTGTATCAAGAGTCGGGACTGAGTTGGACGAAGACGGAAGTGTCGCGATGCGTGGATTTTGAGTCTCGCGGGGAAGAGGATTCGTCGCACGTGCGCTCCAGGCAGCGGCTCGGGCAGGGAGCTGAGGCTAAGAAGAGGGAGAAGTAGGGAGAAGAGTTAGGCAGTTACGTGAGTGTCATGGAAACAAATCACAAGATGCGAGCTGGTGATGTTGAAGCTTGCGCAATCCTGTCCAAAACAGCTATCCGGATGTGTTTGACGGTAGCGGGCAACAAGGCTGTGGCTGTGCGGTGACGTACTTGCCTCGGTGGGTGGTGCGGCAAAAGCTCGTCGAAACTCCGGATATTTGTCGCGGCTAAGGTACAAAGTTACAAGCACCTCCCAAACTCAGCCTCGGGGTATGCAGAGAGAGAGCTTTACAAGTTGCCCAACGACGGTTGGATTTCACGTTCAATCCTCATGATATTCTCCAATGTTTCTCACTTTTTTGCGCAGAGAACCCCTTTGAACGGCTCTCTGATTTCATCCAAACATGATTTACCGCTCAGATAAGATGATTGCAAAGATACGGGGTTCGCAGAGCTGGGAATAACGAAGAATGACAAGGTCCAAGATGATGGTGGGCTGCAAGCGTGCTGAGAGAACAACATTGTTACGAGTATGGATTTTATCACCAGCACGGATGGGAATTACCAGCACCAAACGTGAGACGAGGCAGTTCTGTTAAGCAATTCTGCTGGAAGACCAGATTCATTAAGATACTCACGGAACAGGATGGGACGAACCGGAATGTGTTGGTATACAACGGTATCCATCTCGCTCTTTGATGCGTGATAATAGGCTGCCAATGCCGGAGCCTTTGAGCCGAGCAGATGATCTATCATACTGCCCATACAAGGCAAATACTCCGAGCCAGCTCTGTCTACAATCAAAGAATCATGTCATTCTGGTTCAGCTCACATAATACCGATGGGGTCATGGTTACAATGGAAGGGAGAGCCCAAGTTTCCCACGCCGCCGATCCTCCACTCTTACTCTGGCGAGGACTGCTCTCACACACGGCTGGCAAATATTCACTCAGGCATGAAAATCGCCACTCATTATAATTAGAGCATCATGACGGGAAACGAGCCTTTCAGTGCAGAGGACGAAGCCTTGTGGTAATGGTCAACTGAGACAGGCCAGGGTGCTGTCTGGTTCAAAGTGGTTACCAAAAGCACTAGCACGCCACCGAAAAGCAAACGAGGCGGCATACGACAGGGGTTGTGAACTCCTGGAAATGAGAACGTCTCGTCGAGGCCAAGTAAAAGCAGACATCTACTATTACGAGTACTGCCATGTCATCGGCGTTTCACACAAAGCCCAAAGTGCACAGACTAATACTTAGCCGCCACTGTATGCGACGGCGTCTTGGAGGATTCGACTCTCCCTGCAGCATGTGGTTCTCGTGTTCTTGACCGAGTCGTCTAAATTGGCCTATTCGAGCTCTTATCACAAAGGCTTTGCATGGAAATGCATGAATATGGTGGAGATGAGCCCGGGCAAAGCATCCATGGATGGAAATCCAGCCAGCCGCAGGACAGGGAGGGCGGTGAGTGGGAACCCCCAGCAGCACCAATACTGGACGCTGCTCGATATTGGTTTATGGTCCTTGGACGCAACCGAGGTGCTCGTGGGATGCGCCCTGCTACGTTCAGAACGACGGGCAGCATTACACGTGTCCGGAGACGCGCTCCGAGCCAGTCAGAGCTTTGCTGCACGTACAGCCTGATTTGCCGGAACCCCTCAGGAAGTGTGATATGCAGCTCCAGTTCTGCCCAGCCACACATCGTACCATTATGAGCGGGCGAGACAAAAAAAAGAAAGGAAAAAAAGCAGCTACCAAAGCACCGACGAAAGGACCGACCAGGATTGAGACCGGAGAGGCATTCGGCGCCTCGCCGGGGACCCTCCCCCAGCACTCACACTCCCAGTTTGGCTCGGTACGAGATCCCCGGTATTACTCGGCTCGCCCTCCGACCTGGGTTGGCGAGCAACACACCTTTCGTCTTGTTTTAGCGGCATAGGATAGTAGTTGGATAGATGGTCTAATGCTTGTTCGTCCCATTTGGTACTAGGTGGTGTTTCTGGGCGAGCCTTACTGTGGAGGCATCTTAATGCCGGGAATCTCTTAAATTTTTTTACGGCCGATCGTCTCGTGGATCAGTGGATACACCAAGATACCGTGCCTGCTAGGGGGAGCTAACCGCGAGGTTAATATTCACTCCAGGAGATGCTGTGTATGGCACGGCACATACAGTGAGACTGAGACGCGCGGCGCCTGCTGGGTGTTTGGCCTCCATCAGTCACCAGGCAACCCCAAATCGACATACGGTTGGCTGTCAAGGGAGAGAACCGTATGCAACCAAGGCCTGTGGGATGATAGGTGAGTGGCTACATTCGTTCTACTATTGCTTGCTTGGTGGGTGGTACTAACAACCATGGAGTCTGGGGAGGGTGGTGTGCTTCCAAGGGAAATCACAACCACTAGAACCCGTACAAGTACAGGAGGGGCTCCGCCAAGGCTGCATAAATTCTCCTAAGACATGGCATTGGCATGGCATCTATTTCCAGCATACAAGTTGACAAGGTACGTCAACTCTCCTTCCGTTGAGGAGCTTCACAATCGCTGATCTCGGGCTTTGAATGTGCCGAACTAGAACTAGCGCGGCTCCATGTCTAGCCTGTTCAAAAGACGACTTGAGGGTGTGGTAGTACTACAGTACATGTCTGATGCAAGACGGACGCGGAGTGAGTGCGGAGCACACCTGCCTACGAATACACGCTGATACACGCAGAGGTATCTAGAGTGTGTCATTACATGTCCATGCAAGACAGGCCTTCTCTGCTCCATACCGTGGTGTCCTATTCATGCCTATTCATGCAAGCTGCAGCTCTCGCAGGAATCGAGTTCTAGGCCCCAGTTACGGAGTAATACTGCAAGCAGGGCACTATATGATATGCGTCAGCAAATGTGAGGGGAAAGAGAAAGAGATAAGTATTCAGCTCAATTTTCCTAGGTATAGATCGAAAGGATGGTACAGATTGGGACAAGGTATCACGGCTGTGCTTTTTTGACAGCTAGGAGTTACCAGGGCCCTTGTCATCAAGCAGGTATCACACGCACACCCAACCACCCACCCCACGACTTAAGAGTCATCTTAGTAAGAGTGTTGCCGAAGATAGACACAGTATGAACAAGGGGAAGACGGCTCGACAAGGAGTCCAGAAGCGAGGTTTGGGCAGAGGCAGAAAGAGGCAGACAGAGGCTGAGACCCGGAACGCGAGGGGAAGACCTAGACCATTTTTTGCATGCTGATCGTTTCAGCTGGATTGCCAAGGCAGCGCCAGATGATTTGTGCCACGTCAATCATCCTGTGACAATGGCATTTGTGGCGTATATTGATCCAACGCATGGCCGAGACAGAGGCCGGTTTATGTGTACTTGGTCCATCACGGTGGCGGACTCTATGGATATGAATCGGTATATAAAGAGCAGAGGTTCGTTCTTTTCTGGATAACCAACTTTGTCCTACAAACATTTCGATTGTCCGTCTATACACTCTTGTTACACGCTTCGAGCTTGATAATACATTGACACTCTTCGTGCCGCTTACTCCAAAACCAAACTCAACTTACAACCTTGTCTTTAGCTCTTTAAGAATCAGACAAACACATTCTTATCAAAATGTCTTCGTCCGGTAGCCTCCCCCTTACCCCCATCACCAGCATTGGCTCGATCAACTCCCCCTTCGACAGGGTCATCCCAGCGGCAGATCATGCAGCCTCTGCGTCCGAGTTCAGCAAAAGAACTTGGCAAGAGCTTGTAGCGAATGCTGCCTCCATGTCATTCAATATCGACACGGTCAATCTGGCCAGCCTGGCCAAGTACGGGCCAAAGCTCCCCGACGAAATGGAGGGGACCACCGAGCTTGCGGGATATGCCAAATGGTATAAAGCAGGGCAGCCCGCAGTAGCAATCATCCTCAACGCGATACACGCTATTCGCCATGGCTTCAAACGGCGATGGGACTTGATGAAGCTCACGCCGACACTCTGTGAGATATCGAGGCACAGCGGCTTCAAATTCTCAGACAGCGAGTCTAATGGTCTTGCTTTCATGTTCCTCGCTTGGTCCTATATCCTTTGTGCGTTTTTGCTTGAACAACAGCAGATACCCATAGTCTATGAAGATCCATACAGACAATGGGGTAATGGAACCTATGAAGGTGGTGCCTTCTTCATAGACCTTGGGGACGCTAGTGATGAAGAATATCGCTGGTGGTCAGCTCTTATTCATCCTGGCCGAGGATGGAAAGCTGCTTATTCTTCGCAACCGGTATGGGCTGTGACACTTGGGAATCAGTTCAAGTTTATTATCCTGAATGAACGCAACGTGCTGCCGTCAACCAAGGTCAATCCTCCCTCTGCCAAGGAGGCGCTTGTTTTCCTTTCTCGATTTGCTGCCAGATTCAACTTGGAGAACCAGGCGTCACTCGGACTTGCAATGGCACTGACCATTCCACTTCACGATAATATGTCCTCAACCATTCAGCTGCCAGAGCCGTATCTTACCAGGAAAGATGTTGTGTCTATTCCCTCTTCCATCATTGACCAAGAATTTCGCAACCTGTCTTACTACATGGTTCTTAGCTCCAACCCTACTTTCATGGCCTCGGCTCTTTGGTCTGTCTTTTTCGAACCTGAAATCGACTGCAACTTGGCCAGCCCCTGGTGCAACGCAATCATTGATGTTATTAAGCCCTTGATTGACGGTCATCGGCTTGAGACGCTGGGTCATGTACTTGCTCAAAGAAGGCCTGGCGTTGCTGCTCTATGGTACGGCCTGGTGGCCTGTGGCAATACAGATGTTATCCAATCCATCATTCCCTACCTTGAGACCTTGCACACCGCATTACCCGCAAAACATGTTCCAGAAGTTTCTGTCTGGACCGACACTCCTCAGTCATTCATGGACCTTTCTGGATCTGGCCCTTATTTACAGGGGAATCAGATATCTCGCGAGGATCTGTGGCGGCTACGACACGAGAATTGGAATACCTGGAAGGGTGGTGTTCATTTCCGCCACTTACCAAGAACTCCCTTCCGACCCTTTGGCGCCATTGACGCCGAAGAAGTGGAAGTCATGGTGCGGCCGCACTTAGAATGCCCGAGACATGAATGGATCTATTCCGGCTTCACCTGGACCCTCGACAATGGAGTCGACCTGACCCATGAGCCACGTGTGTTGACCACCTCATGGGCCCGGTTTGAGGCTGAATCACATATCAACTTGCCCCCAGCTCGCGGGGGCGAGCCAGACTTGGACATGGATTACACGGCATCTAAGCAAGCTACCGGCGACATCTTCCGGTGGGCCGCTACGGAAATGGAGGAGACTGGCAAGCATATCTACTCGCACCCGTGGGTCAACGTAGAGGGACATCTCGCTCTAGTTGGGCAGGAAAAGCGCAGGCCTAAAGGAGTCGTGCGTATCTCGGATATGGACAGAGTCAAGGAGTGGGTTGTCAGCAACAATGGTGAGTGAGCCCGTCATTTCAGCGTGCTACGATTTTTTTCTTACATAACTGACTCGTTATTTGCTGCTTAGAAGGGGGCGATGAAGAAATGATTGGCATCAGAGAGGAACAGAAGCTTGTGTAAAGAAGATGATGCTGCTATTTCATTTCACTTCTTTGTCTTTCCTTTTTGTTATAGATGGCAATGTTCAAGGCAGAACACTGGTATGGCACATAGATTGGTCAAGGCGGAACACGGGTATGGCACATAGATTGATACATAGAAAAGCCAGGCAACAACATGATTTGGGATTTGGGACTCATGAGATGGAAAATTGGGGAAATGGCAAGCTTCCAGGTAGTAATTGGCAAGCTCCCAGGTAATGGGTAAGGATGGGACACTGGAACTGGGGTAATATGGGACATTGGGCATGGGACAAGGAAGCTAGGAGGAAATCGGTCTGGCGGCAAGTGTGTATTTCGTAATTCTTGGTTAGGTACCTAATTAATAGTCCTCTCATTAATTCCTAGGTAGTAGCTTACAGTAGTTGCTTCATCTAAAGGAGAGTGAATAAAAGATGTGCAAGCTTTGCATATATTGAACTGCAGGAAAGCAATCCTGATAGGCTTGCATTGCGTTCAGAAAAGGAAGTCGAAAGCGAGAATAGAGCCTTGATAAGCCAATGAAGAGGTGCCTAGAGCGATAAGAGAGCCTCCATAAGCCAATTAAGAGGCTTTTAGAGCGAAGAGCGAGAAAAGAGACAACAAACCCAATCATGACCGGCATAATATGAAAACCCCAGCCGATAATGCTAGCATTAGTACATCAAAAGATGGCCTGGATGCTTCCAAGTTGGTCTAAGACAACGGAAGCAGACCAGATTGGCTCTCAGTGCGGGGCCGGCATGCGTTAGCGCTCTTTTGCTTTCATTTACAGTACTTGCACGAGCTTTAGCCGTGCCGTGTCCCAGCCAGCAAGAAAGAGGGCATCAATAAGAGGCCGGCATTGTATGAGTTGAGTACGAATGATTGGCGCACAAGCCCACCCACAGCTGCAGTGGACAGCCTGTTTTTACAACGCGGTCTGTATTCCTTCATTATGCGTGGACACTTTGTTATGCTTTTGCATCTGCGTTTCCTTTTCTTGGCTTTCGAGCTCCTGTTTGACCAGGTCCCTGAGCTGGCAAAGCTACATTAGGTACCGTGGTCGTACTCCGCTGAGGGGCAAGGCTAATGCAGGTCGCCTACGGGGTACTTGCCGCTTCATGTGCCTGCCCTGTGCTGTGATCGGTGTAATCGTAAATGAAGCATGGAAGCTGGAATGGACGAAGGTGGTTGCCTTATTGGCTGCCCGCACGCCCCGGAGTCATGTCATCCCGAGGCAAGGGAGAACAGCATCAGATGTAATCGCTTTGTCTTATTGGCTGCCTTGGGGGAATTGTCTGCTCACCCTCAATTACGTGCTTGGACTGCTTGACTCTTGACTCTTGATTTGGCACTCCTCCCACCGTGAGAGGCACAGATGTACCTACCTAGGTTGGTACCTGACCATGGTCCCTTACGAGTATGGCGCACGGGACGGGGTGGATCCCCCGGCACGGCTAGTTGGTCCAGATCCGGCCCCGCTCAGCCCCAAAACCAATCCAATCACTAACCGGAAGCTACTGCTCTGCCCCCAAAATCCAGCTCACCTCCTTGCGTCAATCCTTTGCACCTGCCTTGAGACAATTTTTCCCATGACATTATTTTTACCAAGTCCCTGGTACTTGGTATTACAAGGGAGGATGGCTATGAGACCAGAAGTACCGGTACTTGGCAGGCGGGAGGAAAGCGTCATGAGGAGGTGCGGAACCTGCGTGTTAGACGTGTTCAAGGCCTAGAAAGAGACAAATGATAGAATAGATGCAAGAACGAGAAACATGAAGTAATATGTCGGAGGTGCCAAGGCTCCCTCTGCCCTTTTTTTTTTCTCTTTTTTCTTTTTTCTTTCTTTTTCCCACTCCAACTCTTTTGCCTTTTAAGCAGCTCTTGGAACTGAGCTGACTCGCTCTGCCCTTTGAAACTGCATTCCCCTCTCTTTTGCATTGCACAACACGCTCATCACTTTTTCCCCTCTTCGACAATTTACTTCACTCATTCAGCCTCTACTGAGTACAATCTTATCAATCAGTTCATCATTCTTGTCACAATGGAGTCTACGCAGCTTCAGCAGCAAGAACCTCAGCAAGGGCAGCGTCTTGCTAGCCCTTCACGCCAACCCTCGCTGTCTCCAGCCGAGGAGGAGGCTGTGGCTGGACTTGCGCGCATGAATAAGCGAATTCGCGAGAATCCAATCATCGCCGACGACGACCCTATCGAGGAACGTGGTGTGAAACGGCGGCAGACCTTGGATTCTCGTGATGGCGCTGAGGCAGCTACCGAGACAGCTGTTGAAGCGTCAGTTGAAGCGTCAGTTGAAGCATCAGTCATGGCATCAATTGAAGATGAGCCTTCTGGGACCCCTCTAGAGGTGGCTTCTTCGGAGACTAGTGAGCAGATAGAAGGGTTGACCAATGAGGAGACTACTCAGGCCATTCTTACTGCGGCCAATGATCTTGAAAGGGCCCGTCGAAGACGGGTGCTGGCCGCCTATATTGAACAAAATAACACTCGCGAAACCAGCTATGATGGTGCAAGCACTTGGAATAGTAGTCTTCGAGAACCAAGCGCCCGAGGAGCCAGCAATGGCAATCCAAGCACCCGCCAAACAAGTCTTCAGCCAGAAGAAGGCAATGGAGAAACAGATAGCCAAGAAGACACAGAATTCGATCCTTCTTCTTGGAGGCCTATGGCTAGCAGAGACTCGCCGGATCGTCCTCTATACTTATACCCTGTCTCTGAAGCCGACAGCGAATGCTATGCGCTTCCCAAGTCTATGTGGCCAGTAGAGCACAAGACTGATCCATTTCGGGATCCTTCATGGGAACATGAATTTCAGCGGTTTGGAACATTTTTACACGAGCATCCTCTGGGCCTTTGCCAGGAAAGCGAGGCTCTCTGTAAAAGGTTGCTTGAAGGCGAACAACCGCTCCCCGAAAAGTCTTTGTTTGACGACGATATCATCCGCGCAACGTGCGAGATGATCCAACATCGAAATGAGACCATGGTATTCCGCGACATCACTCCTCTGATTGCGCCGTCAGCTGAGCTTCTTGCTTTGCGCAGCGAAACCCATAAGGATTTGATGTACGAATCTACAAATGAAATATGGGCTCACTCTCAGCCGATTCTTCGCGTCCAACCGCAGCCTACATACGCAGTTGGATTCCGGGGTCCAGCTTTTACAACGGAACGATACCAGAAGGTTTATACACTCTTTGAGGACCTCTGCACGGATGAATCATCTCCTGTCGCGAGCACACCTTTCATGTTCTTCCCATTTTTCTCGTGTGAAATCGGATCGCTCTCCATGGCCCAGCGCCAGAACACACACAGCATGTCCATTGGCATGAATGGGGTTGTCGAGCTCTTCCGCGGCGTCAAGCGTGAAGCAGAACTGGATCGTCAGGTCTTGGCCTTTTCCATCGCGCACAGCCATCACGAGGTGCAGATTGTTGCGCACTACCCGGTCATCCTCGGAGAATACACAAGCTACTTCCAAAAGGTCCTCTATTCGTTTGACTTTGCCGATCCTGCTTGTGTCGATAAGTGGGCTGCGTACCGCTTTACCAGAAACCTCTACGATCACTGGATGCCGATCCATTACAGGCGGGTCTGTTCTGCCATTGATGATATACCTCACACTGTCACCGATGAGATGTAATCAGATCTATTAACATAGGAACTAGGATGGTCTGGAAGCTTTTATACATGCGAAGCTATTCTGAAGGCATTAGATTGCCTTCGAGATTATTGGATCATATTTTGAACATAGGGAGCTTTATTATACACGCAAAGCTATTTTGAAGGCATTGGCTATCCTTCGAGGTTATTGGGTCATGTTATAAGCATAGTGGTTCTGGAGTACACTTCAAATAGTTTTGTGATTTTCTTCTTCTTCACTTCAGACGCGCTTTTTGGATCACAGCGCTTATTTCTAGATTGGACATTGGTTATAACAATGCTCGTCCATTTCTGGATTTTACTAGGGTATTGTAGCTCAATACATATCGGCATGAACGTATTCAAAACACATCTTAATGCTACCACCATATTTCCCTAGACACGTTCCGTGGAGGGTGGTATAGCATATGAAGATAAGATTCAATGTTACAGTGATGCAAACGTTGTTTTAAGCCCGTCTTTTGTTATTCTATCTCTTCCCGTTAAGAGCATTTCGTAAAGATATTGTAGTTGGAAGTCAAAGTGCACGCTGCATCAACTCTCCACGCAGACCAATACCACAATCCATTCATATGTGGGTTGGGTTTCCATGTCAAAATTCAGCATTCACGTATAGTAAAATCTAAACTAGCTTTAGGTAAGATAGGTAAAATTAATCTAAATATACCATATAAACTTAATTTTAANACAATACCAGCTAAAACTATACTTCCACCTAAAGGTGATTCAACGTGAGCTTTTAATAATCAACCATTTAAAAAGACTAGTTTAGATGGTTTATATATTATAACTAGTATAAGCGATATTAGTTCTACTGATTTATGATATAAACCTTATTATATAAATTTATCTTTAGTTATATTTACAATAGGATTCTTATTCAAAGTAAGTGCAGCACCTTTCCATTTCTGATCACCAGATGTTTACGATGCTATACCTACAAGCAGACGGTATTGGTTTCCTTTAGCCTGTGCTATAACACGAAATCCTCCAAGTACGTCAGAAGTATGACCTTGGCAAAGTTGGGCTTTACAGCTTCACCTCACATCTCCTGGGGATGAGCGACTATCCCAACTTCTGTATACATGGACACCCACTCTCTGGGCGTGCCGATACTCACGTCCTTTATATCGCCCCCAAACACGCACGTGGATCGAGCTCTGTCTGCCCGACAATACAGCCTAGCATTCTCTCTCGCGCTTAAGCGTTCATACGACACGAATATTCAGGGCAGCCATTTCACTCACATGGTGACCACTAAGTGCGAGTGAACAATACCAAGAGGGGCGCCAAGTGGGCTCTGCCCAGAAGCCAGGCTTCTCGATCATCTAGTCACCTGGAAGATGAGGAGGGGAGGCGGCCTAGAATCTCAGACCGACGTGGTTGGATGGGATGAGCTGGACGAGGAGGACTTGCATTCGAGATCCTGGTTTCCCTACACCGCCTCGACGGAGTTTTAGCAACAAGAGACATTTGTCTCGACTGAAATTGAGTGGCGCTCTTAGATTGATGAGTTGAAAATCAGGCTGAGACGCTTCGCGAGGCGAGGCTTTGACCGGGGTCCCAAGTACAGGTACACACAGACGCAGACACCCATCCAGCCTGGCCAGCCTGGCCACCGGGTATCGATCAGCCGCACAAGGATCTTACTGGATAGCATACCATGTAAGTAAATCCACCTAGGAGCCCCGTAATTTTCATTTTTATTTTCTTTTTTGTTTCTTGGCTGTCTTTCTTTTTTTTTTCTTGCTCAGCAGGCAATCTCGGGATACGACCCTAGACTTCTTACCCGAGATGGTTGCCTTCGGGAAGCTAGAAGCTTGCCTGGATGTGCGTTCTTGAGCAAGGGGGTGTGTGTGTTGTCCTTTCGTGAGGTGCGTTGGAGGAAGTAGACGAACCGGAAGTTGTGAAAGTAGAGCCGGAAGGATCTGGGGCTTCATGCACCATGCAGCCTGCTATCACACCGAGATTGTGGATTGCTCTGAGAGACCTGTGGAGAAGGAGGCTGTGTATATGTGAGTTGGAAGTCAATAGATCAGTCCGGCTGCATCTGCGGAGATTGCACTGTGTGATGAGTTATCTGGTTTACGGCATCAAGAGCCTTGTTCTGGAGCGTGGGGGAGTTTGGCCAATCAGTGTCGTGTTTCTGGGCATGATAGTGTCATTATCATTGGTATGAGTATATCGGGCTTCAGTTATTACGTTGGTGATAGTGTGGATGACGAGAGGCGTAGTCAGATTCATAATGTCTATTGTGCAACTGTATCGTGTTGTGGTATAATGGTCTCAGGACGACAACGACACAACTTCAGGTACACTGGTCAAGATGGCATAAATAATGGCTGTGATGAGCTCTTTTGGCGCTAACAATCCAACTATTGGTGCAATGTAATGCAAGTATAGAATTGTATCGCCCAACGTCCCTGTGGGAATGTGGGAGGGGAGAGCATAATTGGGTTGGAAGTTGAGCATTACATGGGGAAATAGCTTTATTCATGAAAATACCAAGTATTATGCCTTCATAAACAGCCCACCACTCTATCCAACATCACTACGTAGGCGGATTAGCATATCGGTTTTGGCAATAAAATTGAGCGAGTATATCTCTGCGGTTCTTGCAAATTTTATGTGCAGTTTGTGTCTTCAAATTTATGCTTCAGTACAACTAAATTATCTTAAATTGCCGTTTCACTGCTATGATTGCAACGGACAGGCCATCAAGTGGTACCCGGCACGGAAATGCAACAAAAAAATAACAATGGGAAGCTAAACGTACACAATTACGGCGGTAAAGCAAAGAGGAAGCAGATCTGCTCTATTTAGGTTACCGCAATCTGATCGTGATATGAATATTTTAATTTGCTCTTCACACAATCTCAGCCTCGACAGTCCAACTCAACTCGTGATCATTGCTCGATGATCTACATAATGAGGATTGAGAACGAGTAGTTCTTCAACGTAGATTGAGAGAAACAACTTATATCAACAAAGAAGCTTTGTATGCACATAGAGCTACTTGTCGTAGGTAGAGACTCATACTTTGCTCGCCATCGCCGTACACTTCAGGTTTGCCCAGTCCATGTTGCTGACGTTTTTGTCTTCTCGACTGAAACTCGTCGTAGTCTTTATGAATAGTTGCCAACATAAGATACTAATGGGTGAATCATCCCGTATAGTGGGACATCAAACGCATCGCTCTAGCCATTGTTCAAAGGCACCACCATCGAAACCTCGTAAGCAGACTGAAGTCGAAGAACCAAGAGTTTGTTGACCTACAGTATGAAGCTGCCCACTCCTGGGTTTCGGAGCCGAGCGAATTTCTCATTGCTCAAGCTTGCAAAAGCTATTTCCAGTGAGAAATTAATTTACCTAGACATGTTTGATATACTGAGAATATTAGTTCATAAGTATCTGAAAAACTCGTTCCCAGGGGCGAGGTAATGCCGTTTTATCGTGATATCCTATGGCTTTCATTCTCCACTCTTGTATGTAAATCTCATCTGTTGTATAGGAGAAGCTTTCCTTCGTATTGAAACTTCACGTATGCAAATTGCGTGATTATTTCGGACAGTTTGGTGTCAGGGGACGTACGTCGTAGGTCGGAGGAGGTATCACAACATCACGAGGTCACGGCAGTTAGAATCCAATGCTGATGTATAAAGTGGCTCTCTAATATCTAGTATCTATGGAGAGCAACCTACTATGTAGGTAGGTGCTGGAGAAGGAGATTATGTGAACTCCTTACAGTTGGAGTTGCCAAGGTCGTACAGTTGCTGCACAGTAGGCTCAATGTGCATGTATTCTGTACTCTAGAGATTACTGCTTCTGAACAAGTTAAAACTTTCGGGTAATTTTTTACCCTTGAATTGTCTTAAGATTTATCCTACTACATACATATCAGGAGATGATAGTGTTCTCCTGTTGCTGTCTCTACTCTCCATCTACTCATACTACCTAGAGATGGTTCCCACCGTCCAACACCACCGCTGTAAAGTTTATCTTAATACGAACATCAATTTATCAACGACAGGCGTCCAACCAGGTACTCCGCCTAGACACGGAGCACGGTGATTGTTCCACAGGCCATGCATCCGGAACCCGGCGCCGATCGGGATCGAATCTGTGGGGATATCTGGGGTAAGCGGGTCTTCACCCGGAGTATCACAAGCAACAACAATTGGCATTCGTCTGTTCGTTATCAAGGGGCGAAACTCCCCGAGGCCCTCAAAGCCTCATTTGCTATTTGTCTAGCTGCATCTATGCCCACACACCCATGTGCTATCGAATATAAAGGAAAAAAGAGCACTAATCGAAACAACGCAAGTCCCTGGCCAGCGGCGGTGATCATTATCGTCACGTCCTCGAAGCCCATCTATCAAACCATTATCATACAAATTACTGAGTTTCACCAACGACTTTTCGGATAGCCTGAGCCACGTGGTCAATGTTGTTGGTATTTAACCCGGCCATGCTGATTCGGCCGTTCTTGGTCATGTAGATGTGATACTCCTCGCGGAGCTTCAGAACTTGAGGTTCTGATAGGCCAGTAAAGCTGAACATGCCAATCTGGTCTGTGATGTGGTTCCAGGTTCCTGGAGTCTCCAACTCTTCAAGCTTAGAACGGAGAGCTTTGCGCATGTCGATGATGCGGCCAGACATGGTTTTCAGGTTCTCCTCCCACTCAGCGAAGAGCTGGGCGTCATTCAGAACGGTGCTAGCGATTCTGGCGCCATACAAAGGAGGGTTGGAAATCTCTGATCGCTGCAGAATGGCAAGCTGAGATGCAATGCGGGTGATTGTGGTGGTGGCATCAGGGGCAGGAGCGGCCACAACGTGGAAGCAGCCAGCTCGCTCTCCATAAAGACCAAAGTTCTTGGCGAAGCTCTGGGCAACTACGAGCTCGAAGCCTTGCTCGACAAAGTAACGTACAGCGGCGGCGTCTCGAGCAAGGTCGCCAGAGGCAAAGCCCTGGTAGGCACAGTCGAAGAAGGGGAAATGCTTCTTCTCTCGGATAATGACGGCCAACTCCTTCCACTGATCAAGTGTTGGGTCGACGCCGGTTGGGTTGTGGGCACAGGGGTGGAGCAGGATGATGGAGCCTTCAGGAGCCGCTGAGATGGCAGCGGTCATGCCCTCAAAGTCCAGCCCCCGGGTCTCCTTGTTGAAGTAAGGATACTGGGCGACCTTGATGCCGACATTGGAAAAGATCTGATGGTGGTTTGCCCATGTGGGATTTGACACATAGACGGTCTGGCTGCCTTTGTAGAACTTGGCGAGGAACAGAGCTCCCAAGTGAACGGCACCGGTTCCCGAGATGGTCTGCACAGACGTGGTGCGGCGCTCTGCGAGAGCGGGCGAATCGGCGCCGAGCATCAGCTCCGCAGCCTTGCTGGTGAAGCTCTCGATACCTGCGATCGGGGCATACTCGTGGTTCAGTTCGGGGTTGTTTCGGAGAATCTCATCAGCCTGTTGTATAAAGCAGTGGGTCAGCGATGCTGTGATGTATGAAAATGTCTAGCAGCAAATGGGCTGGACCAATAATTGGTGCGCCAATTGAGCTTATTATTGGCATCACAAGCTAGCTTGCATGCGTCGCATTCGCGGCGCCGAGCTCTCCAGATGGGACGCCAGCAAAAAGAAGACACCGTACCTTTTTTACCACAGGAAGAACCCATGGCTTCGCATTGTTATCTCGGTAGGCGCCGATTCCCTGTAAGCAAGAATATCATCAGTCATAGAGTTCATTAGACACGGTAGCTATTAGTCAAGCGATGGGATATTTGTGGGTTCGCCGGCTCCGACGTCGCAACCATAAAGGATTGCGCCAGAGTCTCGTCACGGCTGCGACGGGAACGGTTGGGGAGGATGAGGACAGCAAGGACAAAAGGGGTTGGATGTGAAAACAGACGAAATGAAAAAATTATCAGCAACAAGCAGCTTGCGACATACCAGGTCGACCTTTAGCGGGCTGTTGTCAGCCTTGTAGGCGCGGGCCAGGCCAAAGAGGGGATCTTCAGGCGCCTGGGGCACCGTTTCTGCCGGGAAACTGGTGGTAGAAGCCATTGTGGGAGAGATGTGGCTCGCAATGTTGTTGATGCGGGCGAGAGAGGCGGACGGAGTTGATTGGGAACGAGATTGTGAGGACGATGATGATGATGGAGGAGCCATGGTGGGATGTGATGGTGGGATGTCGTTCTGTAAATAAATGGGCTGCTCCTGTAATCCCTATACCAGTAGCAGTACGGAGCACCAGGTAATACAGGCGCGACGCAGTGGTCTGATGGTGGGGTTGACGGCTAAATTCGCGGGGGAAGGAGTGGCGGCCTAGGCTGTCGCTGCGCCTTTGGACAGGGCCTGGAGAGAGGCCTGGAGAACCCGCTACGTGCGATTCGACGCCTGAAAGGCCCGCCTATGCACGTCACCAGACCTAGACCTGAGTTGAGTTTTTGAGGGCCACGGGATCCAATGCGTGCTGCACGGAGCAGACGGGGTCCAAAAGCTGGAGACGGCGGGACTGGAAGCTGACTGGAGCTTGTTTTCTTATCAGGGGCGTTGTTCCCCTGGGCTGTATGATAGGATAAGGGCAGCTGAAGTCAATATCGACAACTTGCGACTCGTAACTTCAAGCAGCTACCAGGTATCTCGGCGTCGTATTGATGGGTATCCTTGGGCAGTAATGCAGTCAGCGAACCTATTCTGTTTCTGCCTAGTTAGCAGTCCATATGATTATGTTCCTTGAAACCCTGAATCCGGCGCAACGGAGCGGGTGATGGGAAGCAAGCGGTGGACTGTTTGTTATGCAAGAGGCAGACATCCATACCTTGATGCTGGACGGAGCTAGTATTGAAAACGGCCAAACGGTCAAAAGGCTCGGATCAGAGTGACGACAAATACTCCGTAAAAAGCCCGTGCAAGAGGAAAACAATTTGTTACTTGTAATGTTTTCGGAACAAACAGTAATAGATTCATGCATATCGGGGCTGTCCAGCCGCTTTTATCTGTCGCCATGCCATGTGCACTGGAGCTTTGGCCGAGGCCCCCGTCGGCTCGCACGGGCAGCAGAGCCGACTAGTAGACACGGGGTACTAAAATAGAGCTCCCCGTAGACGGTACCAACATATTGGCAGAGGAAATCGGTCGTTGGCGCGTACAAATACCTAAGGGGCGCTGCCGAAGTGAGATCGGTACCTGCAGGTACGCGTTGGTGCGAGCTGATGACCAACGGTCTCTATCATGAGACCTCTCTTATTTATTATCTCATTTGCCTCCATCAGTTGCTTCATACACTACCGTCATTCTTGTACGAGGCTGTTCTCTGTAACAGTGATATAATTTACTCTTCATCTCAGGTGGTCTTTTATGACGCAAACAAATTTCCATCAGCAACTTCGTCATGGCGATCCGCCGATACAACCCGATCCTTACACAGAATAGTACAGAGCAGTCTAAGGTGCAGCATCTGAGAAGTTGTCCAAGCCGGTGCTTTTTCGAACCCCAGGTTTAAAAACGGCATAACCCAACCCGATTGGATACACCAAATGCAAGCCACGGATCCTTGAAGTTTCCCCTTTTCTTCGGATGACACATAATTATGGTTACCAATACCCTCTACGACATTGGCCCTCTTGGCTTTGTTGGCAGAGGGTCAGGTACCAGGCGTGTAAATGGGTCCAAAGCCCCGTGAACAGAAAAAAACCACCCCAAGGACTGACTCCCCGCAGAAAAACGGCTCTTTCTTGGTCCCCCGTCTTTTTCACATGCCGCCGTCTGTCCTCTAGCGACGCAGCCCCATGGGCCTTTGAATAATAGTACAGCTACGGAGGCAACATTTCACAGTGCAAAATAATATCGAATTCATTGCGAGGCCCTCGCGCAATCAAGTTGTCAATGTTAGTCGCCGCTGGGAATGTCTAAACTATATAATCAAATCCCAGAGAATCAGGAATGCGCATAGGCCGCTTGCCGCAAAAAAGGTATATCGTGCCGTGCTTGGCCGCTGCGTGGCTTTCTTAAGCTGTTTGTTGCCGCCGCCAACATTATCCGCCATCGAGACTGAATCTGCTACAAGAAGCTCAATGTTTTCAGATTGCGCTGACAGGTTGTTGACTAGAAGTGTCTGAAGCTCGGAAATCTCCAACAAAGACCTCTCGGCGGTTCTGTGACGGATCGATGTCAGTAATTCCAAATGCGCCTGAATGGTAGACAAAGCTCAAGTGTTCTTGACCTACCTCACTTTATCCAATGTGCTTTCGTAGTGCTCCATCATACTTTGGTTGCCCTCCTCAAACATCTGAACCTGTTCTTGTGTTAAGCCCTCTGTAGCTGGAACAGAGTACTCATCCGTCCCAGAAGGGAAAGCGTCGCCTGACGGCTGCTGGTGTGATCTGTGAGTGGTTGGGACAAATTCTGCCAGGTCTCCCACCGGTAGCATGCTACGGCTCTTTTCTAACTCTCTGCGCAATCGAGTCTCCATCATGTCTTGTTGCGTTCGACAAACTAGCTCCAGTCGCTGCCGTAGAAACCACAGCACGCCGTCTCGATAGCCTCCCAGCTGCAGGGCCTGCCCTTCGGCCGCGGCATGTTCTGCGGACTTGCTGTTAGCAATGCCGCCGGATGCCCACGAGCCGAGAGCGCCCAGCCCCTTGGTGTACTTTTTGCGGATAATGGCTGATTCGGTCTCCCGGCGAAGCTGTTCCGCCTCGTCTAGCGATCGTATGCTTGCATTAAGCTCTCGTATCATCTGCTTTGCATTGGCATCGACCTCTTCTCGCTCTCGATCGGATAATATTCGTGGCTGGTTCTGGGCCAATCGAGCCTGTGCCCGGCGGGGTTGCGCCGTCGAGAGATACGCTTGCCGTACATCTTGAAGCTGCTGGTGTAGGCTTGTGATGTGTGAGTTCTGGATGCAGAAACAGTTAGAAAGGACTCTCAAAATTGCATGTGCTTTGCTTGCGTTGACTGGACTAACAATTCGGTATGCTTCTTTGAGGAAGCTGTCAATATCGTCCAGCGAGACCTTCTTGACAACCGGCGGCGCCTGGTGCTGCTGAAGCAGTTCGTTGAATTGCGCTGTGATATCCACAGCTGTTGATATTCGTAAACTTGAGCCGTCCATTTTGTGGAAAGTTATTTCGCAATATTCAATCGCGCTGGAGAGAGCCGTTGCCAAAGCTGTTGCATCTGGACGTCATCCAGATCGTCGATTTGGAGCTACGTATCGTGTAAGCTTTGGAGCAATCAAATGCTTAGTCATCATCGATATCCACCCGTCGTGGCACACCCAAACTGAACGATTTACTTTGCGACCTACGGCTGAATGCTTTCGCCCAATATTGTTAGTTTCTTTAATTAATTGGAAATGGATCCACAGAAAACCATGGCCCGGACTATTTCCGCCAATATTCGACATCAACTTGCTGCTTTACGATTCATGGGGTAGCCATATTGCTGCAAGTGCTGAGCAAAATGTCCGACCAATATCGGCCATTGACCGCGTCCGCTCAAATCTCACATGCGGCCTTCAAGGACTACTAACTATGAGTGCTCGTGATGTGTCAATGCGAAAGCGGGGGGGTGCTACGGATTCGCGTCTTATACATTTCCTAATGAAGATAATCCTCCCCTGATGCCTTAGCACAAGCTTCAATTTCAGCTTCCAAGATCGGGCTTCGGAAGCACTGAGACAGAAGAAGCATATCAGCGACGCTATTCCAAAAGCCTAGCCTATCAACAGTTCTGATCGCCGGGTATTGCCCCGTGTTTCTCAGAGCAGAGTTGATGTGTATTACCGCCAGAAGCAAAGTAATGGGATAGGCATCCAAGGAGGCAGACAGGCGATGACTGAGGCCACTCTTTTGATGAGACTCAACTCGGCTCAACATTCCCTCTTCAAAACTATTGACGTTGGATGCGGAAAATCATGATGCGCCACCGGAGAATATCGACGCTAATGCCAAAGCAACATTGAGTTGCGTGTGGGCGGGAGCTAACGGCTACACAACTCTGTGATTCGTGGATGGGAAAGATATCATGGGTTTTTCTTTTTCGTTCGGACGTCGACCGAGGAGGAAGGGGCGTGCCGGCGCGATGCTAATGGCAGGGGAATTTTTTTTTTCTCGCCTCTCCCTTACTGATTATTCCCGGGCCCTACAAGTCTTATGTGTATTAAAAGCAAAGACTAAATATTACTGCCTTCGGTCTAAGTACTAAGCGACCTGGACGACGGCATCATCTCTCGGCAGTCAAATGCCATGGTTCCCCGGAAAGCTTGGGATTTGATTTTGCTTCCTTCCATCGTATCTGCAATGCAGGGCGTCTGAATCCCTGACGGAATAATTGCCCCGATTCGAGCCAAGAGTCTCTGCGGCCCTGGATCAGACGAGAGCCGAGGGAGACACCGGCTTTTCGGGGGCAGATAACGGGCATCGACCGAATCTGTGGGGAAACCGAAGTTCGATCGTCCACAGCCAAGTGTCTCCGCTGCTACCCTACCGATCTGAAGCTGAAAGCATCTCCTCTTTCTCCTCCACCTTCCTCTCCCTTCTCGAATCCTTCATCATCATCATCCTATCCCGCCGCCTCGTTCCATCTTGCCCAGTTGACATCGTGGCCAATGCGAATGCGTCGCCATGAAGCAAGATGAAACGACACAGCCGGTCGACAAAGAGACATGCGAGAGCATCTCACCGGTTGAAGGAGAATCCGACATTGAACCTCTCGGTGATCAGAAGATTATCCGGAATCCGCCTGCCGAGTTCGAGGATCAAACCATCGCAGAGATACCAACATGTCAAAACCAGGGAGAGAGTCTTTTCAACGATGTCGAGCTGGGGACCATACACACAACCAACGAGCCCTACAGCATCTTTTCTCGCCGCATGAAGATATGGATCACCATCATGGCAACCGTGGCCAGTGTAGTCTCTCCTATGACAGCCCACATCTACTTCCCGGCACTGGATGCTATAGCCGAAGAGCTCAACGTCTCCATTTCGCTCATCAACTTCACCCTGACATCCTACATGATCTTCCAGGGCATTGCGCCAACGATCTTTGGTGATTTCGGCGACATGGCCGGCCGTCGACCCGCTTTTATCGTGGCCTTCATCATCTACCTATTTGCCAACATCGGCCTCGCCCTACAACGCGACTACGCTGCGCTCCTTGTATTACGATGCCTTCAGTCAGCAGGAAGCAGTGGGACCCTTGCTCTTTCGTACGCCGTTGTTGCGGACATCACACCAACCGCCGAGAGGGGGAAGTATATGGGCTTCGTCAGCGTTGGAATCAACATTGGGCCGGCTATTGGTCCAGTGATAGGGGGGTTGCTGAGTCAATACCTTGGATGGCCATCCATTTTCTGGTTCTGCGCTATCTTTGTTGCCGTATGGCTGGTTCCATGGGTTGCCACGGTTCCCGAAATGTGTCGAAACGTTGTCGGAAATGGTACAATTCCACCCCAATCATGGAACATCACTTTGGTTGAGTTTCTAAAGAGGAGAAAATCGGGCGAGGAACGAGAGCCTGGCCCCAAGAGAAAGCTGCGGTTCCCCAATCCCCTGGGCACTTTGCTCATAACTTTCGACAAGCAGATGAGCCAGATTCTGCTCATTGCAGCCATTATTTACTGCAACTTCATTCTCGTTGCGGCCACGTTATCGACACTATTCACAGAAATCTATAACTACAACGAGCTAGAGGTCGGGCTATGCTTCTTGCCGTACGGTCTCGGATGCTGCATGACAGTTGTTCTGCAAGGATACGTCGTGGACTGGAACTACCGCCGTATCGCAAAGAAGCTGGGAGTCGACCCGAGCCATGGGCGGCGAAACGAAATCGGCAACTTTCCAATAGAATCTGCTCGCATTCAACCCATCTATCCTTCTTTATTAGCAGGCGCCGCTGCTGTCATTGGCTATGGCTGGGCATTGCAAGCAGAGACGAGTGTGGCCGTGCCCCTCGTCCTTATATTCTTTATCGGCATGCTAGTCCCAAGCACATTTAGCATTCTCAACACCCTTATTGTTGATTTATATCCTGGCTCGCCAGCTACGGCTGCAGCGGCCAACAATCTCGTCCGCTGTTTGTTTGGAGCGGGGGCCACTGCCGTTGTGGATTACATGATTGATGCCATGGGTCGAGGCTGGTGCTTTACGTTCCTAGCACTGCTCATGGTAGCATGCCTGCCTTGGCTTAGATTCATTGAGAAGCGAGGCCCTCGTTGGAGGGCTGAAAAGTTGAAGAGGAAAAACAGCACTGACAGTGAGCAAGCAGAGTCGAGGATGACAGAGACGAGATAAGGTGATGATGTCCTTTATGATGGCATGAATGTTTTTTTATTTCTTTTTTTAAACTGTTTCCTCATATATACACCTGGTTCAAGAATAGCGTTGCATCGCATTTTGGAATCTGCATGGCAGCGGCGTTGGTATCTGGACAGCTGATCCGTCCATAGCATAATGTACCTTACTCATGAAAGTCGTCATTACTATACTATTAATTTTGATTGTTTCTCTTCTTTATAGAGCTAGAATTGCGTGCTCTACAGGTTCTCTCAAATTTTCCCACATCAACCAGTCAGATCGTGTCGTCCTAGCATCAAGTTAGTAAATAGTGATGAGAGAGAAAGAGTCCCATGACTATATCTCTGTTGTAAAAAGGATTCAACGTACGGTAATAGACCCATAGAGTTGATTTTCCAAATACCCACGGCCAGTGCCAGAAACTGCATCGCCACGTACACAGCCTTTGTCTGCAAGATCTGGCCCGAGTTGCTGTCGGTCTGGAAGCGCTCAAAGGCCTGGTTCGTGGACATTAGGCCGACGATGGGGTTCTTGAAGGCCATGAATACCATCATGATGCTAAAGATTTGCAGCGAGTTGCCCGACATGTACATCATGATGGCGGTCATGGGGAGGCCCTTGACGGGCGCGAGGGCGACTTCCCAGGCTTTTTTGAGCTTGAGCGTGTCTCTCTCTTCGGCTGAGGGAGGCTTCCGGGGCTGTGTCTTGACGTCCTTTCCTTTCTGGAGAGAGGATCCAGTGTTAGTTCTGATACAAGTTTTCTTTTTTCAGAAGCCTTGCCGAGATTGACGAACCTTGGGGGCGCTGGGCGCTCCAGAGAAGCCTGGAGGATCGATGATGCCGTTGACTTTGGACTTTGCGGCGGGAGGAGAGTTGAGCTGGGCGACCCAGTAGGGCACCGCGGGGTCCTGGTTGGAGGCCATGTCTGCGAGTGGAACGGTTGAGATGCCTGCTATTTTATTGCCTTGATTGAGGTTCGGTCGTTTCGCCTCGGTTCGCGGCGATCGATGTTGCGAAAGGCTGGAATTGCCCGTAGCTGTCGATGATGCTCTGTGTCACTGCTGTTCTGTCCGAAAGCACCACTAGCTAGTGGTGGGTCGCCAAGCCCACAGCACCTGTAATTAGCTGTAGCAGCTGCGGCCCATCTTATCGATAGCCCCGGCCGCCCAAATGCATGGCCCATTCAGAGCCTTGCCTGCATACCGACCCTGCCGGCGCGCGCTTCCTCCTTTTCTTTTCCCATCACAGCTTCGCGACCTTTGAGCCGCAAGAGAGAGTCAAGATTCCCGTCATCTCGCGCCCACAGAACCGACCCGAAGCCTCTCAAGGCCCTCGACCTCCAATTACCCCGGAGCCCCACGATCCGCGACTCCTCGGACGACCCTGCGGCGAGCCGAAGCGGCAGCAAAGAACGGGCGCGTGTCGGCACCGATTGGTCAGCTCGCTTCTCTGCGATAACCGTTCCGTTCACGACATAGTACATGCGACGGTGTGAATTCGCCGATAAACCTCGACCGGCTGGGCCATCCTGCAAAACATTTTGTGACATTCGACACTCGTGTGATTTGAGGCAGTTAGTGGTTGGTGTGAGTGCGAGTGTGCATTACATACGCCACCCCGTTTCACAATTAGGCGGTTTAGCCAGCACATCGAACAAGGCTCTATCGAACGGAGGCTGTAGCTAGGGGGGATCTGCCGCCAACAGCGCTGCTGCTGCGTGTTTGGAGCTTTTTTTATCAAGGGGTGCCAACGGCGCGTGACGACACTCGGTTACGGAGCAACTATCCCAAGAAACCAGACCAGACCAGGCTGCGTTGCATCGATTCTGCGGGGGAGGAGGAAGTAATTGTTAGTAGCTGTCGACGCCATGTCTAACACCGCTGGTGGAGGGGATTCCAAGCTGTTCGCTCGGGTAAGCACTCATTTATCTGTCTCTTTTCCGTTCTCTATTCGATGTGGCATCCACGAGTGCCCGTCTACTCCATCTGCCTCTTCCCTATCCTGCTGGTTTTTCTTGTGCGCAACTTTGTGCGCATTGTTACTGCTTCGCCGCTTGCTTTTGCCATCATCATATTTGCATCGTTGCAGGCCGACGGCGAAGACGAAGACAGTGCCCCGGCCGCGGTCTTTGCGAGACTGCGATAGCTGCGGCGTGCCCAATCTCTCGGCGTCTGCCCCAACAATGACATTCCTTGTTGCGCAACTGCGCAAGCTGATGACATGATGGCTCTGCCTCTGGGCTTCGTATACATGCCGACTGTTTCGCTCCAAAAACTAAGATCATCACAGGGCAAAGTCGCGGAACTGCGCCTCGAGCTGAACAGCGGCGGAAAGAAGGATAAGAACTATGCGACCAAGAAGATTGCGCTCAAACGGATTGTCGCCAACATGACGATGAGCAACAACGACATGGTTGCGCTGTTTCCCGACATTATCCAATGTATGCACATTTCGAGCTTGGAGATCAAGAAAATGTATGGCCCGCCCAGACTCTACTTATAGTACCCAGACGTCACAAACGATGCTAATACTCCTACCGATAGGTGTTTCCTATACTTGGTCAACTATGCGCGAGTTCGACCAGAGATTGCGGTCAATGCGATCCCCATATTGGAACATGTGAGTCTAGCAACAAGCGCAAAGGTCATGCATCTGGATACGTATCAGCAAGCTAACTGATGAAATCAGGACATGGAAGATTCCAATCCCCTGGTACGAGCTCTGGCTCTACGGACCATGTCGTATATTCACGTGCGCGAGTTCGTCGCCGCCACGGTTCCTCTGGTTAAGCATATGTTGAGAGACTCGGATCCATACGTACGAAAGACTGCTGCATTCTGCGTCGCAAAGCTCTACGACCACGACAGGCACATGGTGGAGCAGTCCGACCTCATCGATCGACTCAACTCCCTGCTGAGGGACGACAACCCCACAGTTGTTGCCAGTGCGCTGGCTGGCTTGATGGACATCTGGGAGAGGAGCGATGCCATTAAGCTAACTATTGACTACACCAACGCCTCCAAAATGGTTGCTATCCTGGCTGACTGTTCCGAGTAAGTATATCTTATCCCTATCTGTGATTGGTCTTTTATAAAGCAAAGCTAACCACCAGTCAAGATGGGGTCAGACATACATCCTGGAGGCGCTCATGTCATATGTCCCTCAAGAGTCAGGAGAGGCATCGCTTCTGGCAGAACGAATAGCTCCACGGCTCTCTCACTCCAACTCATCAGTTGTCCTGACCTGCATCCGAGTGATTTTATACCTGATGAACTACATCGCGGACCAGAAGCAGATTTCGGCACTCTGCAAGAAACTCTCTCCACCTCTGGTGACTCTGTTAGCCAAAGGTCCCGAAGTGCAATATCTTGCACTTAGAAACGCCCTCCTCATTCTGCAAAGGCGGCCCGAGGTGCTGCGAAACGATATCCGCGTCTTCTTCTGCAAATACAATGATCCGATCTACGTCAAGGTGACCAAGCTGGAGCTCATCTTCATGCTGGCCAATGAGAAGAACATTGATGAGGTCCTCACCGAGCTGAGAGAGTATGCCACTGAAATCGACGTCCATTTCGTGCGAAAAGCTGTTCGCGCCATCGGCAAGCTCGCCATCAAGATTGAGCCCGCGGCTCGACGATGCATTGACCTGCTCCTAGAGCTTGTTGCAACCAAGGTCACGTACATCGTCCAGGAAGCAACAGTGGTGATTCGAAACATCTTCCGCAAATATCCAAACCAATATGAATCCATTATTGGCACTCTATGTGAGCACTTAGACTCACTTGATGAGCCAGAGGCCAAAGCTGCCATGGTTTGGGTCATTGGTCAATACGCAGACCGTATAGAAAACAGCGACGCATTGCTGGAGGACTTCCTGTACTCGTTCCAGGAAGAGCCTGTAGAGGTCCAGCTGGCCCTTCTCACTGCAACTGTCAAGCTTTTCATCCAGAGGCCGACCAAGGGCCAAGAGCTGGTACCAAAAGTCCTCAAGTGGGCCACCGAAGAAACAGATAACCCTGATTTGCGTGATCGGGCCTACATGTATTGGCGACTGCTGTCGACCGACATGAACTCAGCGAAGAGCATTGTCATGGGAGAGAAGCCCCCGATCACAGCGGAGTCAGAGCGGCTAGAGTCATCAACTCTGGAGGAAATGTGTCTCAACGTCGGCACCCTAGCAACCGTGTACCTCAAGCCGGTGCAGTCTGTTTTCCGCTCTGCCAGGCCACGAAAACTGATTGCTTCTCCGGCGCTGCAGAAGCAGTATCTGGCCAACGACATTGAAACGCAGAAGAGCATCAGCATGTTTGGCAATGGCAGTCAGCCCACCAATATCGATCTAAGGACGCGCAACGCCGTCCCTTCGCCCGCTTCGCCCGCTGCCAATGGAGGAGGCAACCTTGCGCAGGCGGTGAATGACGCAGACGCCTACTTCTCCAGCATTGGGACGCAGCAGATGGCGGCAATGAGAATAGACGGCGGGGACGATGGCTTCGGCGGAGGAGGCCTTAATGGCACAGGCTATGTCGTCAACGCTCTGGCACCGCAAGCTGTACTGCAGCCGGCGCATGGCGAGGGAAGCAACGGCGACTTGTTGGTCTTGTAGATGGAACAGTGAAATAAGGGGCATGTTGCCTTGAGACGAAGAGATGCCGAATCATGGGATGAAACTGATGTTGTCACTTATTACAAGGTGCTTTTACGTATCCTTGGTTCGAGGAGCGTTGTACGATCTGGTTTAGAATGTAGCCTACTTTACCTATTGACTGCAAATAGTTTTTTGAATGTATACTTTTTAGTTGTAGTACCAAAGATACCAGGGTATTTATTAATATCTTGCAGTTCTTCAAATATGCCTTGTGGAGCCAGAACAGCAGCATGACATTCCCGTCTGTTGTGGGGAAACGAGAGGGTCTTTGGGGAGATTGCCGTCGATTGTATGAGTTATTTGCGGGACTCATCTGCAAGGCATCCGAGTGATATACTCGTATATGTGCATGGTGTGTGTGATATCACTATGGCTCAGGTGTAAACACGTATTTACCTAGTCGTGTCTCTAGTGGCAATACGTGTATATAACTCTTGCTCTTCGATGAAACTTTCCATATGGTCGATTTAAGACGCTTCGAAAACGGAAACTTGTTTCGTCCAAAATGGGGAAATGCCAGTTTCGGCACGAGGTCAAGGGATTGCCGTGTCAGCTTACAAGGTGCACATACATCGTGTTACAAAAATGAAAGACGGCAATCTCCTTGGTGTCTACAGTACGTTTGCTCTTCAAATGAGGATGGGCAGCTTCGTACGAGCTTGCCCAGTCACAATATTGCATATGAGGTGCCACAGGACGGCTAGTATCCCTTTTCACTCCCATACCAATGCTACCACTATCTGTACTATTATAGCACTATCATCCTCAGCACGGCACAAAACATATAATAACCTGGTAGAGCTGAGCCTTGTGGGGAGCATCGCGGTCGGCAACTGCGGCAGCAAGCGGAGCTCATTTAGAGCATCTAAGCCGGAGATTGCAGAGCTGCTGCAAATTGCCATCGACGTTTGGGATTCCCGGTATTTCCAAGTTTTCTTACTTCAATGGCTGCAGGTTTTCATACCCTGGTCAATAGTTCTTTAAAGTTTGCGTGCCTGTCAGACGAGAGTGCTGAGGGTGGTTGGAATGAAAGAGGCGTCCTTAGGCTAATGGATTCAATGACACCAACTGCTGAGTAGATATACGTAAGGGATGTGTAAAGTTCAATCAGGGCAAGGATGGAAAAGAGAACAGAGCTTAGTTAGCACGAATAGGCAGCATATCGTGTCGTATCGTAGATAGCTTTGGAGCGCTGAGCGTACTTGTAGTATGTTCTTCCACTCGCCATCGCAATCATGTCGGCGATTGCGGTGGGGGCAGAGCACTAACAAACAGCCACAAGTCAACTTGGTCGTTGCTCGAGTCAACTACCTACTCAATATTTCACGTATAGGGTTATGGCTATCAGTAGAGACGTAAATGGCGTCGAAGATGATGGGCTCTGTGTTGGGTGGCGTCCCGTTGCCAGCGGCACGGTTAGCTCTAACGAACGCCCCAAGCCCCATCCCCCGTCGCCTAGCAGAAACGGGCTCAATTGGTTTCGTTTGTTTCCCCTGTGCTGTTTATTTGTTTGCCCAGCCGAAGATGGAATCGTCCATCGTTGCCCTGTCTTTGGCCCTTGATGGTTGGCTTTGAGACGGCAACGCTTTCCCGGGTAGGAAGGTTGAGAGCGGCAGATGGTTGGCTGATGTCAGGGGAGTTTATCATGCATGAAGAAGCCGAAAGTGGGTGAGATTGGAGCTTGAGAGAGAAGCGGTGCGTCAGTATGAAGTGTTTACTGCGAGGCGAGCCACTAGCCGCCGGCAATGATGAATAGCGGAAGATATTTATCCAATAGATCGTCTAGCAGTGCATGAATGGCGCCATCTTCGTCTGTACGAGTACGTATGGCAGAACTTGACACGGAGTGCGGCAAGATGAAGCAACTGCACGGGTTCTCGGCGCCACCAGCAGCAAAGGGGTTTGCTAGCTCTTTGTGTAACCGATCGCAGAGGATGCAGTTCGTATCGGTAGGAATAAGCAGAGAGAGATAGAGACAAGATGTCGATGGCCCTCTGTTTAGCCATGTTCCAAGATTCGATCAGATCCGGCTCTAGGTCTCGGCGGCAGTTGTGTCTCGTCTGAAAATGGGGATTGGGAGGAGCACGCAGATGGCAAACGGAGAGATACCAGCAAATACGAGTACGCGGCAGTCCGTATCTGATCTGACGGCCACCGTAGTTCGTAGATTTCGACTTGTTGCTCGAGCCGAATACTTACCTGTAGATAGACGAAATTTGTAGCAGTTGCGGCCCTTGTTTATATCCCAATTCCTGAAAGCATTCTGTCCTGCTTCCTTCAAGACAGGGTGCTTTACTGCCTGTCTATGCTGTTTACCACTTCCGTCCATTTCTCAGCTCCAGGTCAGCAGTACCGACCTTACCAAGCATTAAGCGGAAGGTGCCTCTCTCCATCAAGCTTCTCACCGACTAGGCGGCAGAAACAGTGCTTAATTCCCTCGAAACGATATCCACACGTAACTCTCTGCCTTGATATTTTCAACTTACAGAAATCATCTCCAGCGGCCTTCATCAACAGCGCAATCCCATTCATTTCTTACCGCGGAGTGCCGGACGGCTGCCCTGCTTCCCCGCGCCACTGTGTTCGTCTGTGTGTCCCTTTGCGGCCAATTGGCGTGTGTTGTCGGCGCTATAGCGACAGGGGTCAGCTCGGCCGCATTGCTGTGATTACTTGGGAAGACGGAGTCCACTTCATGCTGAGATAACGAAGATACTCTCGCTCGCTCGCCCGTTCGTCTGCGGCTGATCTCCGCTTGCTCTTCCATCTTTCCTAGGCAATCGTTTTCATCACATTTTCCCTACCCTTGTCCCTGTACCCGCGGCCTGAGGAAAAGCAGGAAAAAGGAAACGGGAAGACCGCAAGGCTCATCGAACTAGGGCGCTCATTTCCACACCCAAGCGTCTCCGTCTCCAGCCATCTCTGAGGCGTGCGCTTTTCCGCCTGCATCGGGCAAAGTTACCTCAGTCGACAGAAGCAGCACGGCAACTTAAATTCTCAGCGCCGCTCGATTTCACTAGCGCATTCGTCGCCTGTTCGCTCTACATTCTAGCCGGAGTCCCGCTCATCGTCGTTTCCTCGCCCCCCCACACCCCGTGTCCCCGGAAGTTGAATCTGGGCTGGTCGCTGAGCCTGCTGCTGGTTCGTTGATTGATCTGCCAAGTCGTCGACTGGGTTTGTCCCAACGGCGCCTTTTTTCCCTTTTCCCTTAACATCCATCTACCCATACTCGCACTCCCTGCGCAGCCAGTCTCCAGCCGAGACCGTCAAGCCCACCTTGCTGCATTGAAAACGTTCGTTACCACCCCAGCGACATACTTTTTTTTTTTTACGCGCTCTATTCTCTATTCGTCGTGGATGAATTGAGTCGTTTAATACGCTCCTTCATCGACGTCGACAACCCCTTTGGTGGTGCTGCACCGATCCCGCATTCCTCGCGCTTCGCCACGGCGCCTCCCTACTGAAACATGTCGGCTCCTACGGATTCGACCACGAACGGCGGTAGCGCTGCTCCTGGAAACGGCTCAGGTCTCGAGCAACCTACTGATGCCGTGCAGCTGAATAATATCGCTCAGACGTCGGAGGCAGATGAGAAGCCTGGAGACGAGGCGACAACCGATGTAGCCAAGGACACTCTTGTTGTCGCGACCCCCTCTGCCGAGCCTGTATCTACCAACCCATCCACCGACCAAGGCGAGACATCTACTCTGGACTCATCATCAAAAGGCAAACAGATTGACAATGCCCCCGAGCCTGCGACCGAATCAGAGGCTCTAAAAGTCGAGCAAGACAAGAAGGACAATATCGTTCAGCAGGAGGTTGTTAAGCAAGACGCTCCCAAGGACGTGTCCCCCAAGGAAGATAGCCCAAAGGAAGAAAAGTCCAAAGAGGAACAGATAGAGGAATCAGTCATGGCCATCGGCCCAGCTGAAGAGGAGATCAAGCCGGCTGGATCTGGACCCGACGGTCCAGTTTGCAACATTACCCTGTTGCTAGCGTCTGGAGGCCGACACCCGTACAAGATTGACGCGAAATACCTAAGTAGAAGGCACGTCGACATGCCCGATAAGGATGACAACGGTAACCCCGATCCTTTCAGTATCAGCATCTATACGTTGAAGGAATTGATTTTGCGAGAGTGGAGATCCGACTGGGAGGCCAAACCGGCCAGTCCCAGCAGCATACGGCTGATTCATTTTGGCAAACTTCTAGACGATAAGGAGCAGCTGAAGAGTATGTATCACTCCATCCTTCAATTTCCTTTGTTGCTTGTCTTTTCAAGTCGATTCCTTGTTATTTCTTCTTCAATCTTGTTCCAATACTCACACTGTCTGCAGAGTACCAATTCAGCTCCGATAGCCCCAATGTGGTCCACATGAGCATCCGGCCCCAGGACCTTGATGAGGAGGAACCCAAGTCTGGGAGCAAGAGCCTCCCTGCTGGCACCACAGATGGGGACCGTGTACGAGAGGGTCGTTGCTGTGTCATTCTATAAAGCAATCCTAGCGTGTGGTACAGACAGTGCTGACTGTCTTGTATTTTGTGCTTTCTCTTGTTGAAACATACGGTGGCAATTATACATGTTCGGACGCTCCAAGGATGTGTTTGCATAGACCCTTGGTTTTTAAGAGACGGGCATCCGACTTGGCGCTCAAGTGGTTTCTGAAGATTACCTGACTTGCGTGAAAGCGCTCAGCGATTTAGAACTACCTATGCGTGGAAAGGCCCAGTGTCTCTCATTCGCTATTCTCTGCTTTTTTATTTGCAGCTTCTTTAAGCTGTCTCGAACTCTTAGTACTCCCCCGCCCTTTGCGTGTGTTTTATTTAATTGTTTTTTTTTTTCCTTTTCCGTTTAGCCATTCAGGGAAGCAGCGCGATGGGAAATCAAGACGCGGAAGAATTGGGAAAATTAGGGAGTCATTACCGGCGCATCATCATATCATTGATTCATTGTACAATTGCAACCTCTGCTTTCGGTTCTTATACGCTCTTTTCATAATACTTGTGGACTTGATCTTCGGAAACGGGGATGATTGTTGCTATAGCAGGATAGAAATGCAGAACATATTCATATAATCATTCATTGTGCAGATACAACCCTGTGTAAATGATGATGACAATAGTCTCCTGTTCTCTTCGTTCATTATTGTTTTGGATTATTTTTGATTATTTTTTTCCTCTTTCATATTGGTTATATATCGTTAATCTATTTCATGTAATCGGGAAGCAGAATCCTGTATCGTCCTGGAAACGACCCTGTCTAACCAGCATACATATGGGTGCTTTGATTTTTCCGTGTTATTCTTTCCTTCATTACTGGTCACATCCCCCCTTAGTGATTAATCTTGAGCTTCTTCTCCATCTCGTCATGGAATCCAGGCAGGGCTCTCGTCTCGTTGCCTGTAAACACATCATCCCAGGTGATGGTGTCCTCACGGCCCTTCAAAATATCCTCGTGAACACTGGGCAGTCCTGCGCCGAGAGCCATGGGCCGCCACTCGCCGTCACGAACAATCTTGAGCTCCATGCCGCGGCGGATGGGCTCGGCGATGCCAAAGGTGCGCTTGAGCGTCTCCATGCGGACGGCCTCCTGGGTGGCCTCCCAGCTCTTGAGGCGGGCCTCGAGGGGGTGGGAGGACGCGGGCTTGTTGGCGGCAGCGTCGAAGGGGGAGATGCCGACGCCGTGGCGGAGGGTGTCGTGGATGCCCGGGGCGGAGGGGGCGGAGGAGGAGTGGTTTGTGTGGTTGAAGGTGGAGGGGGCGCCGGAGGCGGGGACGATTCGCATGGACTGGAGAAGAGGTTTGAGTTAGCTTGAGGGTTGAGAAGGAGAGGGAGCTTTGGGTAGATGGGATGGATAGCCTTACCATGTTGGCGGTTTGGGAGGATGGTTTGTTTTAAAGGACGAGGAGAGAAGCGGTGGATGCTGGACAAGACCAACTCGTGTAGCGGCCGCTGTGTACAAGTAATCGAATGGAGGAAGATCAGAAAAAGGAAGAGACAATCGTGGTCGGGTGGTGATTGGATTGGTGGTGTTGAGTTGATGTGATGCTTCTCTGCTTGCTCTCAGCACTGACAGGCTCCAAACAGCCTCGCGTCCAGCTCATAAGGTCCCCACAAGCTCTCTTGAGAAGGAGGGGTACGTATCTTTTGTCATCCTGCCGCCTTGAGGAGGGCGCTAAACCTCAAAGGGAACCCGAGAAGGTACCTCGAGAATACCCTGGAGTGCGGCCCGATCGCGGAGAAAGCTGGTGTCAACATCAATTCTCATGTAATGAGTGAATGTGTCATTGAATAAGCTGGTTGTTTCTCTTGCGCGTATTTTCTACTCTTTCGTTTATGCCTTTTGTTCTTGGTTCTGTGGGAATCCAATTGGGCCTGTAGAGTGCTTTGAAAAATCCCTTCCATCTCACGTATTCCAGTCATACCTTACAATACGATTTACCACCATATAGACATTTCAACAACAGATCAAGGAACGTGCAACCATGCTCAGGAATCTCCCACCTTCAGCGCGATCGCCCATAATTCGCATCGCCAATGGCACCTTTTATCGGCACCATCCCAATTCGCAATCGTCACATGCGAATCCAGCCTTGTTCAAAGATCTCCAGTTCGAGCTGCCCTCATCAACACCACAGCCGCACAACTGGTGCATCGTGGGGCCTTCGCTGTCCGGGAAGACGACCTTCTTGCAGGCACTCAGGGGAAGATTGCTGTGTGAGCCGCCCACGGCGAGGTCTTATCCGTATTTGTCCTCGGATGCCGTATCGTCGAGATTGAGGACTCCCAATAAAGCGATTCAGTATGTTGGATTTGACGCTGAGCAGGGGGCGGGCGGATTGAGCGGTGCGGTAACGACGTCTGCGTATCTTTCTGCACGATACGAGTCTCGTAGAGAGATTACTGATTTCTCGCTGAGAGATTTCTTGCTGGGCAATACGGAGCTGAATCCTGCCAAGACACCGGCCCAGGAGAGCGAGCAGGAAGGTGGAATATCGGCCGAGCTATTGAAGCGTGTTGTCAAAGATCTCAGATTGGAACATTTACTTGATCTGCCTGTGACGTTTCTAAGTAACGGGCAGGGCAGGAGGGCGAGAATAGCCCGTGCGTTGCTTACGAGGCCTGAAGTCTTGCTTTTGGATGAACCTTTCATGGGACTTGATCCTCCGACGGTGACGGGGCTTAGTCCCTTGCTGGAGTCTCTTGCAAACAAGGCGAACCCGCGCCTGGTATTGAGTGCGAGACCACAGGATCCTCTACCGGAATGGATTACGCATCTGGTGTACTTGAGGATGGATTGCCAAGTCGAGTCTATGGGACCGAAGGAGATCGTCTTAGATGGTTTGAAAAAGTACGTTCATGGCGTGAGAGTGGGTGGGCTGGCGGAGGATGAGAAACTGCCTGTTCACACCTTGGCTGATATCGGGCGAGTCCTGTCGAAAGAATCATTGACGACGCATGCCTCATCATCGTCATCTGCCCACTTACAGAAACCTATCAATCCCAACGCCGAACCTCTTGTTGAAATGGATGGATGCCAGGTCCGTTATGGCGACAAAATTGCTCTTGGGAACTGGTCGCAGAGAACGCCTGAAGGGGATAAAGCAGGCTTGATTTGGACCGTTCGACGAGGCGAGCGCTGGGGTGTGTTTGGTCCCAACGGCTCAGGGAAGACGACAATCGTCTCTCTTCTCGGGTCAGATCACCCACAGACTTACTCTTTGCCCATCAAGCTCTTTGGGCGTAGTCGTCTCCCCGAGCCAGGTTCTGGACAGCTGCCGCTCACGTTTTGGGATATCCAGTCTCGCATCGGCCACTCCAGCCCAGAGGTTCACCAGCACATGCCGAGGAGCCACACAATCAGACAAGTGGTTGAGAATGCCTGGGCAGAAACGTTTGGAGCGAAGCCAAAGCTGAACGCCGAAGCGAGCGCCAAAGTCGAGGCCGCACTCAAGTGGTTCGAGCCGGAGCTGAAGCCGAACAGCGCCGCTGGCAGCGAGGGCCTGAAGTGGGCTGACGACTACATGTTTGGCGAGATTTCATTTAGTGCTCAGCGCGTGGCGCTGTTTGTGCGGTCCATGATCAAGGGCCCTGATATCGTCGTCTTGGACGAGTCGTTTAGCGGCATGGACGACGCTGTCCGAGATAAGTGCACTCTGTTCCTCACCGATGGAGAATCAAAGACGTATGTAGGCGAGGAGATTGTCGAAAGTCAGCAAGCCAAGGACGGCACCGTCAAGTTGAAGGGGCTGTCGGATCAACAGGCGCTCATCTGCATTGCGCACATCAAGGAGGAAGTGCCAGACTGTGTCAGAGAGTGGGTTTGCTTGCCAGAGGCGAATACGGAGCAGCCTGCAAGATTTGGGAGACTGGATGGCCCTCTGAGAGAGGAAGAAGGAAGATGGAATGAGATTTGGGGGTTTTAAAAAGAAGTGACTGTGATGAATTTCTAGCTGCGGTTTTGTATAAGTGATGGTTGGGCCACCGAGGCGAAGCGGGTTGACTGGAAAAAGTCGGTATTACATGGAATGTTGCATGTAACGCTTCTTTTTACTGTAGGATTTACCTACTTGAAACATTTAATTGATTTCAAGCACTGAAAAAGGAAATAAAATTATATATACATACAGAGAAGCCTGTTGCATATAAAACGTCTCGTGATGCTGCCGGGCTCATATGATGCTCCATGGTAGGCCCGCACGTGAGCTCCGGGGCGCTTCCCGACGTCATCTCAGCTCTCAACCTCGCCTTCTCAAAACCTCAAGCAACTTTATTCTTTCCGCCATTTCCGCAACCCGCGCTCAGCCACATCTCAAAATACGATACAAAACCCTCAAAATTCCGAAGGAAATCAAATATCATCACATTAGAGACTAAGAAAAAACAACAGGCAGCATGTCTGATGAAGAGGGCGGCAATACAAGATGCTGCGCCCCGTTCCTCGCTCTCACAGAGCCCATCGAAGTCAGCGAACTAGGGCACGTCAAAACCGCCTTTTATTCTTCTTTTAGGATTATTGTCTACTACACGATGAAGTGAATCCTTAGTGGGACGAGCAGATGCTAACAAACCTTGTAGACCAGATGGCCTCGACAAATCATCCGCGTTTTTCCAATGGCCCTGGCCCAGTCCCCTCTTGTTCATCAACGAAAGTAGCGATGCGCGGGATCACTGCGCCAACGAGCGAAGTGAGTTTCATCTCAGCCTTTACCTCTATCTCTATTCTTACCAAGCGACATTTCCTCTATTTTTCCTTTTGTTTCGCAGCTAAACGTTTTGCAGCTTTCCTTTCGTACCTCCGCCTGTCGATATACATGGCCATCGTCTCTGTCGCCATCACCGTCTCGTTCCACATCAAGGGTACGCCTAGCGATCTCGAGCGCCGGGTGGCAAAGCCCCTTGGGGGCATTTTCTGGGTATTGTCCGTTGTGACTTTGGCTCTAGGAGCGGGAAATTATATTAGTGAGTTTCGCCCCTCTCTTTCGGCCATCTATTTGCCCTTATCCAGCCTCGTTTCAAGTATGTACAGATGGGAACTAACCGGAGTCATCATCCTTTTTGCTAGGGACTGTCAATTTATATGGTAAAAGAGCCGCCATTGTGCAATCTGGCTGGAAGACTCAGGTGGTAAGTTTAGATATTTCTGTTCAAGCAAAAGTGCACTGCATTGACTCCGCTGTTGCAGGTGTTGGGTATAATAGCTACTTCAATCATTGGAACGTGCATCATATTGTTAGCCGTCGATAAAGTACGGCAAAGGTGACGATGTACAGCAACTAGGCACACCACAATAGCATACACAAATTTCTCGTTTCCGGTCAAGTTCGGCGGAGTTTTCTTCTTCTATTAGAATACACAAGACTCCCAAAAAGGATATGCATACACAATGCCCATTAATACAAAAAATGATCAAGAATCCCGATATGACGGCACCGCCCCAGCATAACTCCATAAATCGCCATAACACCTCATCATGCGCCATGTCCCATAAAAAGAAATCACACCTCTTTGTTGAAACAGAAGAGATCCCTAGCATATGAATCAAAACCCGGAATAGCTTCCGGATTTTCATCTCTGCACTGTCCGACCTGGTTGCGGAATTCCTGCCTGTATTTGGCAGCAATCCTCTGAATAGCACCGTCATACGTCTCTTTGCCATCCCAGGTTAGCCAAGGGAGGTGATAGAGGAGTGGCAACTCGCCCTCGTGCGGAAGTGTCGCCAGCATATCTATCTGCGATGCGGGATCGAATAATTCCGTGGCATGCTTGATCGAGTCCTGTTCTTGCTCCGAAGCCTTCTCGCCTTGATATTCCTCTGGCACCTCATATAAATCAGTGTGGATACCGACAATGGTATTAGCCGTCAGCTGGGTAGGATAGAGGGTAAAGTATCCCCTGATTCGTGACAGCTGAAGCGTGTATTCTAGCCAGCCAGGATGCCTTTTGCCGACCTCTTTCTTTGAGAGGAGATCTGGTGTTGTCGGCGAGGCATGCCGTTTTTCCAAAAGCTGGGACACATAACCGTGAAGCTCTACCCACTTATCTCCTAAAATGAGAATCGCATCGCTGTTGGGGGCCTGCCACAGGAAGGGGGTACCTTCTGCGCCGAAATCTTGTCCCTCAAGTGGTTTTGGAGGTACAAATTGGGTGCTACCGTCGAGATATGTTGTTGGTGTCGAGAAGCTGATGCCGAAGAGTTTACTCTCCCAATCCTGGCGAGATGCAATGGCAGAGTAGCGTCGCTGCAGAAGGGAATACTTTACATCTAATTATGAGTTAGTATATCCGGAGACCATTCTCGGCTGAAAAAAGTACCAGAAAGTTAACAAGCAAACGTACAATGGAAGAACTGAGGGGTGACTTCAGCGTGAGGCGACAGAACTAAGACATGAGAGTGAGACGGTCTGGTCGGCCAAAATGACTCGAGGAACCGAACGGAGCTCTCCTCTTCACTTATTTTCTGTCTAGGAATACGGTGACGCAGCGAGAGAAGCCGTGGCTTCGGACCTGAGCTGGGAGCTTTTGACGGCCATTGATATCCGGTCAGGAAATTGTTCAGGTCTTGATCAATCCTTGTTGGAAGCTCAATGGTCATGTGAGGCGGAGCCACGCCGGCCAAATCAGCTCTCGATAGAGATCTGAGTAACCGCTTAAGGTTTCCTGTACCATGTGGAGGGGCATGGATGAGAATGTCAAAGCTGACATCATTCCACGCTTTCGCAGAACTGTGATTAGAACCAACTTCATCAAAATAGTTTGTGGAAATGGGATGCCTTACCTGCCAGTGCAGAAGCATCAAGCTTTGACAACCATGAGAATCTATTGCCTGGCCTCTCAGGAAGTTCGATCAGAGTAGATCCTGTGCCTCGGATCTCGTCGCGAATGCCAGAGAGAAAATAATGTTCCTCGGTAGCTGACGAGTCTATGATGATGGCTTGAGGGTGCATGTAAAGATTGACATAGTCTGGAAGGGGCTGCCTGTTAGAATTACATCTAGCAAATAGATTAATAGGTCCTTGTTTTAAGCTTACATAGAGCTCGGGCCACAGAGAGGGACATTCGCGCCTCGGTTGCAATTGTGGAATGGTCAGGGCGAGCATCTAGAAATATTCAATTTCATCAGTATTGTCGTTGATCCGAGGTGTAGAATGGGCAACATATGCAATCGTACCATGCACAATCAGAGGGCACTCCTTATCGATGCCGTTTATCGCGAGCAATTCTTTCATAGGCATGTCACTCCTGCTCATCAATGCGAAATGTACATAGTTCTGGCGTTCTGTAGCCATCTGACATGCCATTGGAAGTAGAAGTGCCGCACTCCGAAGACTAGCAGTTGCGAATAAGACGTTGCGATTCTTCTGCAGCCTCCCTGACGTGTCCGAGATGATGGCTTGCAACGACGGGCCCAAGTGTGGGAGCTTCAGTGGTCCATTGTATGTCTTGGGAGCTTCCGCTGCAGTCTTGCTTTCATCTTTACCGCTACCACTGCCGCCTTGAGGTTCGGCTTGAGGCTCAGCTTGAGGCTTCGGTGGCTTGGGCGCCTTTGGTGTCTTGATCGTGGGCCCCTCTTCTTCCATCCGAGGTGCATCGTATCTGGGAGGTGGCCGTGGCGTGTCATACAACGGCATCAAGTTTGCCGGATCAAGAGATGAGGCTCCTGGAGCAGGCCCAATGACTCTGAACAGCCCATATACCAGCATGAAGAGGGCAACAGTGTATACAATAAGCCGAAGCAGCGTGGTCCAGTGAAGAGAAGATTTGGGTGCGGCTTGCCACTGGTCAGAATGCTTGGAGTGCCGGGGCAAGCCAAGATCATCGTCCTTTTTGCTGGCCATCTCCTCGTCGTCGTCGCGCCAAAGCTGCGACAAGGACCAGCCGCGGGTTGCGGGAGGCGGCATGATGTCTCGAACTTCAATAGTAGCTCAGCTCAGCTTTGGTCGGTGCTTGTATGTTTACAGCAAAATCAAGTGAAGGTGGTTCTGGCACCAGCTTGTCACATCGCTGGATTGTATCAGCCCCGGATTGCTTTCGTTGTTTCAATCGAGAGCTTCCAAGCGATGTGACTTGAGAGAATATGAGAGGCGAGAGTGTTGAAGAGATGAAAACGGTGTTGTGGCACTTATGCCCGTTTGGGGGAGCTTGTCGTCGCACAGAGCGCCTTGATTAGATAGCACCCTGTGGCGCAATTGTGGGGAGTCCAATGTAGCACTCAGCGGTTATACTGGTGGCTGATACTTGTAGGTGACATTTAATGATGCTACTCGCGGCAGGAATGCCCGATGAACGCCAAGATTACAGGCTGTAGAGCTCTATAACCGTCCGCCTGAAACACTAATGAGCAACTGGAAAGCGCTCAACTGTGGTTTTCAGTGAGAGCTTGTTCCAATGCTCCATATTCTTAGCCTATTTGATATCATTGATACTCCGTAAGTGGAGGAAGGTGGCCATCCCATGGTGGGGTACGAGCAACAGTGTTAGTGTAAAAAAAAAAAAAACTTTTGATATTTCATGCATGTAAACAATTTCATCAACACAAAAATCAATACCATCCATTCATAACGTCCCAAATAACGACATTCTCTTCTATATCATCCTCTTTTCTAATTTCAATCACTCATATAATAACTCTTACAAATCCCGCTCATTCCTTCACACCGACGCCATGGGTAAATCCAAGAGAACCAGAGGCGGCCATCGCAGCGATCCCGTAGCCAAAGCCGTTAAGCCTCCCTCAGATCCTGAGCTGGCCGCTCTGAGAGAGAGCAAGATTCTACCCATCATAAACGACCTCAAGAGCGCTGATCCCAAATCTCGCTCCACTGCCGCCTCTCTCATTTCAAGCATTATCCAAGACACAAAGTGCCGCAAGCTGCTGCTGCGAGAACAGATCGTCTACACTGTTCTCACACAGACTCTGACAGACGCTGCACTCGAGAGTCGGGCTGCCGGATGGGGAATTTTGCAGGTCCTGGCCCAGGAGGAGGAGGCTGATTTCTGTGTTCATTTGTTCAGACAGGACGTCTTGACGGCAATTGAGTTTGCCTCCAGACTGGTAAGTAAACTCAAAGTAAATAATCCCGGCTCAGTATTCTGACTTGAATGTGCAACCTAGATTCATGACAAAGTCTTCTCAAGCGATACGCTTTATGCCAAACTACCCAAGGCCGAGAAGGGTTTCATCTCAAGCATTGCAGCGTCTCTGGTCTTGCTGCTAACAGCTCTAGCTGAGGCCAGCGACGAAATCTTGGAAGCTATTTCCAACAACACCTCCATCACTAATCTACTCTTCACACTAATCACGTACACTGCTCAAGAAGATCAGGATCCTCTATTAAGTATCCGCGGAGATGCCATGGCCTGCCTCATGATTCTCTCCGAGGATAACTCTGATCTAGCCCAGAGGCTCACCTGTACTGGCGGCAACACCGTCTGCTATGATGCGCTGGTGACCCTCAAGGATGATGTCGGCGGAGATGGCATCTTGGCTTGCGCCATCCTTCACAACATTTATGCCGCCCTTCTCGGACTGAAGAACATATCACCAAAGACCGATGTGGCTGACGACTCAGACCTGATACCGACTCTCACCAAAGCCATCGCTACGTATATCCCTGGAGAGAATGTCGCCAACGGCAGCAGCTGGTCTAGTCCTTCAGAGTATCAACAACTAGCTCTGGAGACACTAGCGTCCATCGGCACAAGTCTTGTATCTGAAATGGGTGGCCCATCGCAACCATCTTCCAAGAAAGACCATGGTGGTGCTGGAGCTGGGAAGGAGGATAACGACGAGGATGAGGATGATGATGAAAACATGGATGAGGTGGCCTCGGACGCAGATGACAACGAAGACGAAGACGGAGATGACGATGAAGATGATGACATGAATGAAGACGAGATGGAGGCCGATATGGACATGGTGACGGGTGGTGACCATGGAGAGGATAATATCGACCACCTTCCAACCCTTAAGTCTCTCGTCCAGATTGCTCTGCCCGAGCTGATCCGCCTCGCCACCCTCCAGCCCTCCGACGACCTCTCCCTTAAGATGCAAGCCCATGCTCTTTCTGCGCTCAACAACATCACCTGGTCCGTCTCCCTCTTCGATCTTGCCGACGAGTCCAACGCCGGCATCAAAGCTGCCTGGACCCCCATCGGCCGTACCCTCTGGCAACAGATTATCTCACCCACACTTGCCTCCGATACGGCCGACGTCGATCTCGCCACGCAAATCACCGGTCTCGCCTGGGCCATCTCCCGAATCCTCCGCGGCGAGACCCCCCTCCAGCCCAACGAGCACCGCAAGTTCATTTCGCTCTACCAAGCCACAAAGGGTGCGCCCGCCCGCCTCGACCCCGAAGATCCCTTCCAAGCCCTCGGAGTCAAGTGCGTCGGCGTCCTCGGCCAGCTGGCCCTTCATCCTGCGCCTACGGACCTTAACCGCGAGATTGGCACTTTTCTTGTTACCCTGCTCGCTGGACTTCCCGACACTCCTGCCGCCGATGCGGTGGAGGCGTTTAACCAAGTCTTTGATATATACGGAAACGAAGAGTACCCCTACGATGCAGAGGTTTTCTGGAAAGGCAGCTTCTTGAAACACCTCGACGGAACTGTTTCAAAGGCAAGGGCTATGGCCAAGAGCGTGAACAAGACTGCCCAACCAGAACTAAGGGATAGGGCGGACGAAGTCATGATGAACTTGACAAGATTCTTGGCGTACAAGAAGAAACACAAACCAATGGAGGTGACGCTGAGATAGATGATTTCATGGATATAGAATAAATAAAGCATTGGTAGCTTTCGCTATTTTCTGAGTACACAGATCCCATATCATAAAGCATATCAACATGAGACATAGAAATTTTGAAACAATCTGATATCAATCACGCCGTTATGTTGAATACTCCCAGCAAATCTCCTGTACCGTCATTAACACCGCTCAAACACCTTATATAGCCCCTTCAAGCTCGCCACTTCTAACACGGCATTTTGCATGAGCTTAGTCGTCCCAATAAGACGCGACCTAAACGCTGGGAAGAAGACATGCTCAACAGCCCATCGAACGTGCTGTCTCCTTTTTCTCACCTCCTCAAGAATCTCATCACTGTTCAGTTCCTGTACCTGCTCGTCATCCAAGTACGATTCCTCCAAGTCCTCTTCTTCAACTTCCCCCGTCTGCGTCGTGGGCAATGCTTCGGGGACATAAAACGTCGCCAGCTCCGTGAGGAACGTCTTGAAGCACTGCTTTTCATCGTTCCAATTGACATAGGGCCCGAGGCGAAGAAGAAATCGGGGAAGTTTTGCGATAGACGGGGTATATCCCTTAACAAGAAGAGGGATGGAAACCACCTCTCCAGTAGGCGTGATTTCGAGAGAAAAATACTCTTGGAGCATCTCTCTCCGTTCGATGAGTTTATTTGCTACCGTTTTAACGATGAAACTGTAATTGAAGTTGTCTTCGGGTGTTATCCCAACAGATTCGTGCTCCCCTTCTACTGCCAGCTGAAGAAGTTCTCTGAGATCTAGAGGAGGGCTGAAATTGATTACGCCAAAGTTTCCAAAGTCAGTCAAACCAAGCTGGTAAAAGAACTCGAAGCACATGTGGCCATAGTCGATCAAATATAGTTTCACGCCTGCCTGGATAGCGGCAAGCCGTCGCTTCTCGTCGACGACACCAACAAACGTGTGAGAGGCGATCATCTCTGTCAACTCCTCGTTGATCTCATCTCGAGCCTCTTGGCGTAGCTCCTTGATGCTTCTGAGCCGGCAATTTACTTGGTCGCGGTCTATCGTCGTGTATTCTATCGGTTCCGGAACCGCGAACGGTTCGTCTTCCATTGCTCTAGCAGGAGAATCTGCTTTATCAGCGGGGCCGGCAGGCGAGAACATGGCTGTAATCTTGCCCTGAGATTTATCCGTTCGGACAAGGTCATTTGAATTTCGCCGCACCTTCCTGAGAGCTGGTGTCGTGAATTTAGGGACGGCATCGCTATCATCCTCGTCCAAAGGTTCAACTGGTTTGGCTCCTGGTAACAGTGACTGTGTCAGAAATGTTCGACTTTCATCCACAGCAGCGAGCTCCGACTCGATTTTCTTGCAGATAGCCTGGATGACCTCTTCTTCGTTGAGGAAATGAACTTCCCGTTTGGTAGGGTGGACGTTAACATCCACTCGGGCCGGGTCAATTTCCAGACTGAGATAGATGAAAGGGTGGCCACCCTTGGGCAAGAAGCTAGTATATGTCTGTTCAATCGCCTTTTTCATGGTTGACGATTCAACACAGCGGTGATTGATGAACAAGAGGAAATTGCTCTTCCTGATGCCATAATTGGCATTTGTGACGTAGCCATTGGCCGAGAATCCCCATCGATCGTCAGAGACAGTTAGTTCAATCAGCTCATTGGCGACCATGCCGCCATAGATGTGGCGGATACGGTCTATCACTGTTGCTTGCGCTTGTACGGACAGTGAATTGGATGCCTCGCCGGCCTTCTTACAAGTGAAGCCAACACCTTGGCAGTGAACTGCATAGCGCCCTGCCATGTCGATGATCTTGTTGAACTCATCGGCATAAGATCGAAACGCTCTTCGACGTGTTGGCACATTGAAAAACAAATCCTCCACTGTAATTTGGGTTCCCTGGCGGCCGGCAACCGCTTTGGGTTCCGCGGACTGCCCTGGCTTCGCGGGAGCTAGCTTTCCGTCTAGATAATGGGCGCGCCAGGCGAGAGCTGCTTCTTTGGTTTTTGTCGTGACTGTAAGATGGGCAATATGACTGATGCTGGCCAAAGCCTCGCCGCGGAATCCATATGTAGCAATGGACGATAGATCTTCAAATGTAGAGATTTTGGATGTCGTATGCCTCACGCATAATATTTCCAAGTCTTCTTTCTTTTAGAGAAAACTGTCAGCTGCGGTAGTGAGAGATTGTAGGTGAAATCGCTGTAATACCTCAATGCCACCACCGTTATCAGTGATTTGAAGCAGCTTTAAACCTCCATCTTTAACAAGAATTTCCAGCGACGTCGAGCCTGCATCCACAGCGTTTTCAATCAGTTCTTTGAGCGCGTGAACAGGGGCAACAATAATCTCCCCGGCTGCAATCTTGTTCACAACATCGGGATCAAGAGCCTAGGAACGAGCGAAAGTCAGTTGATGATAATAATTCGAAAATCACCCTTGCCGCTCTCAAGTCCAACAGAAAGGGAGTGTAATAGTGGGATAAGCGCATTACCCTGATCCTTTGTTTTGGTCTCGGAATCCAGATATCATCCTCTGCCTTCCTTTTAGTCCCTCCTGGGGCGCTGTCAATTTCCATTTCGTCCATGGCCGCCTCTCTTCAACACTATTCGATCAATTGTAGCAGCAAATCGCAATCAAACAACGCCCAAATATTTCACGAATCAAATCATCAACCGCCATAGAACAACGCCAACATGAAAGAGAAATCCCCGGTACAGAAATTAGAGGAGCCTACTGTAGCACGCAAGTCATAAATATCAGACAAAGAAAAGAATGCCCGGAAAGTTCTTCATCTCCTTCGAACAAACTGTGCGATAATCGAGAAAGAAGGAACAGTTCAATAAGTGAGAAGGAAGGAATTGTATAATCGAGAAGGAAGGCGGTGGAAAGAGGATGACGAATTGGGCGAGTGCGCGAAGATCCCACGTCTGCACGTGACCTTGGTACTAGAGTTCGGTACTTCGGTACGCGGCTCCCACAACAGCTGCATTTACAATCATGTGGTATTCTACAGTATCAGAGTGTGGGCTACATGTATTCATAATACGATGTAGCTTTTTGTGTTGTTGAAAAGAAGTAAGTTATAGTCTTGAATAAGAATAATGTCGAATGTCGATATATGCCGAAGTAAGGGAGCTTCACTCCACTTGTAGCTGCTACATACATCCAAGGTGCAAATTTGCAGGTTGGCTACATAGGTACATATACAAATTGTGGCCTTCGTACTGTACCTGGTATCACAAAAACCGTTTCGTAGCAATGTGGTAGGCCACCAAGTAATTGAGATTGAAATAAAAAGGTCATGCTTGGTGTTCTTGTATACCGCTAATGAATACCTACGTTGGCCACCAATGTCTACTTAAGTAGATAGCCATACCCCTGAAGCGCAATCATTGTAGCAAGCAAACTAGAGTCATCCAATGAGCAATAACAAAGTGACAATTCCAATATGTCAAAGCAATTTCCATAAATATCCATGCCCTATATCATAGATGCCGCCGCTTCCGCTAGAAATTTCGCAAAGCGCTCAACTGTTTCTGCATAAATGAACCATAAAAAGAAAGACAAGGAAGAAAGACAGGACACAAGTTAACTCTTTGCGTTGGAAACCCCATAACCCTTGTTCAAAATGTAGCACCGCTTAAGCGTTCAATCCAATTGCCCCCTTGAAATCTCCCTGCTGAATGATACCACTCCCTGTCCATCCGCTTTTGCCGTAGAGCCGAGTAAAGGAAAAAGTGGAAATTAGGAGAGAAAAACACGCAATAAAAAAACAAGAGATCATATAAAGACAATAAACGCTGTGAAAGAAACGCAGACTGTGGGCATCTCTACTGATACATTGTTGCCAAGATACAAAATTTCAGCCATTCTGGCATCGTCCGTAATTTTTGACGCTTGCAAAAATCAATCAATGTCGCTCGTGTGTTGAAAATCAGTGTCTTTATTCCATACTTTTGTAATGGAAGTCAAGAAATCCCCCTGAAGCGCTAGCGCCAATGGATAAATTCTCAAGGAATAGAAAAGTTTCAAACTGGTACTCGTAACAATGGCCCTTTGCCGGGTGTAGCCTCAAGGTTCCAGGCCAATCTTTTTCATCATTACCGCCGACCAGAATCGGCGGGCTGCTCTAGCAGGCCACCGATATCAACTCGTCTTGGTCGTTCGCCATTGGGCCAACCCACTTCTCGAGAGGAAGGTCTGTGATCTGGTTGTGCCCGAATAGGAGGTAGGTGATAAGCGGGTTGAGTTGCAGGTCGACTAGCGGGGTTATGGTCACTTTGAGATGTCTGATAGCTAGACCCAGAGAATTGTGACTGCGCATAAGTTGGAATTCCTGAGCTGGTACCTGTACTCGAAGAAGCCGGATTGTGTGGCGATCGAATAGAGCCATCACTAAGCCGATGTCGATAAGAATCAACCGAGGAAGAACTCGACTGGTCTCCATACGCTGTTTGATGAGATGGAGGTGGATGATGATAAGCCACACCAGGATCCCTCGTGTGTTGTGGATGTTGTGAGTGCTGCGCATATGGAGGATGCTGTGAGTGCTGAGCATGCTGAGAATGTTGAGAATGCTGGCTATGCTGAGAATGTTGAGAATGCTGTCTCTGCGGTGGATGGTGGGAATACTGTTGATGCGCTGCATGCGATGGTAGCGGAGGTGGTAACTGTGGAGGAGGCTGTTGAAGGCTCAACAAGAACACGACGAAATAGAACGAGCCCTCCTTTGCGAGCCCAAAACGAAGCGGGAAAGTCCTTGTGTAGCCGTCATATCCAACGAAGCTGAAATATTCGAGATGGTTAAGGCGAAATCTTGCGACATCTTCAGTCGTAAATCCAAAGTCCTTGATTGCTAAATCTAGCCTGCCCAGCATAGGAGGCAGATAATTCGGCTCGTGTAATCGTTGCTCTTCAAAAAGTTGATTTTGAAGGTTGGTGAGGAAATTTGCCTGGTGTGGTGTAACGATATCGCTTAGTTTATTCCCTATTGGGCTCGATGCGTGGACTATGTCCATGAACATTGGAGATGCCTTAACAATATCAAACTCCATACTCAAGTACGCCAGAGGCTCCATAGCATGTGGTGTGCCTGGATACGATGGATTATAGATATTTGGATCTGGAGCCATGGATCTCTCTTGATATTCACGCGAAGTAACATCATTCGACGGCGGCTCGAGTGATCGATAGGATTGACTTCGTCGAAGAGGGTCTTCGTATGGTGAAAGTCCTGCCATGCCTGAGGGATATATACTTAACGGCCTCCTGAGGGCCGCATCCTGGGGATGGGAATATCTCGTGGGATCGAATCTAGCATCTCTTTCGTCTCGTAATCGTGGCCGACCTCTTTTCTTATGCTGAACGTCGACACAAGCATCCTCTTTCCCATTACCAAGACATCGAGAACAGGGTCGTTGTGCTATAAATCAGTCAGCTCAGAAATTCATTGTATCTTCCGTCCTCTATGAGGAGCCCCCCCTTTTCCCATAAATAGCGTCAAAGGGGCAAAGCAGGGTTTTCATCTTCTTTCCACCAAAGGAACTAAGAAGTTTTGTATACTTCATTCATGATATTGGTGGGCGTCAGATAGATTATCCCTCTCTGAGAGAAACAGACCCGCAGGGCAATGATACCGGCGAACTATGTAATTTTTCAAACGAACAAAATCAAAGACAAATACAACGTACCATCGCATCTAAAGGAAAGGAGTGTTAGTAATTGCATTAGGGCTTGCAGAACGTCGTACGCCTGTTTCAATCACTGGTGACTAACCGAAGATGAGCTTTCTTGCAAGGTACGCAAGCGGAGGCAACATGGCCCTTTGTCTTTCTCTGAGATTTTGGAGATGTAAACGGCTGTGATTCGACTGCCTGTGATCGATCAGGCACAGGATATGCTTCGGAATTCGATGATGCTGAGTTCAGGTACGGCGCTTGTGAAACTCCTTGGGGCATTCCATGGTGATGCTGAGGAGGATAAGGGACAATTCTCCCTGATTCGTCCGGCCTTGGGTATGAATAGGGCGACCTTGTTGTTGGCTCTTGTGGGTATGGTCTCGTTATTATTGGTGAAATTTGCTCCCGAATATTTGCAGGCGATGGTTGTGTCGGACCTCCACGAAGGCCATCGGTGAGTCTGGAGGTGGCGTAGAAATTCGGAGCCTCACCTCGACCACCAGCCTCATGAGCCGACCTCAGAGGCAAAGGCGGAGAGCCGGACATAGGAGGCGAGGGATATGCCCTACTCCGTACAGCCGACTCCTCTGGGAGGAGCTCCTTACGGCTCCAATTGAAGTCGAAGGCACAGCGGGCCGAGTTGGAATATGCTTGAGGAGGCCCGGGGTGGAGGGGCGGCGTCGGATTAGAAGGTTGCGTTATAAAGGTCATGGATGAGATATTCCTTCAAAAGCTTAGCTGGGCCACTACCGACGGTGCCCAGTTTCAAAAAACAAGATTCCAAGTTTGGATCATCCAGATGGGCTACTGTAAACCCCAAGATCCCGTGAAAGCTCGAAGAGAATGCGGAAGAGCAGTGCTCTTTCTAATGATTAATATTTGGAACTCGAAGATGTAGGTGGTATATCGGCGGCAAGCGGTGTTTGCAGTAAAATCCCGGCGCGATCTTGGATATCGAGACGAGACAGAATTAAAATGATAACTTAGAACCCCGTGGTTCTTTCTTCAGCGATCAATCCAGAAGTAATTAGACGAAGATGGATTCGCAATCTCGACTTCTCCGTGCCCTAGTACAAAATGTAGAACGACGAAGAGGAGAGTAACTCGGCGGTTGGTCTCAAACTGATGAGGGGGGAGAGAGTCCAAAGAGAAAAGTCGTTCGCTGGGCCCAGGGAATGAACACGAGACTGAGAAGCCAGCCAGCAAGTTCGAAACAAGAATGGAACCGAGATCCAGCCAGGCGGAGAAGAGCCGACGTGAAACAGACGCCGCTGGAACAGTGTGATACCTGATAACCAGAGATATTAGAACCTTTCGTGATACAGCATGCAGTCGTGTCGTCGGTGGTTATCGAGATGGAACGGCAGCCCGCATCAAAATCGCAAAGTTCCACGACTTGAGTGACGGGTTCTGGCGAAAGCTGAAGTTGCTGAACCCGACCAAAGTCGCGGGCTCAAACGACGGAGTCAGAAGAAAAACACAACAGGAATCAGCCTCTTGAGGCTGATTGGCGGCTCACGGTCGGTTTTTGTGCGACTCTTAGGCCCAGTCAATGGGACCCAGTTGCCAATGCAAGGTAGTCGGACCATAGAAAATAGGGTTATCCGCCGAGCAGCCTACAAGCGCGAGAGCTACAGAGCAAAGTAGGTAGCCAAGCAAGTAGCGTTGAGGAGTCGGGGCCCACGGACCGAGTTCCTGGTCTAATAATGTTCTTATTGCAGCGGGTTAATCAGAGGCGACAGGATATGGCTTGTTCCATGATGATCCCCTGCCCGGTCAATCCTATCTGACAATTCTCCGCTGGCTTGTCTCGAGAGGGGAGGAGAGACGGCCACCGTGCGTGTGAGATTTCACAAGCGTAATAAGACACTGGAGACGGCTATGATTGGGGCAAACTGGGAAGGGAAAGGCGGGAAACAAGAAGAGAGCTGTGGAGGTTGAGTGGGGAGGGGCGTGTATCTTGTTTCCAGGAGGCGTGCTGGGGGTTGGATTCAGTAGCAAGCAGAAGGTTAGTAAAGGCCGGCAAGAAGGATTTAGACGGTGGTCAAAGAGGTGGACGGCGAAGAGATAAACCATTCGCCGTTCAAGGACGGTGATGGAAAGGTGTCATGCGAGTAAGAGGTAAGATTCAGCTGAAAGGGACTAGGACAAGAGTCGGAGCCCTGAGCCGTAGCCGGGAGACAGCAAACTGGAGTTGGCTGGGTGATATCTTCCCTTCTTGTTGGTTCCGGGGTGTGCGTCGCAGGGAGTGAGAACGATGTCGAGACTGGTCATTTACCTGTGCTCACTCTTTCAAACCCTCGATGCCGGGATAGTCCTGGTATTCTAGAAATGCAAGCCGTGAGGCGTTCAAGCTTTGTTATACTGCCTCGTACTTAGCTGCACAAAAGTAATCAGGGGGTGAGCGACTTTTGCAATTCTCGAGTAAGTCAACAAGCTACTAGGAGAGATGATCGAATCGGTCAAAGCAGGCAGGACGAGAGCAGGCCGGGGTTGGGAAGATTTTGGTGTCCTCGGCACATTTAGAAGGGCCCGAACGATGTCTGGAGCCAACCCCGTGTACATGTACTTGCTTTTAGTCTGCATATACTCCCCCCCCGGCCTGAGCGTCAGACGCAGAGCCAAGGCTTGCAACGGAGGTACCTCCAAGAGCTATCAAAAGTTGGAGTAGCTCGCGTTGCCCCAAGCAGCTTGGGAGACAGGGAGCCTGCATGGGAGTCGGGGAAGCTAGCAAACCTGGGATTAGCAGTGCTAATGGCGACTCGCCGTGTGGCTAAATGGCACGGCCTCGATGACGGATTGGAGGGATGGCTTCGTGGATCGTGGATGGGCCACTTCGGAGCAAGCCCACGAGCACTTAGCTAGGTACTAGAGAGGGTGCCCATGAGGAGCCTCTGCTTAAGCGGGCCGGCTGAGTGCCAGATTTTCTACGAAGCACCATCAGGCTAAACAATCGAAGTGGCATCATGGCGGAGGGTGGTGGATATGACACGAGCTGGACGCTTATTTAGGGACCGTGCCGGACCCTGCGCCCAGGCCCTGTTTGCCAAACATGGCTACATGCTTTCCCAGCGCCCTCTCCATCTTCCTGTTGGCCGGCGCCCAAGGTTGTGGGCTGGACCTGGCTTGTCGACAAGGCTGCGTTGAACTCCTGGGATACCACTTACATGTATACTGTATACCAACCTGTGGCATGGGTCAGCGGAAGAGACTCCATCCAATCATCCGGTTGCTCTGTGCATGGGCATGTGGACACGCGACGGCAGGGCCCTTAGGTAGGAAGCCGAAGCTTAGGCTGCTAGTAAAGTTTAGAACGTCCTGCAAAACTCGCACCTAAACGGGCTCAGAGGAAGGGTATTTCAATACCTTTCCACACGGCACCTGCTTGTACAAATACACAGCGTAATACCACCATGAAAATGCACGGTGCTGCAAGCCGCTTGGAGTACTGTAGTGTTGACAACTGCAGATTACCCAATGAGGCAAAGAAAGGGAGGAAGAAAGGGCCAGTGCTCCGTTCTCCCTCGCATAACGTAGCCAGCTGAGGCTTTAGCGATGTGTAGGATTCGACGATCTAAAACATGCAGAGCAGATCCCATACTTCTTCAGACCGCGGGTTAGTGAATTGCCAATCTTCGTCCGACGGCTCAAGAACCAAAGCGTGAGCCTTTTGCTCTTTACAACGCATCACAAGGCTCCAGAAACTGAGACCACGCCAGGTCCGGCGTCACCGATCCCACCCTGAGCCCGTCCGTGCGGATGTAGGATTATGCACTCCGCCGGTAGTAGGAATACCAACTCTGTTCCGATATACTACTCGTACATGCCTGATGCTCCGTAGTTGTACCAGCATTAGTATTAGCCTTGTCGCGACGGAAAGTTGGCTCCCAGGCAGCTTCAGGTACAAATGTTTACCATTGCACTCCTCCCTGGCAAGATTGGGGACCTATTCATCCAGATGACGTTTGTGTGGCGGCCTGTCATTAGGCAGTACCTTTCCCTTGAGTGGGTCAGTCTCTTTGAATCCGGCTGGTTTGTATCACTCAATAGTATCTCGATGCCTAATGTGACCACGTAATGACTGTGCGAGTATGTACTGCAATTCGCGACAAGGCTAGGCATAGCCCTAGAAAAAAAGAATCCCATCCCTCATTCTCGTCGAATCCTAGGTGTGAAACCAGGTGTCGCCAACGCGGGCCCCAAGGCTCAGCCCGGTCTGTTCCAAAGATCCGTCTGTCCTTTTAAGATCCGACTGAGTGCTCCCAAGTTGCAGAATCTGATGAGAAATGAACGGGCCAGCATGCGGTCCGCGGACATTTTGGGAGGTGTGCCATTTAGCGTTGGAACGGCGCCTCCCCTTGTCAATGCGTGGCACCTTGCCGGTTGGTATGACCCAAGATTTCCGAGATTAGTTTCTCCATCATGTCAAAAAGTAGCTCGTTCCTGGCAATGTAACGGGTACTTGGCAGATGCCGAATCAGGTCAACCCATTCTTGTACGGAGCTTACAGCTCCTCACTGCCTATCGCTTTGAGCCATAGATTATATTGGCGTCCCATGATGGGGAAGTCGGATATAGTTATCGGTATCTTCGGAGTATTCCAGGCTAGGCCAGAAAGCAACGAGATTGCGATCCCTACTCCGTATTGCTCATTGCCAAAAGCAAACAGGATCCATTTGCGAGCAAGCCTTGACTTAGTGGGGAGCTGTCCCAAACCCACCCGCTTACCCAAACCAATACCTCATCTCGACGCACCAATTACATGGACTACCCAGTCCAAGCGGGTGAGCGAGAAAAAAAATGATAGCACTAGTAAAATGGCCCTGGCCAGATTTCAGGACCTCAGCAAGTCATCACTTGCTCCGTACCCGTGCAAGTATGTATACCACCAGGATCCCCTGGTCCATCTTTGCGTCAGGATCATGGAACAGACTCAGTGCGTGCATGAGAAGCAGCGTCTTCAGTCATACGAGCAAACATGCTTCTGGTGAGAGGAAACAGCATGCTAAAAAGAGGTCTTCACTTTTTCTAACAGACGGGACGCGCTAGACAAATGGTCACATACCAACTGTCACTTAGCGAAGACGCAAGCTTAGCCATCATCCACCGGGTGTCTCTCCCAGATCGGATTGGTGTCCTGCAGGAATCACAGACCGGGCATCTCAGCGCTCGCCGGAGAACCCCCTGGCGCGAGAACAAAGAGGGTTTGCTTTTTTAGAAAAAAGCTCCTCCTGGCAAATCGTATTGCGCGCGCTTGAATACCCGTGCAGCAGTGCGACCGTGCCATCCCGAAACCAGATATTGACACATGATGCTAATAATTCACCCGACGGAGTCACCCTTGCTCCCGCCCCTCCAATTAGCGAAGAAGATGTGAATGCTGGTTCCCTTATTGATATCTCAGTTGGGGAAAGGTGTCATTCGGTACTCATACCTGAAGCAGATGCTTACTCGCTTGAGTCTGGGTGTGCCCCAGGGTCCCTTGTTATATTTGCCACTGTACGAATTTCAGCGATTGCAAAACTCACCTCCTTCTTTGTGAGTATAACTCGGTAATATCGAAATGTTCTGTACTTCACAGTTGGGGTCAGCCTGAATTGCACAATGGGCCTAAGAAATTGCCTATCAAAGGAGGGAGGGAGACGATGGACCGTGGGTTAAGTGGTCCTAAGGCAGTTTCCGAGTTAGCCAGGTATCGCTGCAGCTTGCAGGCTGGGAGACGACCCGCTTTGATGCCGTCGACGATGCTCCAATGCCAGTCAGGCGGTCATTTCTCCCCAGATAAGCCTTTGTAAAGCTGCATGAACCCTTGCAGGAAGCTGCTGGTACCGCCGTCATCGACCCAATGCCTCGGGCTCTGAACCAGTCATGATGTGGTCTGGTAGTTGCCACAGAAGACGTAATCACACCTCTCGTCTAGGTTCTCCCATGAGGCCACTCGTCTAGCCCTTGTCGAAGGACAGAACTAGAGGAGCGAATAGAACTGTAAAGGTTGTCCGGAATTCTCCCACCCCAATCTTTTAAGGCCGGTCTTTGGTACGAGTAGGAAACCCTTGTGCTGTCTACTTTGAGAACGGCGTCTCTCTTCATGGAATACAACGTTGGGGTTACGTGAGAACACGCTGCCGTCTTTATTTTTGGTACCCTTGCGACGACTTGGCATCGTTCTCACCTATCCTCATTTTGGTGCTTCGTCGTTGTTTACTTTTGTAAAAAAGCAATTGGCAATAATATAATCAAGGCAGTAGTCTGCTTGGCTGCTCCGCATTTCTTGTTCGGATTCCTTTCCGAATGCGTCATCCGTGGAAAAAAAGAAGGCCTAATAAACGGAGCGTTGATCTATGCATGGCTAAATCCCCCGACCCGACGACGCGTTAGTTAGTAGTTGGCGCCCATTCACGGCTCTCGGTCCTTGATCCCCTTGTTCTCTTTGGCAAGCAAAGTCTCAAAAACGTGCCAACTAGATACAATTAGCATGTTCACCATAAGAGTCACTCATGATGGAAATCTATTTGAAGGAAAACCGTCTCAAAATGACCGCCGACGGGAGACAGGAAAGCGCTTGTCCCACCTCAGCTGACGGGCACTGATTGTGATCACCGAAATAGTTTGAGCCGTATCATACCATATGTACTGATACTGGTAGTATAGATACCGCTCTCTGACAATCAAGCTGGGTCGACAGCCGAAAGACACAAAGAAAGCAATGATGAGTAGCGCTGGTAATCTTACTTGATACTGAGATAGATTGCCGTATTCTTTGCGTTTGTATATGAGAGGTGAGGAGCTCGAATATGTCTGATCTCTTCTGCCCGCTTCTTTTCAGATTCTCCCTCTTTTTTTTTTTTTTTTTTGCCATGGATGCTTTTCTCGGCCAACCGATATTTGGCATCGGGGAACCAAGGTACGGCCGGTCACCGAGATTCTCAAGTCAAGAATGATGTGTACCATCGTCGGCTGGAGCTCTTCAACAAGATCACGTCTTCTTTAGCTCCGTGCTATGGTCTTCATTAGATTAGCACCAAGACTATCCGGTTACCAGCTTTCAAGTCGCAAAATTCTGGGACAGTATCACTACTTTGTGATACCGGCAGACTCATGTGCCCCATAATTAGGTAGAACTTTGCGTGCCGACGAAGGAGATAGCCGCTAATATCAGCCCTCCCAGCGGAAGGAGGGAACATTTGTATCCCTTGGCGCCATATGCGTTGAAAACGCTTGTGCTCTTACCGAGTAGGCGTAGCTCTAGTACGAGTAGGCTGGAGCTCATGACGGATAAAGAAAGCTTGGTATACTCGTACTGGCACCCGATATAGTAGGTACGGAGTACTCCGTGCAGGGAGAGATGCAAATCTGGCGATGTGCTGAGCAATCCCTGGAATGCTGCTGGATGAGCACATGGTGTTAGGTCTCGAAATCCCCCGAACAAGGAGTGTCCCTTGGTAGTAACCAACCGAACAGCTTTCGACGACCAAGTCCTCGTATCGTACGGAGTACGGATTCTCAGCACTCTCTATCCCGCAGCTTGCACCTCATCCCATCTGCGAAAGCATGAACTGCTAGCCACAGCACCGAGGCACTAGGCCTAGGGCATTCAAATTATTCCGGCGTCGACGAGACGCGGCGTTGGTGGACCTCTTTAGCTGCATCTCGTCAGCACGTTATTGCCTCTTTGGCATAGCAGAAGTGCCTTGGCACTCACCTAGGTCCAGTCAACCAGTCAAGAGGCACTGAGGTCAGGCACGGATTACAAAATACTGCCTAGGCTCAGAGTTCAGGTTCTAGCACCAAGCAATCGTATTGGCGGAGGCGAAGCTGATAGTCCGAGTCTGCCATGTCGGCAACGCACGTCGAATGTCGCCGCAGGGCCAACATTGGGCCGGGAATTTGTTTTAACCGAAAGCAAGGTCTGGTGATGGCAATCGCGACCTTCATTCTTACCGTTGGGTGTGCCGAAATCACAGCGAATGGCCACCTTGCCAGGCACGAGGTACCGACTACGGAGCACTCGTACCCAGTACTTGGTATCTTGTATCCACTGCGCTACAGCAACCACCTGCCCGTGGGCACTTCACTCTTCCATGCTACCTTACCTGTACTTTAATTTACCGCCAGCAAGGTGGCTTAGCTTGGCTTTCTCCCCTCCCAACGTCCCAATCGAAATTCTCCGTATCTTCACTTGCCTCGTATCTGGAGTAATGCCCCATGTCTCCCGCTGCACGAGCTCGAAAAATTGCAGTGGAAATCGACAGCCGCTACATTTGCATGCCTCCATCATACTGTACATGGCCGCCCGGAAGCTGATCCGTGACGACGCCACGGCCAAGCAGCAAAAGACTGATCGGCATAAGTTCCCGGTTTATGCCCTTCGCTTCTCTGCATGTTTGTGTCCAATACGAGAAATACCCTTATGAAATCTCATGAGGAAGAGGATGACTTTCTAATGCCATCACAGATGGTGCCGTCGATTCCAAGCTTTCTCTCCCAGATTGAGTAGGTGGCATCCTTACTGCCATGGTTGGCACTCTGGCCACTAGTCAGACCGAGGGCCTTCCATCTCACGATGTACAGTATCGTGAGCATCAAAGGACTCATCAAGAATCGCCCAAAGTAACGAGCCCACCGGGGTCGGCCGGGCACCTGTGCTTCGGAAGGCCCAGGCCAATTTTTTTCCCTCCCATGGCTCTACAACACCCCGCCGGGACCCCATTTCTTTCTGATGGTCGCAGGACTATTGAAGAGCTAAATTTCCGGGGGACAGGGATATGCCCTCAAATGAATCTGGGGGAACAGCACAAGATTCAAAGAGATACAGGTCATTGCAGCGCGGCCAGTCGCCCCGATATTACGTGAAAGCGAGCTACAGTAACTGGGCAATCCAAAACATCATCTCTTCAAGGAAACGAAGAGGGGATGCAAACATATGTTACAGGCGCAGCGACAAAGGGAGAAAGAAAGAAAGAAATCAACAAGCTCCAGGCACTGAGCTGCCTGCTAAAATCTCGCGTCCTCAGCAAGGGGCCTCATGCATCTAGTCTTGTTCCAGTAGGAAGGTGCATATTTCGGCTAGCCAGCCTTTAGGCCGTGAATACGGCGTATGGAGTCCGAATTACGAAGTACGAAATGGTACAATCTCATTTATTCCATGCCGGACGGAAAATTTGGGGGGTACACCTTACAAGTACGGGTTTGAGTTCAGGTACTCTTTGCGGAGCTGTAGTTAGATTCAAGGCGCAAAGATTTCCTTCCTACTGAAGAACAGCTGACCTTGTTCTGCAGGATATCTTGCGACATATCTCGGATCCATCTAGCCACGCGGCGGCAGCAAGGCCAAGAGAGAGAAAAAAATTATCTCACTCACAGCTCATCCCACTAGCAGGAGGCAGTACGTGCTTTACTACTCCTACTACGGACTACCACCACCACCACATGCATGCTTCGTGCCATCTGGTGGGTATTTGGGGGGCTAACAATACGATCTTCACTTCTTCCGAGTATCATTCCGGGGAGGCTCGGCATCCAATGATGCGACAGCTGGGA